TTATTGAATAATTATAGGTTTGAACCAGATTATTTATATTTTTATGCATAATTTAAATAAAAAATATGACTATTCTGCAAACCTTCTCTATATAAACTATAAGTACGCGAAATTTCATACTCATCCGTCCGCGCTGATTTTCGTAAAAAGGATACAAAGTTATTATTTCACGTATTAATACATACGTTTTAATAAATTTATATAATACTTTTCATTATTTCACTTTTTTATTTATTTATTTCCTTGGACCTACCAAGGAATCTTAATTTTACGGCAAAATAATAAGGGAGATGAATAGTGGACATGTTTTCCATGAGTGAGCGAGACAGATATGACGCCACTTTTACCAAAGTCAACAAAAGTAAGTAAAACAATTAAAATAAAGAAAAATCTTAACCTAGTTTAGGTTTATTTAAATAAGGATAATTTTGAGGAAGAAAAGTTTGAACTCGTTGTACGTGAAACGGATGCATTTCGGGTCTTTGTAAAATACGATGTGCTGTGCTATTCCCGTTCTTTCTTATTACACAAAGAAAATACTTTGGTCATCTGCGACCTTTTGCAACACTTCTTCTTCGTAAGGAAAGCGAGTTCTACCTCCAGCCCGTATTTGATTCGGGAAATGGCCGCCCTCCGTGAGTGCGGCTGGTACACATAAGCAGTGATCTGGATAGCGCTCTAAATTTGGATATCTTTCACGACAAAGCCTAGCGGCAGCAATTGCATTGCATCTGCATTCCTCATAAATGAGGTGCTTGTTCGCAATTTTTTGTGAAGTAAATAACAAGGATAGCAACACAAAAGTCCAATTCCAAAAGAGACAACCCAAAGTTGTCGGTATGGAATCAACAAGTTCAATTTACAAAAATCCAAGTCCAAAAAGAGAAGCCAACAACAGCGAATACGGAAAGACGCGCAGTAGGCTGAGCTGAAGCTGAAACAGAATGAGCAAAATGTACTAACTGGTGTCAGACTGGTAGCGTAGCCATTTGCTTGGTATGGCGACTGTATCTGTTTCATTCGCGCGCGTTTAAACGACGCATCTCCGTCTCACTGCGTGGCACATCTGTCTCGCTCGCTCACGACAACATGTCCACTACCCATTTCTCTCATCATTTTGCCGTAAAATTAAGAACCTATGGCTGTATACGTACATAAATATATTGTATAGGCAGCGCGCATGCAGCGCGCGCAACTTAAATATGTCACCTTTCTTGTCTCATATAAAATTAAATTAGATAAACGTTTGCTTTGTTATTTTATTTAAATATATATAAATATAATCCAGATCAAGCCCATAAACCTACTACTATAAGCTTGTGTGAATAAGAAACATTTGAACGGAGTAAAATGGGTTAGCAAAAATCGGGTTACTTGAGGTTTCTTTCTCGTTTTTTTTTAGTACGAAAATAAACAAGTATTGTACATTTATAATCCTGATTAAATGTCCGAACTTTTAATGGCACTTGCCAAGGCACTTTAGTACATTTTTTTAAAAGAGGGCCTTTCAAACTCGACAAATTATGAAAATTTTAAATATAGTTTAACAAATAGTCTTAATTCTAGAAAACTTGGGGCAATTGTGTCATTATTTTTTACTGTGATTCTAGAAATATTATTTGGCTTTATGGTTCCAAAGTTTAAATGAACAAAAATAATAAAAATTAACCACAATGACCGAATAATGGTTATAGTTTGACCAAATTTCTAAGTTTTTCTTTAATGCCCCTAATTTTCAAACTGCATGGGATAGATTTTTTTCTGATTTTTCTCATGATGGTTACAATCAATTCTCTCACTGCTTGAAATTGAGTTCTGGGACGGCCTGTATAGTATAATCGAAGCCAAATATTTCACCATTACTTTGATTTGCTTTCCATAGCCACAAAGACAAGTGCTTACCTAGACTTACTACAGATAAAAAGTACTTATCGGGAAAAATAAAGTTGAAAATATGTCACAAATTTTTATGTGATACTCCAACATATAGTCGGACAGACAACAATGATTAATTAAATAATATTTTTGTGAAATTATTGATAATCAATAAGTTTTTTGATTACACTAAATATGTAGTAACATTGAGAAAAAAATACTTTATTTTGGATTCAATATTATATATTATTAGTATTAGTACGTATAACATTTATTCGTATAAGTAAATAAAATAGTGTAAAAAATGTAAAAAGGGTAACTAAATGATTACATTACTTGAAATAGTAAAAGAATTAAGTTACAGCAATATTTAATTTTTGTATAAATTCATAGACGACTTCACGATTTTACTTTGTTATAATGAGTCAGTCCATTTTTTCTTTGGGTGTAGGGTTGTCACTTCGCCAATCCTAATAACCGGAAAGACCATCCAGTTTGGCGGGACATATTGGTAAAAAGGCCGGATACCCTACATTATTGAGGGTTTTGTGTCTCAATATCATGTAAATATTTATTACAAATAAAATTTTGTAAATTATTATTAATAAGTGTTACTTTAGGTGCGACCCGTCAAAATATTTAAAATTTAAATTGGCCCGTTGATGAAAAAGGTTGCTCACCCCTGTTCTAGATAAACAGTTATCAACATTTTAAAATTCTTCTTAACGTCTAATGAAAGGTAATTGCATAAATAAGTATTATTTACCTGTACCTGTTACTTCAGCAACTAACGAAATAAAAAAACATCTAAGCAAAACAAAACTTCTTGAGTTAAGAAATAAAAAATAAAATTAGTTTTACAATAAAAATAATGTAAAAGCCTACCAAACGGCGTACATGTCTATTTATTTTAGCCAGATGCCAAAAAAAGTCCCGTCAAAATCGGTGCAACCATTTCAGAGATTAGCCGGAACAAACAGACAGACAGACAAAATTGTTAAAAAATGTTATTTTGATGTATGTAACGTATTTATATTTATATGCATGTAGTAAAAAACGGTTATTTCAATATTACCAACAAACACTCCAATTTTATTTATATGTATAGATAAAGGGAGTGCCCCATTTTTATTTATATTTATAAATAAAAACGAAATACTACGACGAAATACGAATACTACGAAATAAAAATAATGTAAAATTTGTTTACATTTTCTTAACCATTTCTTTACATTAATACTAAAAGTTTTTTATCATTTTTAACAATTAATTGTCACTACTTTACAAAATATGACTTAGTATTACATTCGTAATATGTACAATAAATCATTACTAACTGTATTAAATTTAATACAGTAATTGTTAAATGTAAAATTAGTAACTGTCACCCGCACCATACTATAGTGTACGCAGTATAGTATGACGAAATAATTTACGATTTGATAGCGCGCGAGCGAGCTCTCCGCGCTAAGCACAAGTCCGACGTTGGCAGGGGCCGGGGACTGACTGACTTGGTCTAACTCTCATACAAAACAACTTGTGAGCAAGAGATTTTTTGCGGAAAAACAGTTTATCTTGTTTAAAATAAAAACTATTGGTTATTATATACATCTGAATTGTACTATTTATGTGCGTATTTAGTATAATGTACATTGGAAAATTCGAGTCTTAAATCAGTCCCGTTTTCTTATACAAATCAAAAATATATTTTATAAGACCAATCTTTGAGATTTTTTTCTCTGCTACAAAAGTTAATCAATCATGTAACGAGAAGTGTCAATATGATGTCAAAGATCTGAAAAATGAAATACCTAAATATCAGCCCCGAATGATTTGTAATTGCTGAGAAAAGTTAAGGTATCTGAGGTCAATATTTGCAATGCGTCGCCTTCATGGCGCCCAATATAATCCTTAGAGCTTTAACTTGAATATTATTCAATTTTTTTAGGGCTGTAGCATTAGCAGGTTCCAAAATAAATGTACCATAAGCCATAACACTCCTTATGAGAGCATTATATATTAGTTTTAATTGAAATGGATGGGTTTCCCACCACACACCCGTAAGGCGTCTTAGAATATTAAGAAGTCGTTCACATTTAGCTGAAACGTATTTACAATGTGGTAAACCAGATAATTTAGAATCGAGAATTATGCCTAAAACTTTTATTTTTGCCTTTACTGGGATACACTGATTATTGTAACAGATATTTAAAGGGGGTGGAACTCGCATTCTAGAAAATAGAACAACTGCACTCTTAGCCGCAGACAGTTCAAGACCGTTACAACCCATCCAAAATTTTAATTTTTCTAAAGAAGTGGAAATTAAAGAACACGCTTTTTGAACTGAATGATCAATAAAATACATTAATAAATCATCCGCATATTGAAGTACAACGACTTTCCCACTGTTTTGATTTACATATAACTTTAAGTCGTATGTATAGATGTTATATAAAAGAGGACTGAGTGGTGATCCCTGCGGGAGACCCTTCCATTCAACTCGAGACAAAATATTAGAATCAGACAATATAACGCTAATGGATCTTTCCGTCAAAATATTAATAATAAAGTTAGAAAGTATGGGAGGCAGACATTCAAATCGCAAAGCCTTTTCCATAATATGTTAATATTGACATTGTCACACGCAGAGTTAATATCTAAGAAAACTGAAACTACCGACTGATTATTAGAGAATGCCAAACGTATATCTGAAGACTGATTCCATCTAATGTACTTTTACCCCTTCTAAACCCATACTGACTTTCAGCTAATAGTTTTTTACTTTCGACATACCACTCTAAACGGGTTTTTACTAAATTTTCAGCAATTTTTAAAAGAACTGTGGAAAGAGCTATAGGACGATATGAACTACTGTCATCGGAAGGTTTGTTGGGATTTTTAACTGGCAATACCGTGTGATGTTTCCATGACGACGGCAAATTCCCAGTTAACATTACTGAATTTATGAGATTAAGGTAATACAACATACATTCATCCAAAAATAAATAATAAATAATAATAAAGTAACTACAGTGTCGTAATTGACAACACCAATATCAAAATGAATTACATTTTTGTATATTAATATTCTATTTTTTTCATGAATTAAATGTTAATTGGGAATTTGAATTGATGAAGTAGCACAAAATTGAGGTAGCAGTGAAAAATTGAAAAATTTACTCTACAAAATATAAAATCTCGTATGCTGATGAGTATTCATTATAGTATTGTTGAACATAATTGCAACCCTTGTGATTTATTTTCTGTCTTTATCATCTGTGGTAAAATGTCATTTTCATTTACTGAATTTTCTGTTTTTGATGTATCATACATTTAAATAACAATATTAAACAGAAAATTATTAAAAGGAATTATGGCGAAAGATATAACAGTTCTTGCTCCAAATGGCAGAAGGCAAGTAGTTCACTGTACACCAGACACCAGCATATTACAGGTAATTAAAATAAAAAAAAATATCAAAAGTAACCACTATGTGTAAGGTAAAACCTTTGTACTGTATTTTCAGAGAAAATTGAAATATCATAATATTTATTGTAAATCTATTTTGGGTAATATAATAAAATGAACTCCTTGTACTGGTTAATGTATGTATTATAATAAAATAATAACAACTGTGGGTACTAATAAATGCATGTATATAATATCCCATCAAAAACATAAATGTGAAATGATAGCCGAGTTTAATATTATGATATATACCTTGATTGTTGACTTCTACGACAAAAGAGATGAGATCTAAATGGGTGCCAAGTTCAATGGTCTGTCCTGAAATGTATTTATAACAATATAAAATATAATTTCTTCTTATAACTTAGGATAATATACTGTAGCCTAAGTTCTAACTTGGCCAGTTCTCATATACCAAATATTACTTTCAATTGCTAGTTACTACTAATATTAAAATAGGAACCGACAAGTAACATGTTTAGAACTTGCGAAGGCTACAGTATATTTTGTATATGAAAACTAGCCAAGTTAGACCTTAGACCGATTTCAGTTTCATTTTTTCCTTTATATTCACCTAATTACCTATCTGCATGCCAAATTTGAACTTCCTAGGTCATCTGGAAGTGGGTTATAATTTTGATCTATAGTTGATCAGTGATAAAAATGACGATTTTTGGACATTAATATCTAAATAACCGTTTGAGATATGTTTATGAAATTTGGAACACATATTTATCTCGCAAGTCTCAATATATGAACCAAATTTGACAGGTTTGTGTGAAAGAGTTTTTGAGTTATGACGGGGTCAAAAGTGGCTTCAAATGGTTCGTGTAAATATACACATGGTGCTGCTTGCCAGTTTACTTGAAACTTGGCTTGACACGCTACCGCATGTCTAGATTAATTTAACTATATCTCTAAAATATTTCTCTTTAGTATTTTAAAATACAACCGGCACATTCCGTGCTCCTCGGCTGAATGCTGTGACTTACAAAAACTTCCTCCTCTCACATAGAGATGGTTGGGGTTATCCGCACCTAGTTTTACCATACCTACTAATAATTAAACTGTCATCTTTTAATTATCGGATTTTTCTCCACTATCAATGTAAACCCTAACACAGAGTAGAGTGCTATTATATCCTAATTATTATGTTTGTTTATGTTTAAGGTTTTAGAAGATGTATGTGTGAAGCAAGGTTTTCAACCAACTTGTTATGATTTAAAACATCATAATCGTATTCTAGATTTGACAACAACTGTAAGATTTTCCAATTTACCTAACAAGGCTACCCTGGAAATGGTTGAAGCAGAAAGAAGAAGATTAGAATCTAATGTTACTATCAGTTTATTATTGGAAGATGGTAATTGCATTTTAACATTTTGTTCCATCTAATGTATTTTTAAATTGCTCTTAATATAAGTACTTATAATATCAAGTAGATATTTGTTTATTTAACATATATAGGTGAAAGAAGAACAGCTGATTTCCCGCCTAATACATCTTTATATGATGTAGTGACATCACTTTCACCAAATGAATTTAGCTCCTTACAATACCCAACAATTTTATATATGCGTCAAGAAGTGGTCGGAGAGACAGGTCTCAGGGATAAAACATTAAGACAACTTGGACTAATAAGTGGGCGAGCTATTTTAAGATTGCTAAACAAAGCTGAGGAAGGCAGGTAAAATAATTTGATATATGATTATCATTTATAGTATAAGAGTACTATCAATGTATAACTATATGTAGGAACTTTTGTAATTTAAAAAAACAGTTTAGGTATTAGTAATTTTTTTATTTGTCTTTATAGCATCCTTAATTCTGCGCAAATTTACAAACTATCAATTTACAAAATATCAATGTAGCTAGGCTCTTGGATCATTATTAGAAGTCTAAATGTTTTAACAATAGCAAACTTATTCAACTAGCATTTCAGTTGGAATTTTTTTGATTATCCTATTTTAAGTTATCTACTAGGCATTGTATAGTCATATACAAATTAGTTCCATTACATGTTGAACCTTAGATTCTGACTGCTGATACTGCTGAATATACTAGATTCATTTATTTAATTTTAATGATTATGTTGAAAATGTAATTTGAGTAAAGATGCTGATATGCAGCTGAGGGTGCTGCACAGCAACCTTACACTAATTTAAAAATATTTGTGATAATAATTAAAGAATGCTAATTGAATGAATATAATATCAGGCGGCTAATATTACTAACACACCTTACATTAGCTGCCTGATATTATATATATTCATCTAGCTGTTCCCAAGAGAAACAGCTAGTTTACTATAAAATCCGTTAAACCCGTTTAACAATATGAATCATGTATACAAAACATGAAAGTTTAAAAGTAAGATTTTTTTGCATTCTCAGTGAAAGCACAGAATATACTGTGTTTTTAGCAAGATTGTCAATTATTCTTAAATGATCTTTTCGAGCAATACAACAAAATATTTTCTGTCATACAGGCAAGCAAATGTGTCTACCATATACAGGCGACCTTTACCTGAAAAATCTCATAAAGAGCAGAATAAAGAAATAATTACAACAAATGAACTCCAAAATAATGATGAATTTTCTGATCCTGGGCCCTCTGATGTCTACAAAAATGTGGATTATGCAAAATTTGATCCAATTAAACACATTAGGGATGAAAAAAGTAAAACCGAGGAGGTCAAATGTGAACAATCAACACAAGATACTTCCGAAATAAAAGAAATGAAACTTAATGTAGATAATAAATCACATGACAATAATACGGGTGGTACGTCCAATACATCGATAGTTAGTCAAGAGAATTTAGAAAGGCGTTTAAAAATTGAAGAAGAAGTTACATTTGTAAGTTTCTAATAATTATTAAAGTAACTGGATAATTGAAGCAGCGTTAAGCTGTATATTTATGGGTTTTATGGGTCAACAGACTTACAGACTTACAAAAAAAACCCAGACCAATACATAGAGTCTTACGATGACCTCGGTAGTCCAGTGGTTTAGCACCGCTTTACGTCCGATGGTCGCGGGTTTGATTCCTCGCACGGTACAAACATTTGTATTCATGAGTATAATTGTTTGTATCGGTCTGGGCTTTTCCTATGTATAATATGTATGTATTTACGAAAACAAAAGTTCTATGTATCTGTATCAGTTATCTAGTACCCATAACAAAAGCTTTAGCTAGCTTAACTTAGGTCTAGATGGCGCTGTGTGAATTGTCCTGAGATTATTATTAATATGAATACCTATGAATGTATATTTAAATCGTTTACAAATTCCATAAGACAGAGATAATAAACTACTGGATCGCGGTACCGTTAGCGGTTATTTACTAATTCACTTTACACATTACTTAACATAATATTTGCAGTGGTTCTCTTTTTAAATACAAGCTCACAAGCTCGTATTTCATTTGTAGCATATTTTGAGACTGTTACAAGTACCCTGGTTAAGGTTTGATCTTAATAAACATAATCATCTAAAATATCGCCTCAGATGTATGAAATGAATTAGTGTTACGATATCTACCTCTAACAGAATTGTAGATTCTATATTGTGTGTAATGTAATTACTAAAATAATTTGCTACTTGTATAGATAGCAATAATAATAATAATATTATAGTTTCAACATGTTATAGTTATACTTATAAAATTAAATATGTTTGTATTATCTTACACCTTAAATTACTAATATTATAAAGTTGAATACTTTGTTTTTTTGTTTGAACGCGCTAATCTCAGGAACTACTGGTTCGAATTGAAACTTATTTTTTTTGTGGCTTTAAGATATATAACATTACATTACGACAGAAGATAGAAGTGAAGCATCAGTGAAAAATGTTGCAAAAACGGGAAAGATTATTCATATTTGAGGGCTACCATTGCGTGCGCTGCGCGAACAAAGTCGTGGGCACAGTTATTGTTATAGGCACACTAGTTACTAATATAATACTTACTAATTAATCATTTTAGTTAGGCGCACAGAAAGCAATAGCATTCATGCTTCCCGATGTTATTGAAGATGAACCAGAAGATCTACCCAATGATTTTTATGACTTGACAATAGAAGAAGTTCGTAAACTCTACCATGACCTGCAACAACATCGTTTGGAATTAGAAAATACACCACTGATTACAGCCAATAAACGACAAGAAGACGTAAAACAGGTCAGATGTTATATGAAGCACTATAAAGTTATAATATTACGTCTTTAAAAACTTACTCCCTTAAATTTGTACTAGTGTGAGTGACTTGACAATTTCTAGTCCCCGAGTCAGGATTTTATCGTTAATTACATATATATCTTATATCTCGTAGGTAGTGGTCTGAGGTCGGTACTAGGGTTCATGATTTCTCGAGCTTTTAAATTTCTCGGGTCTCGAGAATTCTCGAGGTTAATTTCTCGGGTCTTCTCGGGTTGTCGAGAAATTTACATTTAAGTACGTTTTCACATATTATTTGGTTCCAATAACGTCAAAAAATTCAGTTTTTTTTGCCTCTCAAATAAAAGTATAAAACTTTTATTGAATATAAAAACATTATACATATTATGAATAAGCAAATTTTTTTTTATTACAGAAATATATTAGGTCCTTATATATGAAATTGGCGTTTTTCCGTACTGGCCACTTTGATCTCAAATATCTCCTATTTGGATAGGAATTCCAATTTCAAATTTATACGGCTATTCACTCATGCATTTGGTTTTCGAAAACCGTAATTCATATGGCTTTACCATCTTTGGTTTTTTCTTTGGGTTACTCAGCTTACAAAATGGAAAACTTAAAATATCGCGTCATTTACGAGTACCTCCGTGGCACCAGTGCTGCAGAAACGGCTCGAAGGATTAATAATGTGTATGGCGGTGGTGTCGCAAAAGAAAACACAATACATTTTTGGTTCCAACGTTTTCGTTCTGGAAATTTCGACCTGCAAACAATCCCCGTGGGCCGCCGGAGTCCAAGGTTGGTCCAATGAAGAAGGCTAGTGTGAAAGCGGATTCATCGCAAACCACGTCCGAGTTAGTTGCAGGCTCTGCTGTGTTAGTGACAAAACTGTTTTAATCCACTTGTAGCAAATTGGGAAGGTGAAAAAGCTTGAAAGGTGGGTTCCTCATGAATTGAGTGGAGCAAATCGACAAACGCGCGTAGACTGCTGCGTTACATTAGTCAACTGGCATAATAATAAAGGGATGTTAAATGGAATCATTACCTGTGATGAAAACTGGATCTTGTACGATAATTGGAAATGCTCATCGCAATGGCTGAACCCTGGCAAACCAACTAAATCCTGCCCCAAGCGAAAATTGTCTCAAAAAAGGTTACTTGCGAGCGTTTGGCGGACTAGTTCTCGCTCACTTCAGCTTTCTTAAATCTGACCAGACGGCAGATGTGTATGTATGTAAATTGCTATCAGCAATTTAGAAACCATGATGGAAAAGCTAGCTCCTAAACAACCGAGGGTGGTCAATTGCCGTAGGCCACTGCTGGTTTAGGACAACGCTAGACCACACACTGCATAACAGACAGTTCCCAAATTAGCAGAGCTTCAATTGGAATGTCTAAGACAACCCCGTACACCCAGGACCATGCTCCAACAGATTACCATTTTTTTCGAAATTTGGATAACTGATTAGACAATTCAAATCCGATGGGGCAGTCTAAAGTGCCTTGAAAGATTTTATTGATTCCCGTCTAAATAGTTTTTTTGGTAAAGGAATCAATGATATACCTATGAGATGGCAAAAGTGCATATATAGCATTGGTACATACTTTGAGTGAACAAGTATATTATATTTGGAAAAAAAATTACTTCAGCCCTTACAAAACGCCAATTTCATATGTTAGGACCTAATATTATTCAGACTTATATTTATAATGATAGCACCATTTTTTATGGTTATTTAGAAAAAAAAACTACTTAAAATTTGTAAACAAAAATAGTTTCTTTAAAATAAAAATAAAAATACATGAAAGAAAACCTTAATATCTTAAATTATTGCGACGCCATGCAACAAAACAAACGGCAACTTAATTTCTATATAGGTACATGAATTTCTCGAGTTCTCAACTTTTCTCAAGCTTGATTTCCCGGGAACAAAACCCAACGATTTCCCGAATGAACCCTAGTCGGTACTAGGGTTCATTCCCGGGAATTCTCGACCCGAGAATTCCCGGGAAATCCTTGGGTTCTGTTCCCGGGAAATCAAGCTCGAGAAAAGTCGAGAACTCGAGAAATCAAGTACCTATATGGAAATTAAATTGACGTTTGTTGTATTGCGTGGCGGCGCAATAATACTAGATATTAAGGTTTTCTTTCATGTATTTTTTTTTGTTTTACAGAAACTATTTTTGTTTACAAGTTTAAGGTAGATTTTTTCTAAATAACCAGCCAAAAATGGTGCTGTCATTATAAATATAAGTCTGAATAATATTAGGTCCTAACATATGAAAGTGGTGTTTTGTAATGGAATAACCTGAAGTATTTTTTTTTTCAAAATATAACATGTTTTTTAATCAAACTATGTACCATTGCTATTTATGCACTTTTGCCATCTCATAGGTACTTCATTGATCCCTTTACTGAAAAAAACATTTGAACGGGAACATTTGGACATCATAAATCATCAATAAAATCTTTGTACTTTGGACTGCCTCATCGGATTTGAATTTTTTCCCAATCAGTTATTCAAATTTCGAAAAAAATGGTAATCTGTTGGAGCAAGATCCGGGGAGCAATTGTAAAGTCTTAGACATTACAATTGAATCTCTTCTAATTTGGTAAATGTCAGTTGTGCAGTGTGTGGTCTAGCGTTGTCCTGAAGCAGCAGTAGCCTACGGCGATAGACCAGCCTCGGTTGTTTAGCAGCTAGCTTTTCCATTTTGGTTTCTCAATTGCTGACAACATACATCTGCCGTAATCATCTGGCCAGATTTAAGAAAGCTGAAGTGAACAACACCGGAACTAGTCCACTAAACGCTCGCAAGTAACTTTTTTTGGGTCAATTTTCGCTTGGGGCAGGATTTGGTTGGTTTGCCAGGGTTCAGCCATTGCGATGAGCGTTTCCAATTATAATACAAGATCCACATCATCACAGGTTCGATTTAAAATCCCTTTATTATTATGCCGGTTGACTAATGTAACGCAGCAGTCTACGCGAGTTTGTCGATCGAAACGCGAATTGTCTACTCAATCCATGAGGAACCCACCTTTTAAGCTTTTTCGCCCTCCCAATTTGCTACAAGTGGATTAATACAGTTTTGTCACTAACACCGCAACCTGAAACTAACTCTGACGTGGTTTGTGATGGATCTGCTATCATAATTACCAACCTTGGACTCCAGCCGCCCACGGGGATTGTTTTGCAGGTCGAAATTTCCAGAACGAAAACGTTGCAAATACATTGTGCATTGCATTGTGTTTTCTTTTGCGACACCACCACCATACACATCATTAATCCTTCGAGCCGTTTCTGCAGCATTAGTGCCATGGCGGAACTCGTACTTGTACTTGTAAATGACGCGATATTTTAAGTTTTCCATTTTGTAAGCTGAGTGACCCAAAGAAAAAACCAAGCACATGTATCACGGTTTTCGAAAAACAAATGCATGAGTGAATAGCCGTATAAATTTGAAATTGAAATTTCTAACCAAAGAGGAGATATTTATGATCAAAGTGGCCAGTACGACAAAACGCTAATTTCATATTTAAGAACCTAATATATTTCAGTATTTAAAAAAAAATGGCTTATTCATAATATGTATAATGTTTTTAAATATACCTACTCAATAAAAGTTTTATAGTTAAATTTTATAATTAATATTTAACAAAAATGCAGTGGTTTTCGTCTCAAATGAAACCACTGAGTTTTTTGACGTTATTGGGACAAAAAATAAACCAAACGTACGTAAATGTAAATTTCTCGACAACCCGAGAAATTAACCTCGAGAATTCTCGAGACCCGAGAAATTGAAAAGCTCGAGAAATCATGAACCCTAGTCGGTACATACGAGGAATGAACAGATCAATAGTAATATTAAAGGTTGTGGACTGCGATTATAAATAATATTTTCACTGTTTCAGACATCGCAGCAAAAACTACTTGCATACAAAAATGTAGTAGTTAGAGTTCAATTTCCAGACCGAATAATACTACAAGGAGTTTTTACACCGACTGATACTATAGAAAATGTGACAAATTTCATTAAATCTTATCTACAAACACCTGACAAGCCATTTCATGTTTGTAAGTTTACTGCAAGACAAAATTTCATTTTGCTATGAAATATGTTTATTTAAATCATATGTAAATATATATCTGTATTTCTTTATTTTAGTTACAACACCTCTAAAGGAAACATTAGATCCAAAAAGTACATTATTTGACGCAAAATTTGTACCCTGTGTTCATATGCACTTTAAATGGCTGGACGATCATAATGGACAACCATATCTTAAGGAGGAAATATATTTAAAGAGTACTAATAGTGATGCAGCTAGTATTTTAGCGTCTAAATATAGGTAGATATGTATTAAGATTATTTTATCAGTATAGTTGTTAGCAATTTTATATGAGGCGATACATAGCTTATGCATCAGAATAACACAGGCTATATTTTTTTATGACATTCAACGCGGGTGAAACTGCGGCACTGCTAGTAAGTAAATAAAAATTGCTATAAATTTTTTTTGGGCTTAGTCAGATTTGAACTTGCAAACTTTCTCAAGTCCTTATCGAAGTCGGTATAATAAACCACTAGACCACGCCACTGCGCTATTGTACTAATCCCAGTGTAATAACTATATGTTCTCACTTCGTTATTTTTCTTATCGATGTAAAGTCCACAATGACACGTACAGTAATTTGCCATAATTATGAAGAAATTATTTGCCTTGATATCTAAGTCTTTCGATATCCCAGAAGTTGTGGCCCGGTGCGCAAGGATAACTAAAGCGGGCTAACTAAAAAACTAAAAATGCTTAGAACTAATACAAGTGGAACACTCTCATAAAGAATAATGCACTGTGTACTATGAAGTTAAATATACCGATAGGATATTGTTATACTCTCAAAGCACAACCTATAAAAAGATTTTTTATTTATTTTGACTTTTGCATATTTAATGTCCAATTTACATATGTGTATGTACCTACAAAGTAAAGCTTCTTATTTCAGCTTTTTGGAACTGAGTTAGTTACTTAATTAAATAGTACACTTATATTAGTAAATGTCATTAACAGTAGACATGGTTGATGAAATGGTATGCTGCATGTGCCTACGATAACGGTACATGCTGGTGGGGCACCAGTGGATCAGTTAGCCCATAGTGACAAAATCACCAGGAATGAACCACGATGGTTACCACGTGGAACCGTTACTAACTATCCCCTTATAGTGTACTCGCGACTGTTGACTATGTAGCTAATAAATATCGTTTCAAAATACATAATTTCTATTTTTAAGGTATGTAGTTGCTTTATCATTTGCCAAACATGTAGAACAAACAATATTTAAATTTAATTTACAGAGCGCCAAGCCGAAGAAATTTGGACATGTCATCAGATAGTACACAAATACCTAAGAAGGATCAGCCATCAACATCCAAACTTAGTAAAGTTCCAAAGTGGTTTAAATAGCAATTCATAAATATTTTTGGAAATAAGGTGCAACTATATAATTATTTAATCTGTTTAATTTTATAATCAATTAAAATGTATTCATTTTGTACATATAAAACGTCATCAGAACCTGAGAGCTCTCATTAATTAATTTATAATACCCAGAATAACAGGAGAATAAGTACCAAAGTAAGACTATGTTTCAGATTGTTATGGTAATTTAAACAATAAATTGGATTAAAGCATTATTAAAATGAAAATAAGTATTGAATATTAATAATATGACATGACTACTCTATTCCGATACTTGATCATTGAAGCATCTAAATGTAGTCGGCCATGTGGCATTATGGCTATCAAGTTTATATAATTTCAGGCTTCGTTCTCTTCTAAATACTCCTAAAAACAAACCTCACATAGGTGAGACTAATTATAGTCTAGGTCAGTAATCTTGTATCCGTCAACCAACAACTGATGTGTGTTAATTTAAAACTTTGTTTTTGTAATAGATTTTTAGATGATAACTCAAGCAACGATTGTATATTTTCTGATGTAGAGAATAGGGTAAAACAGAAAGGAAATATTCAAATAGAAACCATCTACATGCCTAATTACAGTTATTTTAAATAGCTGGAAGTTTTTAGATGTTTGTTTATTGTATTTTAAAATAGACAATATTTTTATATATAAACATTACTTCAATCACTGCACTCCGCGGTAATAAACTGCACTAAACATCAATTACTGCATCTGAATTATTTCCTAGTGGATTCTCGTCTAACCCCTAAGTCAGAAAAATGTTGAAATTTTAACCGAATCAGAATTAGACAAACATGCCGGAAATAATAAAAATCAAGAATTATTTACTGAGGACATTATTTTATTATTTAATACATTTAAATTTTAATCATCTGAATTTATCAAATCCATTTTGTGTAAACCCACTGTCCATAATAAATTACTTGAAGGTCCTGGTGATGATCCCTCCTCTTTCATACTTTTTATAATATTATTAATAACTGTTTTGTTTTCTACCTTTCCTTCAGTATTGTTTATCTCTTTTGAATTATCATTTTTCTGTTTTATTTCGTCTGATAAAATATGATCAGAATCATCAGTGAAGTCACAATCATCACTGTCTTCATTATTATTTACATTATCAGTTGATAGAATATTTAACATTTTTTCTATAGAGGTAACAAAACCATCTGGATCGAAATCAACAACTTGATTGTTTTCAATTACATTTATTTGTTCAATACCTTCAAAACCTGATGTCTGTTCAAGAAAATCTGTCAACTTTGATGTTATTGTCTGAGATGTTACAAGGTCACTACTTTTGAAAGTACTTTGTTTACCATAACGTGAGTGTAAAAGCTCATTTAATTGTTCTGGATTTATATTTAACCAATCTTCATTGTCTTCTGTATATTGTGTTTTAATCGAATGTTTTAATGTTTCCTTTACATCTAAATAATTTCTAGTAGATTTTATCTGCATTATTTCACTTGATAAATATGAATTTATGGGACATTCTGTACATTTATAATATTTTTTTGCCTTATCCAATAAGTCTTTGTAGTGTTTTGATCCTTCTAAGTTATCCTTGAAATAACCATTTTTCTTCAAATTATTTAAAAAACTAGAATATTCTTTTGAGGAATATATGTCATTTAAAATGTTACTTGTAAGCATTTCATACCCACATGTTAATTTAAATCCTAATAATAATTTCTTATCATTATTAGCTACACCTATTAATTTTATGTTATTTATTAATTTGGAATGTATTAACATTGCATATAAACATTTTGTGAATGTTATTTCTGTAGTTACACAATCATCAAATTTTAAATTTTTACATGTTTGTGCATCAATCATATCATGTGAGCAATAAGCATTCACAATTGCTGAAATAAGACATGGTTTTAATATTAACAAAGCAGCAATATCAACAGGCAATGTTACCACAGCTCGATGTAGATTATTTTTAATTTTCTCAGGGTACACACTAATGCGGTTTAGAATTGATTTATTTATTTCAGAAGATGCTCTAGTTTGGTCACAGTGGTTTGTGATTGCTTCTATTGCATCTATCACATTCACATTTGTTGAAGAGTCTATTATTGTTTCAGGTATGAAGTGCACTAGACTCATATAAATATAAACCTAAAATAAAATTAATATATATTATTTGTTGAAACATACAAATAAAACAGTATTTAAGGATTATTGAAACATTAATTTTATATTAAAATTCATTAAAAAAAAACATCAAAAGTGTTCACATCATCTGTATTTGTTTCCTATCATTCCTAAGTATTGACACTTTAAAATCATAGATTTGATTGTGCAAGAATATTAAGAAATTGATTCTTTACCCTTTAGGTATTGGATTCTAAAAATAAACAGTACCTACCCTATTTTCTGTGTTATTAGGATTTACCCAAGGCTGTAAATAATCTGCCGCTTCTATAAGTAAAAATTCGCCATCATTATCTTTGAGTTGAATAATCAAATTCTTAAACTGCCTTGATATTTCCATCACAATATATACAATAAACCACTCATCCTCAATATTGTCTGCAAAACAAGTCGAACTTTCTAGATGTAAAGGAATATCTGAAACAATATTTTATGACAATAATTACAATTTAGAATAATACAATGGCTTAATTATTCATTATAGGTTGAAAATCAGAATTTGACAATATTTTATTGGATTTTATAGTCATCTTGATCTTCAAGAATTGTATGGAATCAGGTGCTCACCTGTTGTACTAGAATCATGTAATGGAAAATACACTCTAAATTCATCTCTATGCCATATGTGACCCTGTGATAATGTTACAATGGTTTTATTTATACTGTCGCATAACCTTTCCCAATAGGTTACATCTAATTCTAATGAGGAAGAGTAGAAAGAACATTGTACACTGTCTTCACTGGCGTAAAAGGTTGGTGTTATTGAACTGTCTTCCATCCTGTTACGATTTATTTATTTATATATATAAAATAAATATAAATATCCTAAAGCATCAGCCCCATCAGTGACACACAACGTAATATAAATAAAATTGCACTACTATTTTACAAGTAATAAATACTGATAGGTAGTGGACTGACCATACTGACATATAACTGATTGTTGTTGTTTTAAAATTCGTCCAATTTGGACAGGCGAAGAGCATTGTCAATACTGCCTAGTCAGTAGTTACATTAATCTTCAGTATATAAATCGTTTTATGTCTTTTGTAGAATATCCGAGCCATTCTTGACTGCTTCAGTCAAGTTATTTCATAAGTAGAATATCCGAAATAATTTTCTTCAGTAATCCATATAATGTAATTAGTCATATCCATATGACTGAAATAATAAGACAAACGACAAAATAATAACTTGCCAAAAGACAAAATAGAGTTTCTATATTTTTATTATCCTTACTTAATATTATAAATGCGAAAGTAACTCTGTCTGTCAGTCTGTCTCGCTTTCACGTCAAAACTGCTGAACCGATTTAAATGAAATTTGGTACACAGATTGTCTAGACACTGAGAAAGGACATAGGCTACTTTTTAATGCGAAAAAGGGTTGTAAGGGGTTCAAATTGGGGATGAAAGATTGTATGGAAGAATCGTCATTTTTGAAGCTAGAAGCTTGAAACTTATTTGTGAGGCTGCTAATTAAATATAAATAAATATGACATACAAAGTTTTTAAAAATTTTACCCTTAAAGGGGTTAAATAATTAAATAAATTAGGGGATATTTTATTTATGTCAATTTGTCATTGTTGAAGCTAGCAGCTTGAAACTTATTTTTGAGGCTGTTGATTAAATATAAATAAATATGACAATCTAAGCTCGTAAAAATGTTACACTTAAGGGGGTAAAATAAAATAGGGGATGAAAGTTTTTATGTAAATTCGTTATTTTTGAAGCTAGAAGCATGAAACTTATTTTTGAGGCTGTTGATTAAATATAAATGAATATGACAGTCAAAGTTTGCAAAAATGTTACCCTTAAATGGGTAAAATAAAATAGGGGATGAAAGTTTTTATGTAAATTCGTTATTTTTGAAGTTAGAACGATGAAACTTTTTTCATTTGCTGTTTGAGTTAGTTTGAGAAAGCACATAGGATACTTTTGAATGCGAAAAAAGGGTTGTAAGGGTAGATTCAAAGTTGTATAAAGGCAACTATTGAAGTGTCGTATAAAGGTAGCTATTGACGTGTCGTATAAAGACAATTATTGACGTGTCGTATAAAGACAGCTATTGACGTGTCGTATAAAGACAGCTATTGACGTGTCGTACAAAGACAGCTTTTGACGTGTCAGATAAAGGTAGCCACTGACGTGCCAGATAAAGGTAGCCATTGACATGTCATTTAAAGGTAGTTATTGACGTGTCGTATAAAGACAGTTATTAACGTGTATATAGACAGCTATTGACGTGTCAGATTAAGACAGCTATTGACGTGTCTTATAAAGACAGCTATTGACATCCATTACAATTAAAACTAATATATAATGCTCTCATAAGGAGTGTTATGGATTATGGTACATTTATTTTGAAACCTGCTAATGCTACGGCCCTAAAAAAATTGGATAATATTCAAGCTAAAGCTCTAAGGATTATATTGGGCGCCATGAAATCTAGTCCCATTAATGCGATGCAAGTAGAATGTTGTGATCCTCCATTGTATTTAAGGCGTCAGTATTTATCTGATAAATTTTTATTTCGTGTTTTACAGTTTTCTAATCATCCTCTGATCCCTAATCTGCAATCGCTCTCTGATCTTGTTTCTTCATCATCCTATTGGTCTCATAAATCTCTACCTTGCTTAGTAAAAAGTTACAGAACTTTTACTGCCATCCGAGCTCCCACTCATCGATCTCCCTGTCTTCCATTATTTAGTTCAGCATATGAACCTTTAACTTTTACCCCTGATGTTCATTTTGATATTAACATAGAAAAAGAACATCCTAATGTAAATGCAATGTTTAATCAAGTAGTAAACTCTAAATGGGAAAGCCATCATCAAATTTATTGTAACGCATCGAAACACTCACATATAGGAAATGTTGGTGTAGAAATTTACCACTTACAATTTCATATAATTCAGAAAATTAAATTTCCACCAGAGACCTCTGTTTTTACTGGTGAATGCTATGGAATTTTTAAAGCAGTAGAATATATTAGAATTTTTATCTTAAGCAAACTGTTATATTTACGGACTCAAAAAGTGCTCTTCAAGCTCTAATTAAATGTCCATTCAAATCATCTAAACAGTATCCTCTAATTTTTGATATCCAAGATATGTTGAATAGCATTCGTCTCAAAGGACATATTGTATCTTTTATTTGGATTCCGGGTCACTGTGGCATTCGGGGCAACGAAAAAGCAGATTTGCTTGCGAATGAAGCTATATTATCTGGAGATCTTTTTCCTTATAAAAACTTTTGCCATGATCTGACTGCCTTGTCTAAGTCTTGTCTTCATGATTCATGGAGTCAAGATTGGACAATAAGTAGCAAAATTAAAGGGAAACAGTACTGTTTAGTCCAACCGTTTATACCTCTTAAACCGTGGTTTTTCAAATTACATCTTGATAAAAGATCAACTAGTGTTTTGATTCGTATGCGAATTGGTCATGTTTGCAGCCCTGAACATTTAACAAAACTACGTATAAAAGTCAATAATATCTGTGAATGTGGAGAAGATGTGGGTGATCTAAATCATATTGTGTTTTCCTGCTCCTCTTACGATCGTTCTTCATTTATAGAGACACTCATCTCATTAGAAATTCCTTTTCCTTCATCCATTGTATGCCTATTAGCTCATCCTAGTCCTATAATTTATAAATCTCTTGCGTCTTTTATTTCCCATAATAACATTAAACTTTAAAACCCATGATCACTAATTCCGAGTATATTCAAAATTTAACCCGTTCCTTTCCATTATCCCGTCTCGTTTCCTGTTTTTAGTGGCATAATAGGCAACACTAGTCTCTTGCCAAAGAAGAGAAAAAAAAAAATACGACTATACTCAAGAATATTAGGTTATCTGTGGTGAGACTAAATATATGTCATTTTCTTATTGTACTATCCAAATGTCTGCATTATCTTCTCTTTGTGAATACGATTCAGAAGAAAGTGATTGTGATACAAAATCAACAAAAAATAAAAAGTATTATCTTAGTGGTAGTCGCAACTTAGTATATGCTTTACCCTAATCAATATTGTGAAATCAGAAAATGCTTTCTTTTACAGATTAAAATTACGTTTACCAGATTTAAGCGCTGTACCAGTTATCCCTACTGAGAATTATACTGACAACTGCGACTTACATGCAGGACGATTGCGTTCTTTTCCTCATGTGAGAGGAAATTGGTCTTCGTTTGTTTATATACAGTGTATGTTTATAATTTACTACTTTATGTTTTATAGAACTGATCCTTACTCAAATAAACTTAATATAAGCACTATTGAATAGTTATATTTTTTTATTCTACCAGTCTTTCAGAACGCACACTCATCACAAGAGCAATGAGCAAGAAACTTGCATTATACTCTATATATATATATATATCTTATATATAAAATTCTTGTGTGTGTTCATTCCCATACTCTTCCGAAATGGCTTGACCGATTCTCATGAAATTTTGTGAGTGTATTGTGTAGGTCTGAGAATCAGCCAACATCTATTTTTCATCCTCCTAAATGTTAGGAGTAGTCCACCCCTAATTCTTTTTTTATTTTAAGGCAAAACATTGTTTGCCGGGATAGCCAATATATATATATATATATACATATTAATGCCCTTGAGTTGTCAAAGTTATTAAAATTTAGTCAGTTTTTAGGACAACAAAACAGGTTACAGTTTCTGATATTTCACACAGTTTCTGATAAATTTTATTTGGTGATGATTTGAACCATCTATCAGAACCAGATTTTTTAACTCTGTTAAAAAATGTGGTTCTGATATATATTAAAGTTTCATATTAAATTAGACCCAGACTAATATAATAAATAATACTCATACTACTTATTATAAATATATATGTGTAGAATATTGTGTTGTTATTTTGAACAATACTTATTTCAGATACAGAGGATGAGGATTTCTTAAAACTATTTAAAAAATTACAAGCAAAGGTGTTTGAAATTGATGGATCATGTTATAAATGTGACGATTTTCACATAAGTTTATCAAAAACTGTTGTACTGCAATATCATTTGATTACTTCATTTAGTACCACACTACAGAAGATACTCTCAGACTTTGAAAGGTATGGATTGTGCTGGATAATTTATGTTGATGTAAGAATAAACAATATTATCCAATATATATATAAGTAATAAAATTGTTTCTCATAATTCAATTGAAATTGTGCACCTAGGTAAATTCTTGATACAGTTTTAATGTTTTCATATTATGCTATTCCTGTAAATTATTGTTACAGTTTTAAATTGTCTTATGACTCTGTTAAAATTTACTGCAATGAAGAAAATACTAGGACATTTGTTGCACTAGAGGTTGATCATTTCAGCAAGAAATATTTGATGCATATGACAGACAAAATTGATAATGTACTAAAAGAATATAATTTGCCAACATTCTATGAGGTATGTATTTGTGTCCTTATCAGTCACAACACAACTCACAATTTGAACCATAATTATATATTAAATAACTTCAGTAAAATTTCCACCAAACTCTGCTTAATTACACTATATACTATGGTTAATTACACACTATAGTAATTTCTTATAAATTAGAATAATAAATTCAGTGCTTATAATTTGGGTCAAAGATTCTAGAAGAAAATTCTGTATAATATTAATATAAAACAGGTAAAATAGTTTAATGCCAATTGATTAATAAATATATTTTAATTTCAGAATCCATCTTTTCACATGAGCATATTATGGCTAAATGGAAATAAAAAAGCTCAGCTCATTAATATATTGGACAATTTAAATGATATTTTGTTGAATAAAAATCTTAAGACTATACATATTAATAAAGTGAACTGTAAAGTTGGCAATAAATATTTTCAATATTTCTTGCTTTAATATCAAGAAAATATGGACAAAGGCAACATCATAAAAGTGTTCATAAATCCAAATTTTAACAAAAATACAAAACTGAAGAATCAAATAGTGCCTCCTCAAAGTATTATGCATGTCAATCCAAATTTTCCTAAATATGGAATTAATTTGCAAAGTAATACAAACATATATATCAACCCTAACTTTATTAATAGAAATCAGATAGCTGGAGAAGATTTCAAATGTACTAATGAATTAATTAATAGAAATTGGAGTAATAATAGTAAATTGCAAAATGAAGCCCTTGATTCATCATTATGTCAAAATAAAGATAAGACAATTTTGCAGCACACCACTACTAAATCCCGGTATTCTATAGTAAGACAGAATCTAAATAAACAAGAATGTATTCAAAGTTCAGATGACACTAGAACTATAGTCAAAATAAGTAAATATAAATCAGTTCGACTAAACATGAATAATAAAAAAGCACTGGAAGACCATAATAATATTGATAAGAAAATACCCTGTGAGGCTAATAGAACCAAGCATTTTAATAAGAAATACTACAAAGAAAACAGTAAATTCAAATTTGTTAAATATAATACAGAGTCACCTAAATTTACTATGAGAAACTCAAAAATAAATAAACCACCAATGGATATTAAACATGTGGTTAATAGTTCTAAAATAAAAAATATAAAAGGAAATTTAAAGAAAAACAACATTCCTTGCCCTTTATTTAAAAAATATGGAAAATGTTTAAGAATGGCACATGGAAAATGTGAATATATGCATGATAAAAAACATGTGTCTATATGTCGAAAATTCTTAAAAGGAATATGCCATGATAAGCTGTGTCTTCTTTCTCACGAGCTGACATTAAAAAAGATGCCCACTTGTTACTTTTATTTACAGGGAATGTGCACAAAGGAAGGGTGCCCATATCTTCATGTTAAATTAAACGAGAAAACTAAAGTGTGTCCCGATTTTATTAAGGGCTATTGTGAAAAGGGTGATAAATGTTTGAACAGACATGTTAATTTACGTAATAAAAGAAAACTTTTAAATGTAGAAAGTAAATACAAGTCTAATAAATTGAAAGTTAATAAATATTCAGATCATGTAACTAGAAATCGTAATCATGTACAACCAGGCACATCTAATTTGGTACCAAATAACGTAAAGGAAAATAGTAAAGAGACAGATTGTAGATATTATAAAGATACTAAAGTTGATGATAAAGAACCTGAAAAATATGATATTATCAAACCAACACGGTGTAAATTAGGAACATTACCATCGTTTATTAAATTCTAGTAATGTTAGTTACATACTTTGTTATAGTCTTAGAGAGTCATAAACTATCTGCATCTAATTACATAATTTCTTTCATATTTTGTTGTCTCTTCATCGAGTGTAAATTTCATAATTTTCATAAATGAAAATGCGGAGTACATCTACATTTATGAAAAATATAAATGTATGATATTTTGTGCAGATGGTTCAGAGATTACTGTATCTTTTATAGACACTAATAATTAAACAGGTACTTATAATAAATGTATTTTGATTATCACATGTTGTATTTATATCATACTTTAAATATACCTACAGAATACACATTTTACGCTATGCAGTGCGGGCAGTAATCGATTTTTCTAATCAATTAACTTATTAATTAAATAAAAAAATAGATTTAAATCATTGTAAACTGAGCATATTCATGATTACTATAGGAGTAACAGGTTTTGACCAAGTTCAGGCTCTCACAAAGTTGAAACATGATTTATTTACAGTGTAAGGTTCATTGTGAGCAGTAAAATAAATATTATTGCTAGCATTAATTAGTAATAAAATAATTAATTTAAAGGTCTTATAGTATGTACCTACTTGATAAGATTTTGAACTTTGAAGGAATTCACGAAACTTACACTTCGTTCAGCTAGAACAAGAAGGGACTTGAACGAAATAGACTTTGTACAAAGTTTGTTGCATAGGTGCCTCTGTCTCACTTCTTACTGTGTTGCTGATGGTGATGATGGTAAGGTCGATAATTATGATAATGATGTAGTCAACGATGTTGAAAATTCGTCATTATTGTTAGTATCAGTGTCATAATTATTTCCCTGAACCGCGTCGACAAATAATTTTTACTATTATTCATTGGCATGGTAAGCAAGCTGACGGCTCATCTGATGACGATGATGATACCGACGAATACATACATTGTTACAACATCACATCATATAACAGGCACGGTAATAGCATAACGAGCAATACGTCGTCGTGTGATGCCTGCTATGCATTGTCATTCTGTAGTGAGATGTCATGCCTCAATAGCCTGTAATTTCGCTGCCATATCTCCAACCAAAGTGTACATATGGCACATGCGTCTTAGTATACACTTTCCGACACTAAAGTGCGCTGCATTTACGAACCTGACTGGTGAAGTTGAAGTGAATTCTGGAACTCCTAATTAGAATTACGAAACTTTCCTGGTATTGGTGCGTAGAAGTGAAAATTAATCAATATTTCGATCGATCGGCTTTTAACACACGTACTATCTCGATGGATTAGTGTTTAAAAATAATACAGTACAAATATAACATGTAATATTTTTTATTAAATTCAGTATGTATACATATTACTGGAAAGTCCCAAAATATCTTTAAAGCTAAATATAAGAACTACCGTCAAAGTTGCTTTGATTACAATATAATACATTTTAAATAAAAATGCAGTTTTATTGCAACAACCCTACACTTAGTAACATACAAAAATATATTTTATCAACATGTCTCATTAAAGTTTTAATTTAACAGAAATAGGAATTGAAAGTGTCAGGTAAAACAAAATCTAAAAATGTTACTTCATATTTAAGATGTTATAAACGAATATCAATCTTTTAGGTGTATACAGTCGATACAACTGGGATAAATAACCTCTCAATTCCATATGATATCTTATACCTACCCTTACAATAGGGTGGGAAAGAGATTGTTACTAATTTGGACTAATAACAACATTGCTAGCAATGTACAATGTCAGGTTGACATCCACGTGTTCCACCTGGAAACAATCGTGATAAATTAATGGCGAATTGACCACGATGAGCTAAACTAGCTGACCTGCCTTCATACTCATCTTATCATCCTACATATGCGCCCCGCCAGCGCAAACCATTAGCGAAGGTGGGTGCACCGGTCCATTATCACCCGTAAGAAAAAAAACCCCTTACAATAAAATAAAAAAGCATAAAAAACATTTGTAAAAATAATAATTTGTAACAGAAATGATTAACATCCTTAGTTTGATACAAAAACAAACACCACCAAGTTTAATAGTTATTAATAGACCTTAGTAATAATTAAATATGGACTGACATAATGACGGATCTACCACGGTCTTGAACATCATGTTATAATTTGATTTGACCTTAACCCAAAGCATATTAGCATCATATTCTGTATTCATGTTTCAATCATAAACATATCTCAGGTACCTCATACTATAACAGAATTCACCTGTAATATTTTTTAATTATGATGCTTGAAAGAATATTAAATCTATAATAATATTGATTGCAAAGTTAAACTGATTTAATAAACTGCATTAAAAAAGGGATAATAACTTTAATTACGTAAGTATTAAGAGAAGTGTGTCTCCACGTTATAAAATTGCGATGTAGATATTCTTCAGTTCATTCTGTATTCTCCTCTCACCCAAGTGTGATAGGAATATTTTCAATCGAAATTTTGACGTAACTAATTACGTACCATTCTACTTGTTTTATTACCTAAAAATTCATTATAATTCCAATGTCTTGCACATTTTTTAATTTTTTTGGGTATACTGTTGTTCATATCAATGTTTTTCAGTTACGTGTTTATCTAAAACAAACGTTTAACACTTCAATATGTATGGCTTGAGTTGGCAAGCTTTATTTATTGATTTTATTTAGTGATTCGCGTATAATTTTGTGCAAAAAAAAAGTAGTTATATAAAAAAACAACAGGTGAAAGGCGCAGGCCACAACTATTCAGGTAATGGGGTCCATAGTTCAGTAATAAAATTAGTGCATTAGATCCGTCATAACTTCAATATTTGAGTAGTGAACAATATCGATTTACAAATGAGCAACTGCTCCGCCTGCTACAACTATAGTTTCCCCTGTAATGTAACTGGCCTCGTCAGATGACAAGAAAGCTACAGCGTTTGCTATTTCTGACGGTTTCCCAAATCTATTCATCGGTACTATAGACAAACTTTTCTCTGCGGCTGCTTCCGAGCTCGTGATCTAAGTACAATAAAAAAAAAGATTATTTAACATATTTTATTTTTAACTAGCAGAAGCCGTGACATCCTTACATAACTTTTGTATATAATATATTTGTAAACCGATTGGAAAAAAGTTATATTATATTTAACTTATCACAAATGTCCCAAATTGGTTAACCCATTTTTGAGATTAAGAGACAAAAATTTTAGGATCTAGTTTTGGGTTCTATTACGGTGATAAATCACCCAATAATAGATTTAAAAGCTATTATATAAATAAAGCGATACACATTGATCAAAGGTTTATCAATGATAGATATTGACATCATCATGCAGTCGTTATGTTTAGGCACTAATAACTGCGGCCGACTGGAGTAAATATAACTAGAATAACTACAATATCCAAGTCACTAACCCCACACGATAGATAATATTTAGTACCCACTGAAAATAATACCGACAATAATCTCAGGACAATGCACACAGCAATCTACACCCCAGTTAAGCTAGCTAAAGCTTGTGTTATGGGTACTAGAGATAACTGATAGAAATACATAGATATTTTTTTTTCGTAAATACATAGATATATATATTATACATAGGAAACACCCAGACCGATATAAACAATCGTACTCATGAATACAAATGTTTGTACCGTGCGAGGCAGTGTGTCAAACCGCTAGACCACCGAGGCCGTCTCGAGATTTACTCTTCCATATCAAAAAATATATATGAAGTAGTTTAGTTTTGCTATTTCCATGAGGACACAGAACCACTACACCACTTCACTTATTTGAAGTTTCTCGTGAGTTCAAAGAGATATCACAGAGCAAACTCACGAACATTTTAAATTATTACGCGCTTACATTATTATATTACACACAAAAGTCAAAGGAGTAAAAACAGTTATGTAGGCTATAACTAATATATGCAATAAAATAAATATACAACTTACCGCAGAGGCAAATTTCGTAGCTACAATTCCAGGAGCAACACAGTTAACTCTAATGTTGTCATGGACGACTTCACTAGCGATTGATTTCGTTAATCCCAGCAATGTTGTTTTGCTTACGCTGTAGGCACCTAAAGGCTAAAATAATATAGTAAATTAATTATTAAAAAAATGCAAGATACATGTACGAATACTCTACAGAAATTAAAATGGACATGGTTCATAAACGGATAAATAATCTTTGTTTTTTATAATCTGAAAATTGAGGACTAGGTAATGTAGTCGGAACGAGTGTGTTTTGTGAACGGTTGATGGCCCTATGGCAAAAGGCATATGCGATCTTTCGCATGAATACACTGCAAACAATTAGATTAGAAGATATTTACGTATTATTTAATCGAATGATATAGCCCAAGAGCCCACGACTGCCAGACATACGTCATTTTAATAAACATTTTTTCACATATTGCTCGTAACAGTAACTGTCTGGCAATTTAGGAAACTCAGTTTGAGAGAACTCTCATTAATATATATAAATTTCAGCTTTATTAAAATGACGTAAGTTTATTTATAAAATAGTACAGTTTAGGGGGGTCCGGTGGGGGGTTGGAACCACACTAAGGGTCTGGCAACGAGCAGAGCAAGTTATAATACTGTTACGAGCAATATGTGAAAAAATGGAGCATCTTAAAATAACGAATTTGATATGAATTTTTTTACACCTTTGTTACCTGGTACCTGCCAAAGGAACCACGATCCAGGTGTCATGTTTGGGGATCGTTCTTACCTGTGTTGGGGACACACATACAAGAACTTTCACGTTTACTAAAATGACGTATGACTGGCAGTCGTGGGCTCTTGCTCTAATACTAAAACCAGCCATGTGCGAGTGGACTCGGATAATGACGGCTTCGTTGCTGTTATGACCTAAACAATAGTGGATATTTCTGTTACCATCATAATCATCATCATCATCGCAGCCCGGAAGACGTCCACTGCTGGACATAGGCCTCCCCCAAAGGTCTCCACGACGATCGGTCCTGCGCTGCTCGCATCCAATGCCTTCCAGCGATCTTGACCAGATCGTCGGTCCACCTTGCTAGAGGCCTTCCCACGCTGCGTCTTCCGATTCGTGGTCGCCACTCGAGGACTTTACTGCCCCAACGGCCATTTGTCCTACGAGCTATGTGCCCTGCCCATTGCCACTTCAGAGTCGCAATTCTTCGGGCTATGTCGGTCACTCTGGTTCTTCTGCGGATCTCCTCATTTCTGATTCGATCACGCAGAGTAACTCCGAGCATAGCCCTCTCCATTGCCCTCTGAGTGACTCTGAGCTTGTTGATGGAGCCCATACTTAGCGACCACGTCTCTGTTCCGTAAGTCATCACTGGCAACACACATTAGTCGTAAACCTTCGTCTTGAGATACTGCGGAAATTTGGACGAAAAGATATATCGGAGCTTCCCGAACGCTGCCCATCCGAGTTGGATTCGACGATTGACCTCTTTCTCGAAATTGGATCTACCTAGCTGGATAGTTTGCCCTAAGTATAAGTAGTGATCGACAATTTCGAGTGTAGAATCTCCGATTTTTACGGGAGCAGGTACGACAAGGACGTTTGACATAATTTTCGTCTTGTCCATGTTCATTTTAAGACCCACTCATTGTGAGACTCTACTGAGGTCTTCGAGCATTTTGCTTAGGTCTTCCAGGGTCTCAGCCATGACCTCGTGGTCATCGTCGGCAAATCGAAGGTGATTGATGTACTCACCGTTAATGTTGATGCCCAGCCCGCTCCAGTCCAGAAGCTTGAAGACATCTTCCAACGCAGCGGTAAACAGCTTTGGCGATATGACATCGCCTTGTCTGACACCTCGCTGCAGTTGGATAGGCTTCGAATTCTGGTCGTGGAGGCGAACTGACATAGTGGCGTTTTCATACAAACATTTCAACGCTTCGATATATCGATAGTCAATTTGGCACCACTGGAGAGACTGTAGCACAGCCCACGTCTCGATCGAATCAAAGGCTTTTTCATAGTCCACAAACGCCAAGCAAAGTGGCAGGTTGTATTCTTCGGTCTTCTGAATTACCTGCCGCAACGTATGAATGTGGTCTATGGTACTGAAGCCTTTTCGGAACCCGGCTTGTTCGGGAGGCTGGAAGTCGTCAAACCTGCGCGCGAGACGATTAGTGATGACTCTTGAAAACAACTTATAAACATGGCTCAGCAGTGTTACGGGTCTGAAATTCTTCAGAAGCGATTTGTCTCCCTTCTTGAAGAACAGAACCACCACACCCCTTTGCCATGCTTGAGGCGTTTTGCCCTCGAGGATGACGGAGTTGAATAGCTTCTGGAGGATTCGTAGAACAGGTCTACCTCCAGCCCTCAGAAGCTCAGCAGTAACTCCATCATCGCCCGGCGCCTTGTTGTTTTTAAGTTGTTTAAGAGCCATACCAATCTCGTACAGGCTGACGTCCGGGATATCTTCGGTATAGTGTCGGGTTAATTTGGCTCTAGGGTCTTTCGCCGTGTTGCTAACAGGTGCCCGTGTTGTCGTGTATAACTGTCCATAGAACTTCTCAATTTCCCTCAAAAGTTCGGGTTTAGACGATACGATCCTGCCGTCATCCGTCTTAAGTCGCGTCAGCTGGCTCTGTCCGGCAGCCAGATCCCTGTTAAAGACTTTTGAGCCCTTGTTTCTCTCAATAGCCTCTTTTACACAATTTGTGTTAAAGTAGCGTAAGTCACGAGTCAAGGACTTAGAGATCTGCTGCTAAGTTGCCGATACTGGGAAACGTCAGTCGGAGACTGCAGGACCATACTTCGCCTTTCATCCATCAATTTGAGGGTAGAGATAGATATTTTTCCGGTTCTTTCTGCGCGGCGGGTTTTGAAGTGCTTAGACCCAGCCGCACGGACAGTTTCCACGAACCTGTTGTTGTAATCGTCCACGTCAACGCAGTCACCAAGGCTTTCGAAACGGTTTTGCAATTCTAGCTGAAAGCTTTCGGGGTTTTGGATCTGTATAGGTGTAGGGCGGAGCGTAGATTTCATCAGTCGGGATCGTTCGAGTTTCAGATTCAGATTCAATGTGCCTCTTACAATCCGGTGATCACTTCCAATTTTGACGGCATTAGTCACAGAGACATTTGTGTTACCTTTAGTTTCAAATTAAATTGGTTTAAAATAGAACTACACGAATGGTTCGTAAAAATGCTGTTACTGTTTGTTAGGATTGACGTAACATTTAATCATTTAATATTCTGTTTATTAATTTGTAAGTCATTAAGAAGAATTGTAATTTTACATGCCGCCTGGATGTGAGGCGAACTTTTGTGCATTTTGTGCCTTTTTGTTAACTTGTAACATCTACAGTTTAAATCTTAATATATTCAGGCGCAAGATTCTTCTATATGTATAAGTATAACTAATATACGTATCATTTATTACATTTATATACTTACAAACATAGGTTGATAACCAGCAATTGACGCAATGAATACAATACTTCCACCACCTCTTTTAATCAGTTCTGGGTACGCTTCCTTAGCCAATAACCATGCACATTTCACGTTGGTATCAAATATTTTATCCCACGCGTCTTCAGGTGTCTGTAAATAACATGTACCGATTAACACACGAAGGATTCAAGGTAAACGAGATATTAAATGAAGCAGCGTGGAGGTCGTGCCGATTTATTACGTAGATTACGTAGATACGTCAGTGTATATAAATTATCAATATTTTATTATAATTTTAATGGGGGATTTTATTCTTCTATTACATCATTCATTATCACAAAAAATAACTAAATTGGATACTTATGTAGTGAATATTGCGTTTTTGAATTATGTGTTATTTTAATGATAAATCGTCATTAAAAAAGACTAATGCACCAACTTGGTATTACAAATTTTATCATATTGACAAAAATATATATATATACTAGATCATGATATTTTATTAATTAATTAGTTATTGATGAAAATATTAAATAATAATAGAGTGTGTACCAAGAAATATCCGTCTAATGAGTGCAATGGCACCGTCACAATGGTGAACAGTACAACATAATAAGGAAAGAGTACATATGTAGAGGCTAAATTTCAATAATACATATAGATAGTTAATTTACCTCTAGAATTGGTGCAACAGTTGGATTCACTGCAGCATTTGATATCAGAATATCAAGACCACCATATTTACTGTTAGCCTGAAATATAAAATATAGTTAAAAGTATTTCATTAGGACATCCTCTGATAGTTACAACTCAGAATTCGTAACGATGTGTGTTACGCACAAATAAACAACTTATGATGAATGACGATACTGTTCTAATTATTCCGGCTATGGCAACTACTTCAAGGACTTCCACATCTTTCATGTACCCTTATGTGACGACCACATCGTTACGAATTCTGAGTTGTAACTATCAGAGGATGTCCTAATGAAATACTTTAAACGTTTACTTTTACGTAAACACACACATTATACGCACAAATAAACAACATACAGTTTTTGGCTCTTCACTATTTTCAGATTTTATTATATGTAAAGATAATATATTATTATATTATATATACAATATAGATAAAGATTATAAGAATGGCTTTGGTTACCATTGGATAAATGTATTATAATAGATACATGAAAGCCATTTCATTAATATTAAAATGTGTGAAATATTTTGTTGCATTAGTTATTTAAACAGTACAGACAGTACAATAAAGCTTTAGTAAAAAAATACCTTACTATATATGGACAGACAAAATCGAAATCACTTGATATTTAATATTTGACAGCCTAAGTAGTTTAGCCATATAACATACTACTTTACATCTGTTGATTGTGGGTTTGATTATTTGCACAATGCATACATTTGTATTCATGATATGATTGTTTTTATTGGTCTGGGTGCTTTCTGTGTTTTGTAAATTATGCATGTAGGCTTCGAACTAATACTGGAATACATTCGTATTGTAAAATTGGTTAGGTTTTATATTATCTATACATATAAATAAAATTGTATTGCCTGCTTGTAATAACTGAAATAACTGTTTTTTACTACATGCATATGAACGACATTAACACGATACATACACCAAAATAATTTTTTTTGTCTGTTTGTCTGTTTGTTCCGGCTAATCTCTGAAATGGCTGGACCGATTTTGACGGGACTTTTATTGGCAGGTAGCTGATGTAATAAGGAGTAACTTAGGCTATATTTTTTTAGAATAATATAGTTAAATTCCCCGCGGCCGAAGTCGCGGGTGCAGCTTGTTAAAAATTTATAGACTACCTAGTGCTCCTACTTTATATAGATTATGTATACATATATATTATTATTGATATGTATATATTATAATATCTCAAAACTTTTACAAAAGGTATCAGGTATATGAATATTCATTTCCAGTTTCATATTGACAGCCTTGGTAGTGCTAGTGGTTTAGTATACCGCTTTACTATCTGATGGTCGCTCGTTCGAGTCCTTGCACGGTACAAACATTTGTATTCATGAGTATGCCTGTTTGTATCGGTCTGCATGTGCTCTATGTACAATATGTATTTAATTACAAAAAAAAATGCATCTATGTATGTATATCAGATATCTAGTACCCATAATACAAGCTCTGCTTAGCTTGGGACTTAGATGGCATTGTGTGTAGTGTATATTATTATTATACATGCATATTAATATTTGAAATGAAATTTATTAAATCAATTAATCAAATTAGGATCTAAGAAAATCTGCAAAAATGAGACATTTTTACTGGACTTGTATGTTGTGTGACACATACAACAGCCCAAATGAGAGGCTAATTGTGGAGAATAGAGTCCACATTACATGTGCATGTTAGTTAATGTGACAGACAACTTGAAAGTGAGATTGTTGGTCAAAGCAGGATGGATGGCTACATTAATTTTGCATAACACACCAAAAGCTCAGTAATAACTAAAAGCTTAGCAATAAATTCCCAGTACTATACTCAGGTAAGAAGCAGTAGGTAATAAATCTGTAACAGGAACTTAATACAATAGTACAAGTATGTATCTAAAATGCATCCTTTGATGAAATAATGAAAGCTCAAAAGACTACTCAAAATGCTCATTAGAGCATTATCATGGAAAAAATGTGTTTATGTGTGTATTTGACATAATTATATTCAAATAAATAGAATTGTCTGTATTAAGCAAGCAGACTACTTACAATTTCAAATAACTTTTGCCTATGCTCTTTATTGGCTACATGACACACAACTCCTTCAGCAGTGATACCCTCATCACGCAAACTCTTGACAGCATTTCTTACATTCTCTTCTTTTCTACTGCTAACAATTACAGCTGCTCCTTCATTCCCTAGTTTCTTAGCAATAGCATAACCAATGCTGATAACAAAAAATATATACAGATACACAACTGAATACTTTTAAAATATAATTTAATTTTTTGGAACCGTTTTTTGCTCACCCATCAGTTGAAGCTGTTACTATTGCTACCTTCCCATTTAATCTGCCATTATGTACTTCCTTTGCACTCACATTAGAGGGATATATTATGCTTAAAGATTTGGACAATAGTTTGGAACGTATCATGATAACAAATTAGAACAAGGAATTATTTTATAACGTTAAAATAATAGTTATCTTTTAACTGGAATTATACCGAAAAATAGTGTTAACTGTTATGAACGATTTCTAGAGTAGTTAGTTAGTAGTTAGTATTTTAAGTACTATTTAAAATAATCTATATATTTATAAAAATAACAATAAAGATAAATATCAATTATCACATTTACTACAGCTATAAATTATTACCAATGATAAAGTACTTTGATATATATAATTCCAAAGTTCATATTTTTATGATCACATGTCGACGCTAGTTTTGTCAACTGTTGTGTGGTTCAGGAAAGAAGTAGTTCGTTTGATAAAATATTATAGTATATATTACTTGTAAAAAAAACACAACTCATATTTACGGCCTAAACATAATAGAAAATGTCTTCTTGAAAAAGTTAAAAGTTTTAAGATAAATAGTTTATTTAAGAAATATATTATAAACTAGCTGTTCCCGCGACTTCGTCCGTGTGGAATTTAACTTTATTTTTCTAAAATAAAAGTAGTTTAAATTACTCCTTATTACATCAGCACCTGCCAAAAAGTCCCGTCATTTCATTTCAGAGATTAGCCGGAACAAATAGACAGACAGACAAAAATTGTAAAAAATGTTATTTTGGTGTATGTATGTATTTAAATTCATCTGCATGCAGTAAAAAATATTATTTCAATATTACAAACAGACACTCCAATTTTATTTATATGTATAGGTATACAAAACAGGAAAATAGTAATTTATTCAGTGATATTAAAAATAAAAAGTGTAAGAATCTACAATCGAGATCTAAGTTCATTTTATTTTTTCATTTATGTATACACAAATTACTTCTTATTATTAGTTATTCATTAATTCATGTAACTTTGTGGCCGTTTATAGCCATACCATATCATATCTTTCCCATTAACCATGTTGCGCGGCTCTGTAAATAATGATATTCATAATATTAAGTTATTGGTCATATGAATTTTTCGTGAAAACATATATAAAATAATTATCATCACGAAAATTTTATGTTTGAAATTGTTTTTTTTTTTAATTACATAAATTGGCATGTGATGGATAACCTATCTCCTGTGATAGAATCAAGAAGGTTTTAACAATACTGCAGGAGAGCGAACGAACTATAACGTAGTGAGCGTCGAACTATATTAAGCGATTCAAGTCGCGAACGACTACGATCCGACGAATGGATGTCCGAATTGTCAGTAGTAGAGTTGTAGAAAAAATATTTGATTAATTAAAAATGTACATTATATTAACAATACAGATTGAAATTTGTATACATCTTTACTTATAACTAGTTTTCGGTTCCTCTTACCATTCCATTACTCATTTTATTAAACTTTGATTTCCTACGTCCTTTTTCACTTTAACGCGTTACTTTCAATTGCCGCTAATATAATTGGCAAAAACCAGCCTATTGCCAATTGGGAAAAAACTTACCAATAAAACCTAACTTTATATGCACAAACTAAAATAAAAAATAAATAATAGAGATTAAACAACTAAGTGCATTATCACAATCACAAAATAATTGAAAATAAGTATTGAAATTAATCGAAAATAAAAAACGCGCATTGGCATTTAGATTGTTTTAAATATAGATTAAGTATTCGAATAAGATGGAATGGATGGAGAGGGGAGGCCTATGTCCAGCAGTAGACGGTTTCCGGGATGCGATGATGATGATGATTCGAATAAGTCGAATAAGTAATTATTGATTAAATCGATATTTTTACAACACTATTCTTTGTTTATTAATTATGTTCCTTCATATGTTATAAATTTATAAATGTGTCGTTTTTTACGTTAATAAACAATTTATACTTATAAGTTTAATGGAAAAATAAGATGCCAAGTACGCTACGACAAATGTAATGGTCACATTACACTAATATATTTACTTGTACTGTCCTGAAAATTTTAATATGGATAAACTGACAGTAATCTCAGGAACACTTTTCATGACTGCTGATGTATTCGCAATAGTTAGCCTGGCTATGCCTGATTGGATTATAACAGATGTAGGAGGTAAAATTTTTAACATTGTTATTATCCACCAAAAACATTACAAGTACATTTCCCGAATTTTATAAGTTCATAAGGCAGAGTAAGGAATACCTCAGTAAAGCAAGCCTTAATTTAAAGGCATGTTTTGCCTGTTTCAGAGAAATTTTATACTTTTAGTAATTGACTGGGAAAAGTCTTATTGAGAAAAAACTGTTACAAGTTGATCAAATGTTCGACCTCCATGTAGTCCTTTCTAGAAGATGACATAAATTGATAAGAACTCCAACCACATTTATTTTAGTAACATCAATTTATATAATGGCTAGCAATTAGGTATAATTGTTTGATGGCTAGGCATAAATAATAGGATTATTATCCAGTCTATCGCTCTACTTCACCTGACCAGCTCTGCAGCTTTAATAGGGTTTTCTAGAATTAGGGACCTAACTACATTAAATTTTACAACTTACTATAGATAGAGAAGTTATGATGAGAGTCTTGGTATATTTATTACATTTGAATGTTTTGATGGGTAGATGTTTAATCACAAGTAATTATAGTACTTATTCTATCATGATATGTAATGTATGCAAACAGTTTATGCTTTATTGGAATATAAGTTTTCTTTTTAAAGGTGATACTCGACTTGGATTGATGTGGTCATGTATGACATTATATAACAGACCTCAAGTTTGTTTCACCCCAGACCTACAACCTGAATGGTTATTAGCATTAATTTGCATCTTCATTGGATGCATATGTATTACTACTACTGTGATACTTTTAGCATCCAGTCATTTTGATAGAAATGTGATCCCATATGCTCGTTGGGTTGGATTTGCAGCAAGTAAGAGATATTTTTTTAATTTGATGTATAAATTTCTTTACATTCTGGTAAACTTTAATTTTATGTATAAATTTAATAAAAATGGTTTAACAATAAACACTAACAAATATCTTATTATATCTCTTATATAAGCATCTCTTATTAAGCACAACTAGTTACCAACATCAAATATTATTCTTAATATAAAATGTCAAATTTTACTCAAATGAACACATGCAGTAAAATTATAAAGTTGAGAAATTTTATCATTTCTGTTTTCACACACCTGTACAGACATTAAAATATCAAACTTTTTATACAAGAAAATAGAACTATACTAAATAATAGAACTCAACATGATTATTATTATTACAAATGCATTTTATGTGTTTATGCAAGTTGCAATAGTTTGATATTTCAATGTCTGTATAGGTGTGTGAAAACAGAAATGATAAAATTTCTAAACTTTATAATTTTACTGCATGTGTCCATTACATTATAATATACAGATGATTTTAGAAATCAGCTTCATGTAGATTGTAATTTTGAAAATGAAAATAATTGTGCCAAAATGTGATATGTTTCACAAAACTATGTCAATTATGCTTCTGTTATTTATTTCAATTTTCTGTTTCAGTGGTGGTTTTCTGCCTGGCAGCAGTAATATTTCCAATGGGTTTCCATGTAGATGAGATTGGAGGTCAACCATACCAACTCCCAAATAGCCATCAAGTTGGAATCTCATATATATTATTTGTACTCTCATTATGGATAACTGTTATTTCTGAATTATTTGCTGGTAAAGTTTGTTTGCCACATTTCTAAAGGTTTTTTTATTTATTGTTAAAAATGAAATATAATAATACAATTATTTTATCATCATCTATTAAAAAGTTAAAATTACTAAATTTAAATAATTTTTATGCCTGTTTCTGTACACCCTTAAGAATACAATGATTGCAATTAGTTTTAAAAAGGGAATCTAATTTACTAAATACTAGCTGACCCATGCCTACTATGTTGTATGCATAAATAAATAAATGTTGGACGATAATCATTTTTGCATGTGGTGAAATTGAGTGTGTTTTGGTTAGTACTCGAGTGCTATGATTGATTTCCTGACTAAGCCAATTTGGCTATATTATCAACTTCTCTGTATATACTATTATATATTAGATGTAATGTTATTATGTGGGATCAAAATGTATTATCTTTCAGGAGTTCCAACCTGAGTTCAGCCAATATATAACTGCCCATGGGAAAAATCTCTGCTATCTTAGGTCAATTCCCACTAGAGGGAATGCTTGAGCCTGGTACTTATTAGTACTAATGCAACAAAATCTTGACGGGATATTTAATAGTCAGTTTAAAGTGTAAATCTGTAGGAATCATGGGTATCCGCGGAGTATAAGTTGTCCTAAATAAATAGACATACATGTTGCGTAAAAAATATATAGATTACAACATGGTTGCAGACAATCTTTGGACAATTCGCAGCGCTATCTAGTTTCAAGCTGAGCAGAGCTTTTGTTATGGGTACTAGTCAACTGATATAAATACATTTTTTAAACACATATTATTATACATTAAAAACCCGTAGAACGATACAAACAATCCTACTACTACTCATTAATACCAATGTCTGTACAGTGTACAGTGGGAGGAATCGTATCCGTGACCATCGGAAGCGAGGCGGTATGCTGAACTGCTAGACCACCGAGGCCATCTAAGATATGTATTTTCTGGCAATATAAAGATGGTATAACTTTTGTAAATATTCTACAGGCTGGGAAGGAATTATATAGCTAATAATTCCTACTAGGTACTAGTGTTAGCAATGTGTCTACTCTATCAGGTCGATTTCTACATGGCCACTCCCGGAAGCCATTGTGGTTAATACATAGGAAATTCACTATTATGGATTAATTTCATGCTCATCCAACTATCCTCCACCGGTGCTCCGTCAGCATAAAACTACCATCAGCGCAGGTCGGTGGCCCATTCTAATAAAATTCATAAACAGACTATTTCTATAGAAAATTATTTGACTAAAAAAATTGGATGTAATTAGAGTTTTTTGTTTATTACTTCGAAGAGACAGCATCATGTGAGTTCGAGTCGGGCCCACGTCGAATAGTTTTGTGAAATTAAGTTGAGATTCACCTACTCTCTCAATGCTTATCATTACAATTAAATGTTCACTTCGCTTGGATACCACACCATCTTGGTATATCTGGTAATAAAAAAGCTGATCAACTTGCTAATGATGCTGTTCGCGATGGCGATTTATTCCCATTTATGTCAATTACTGTACTAGACCTTGTTGTCAAAAATATACCTGTATGAGGATTGGAATCGGCTTTGGACAATTGAAACTGAAAAGGGGAAGAATTATAGACTAGTACAAGAAACTAGGAATAGTTTCTTGTACTAGATATAAGATATATAAACCTTGGTTTAGTAAATTTAAATTTAATAAAAAAACCACATCAGTTATTTGCAGGCTTCGATTGGGACATGTATGTACACCAGCAAATCTATACAAATTTAATATTGTTTCTAACCCTACGTGTGCTTGTGGAGCGTATGGAGATGTCAATCACGTGTTTTTCTCCTGCCCTCTATATGATCGCTCTGAATTCATTTCCCAACTCCTGATCCGTGTCCCACTTCTTACATCTATTAATTGTTTATTACATAATAGCGATACCGATGTATATAAAATATTAGCCACATTTATTTCATATAATTTAAATTTGTAAATATATCCATATATATATATATACATTGTAAACATCATAAACCTGACCAATCCTTTATCCTACAAAATTCCGTTCTATTCCGTATATTTCCCTAACTTTGATATTGGCTAAATGCGAAGGCAAAGCCAAAGATGGAGGAGAAAAAAAAAGTTCAGATTCACCTTGAATTCAAATTACACAGATAAATGTGGGAATGTCAAGCGTTTTGTTCATCACATCGAGAACTTCTCTGATTACAGATCTCTAACCCATCTGGGATTTTTAGTAATCTGGACTGATCCCATTGCTAGCTATGTACCATGTCAGGTTGACTTTATCGTGATGGTTTCCAGGGGAACCGCGTGTTCATCCCTGGAAACCATCATTCTTGGTGGGTTTACCATCGTGGTAAACTAACTAACCATTAAAAAACCCCATCTGAGATAATAGTCGCCGAGGTACATTATACTTAGACAAAACGTTTTGCCATATAAATTAATATCGTGTAGCGTGGTGGTTATGCTCATCACTGTAGCGTTATATATGTTGTGACGAGGTGGCGCTACATAATATTTTATTTATTGTAGTATGTAGGTAGTGAGTATACCGGTAAAATGGTTGCACGATGTATTGTACATTATTAAGTTTATTGGTAGTGTGCTACATGGCTTATTGATAACGCGTACAGTCGACGCGAAGTCGGGATGTAGATTATACATTTAAATCTATATTAGTGGAAATCTAAACTAATAGAAGGGTCTCAAGTGTCGACAGAAATATGTATTACAAGTGTAGGCACAATCGCTATTAAAAAATAGGGATTGGTGATAGATGGGTCAAATTTAGGGTTGTATGTATACTATTGTATTAATGCTACATAATAAAAAATTAAAGTATTATTTTTGGGTGAACCAACCAAATTTAATCATACATAGGGACGGACAGACAGCGACAGCAACTTTATTTTATACTATGTAATGATAATGATGATCTAGGCCTGCTACAATTTCATTATATTTGTAGACTACAACTCCTTTCTAAATTTTCAATAAGCCATATCTTTATTATTTCTTATAACTTACAGTTGACTTGAAGAGGTTGTTGGTTGAAAGTCTATTGTACTTGTCTGTTCAATATAAATGTTTCAATTGCCATAAGAAAGTTATAAAAAAACACTTAGGAAACATGAAGAAGGAAGGAAATAAAAATATAAATTTAAAAACAAATGATTATTTATTAACACTAAATCACAACTACATGTGGGTGTATTATTTATATTATAATAATAAATGAAATCGTAAATTAAAAATATACAATAGGTATATTATTTACAAAAAAATAATTGAGGATGAAGGACAACACTTTTAAAATACTTTAGTTAACATGTACAAGTCCTGTGTAAGTCTTTTTAACAGCACTGCATTTTTAGTTTGTATTCAGACACTAAAACCTCCTGTAATTGTAGCACTTGCTTCTTCAGACGTGACGCATGTAGTTCATTCTTTGCGAATTCTGCATTCAATCTTCTGCTGTGTAACTTAATGTGTGATGTGTTAGTTTTTTTGCCGCCTCATCCTAGTTAAGCTGATCAAAATAAGGTGAGAATAACATGAGGCAGAGCAGCGACTGAGCAGAAGTGTCGTGCATACTCTGCGGTCGCATGTCTGGTTACATAACCACGCAACAATACGCAATTAGTACAGGACATGGTTTACCAAACTGAAAATGTTATATATTCGCTACAGCTGGGAAGCTGGCCTTGCAATCAATTTGAGTCTGATCACAGTCAGTATAAAACAGGGGGAACTGATTTAATAACTCTAATGCCTTAGAACTCGACTCAAACGCCAGCTCCCGAACGATGAAGTCCACGGGTATTGACTGCCTGTAGCTGCATACATAAGAAAATATTAATACACAATATAACCAGCAAAGCTGGTACATCTGAAATACACAAATTATCTTAATTAAATAGCTGGCTATCATTTTAGAAATGCTTTTTGGTATAAATATATGTCAATTTAATAATTCACGCACAACACACAATACCTATTGGTATTGTGTGTTAAGAAAATATCAATTTCCCGAAAAAATACATAATTAATTATATATTAATTGACTACAGTATTGTTTACCTACATTATAGAACGTTAAAATAAGGAAAATGTTACCTAATCTTACCTTTAAAATTTGGAGTATTAAACAGATTGTTAAAGCATATCTTGCATGTACGAAATTTTAATGAACCTGGTTATGAGACTTAAATAATTAAGAAAATATTTTCTTGTAATGAAATTGAGCAAATCTCATAATTATTACAAGAAAATACAAGGCCACAAATTGCTACAATATTTACTATTTTAACCAGTGTTATAAATATTTTAGGCCGCCTAAAATATTTTTTGATGTGACTTTGAATAATAATTTTAACCGGATCGACGTGGACAGAGCCGGGGATAATATGAACGCAATATATAAATATCTTGATATTTATATTATATTCGGTATAGGCTTACTTATACTACACACAGATATTGAAAGCATAGACAATTGTCACCTATGACTATAAAATTTATTACAGGTGTCCTGGGGTCCTAGGTTGTAGCAGAAGCTACTCATGATTAAGTAAAATAATATAGTGAATCCAATGTCGGTTTTTATAGCTTTGTTTTAAATTATTGTGTTATGAAGAGATAAGTGTAAAATTCTGGCTGATCAACTCATTATTGTCGAAACTGCCTAAGTACACCTATATAAGGTGTACTTAGGCAGTGACTAGCGATAGAATCATTCATGACATGCGACTGAAGCCGGTTAATGGTGTAATGAGTTTATATGATTTTAGATTAACATCATTTCAATAAAGCTAATAGTGAGCATGTTATTTCATGAATCATCATTGTTTTGTAGAATTATCAATACATAATTTTGTTAAAACTAAGGTATATAAATAGACATAATTTATCTGATTGTTTATTTTTAAATCAACCTTAAATGCTATGCTAATATTAGGCCATTCTGATAATTGTCTTGTTTTATTCCTATGTCAGACCTATCTATCCTATGTAACTTTGTTACAATTGCAGTCAATCCCTTTTTAGCTATAATTTTTTATATTATATCCAAGTTTTTTATTGTTAAGAAAATTTTCAATGACATACGACATCTATATCGAAGTTTTACGTAACTCATGGCCTTTACAGTAAAGCATGACAAGTACTTACTGTGAAGTCCATTTTATTTTTATTCAGACATAATTCAGTAACTATAGTACGCATTGCTTATTTTTAGAACGCTATTGTAATATTTTTCATATATACGCCGAGAAGTAGTAAGAATAATAAAAGAAAAAAAACATACGACTTTATGATGTACTTGAGATACTGCTTCCTTTCTCTTTCCACAAACCAATCCATTAGATACCCCGCCATTAATGGAGCTGTCTTATAAAGCAAGAAAAATTTGTGCATGTTGCCTGTTGCCCAAGCACATCTGGTTTGGAGTGCATGTTTAATACATTCATTTTCTCTGTCTTCCTTTGAAAGAAACTGAAATATGGTTGTTAGATCTGCAAACAAGTAGATTTATAATTAAAAAAGAAAATAAAAGGTTTTATTTTTCCAATTCAACAGTGGGCATAGTTCCATATATAAAAATAATATGGATACATTAATTTGTTATTTCATTTCATAATTTAATTAGCTTATCAAACACAGTATACAGACGGATTTTTAAAAAATTAGAGCAGGTCCTATATGAAGAAAAAAGATAAACTTTTTTTCTTCATATAGGTTGTGCCCTAATTAAAAACACAACTTATAATACTAAGCAAATGCTATTTTCTCTGTAAATACCATTCTGCAAGCGGCACCAATGTCACCAGTCGTGTTCATAAAGTATGACATTGTCTAAGAGGTCAGAGGAGTTACAAAGTTCACATAAAAATCTTTAAATGTAGGACTCCCCTCCTCGTGAGGGGTATTCGAAATTTATTATCTACCACGATGTACTATCTCCTAGGAAGGAGGGGGCTTGGAGTTTGTGCAATCATATTACACTTTTAGTGTTAAAACACGAAATTTTAGTCAATCAAATTTTAACATTGACAAAGGGGTATATACATCTGCTAAATTTTTTAATTTGTGGTTTAATTTATAAGAGCGGGTGTAGGAGTAAGATTGATAAAATAGCCAACCTAATGTATTTTTAGTAAATATGTAATATAATATTCTATATGCAGTAAACTCTGCTGCATTAATTCTACATTCTGGCAATTCCCCATAAAGCATTTTGAGTTGCGTTTGACACTGATTAAATTCTTCATGATCTCCTTTTTCCAATGCAATACGTGCATGAGTCTCATACACCTCTACTGTAAAATTGTCTCTTATACCTTGAACCTAAAAAAAAAAATATTTAATTAAGTTGAAATAATACAAATGATAATAAAGACAATAGACAAGGAAAACTATACAAACTTACAGTTAGGTCTTGTCTAATTGATTTAAGCTGATCACATGCATATCTGTAGTCTTGTCTATCTATCCACCTTTCTTTGACATTTTTCAAAGAAGTTTTAAGTACTGATACAGGTCGGACTTCACAAGCTTCTGGTGCTTTGGTAAGTCTTAAAAAGGATTTTTCTATATCTAAACATGTTCCTACTATATGTACATTATTCAACTCATAATCTCCTTCTGTATCTTGAATAATTGGTTTCTTGATACTTGGCTCAGGTTTCCGACTACCTGCTTGAATAGAACTTGCTATGGAGGGTACATTACTTGAATTTCCAAATCTTTCAGCCCTCTTCTGGAGCTTCTCAGCATTTCCTTGCACATCTTCTACAATAAATTGCTCATAAATGGGTTTCTTTTTAGCACTTTTATTATACTTTTCTTGTTTCTTATTGTCAAGAGATAACCGATCTTTAATCTTTTGTCGGGTTTTAGTTTTGGAGATCTTCTTATCATCAACTTCGTCACTGGATACTGAAGAAGCACTGCAATTAAAGAATATTCAGAATGATTAGTCTTAATCAATCTATTCGCTTCGCTTTGTGTGTCCTACCGATTATACAACGGACTGTGTTCTGAGGAATTGTTCGACATGATGCCAACAGCCAACAGCCACCTTTTACCGCCGCACCCCTCTGCATCGACGGGAATTCATCCCCACAAGTTGGAACCTAAGTGGTCCAGAACAGTGCGGTTTCAGAGGAGTTTCCTCCCGTGTAAACTTAGATTGTGGAATGAACTTCCTGCCGAGGTTTTTCCACGAGACTACAGCATGGGGTTTTTTCAGCAAGAAGGGCATATTAAGGTTTCTTAAGGGTCGGCAACGCGTACGTGATACCCCTGGTGTTTCAGGCGTTCATAGGCTAGAGTAACCATTTACCATCAGATGGGCCGTATACTTGATTGCCACCATCATAGTATAAATAAAAAAAATCTAGAATATGTTAAATATTATGTTAATTAGGTTTAATTATTCATTAGAGTTATAATTATTTCACATATTTATGATGTGGTTTAGAGAAGTAGTATTGAGAGAAAATGGAAAGGATAACATGGAATATAATATATACTACAGGTTTTAGAATAACTGTGGGTGTCTGTAAATGTGTCCATTTCTGGTTTTAAGTTTGTTGTAAGTCCTCAATGACAATTAGAAAACTAGAACCCAAGAAAGAGAATGTCAATATGGTATTAGTTGATTTTACACATACATATTTTCATGCAGAAAAGTATGTGTGTAAATGTAGACAAAGAGAAGGAGAAATAACGCGCGTGCTGGCAGCACACATACCCGCATTCTTAAGACATTAATAATAATTATTTAAATTAAGTTTTAAACTGTGATGATGAGTTTAAACTCTATTTATTTATTAGTATAAAATGGTAAAATATCTGATGTTACACTAGGGAGATGTGACCAGCTGTGACCCCAACCAAACCAACCAAGACATAATAATATGTAACTTATGAGGTGTGCAATGCAAAAGGTGAATCTTGGTGAATACCATTGGAGATCAATAAAGTTCTAAGTGATATCATTAGACCATCACTAGCAATTATTCAAGATAGTTTTAAATGGTGGTAGACCCTATGTGGTCTACCACCACATGGTCACAGTTGGAATTTTATAATTGTGTGGCAATCTTGTCTCTTTCACCTGATAATATATAATTAAACTAGATGAAAACCCAGGTTCGCTCGGGTAGAATATTAAAGGTGAGCAAGGCATAGATTCGTAAAGCTTCGTTCATTGTGTTTAATAAATACTATAGTAAATAATAAGTGCAAAAGTATTTATACAAATAATTTTTATTTTAGATCAACATTCAAAATAAAATAACAAAACATATAACTTTTAAGGTTTATTATCTGTTAACCCCTTTGTTTTAAGCACTCAAGCAAGAAAATCTATTTGATACAACAACCCTATATTTATCTATTTATTAATTAATACCTACCTATTAATCCTGTTAATGCTTTTTAAATAAACACCCACACATTATTTCTGTATAACCTATAAAAATGGGTAAATAACATTAATTTCCAATAGTGCCACAACCTTATTCAAAAAATGCGTTCAAAAACCTGGCATTATGCATGTAATAATAAAATGTGAATAAATTGTGATTGTTATTAAGTTTTTTTTAATAAGTTTATCAGAACAGAGAAACAACATTTGACATTGCACATTGACTTTAATTTTTATAATTTATATTGTAAAACTTTCAGTTAGGTTAAAAAGGACATGTATCCAGAGCCGTGAAACAAATTCATAAAAAAAATATTGTCAAATTTGTCTCGCAATTGGCCAATTTAAAGAAAAAACATAACTGTGTACTCTTTTATCATAAAAAAAGTGTCAAAAACTATATTTTCGCAAAACGTCAACGACACATATCACATGTCACAGTTTTTTGTGATGGATCTTTGGCGCGAACACATGCGTAGTGTTGATTGGTTATTAGCTAATGACACGAAAAGATGGCGACTGCAGTTTGTTTGTCAGTGTCATTAGTATTTAACGAAATACTCCATAATCCGAATTTTGCGGAAATATGTTGTCAACTCTGCAAAGGGGATGTAAAGGATGTAAAAGGATGTAAAAGGATGTAAAGGGAGGGGACGCCCTAAGAAAAGATGGATGGATTGTGTGAAAGATGATATGAATAAAAGAAAAGTATGTTTAGATATGACGACCGATAGAGAGAGCAGTGGAAGAGAATGACATACTGCGTTGACCCCAAATAATGGGATAAAGGCAAGGCAATGATGATGTTGTTAACTCTAAATCAATATTTTTTTAGGTGTTGTTATTCACATAAGGTTTTGTTCGAGTCTACCGTACCCCTAGACGGAATTATTAATATAGATTAGTAGACCTGCTTACCTTAGTCTTTTCCTTGGGGGACTTCTAGACTTGCTCCTTGAATGTCTCCTTCTCTTTGGTGGGGAACTTTTATGAGTAATGAATCCTCTGGAATTCACACTATTTTTAGATTTAGATGGATCTATTTCAGCCTTTTGATATAATGATAATGTACCTCGAACAGGTTTAACTGAGAGTGAATTACGTTCACTATGAACACTTGGTATTGGCTCTGCATCCCAATTCCTTGTCCAAATTTCATCTTTGTTTGCAGCTGCTGTTATACGACCCTTTAAGCATATATCAATTTGATCACGATCAATAGTTGTTTTGCATTTTTCATAACATCTCTTGATATACCTCTCAAGACTTTCAGGCCATGTTCCAGCTGATGACTGGCATATTGGTGATTTTAAAATGTTGGAAGAGCTATTATCTTCTGTATCATTGAAATCATTTTCTCTAACATTATCACCTTTAGGCTCTTCTAGTGGCTCCGGTATGTCCTCAGTTGCCAGTGGTGGAGGCAGAGGTACATCAAGGGGTGGAGGTGGTGGAGGTTTAGGGAGATCGGGTGGTGGACACGGAGGTAAAGGTGGTGGATGATCTGGCAGTGGAGGTAATGAATTTATAGAACTGTTCAAATCTTCATCAAAAACTTTGTTACCCTTTTTACGCTTCTTTTTTGCATTGCCAGTATTTCCCAAAAGGGGATTTTCATTTTGAGGAATAGGAGTAGACTTCCTGTTCGCATTCAAATGAAATCTAATGGGCGATTGATTTAAAAAAGGTCGACTAGTATCAAGTGGTGACATACCGAGCAATGGAGCTGGTGGAGGTGGTTTTGAAAATGGAGGATGGCCAAATTCATTTTTATAATCTTTATTATGTTGAAACTGGTGGGAATTATTATTAGGAAAAGCATTATTGCCCATTTGATTGTAATATTGATTGTAGTACGGTGGGTACATACCAGAGTGATACCCATTGTATTGATAAATACCATACATCCATGGGTTATGATTGGGTGGCATACCATTCATAGTTTGCAGAGGAGGTTCCTTTGAACTGTTGTCGGCCATATTTGTTAAAATATACTGCGATATTGTAGGTAAGTTACAAATAACAAAACCTTAAGAATACCTTTTCAACAATGACTTCAAAATGGCGTCACTTTTCACAGTTACGGAACAGAGCTTCACATTTTCTAGGTCACACTATATTTAACAAGTGAAACACATTTTAATAATAAGTCTGTACTCGAAAGATTTATAGAAAATAAATGTAATTAGTTCTAAGCAAATAGTAGTAATTTAATTGTAATATTTCACAAACGACTAGTACAATAGAATCGAATTCCGCACCCTGAATTCAGTAATTCGCCAGAATATAGTAATAGGGAGTAGAGATTAGGGATGCGTACTGAGATCGATTAATCGAGTTAAAAAATCGATTTTTAAACCAATACATAACACTGGATCGATCAGTTGGGACGAACTTAGACTTCAAAATCGATATTAGATTTTTTCTGTTTTGGTATACATATAAACATTACATTTTGTATATAAATAAACCATACAATTAGTTCAAGGTGCCCGTATTACAAAGTGTGCTGCCAGTTAATTACTCAAAAACTCGGGAGATGGCTGTGTGTTTAGCCTCGTTCGCCTTACTTTTCTCTTCTACAAAAAAAAGTTACGTTTATAATATTCTTAGACATAATATTTAACTTTTTGTATCTGTTGACATTGCGTCCCATGAGTGATCCCAGTAGACTTGACAGACTGTTGTTTTTAAAAAGATTCCATATTAAGAATTGGGAAATGGGAACTATAATCTAAATTATCTGCTTTGTAACCAATAAATTTTGAAAATAAATGTCTTGTTTTCTACCTGATCTGATACTTTGATATGGTAATAAAAATAATTGTTATTATCGAATTCCCTGATTTTACTGATTAAAAGATTGTTAATTATAATATTTGTCTTGTTTTTAATAAAATTGTTTTACATTTACATTGTAACAGCAAATTTGAAAAAAACAAAAATCTATTAATCGGAAATCGATCTTGCAGTCCTTGATTTTTTTTATCGTTTCATCAAGTCACGATTCGGATCTAATGAAAGATCGATTAATTTCGGAAAGAATCGCATCGCTAGTTGATCATCTCTAATGTATCAACTCGAGTTGTGCTGGTAAATAGTAAATGATCGAATCAAAAGAAAGAGCGAGAGTGTGATCCGGTCGTGGGGTTCGTGCCTTAGTAGGTTGTAGCCATTGCATCTACCGAATGAAACCATGTGCTATATATGAAAAGATTAAATTAGCGGTTGACAGTTGTCATTTCATTGTTATTAAGTATCTAGTATATTTATTATAAATGCTGAGCTTTAAAAGTGAATCCCATTTTCGGGACATTTTTGAATCACCTGTGAGTGGACGTGAATAATGTAAAAAATGCTCGGATTCTTTTTAAACATGTAGAAAATACGAACTTGTTATTGAATAATATTTAAAAAAAAGTACTCAAATAGTATCCGCTCCATAAGTACTTCCGCGCGTTTGGAGTACCATTTCCACTAGCTTACTTTGATTCGGTGAAGTTGTCAAGGCCAACAGCGACCAACAACATTAGAATCAGGGGAAATATTTAAAAAAAAGTATCTTCCAGGTAACGCTTGAAATTCAGGGAACTCGAGTTAACTCGGGTTGATTCGAATTACATGAACTTTAACTCGAGTTAACTTGAGTCATGTTTATTACGTGTTAGCACATCTCTAGTTGGGTGTAGGGATATCTATAAATGTCGATATTTATAAAACATCGACAGAAAATCACGAAGAAAAAAAACTACGATCCTCTATTCTTACTTTATATATGTCTACTATCAACTACAATGTTTAATCGATGTTTTCTTTATAATGGCTTATGGCTCTGGATACAAGTCCTTTTTTTATTTGAGATTGAGAATACCACCTTTTTTTAATGGTGTACGTTGTGGATATACGTGTAACTTACAATGATATTTCTGTTAATACTCGGCACATTTTCATTTGTTTACTTTCCACATAATTTAAATTTAACTTCTGTGCAAAACCAGTCTATATTAAGAGTTTGCGTTAAGTGTAAGCGTTATTAATAAACCATGTAGGACATTATCAAATAAATTGACTAATCTAATACAATCTTTACACCTGTATACTAACCACCTAGGTATTACAAACAGGGTCAATAGGAATCATTGTGGCACTGCACTCACTGGGCCCAACTTTCTGCTGCGTGCTGCCGACCACGACAATGTCCCGTCTACATTACGCCACTAAGGAGCAGGACATTGTCGATTATATTCGTACCAAGAGTAACCTGACATTGAGGGTAACGCAGCTGAAGTCGAGTCACAACGCGAGTTTCAAAGCGTTTGTGGCCCTGGTCCCCACCGACTTGCTTCATTCACCTTCATGAAAGAGGACTACTGGCCGAAAGGTGTGGTGTATCGGCGCTACCGTGGCAGATTGCCGCCTTCAGTGCCGTGATCACACAGACAATATAGTATTAGTTTTTAAATATTATATTATATGTATGTTAGTCTATAAGGTATTAATAGTATGGGCCTAGTTGCCTGAAAGAAATGAATAAATAAATAAAATAAAAATTACAAAGAACAAATAATTTTTTTATCTCGCTACAATGGCAAAATAAATAGAAATTGCAATAGCCCCCGCCAGAGGGATGCCCAGGGGTGTGTGCCACATCTTCATCCTCTAAAAAGCTACATGGTGAAATCGGAGTTGCCTTTGCCGGAGTTGCGGAATCATGTTAGTATTGTACCGCGTCTCCGACATTTCGATATAGACCAGAGATGTCGCTTAGAGCGATCTACTTCGATCTACTTAACTGTGGAGGCGCCTGGGTACCCGCGCATGTAGATAGAGTCATTTGCTTTGGATGCTACCTTAGTCATGTCCAGCATCACGGCCTAGTTGAAGACAGAGGGGAATGGTGGGGGTGGGTAATCCCCGGTCTTTTCTTTATTGGATTAGAGAAGCGTATCGAACTGACTCCCCCTCGTGTTCGCCGCCTCTTTCTGCAAGATATTACGCAACCCCACTAGCGGAACCTTGCAATATCACCAAATTATAATTTTATACGTACTACGTATGCAACATATTAAATAATATGCATTTTATAATAAATATTAGAAGACACATTCTATTTTTATTTAAATACTTAAATAAAGGTTTTTGTATTTTGTATGAAATACTTTTTAGAACCTATTTTTATTTAAGTAAAACAAAGTGGTTTGTATATTCATAAAATATGTTTACTAAAATATTGTAGTTTTACATTAGGAAGTTCTTTACTTACATACCAGGCTTAGCAACTAAAATACAAACTTTTGAAGTTTGTTAAAAACCTAAAACAATGCCTAAAATCGTAATTGTATATTTGACTCCGTCAGGAATGGCATTACATGAGGGGTATTGTCAGGCTTCAGAAATTTATTTAGTGATTTTCCATAATATTACTGTGAATACCGTAATGTCGGTTATAATGACATAACCGACATTACGATATTCATAGTATCGAAACCCTGTGACGCGACGCCTTGTGTTGGTGATTGTACAGCCAACCAACTACACATTATTACAACTATTTTTATTGAAATCATTCTTATTTCCTTACATATTCTAAATGCGAAAGAACCGATTCAAATAAAATTTGGTAAACAGATCCTGAGAAAGGACATAGGTTACTTTTTAATGCCAAAAAATAAAGGGACAGAAAGAATGAAAAATATTTTATTCAGTGCAATGTAAAAAATATAATATAATCAACAAACGAAAAAAAAGAGCAAATAAAATGTACATATAATTAAACTTAATTTACCATGTAGATAATTAAAAATAAACATAAAATAATCATTTTTTACATCCAAAAATGCACTTAAAGGGAGATGAAAGATTGTATGGAAGTAGGTATATCCATTTTAAAGCTTAATGCTTGAAACTTTATCTACTATATATCCACGCGGACGAGGACCTTAAAAAATAATGTCTTTTGATGTTCAGCCCATTTTTTATTTCATCATCATCATCATCATTGCACGACGTCCACTGCTGGACATAGGCCTCCCCCAAAGATCTTCACGACGATCGGTCCTGCGCTGCTCGTATCCAATGCCTTCCAGCGATCTTGACCAGATCGTCGGTCCACCGTGCTGGAGGCCTTCCCACGCTGCGTCTTCCGATTCGTGGTCGCCACTCGAGAACTTTACTGCCCCAACGGCCATCTGTCCTACGAGCTATGTGCCCTGCCCACTTCAGAGTCGCAATTCCTCGGCTTATGTCGGTCATTCTGGTTCTTCTGCGGATCTCCTCATTTCTGATTCGATCACGCAAAGTAACTCCGAGCATAGCCCTCTCCATTGCCCTCTGAGTGACGCTGAGCTTGTTCATGAGGCCCATAGATAACGACCACGTCTGTGCCGTAAGTCATTACTGGCAACACACATTGGTCGTAAACCTTCGTCTTGAGACACTGCGGAAATTTGGACGAAAAGGTTATCGGAGCTTCCCGAAAGCTGCCCATCCGAGTTGGATTCGACGATTGACCTCATTTTTTATTTCCTTTATCAAATTTAGTTTATAGTTATGCCTGAGATCTGTACCTACACGCACACGATATGGGTTTTTAATTTTTATATAGATATTTATTTAATCAAAAGTGGCTGACTTAACTTAGAATTAGGTGCATGTTGACATTTAGCGCTATTACTCTACATATTTTACAGATTGAATAAAATAATGAATTGCTTTAATAAAATGACTTAGCTACTAAGTAAAAATATATATATATACATATATATATATATATATATATATATCTAAAATTCTCGCGTCACAATGTTAGTTGCCATACTCCTCCCAAACAGCTTGACCGACTTTTATGATATTTTATATACACACATGGACATGGGCTTCCTATACAGTTGACTACTCTTGCCTAATTGTTAATCTGGCCCTGCCCACGCAGACCACTAAGTACAGAGTTTTCCTCTGGTAATTTTAATAAACAATCACCAATAGCAATAGATGTCTTCGATTAATTATTCTAAAATTAGGTACACGTGCCTACACCTACCTATGCGAATTATTTGGGATGGAGATGAATATAAACTAGGTAATATTTTTGTGAATTAAGTCGCAGACAAAAGTTGTTATTGTTATGAAAATAAAAAAAAATTGTGTTATATTATTTCTTTTATATTAAAAAACTATACATTTACTTGTAAATTGTTTTATTAAACTTATACTACAGAGGGCTATAAACTTCTGTGTCTATATGAACATTGTATAAACGTTATATATTTAAATGTATTAGTTATTTAATAAAACAGATAATTATTATAAATAAAGAATATTTATTTCACTATTTCTTTTATATCATCAATGGTTCACATCATATAAATCACGGATCGCATGGGCTTTCATCAACGAAGTCGTGTGCATGGATGGAAAAGAGTTCAGCGGGCAGACCGCGATCGACGCCGAGACGAATCGCCCAGCGCGTACGGTTCCTTAGCCAAACAATTTGTGCATTGAGGTCAGGTAGATATTACTTTAATCGCTAAATCACATTTGGACACTAATATACAAGTATAACTACGTTCAACAAGTGTCAATATTGAGCAGTACGAGGAGGGCCGCGGGAGAGCGGCGCGCAGCCTGCGTCACGCAGTCCCGTATACGCAGTCACCGCGGCGAGCTCCCGCCGTTTCTTCACCGGGCAGCACTGCCGCGCGCCGCCACTGATCACGCACGCGCTCTACATTTTGCAACACGCGCACTACATTCATACCAGCCAATTTGCGTACGTCATCTTCGCTCCAGTTCGGATCTCGTAGTAGCTCTGCTAAAAGATGTGGATATCGTGACACGTCCTCTAATCCTTCGGGCGGCGCGTCGATACCATCGTATCCGGCCCCGAGACCCACATGCTCCACGCCGGCCACGCGCCGTACATGATTTATATGGGATACCACGTCTTCTACTGTGGCCCGTTCGCCGCAAGTTACTAATTTAGCATAAAAATTGATCATCACAACGCCTCCATTTGCTGCAATCATCCGAAGTAACTCGTCTGGTACGTTTCGTGTTGAATTACAAATTGCTGCAACGCCTGAATGAGAAAAAACAACTGGCGCCTGCGATGTCTCTAAAGCGTCCCGCGCCGTTTCTTCACCTGCATGTGACAAATCGACAATCATACCAAGTCGATTCATTTCACGAACCACTGCTTTTCCAAATTCAGTTAAACCACCAGCAGTACCAGCTGCTCGAGCCCACCGTGTGTCACACGTATGGGTTACGGTGAGATAGCGCGCCCCAAGTTGGTAGAAAGCACGTAGCACAGCCAACGAGTCACCGAGCGCATGTCCACCTTCAACGCCAATTAATGAGGCAATACGGCCATCACGATGTGCTTCAAGCAGTTCCGTCGCATCTGTTACAAGTGCGAGATGTGCAGCGTTCATTTCTACTATACGTTTAATAACATCCATTTGTTCCAGTGCTAACTGTACGGCGTCCCTATCCCGCGCTCCGCAGGGTACGTATGCCGACCAGAATTGTGCACCGACCTGACCCAGTCTTAGTCGTGGGATATCGGTATGCGACCAGCGCGAGCGCGCCCACGGCTCTAGTCCTTCCAGACCGGCACTTAAATTAAAGTCACCAATTTTGTTATGAAGAAACTTTCGAACGTTCCAGGCTAAGTCATTATGACCATCTACTAGTGGTGAATCACGAAGCATACGGCGTATTGTAGTGAGACGTTGTTCAGGTGTGGCTCGACCACCGCCGCCCAGAGCGAGCGGTAACGCTAGCGCGGCGCCTAGAGCGGCCAGCACTACCAGCGCCGCGAGAGCAATACGCCAGCGTGGTCGACGTGGTGTGGGTTTTTCATCTGAACTGCCGGAGGCCGAAGCTGATAATGAATCCGGTGCCCATCGACCACACCGCTCCGCTACATCTGGTAGTGGACCAGGGAAAGTCATGCCTTCGGGCACTGCAGCCTGTAACATTAAAAAATATATATTTAATATATATACGTATTCGTTTTTAATAAAAACTATACGAATATGGCTATTATTAGTAATAGTAAATTTAGAACATTACACCAACTACATAAATATACAGACTCGGCCTAATTTTTAAATGTTTGTTCTAAAATTGTATCGTATCAGCATGTTTTCGGTGAACATACGTACATAATATACATAGAAAATATACAAACCGTTTGTTTGTACCATGCGAGGAATCGAACCCGCGTCAATCGTAAATAAGGCTAAATCGATAGATTCTATATTTTCGTCATTTTTCAGTAGTCAGTTTCCAAAGCTTTAATTTTTATTATTATGTATATTGTGAATTTTAAAACCAGCTTGTAACTGCTGGAGCATGTATGTATGTAAGTATGGACCACGTATGTACGTATGTGGTACCACGGACATCATAAGATGACATGATTTTGTAGGTACCTAATGCTGTTCATATTTATAGGTGGGTCGTCATATTTTTTGTAATACCTACATATCAATTAAGTTATTCGTATATCGTATTCGTAATCAAAAAACGAATGCGTATTATTAGCACCTACCCCTATTAATACCAAATTTCAATTTCAGTATTTCGTAAAACGTGACTTTTTACATGTAGTAAGTATCGTTTGGTAGAATCTTGGTCTAGTAGTCGTTATATTAATATAGAACAAATATTAGTGGCGCGTAATGCATTTAGTTTAGTATTGATGCCTCTTGCATTTAGTATAGATATCTATAGTACCATATTTTTGAATTATAACAATCTTTTGGGAAACCAAGCAGTATAATTAAACTTGGATAGAGTGGATGAGAGTAATGGTCTAAGCTTTACATTCTTGAATGACTACAATGCGTGGACTTAATTACAATTTTAACATTTGTTATGAGGTAAATAACTTTCCCATTAACATAGATAATGTAATAAACACTAAAGAAACTTATTCTAAATTTAGTAATGACATATTGTAATTTAAATAATGTAAATTAAATACAATATTTAATTTACATGGGCGAAAACTGTGATTAGTACAGTTTATGCTGTAAATAATATAAATGACGTAGTGGAGTAACTTGAAACAGTCATGCTCGCTATAAAGTTCAAACTTGTGGCGGCGTGGTGGGTCGGGTCGATGTGCTCCCTATAATATGGTTTAGTGCAATGATGGCTGGCTCATCCGTCATACTCGTGAACGATCAGATTTTTTGATTTTTTTTTCAATAGCATATACTGGTGGTCACTCTATTCTCCTAAATTTGAATTTAAATGAAATTGTTTATTGTAAATATGTACAACATTAAAAAAAAAATACGAGCTGAGTTTCTTGTCAGTTCTTCTCATCTCGAAATCATTCCGAACTGACGTTAGATTTGACATATCATAAGAGTTTGTAATAGACCTACTTGAATAAAGATATTATTTGGATTTGAATTCCTTGCTGCCTTAAGACGACAAAACTATTGAAGCGTGTATAATGTCTACTTCAGGTGGTTTCTATAATACCTCAATCTCATGTCTCCTATTTTTTTATTATTTGTTTTTACGTATATTTATTCATATCATATGTACCACTGAAAACCTGCAGCATTTTTGCATAAAACATGCTATAAGACTGAGTGGAGCTATTGCGGTACTTTGTATGTAACATTGATTTTGTGAATTTATATTTCTTTCTATTGTATTTATTAGCACTGAATTAATATTTTACTCTTTGTTTCTCTTTCATCAATATCAGAAACTATTCTAACATGTATTGTATAATTTACAGGGTACGGTTTAATTTAGTGACAAGTAAATTTTTGTTATTATGTCAATAGGTAGGTACTTGATGTAAATTGAGCTATATTTTATGTCCGAATTGATTGCCTGTATTTACCTTGTGTACCTTGTGTAGATTTTCAAAAGGAATCTAATCTAAGTGAGTGTCTAAGTAGATATGTGTGACTTTAATTTCAATTTAGTACTTAATTCATAATTATTGAAGTCGAAACTCACACATAACTTTATAGACAGACAGTCAGAAAATGGAAGACACAATAATAATATACAGAAACATACACATATTTGTTTAGAAGTCGAGTGAAAATATTTAGTTTTCAGAAACAATCATTAATAATTATGTAGGTTCATAATACTTTATATAACTATAGCGTATTTAAATCAAAGTGAGAGAGCAACCGTGGGCTTTCGCGCCAGCTCTGTTTGTAAATGGGTCACAGGCTACATATTTGTTTAGAAGTCGAGTGAAAATATTTAGTTTTCAGAAACAATCATTAATAATTATGTAGGTTCATAATACTTTATATAACTATAGCGTATTTAAATCAAAGTGAGAGAGCAACCGTGGGCTTTCGCGCCAGCTCTGTTTGTAAATGGGTCACAGGCTATTCAGGTTCACCCCGGCGCCCCTACCCCCCTTCCACCCCATACTCTGTGCCGTATGTGACCCTTGCATAACTGAACACGCGGCAAATTATTGTCACTAACATCTGCAGGCTCTGAGTCACAGCTCATTCGCGGTCGTATGTATGCTGCATAATTATTAACAGGTCCCATGTGTTTCTGTGCTAACTACACTGATGATCTTAACTACCTCTTAAGTGGCAACGGGTATTATCTTATTTGTTCTTGTTTATGTTTTCGCTACATAATTATATTATATTTAGGATAATGGAACAGGAAAATTGCCTTCAGCGTCTACAATTACATGATGCAATGGCGGCCCATTTTTACTTTGGCCATATTGAATGATTTATGAGTAAGTATATAAAAATATTAATTTAGAGTATTTTCAAACGCTGAAAAAAAATTCAATTAAATGGTTTCGGAGATAACCCCATAAATCTTCCAAAATTCGTACACTTTATAATATTACATACTTGAGTGTAATATGTATTGGTAAATTACATATCTACTGATACGTAAAAGTTTTTGTAACCCACTCGATTCGTAGAAGTAAGTAAGTATAACGGCAACAGTTACCGCAAGAAAGGAAAAGTTTTATTGTATTTTTTATGACCAATTTGTAAACCCAACATTCGTCTTAGGCGTAACTGCAACTACAACTATGTAGATCTATATCAAAGGGGGTTATATGTAAGGCAAAGGAATGGAGAAATTGTTCATAAAGTGCAGTCTAAAGGGTTTCTGTTGAGGTATATATGCTACGCTCGTTCTATTTGGAAAGTGTAGGCTTTATCTAGTAAGTGAGCCACGGATATAATGTTATTCGCTCAGTTAACTAGAATGAACGAGCAATATGTGAGGGATGTAAACGCTATGGTCAGTCCACCATGCTAATAGCGAGTCATGAACATTAGAGGAAAATTAGCATTCTTTAATATGATGACGACGATGGAATGAGTTTAACGAGTTTTTATAAACAATTAATAAAATTACTTTAAATACTTACCTAATTCATCTTTAAACATAATAGAAATACCTAACATATAATAGGCTCTACGGCAACTGGTTACTATTACTAACAATCCATTTAATCTTAAATTTTAATCGTACAATATTGGGTAAATGTTTACAACAGATTTTTTTCAAATACTGAGTAAATTGTATTAATGTACAACATACAATTGAATTCAAAACAGAATAAAAAGCTACAATATACTACAAAATGAGTTGCCATTAGTATTTAAGTCATAAACCACACATTGAATTCAAAAAAGTGTGTACTAAAAATCAGTCGGGCGCATTTATGTATGACTAAAAATGAATCAATTAACAGAGTCTAATGTTGAGATATATTCGATGCGGTAAATGGGTACAGAGAGAAATACAACTTTATAACGAGTTCTTATACTACTATATTAAAATGCTTGGAACGCATAATTAGTGGCAAAGCCCGAGAAACTATACGAAAATTGTAGTGCAGTTTAAGATTATGTTTTTAATTCAATAAAGAAAAAGAACTAAAGTAACTAAGAATTTATGTAGGTACTTATATTATATTGTCGGTTTCGTTATAACTTTTGTCACAATAACTTCGCTAGCGTAAAATTAACATTCCTTATTAATGAAATGAGTAAACATGCATAATGTGTTAAGTTTTCACATTTGCCTACATTATACCCAAACTTCAAAAACAACAAATAAAATTGTATATTATATATAAAGAGACAAGGGTACAAAGTTAAGAGAAGTAGTGGATCTGTTATGCGACCACGAAACTGCGGAGACGAAGAAAGTAGAATCAGGCGTAGGAGGCAGCGGGCGTAGCTGCATCGATTCGTTGCATACTAGCCAGACTCCGACAGCTCGTACGGCCCAGCGTCTGCCAGCGTCCACAACCGACATAATGTTGCGTGAAATTTGTGCGCTCATTATTATCCTGCAACTTGTCATGCATCAGTAACGCTTTTCTAGAGCGGGAATGTTCTACGAATTTAGAATAATACTAAGAATCACGCTGGTTTGAACTTTCTAATATGTTATTTACAATATAGTATGTAGGTTTTACTATGAACTACAGCATGGAGTTATTCAAAAAGGAAATATTAAAATTTCTTAAGGTTCGACAATGGGCACATAACACCTCTGGTGTTTAAAACGTCCATAGGTACACGTTTACCGTAAATGTTTACCGTCAGATAGGCCGTATCTTGTTTGCCACCTTGTTTGTTTGAAAAAATATAGAAAGCACACGCAACTGCCTAATTGAGAGACTAAATGTATTAAATAGAGTTCAACTCTTAAAATTTGTAAAAACAAAAATAGGTACTTTATTCACATTCCAAGAAGATGTAAACAAAATATTGTACCAAATTTATGTTGCATTCTGGAAAAGAAAAAAGAATGAGTTTCAAAATGGTCAAATCCGAACCTGCGACTCCGAATAACAATAGGAAAAATAGTATAATATTTTGTTTCACAAACAATTATGATTGTTTATGTAATATTGACATAATGTGACTTGACTCCTTCGTATTCGTTCTATCTCTATTCAGTAACCTAGCGTCTCCCCTCACTCAAACGTGTTTAGAGCATTACTTTGAATCAAATATTGCTGTAAATGTTTACATTTCGCAGTACTCCGCTGACTCTTATTATACAGTAAATATGTATATTGGTATTTTGTCATTATTCTTAAAATTCATAATGTCTTCAATTTTTATGTAATTGTACTGTTTTTGATTGTTCATATGTATGAACTAAAGATATGCCCCTTTTTGTGAAAATCTAATTTTTCATTAAGAATAAACTATTTTTAAAATGAACTTGTTTAAAAAACATCTGTTTAGCGAGTAATGTTGATATTGGTTGCCGTACCCTATGGACAATATTTCATCAAGTTTAATTAGTTATTATAGAACATTTTCATAGTAACCGTTTTGTATGAGAGGGGGAGAGGGGACATGTAGCCTAAAATGTACGGATATGAGTAGGTGAATATATTAATACACTTCAGTTGGTAAGTAGGTATAAGATGTAGGTGGCTATGCGTAAAATTTCAGCAACATTAGGTATTCAACCAAATAGGCGTTGTCGTGTTTTTTAAGCACATTCTTTTTTGGATGACCGAATTTTTCAACTAGGTCATCCCTTAAAATTAGATGGTCCAACCGGCGCGTTCATGAGATGAACACACCGTCGCTCTAATGTTCCACAAAGATAGCACAGATCGATATCTCATCGGAGCCTCTGAATCGAACAGCAAAAATACCGGACTGACAACAAAAAAGATAAAACTTCTAAATAAGCTACCACTTTGATGTTATACACAAACGATGGTGCGTAAACCGAGAATATATTTCGGACTCCAAGTCTCCCCTAATATCGACCTAACCACCTACGCCAAAAGGAACTCATAAACGGTTCCAGGAAAATATTTGTTAAAAGAGGCGAGGAAAGCATTTACCCGCCATGATTAAGGATGAGATATCTGATGTTTTCCTTCCTCTCGTGGCAGTGCCTGCGTGACTACCTGCTTAAGACTGTCAATATAGCTAATATAGTTGGTAAATCTACTTTCTATATTATTGTCTATTATAACAATATTTGCAAGTTATGAATTAGATGTAATTAGAGGGTTTTATTTCACGTATAAAATTAATAATATTAACTACCACAGCATATTTGAACACAAATACCAGTGTGTAAATATTTTGCCAAGTATCATATTATTCCGAAGTTCTTATTATAGTATGTAGGTATAGCCATACCAAAAGTATCTACCATTTCAGTAACATTAGTAGTTGGAAATGTAGGCTGTTACTGCAATATAACTAAATAACATGGTATAATTTTTCCATTTAGTGGATATTTATCATAAGATACCACATTAAGCTCTCATTTTAATTTTTACCTCAACGTTTTTGTTATCATTTACGATTTACCTTGCATAAAAAATGTTGGTGAAATTTTCGTTACTTATATATTTTGCATGTCATAACAAACCACTACGAAAAGGAGGAGAGTATTTATAGAGAGCCATATATGATCTTATATGTGTAGCAGTCTATACAGCAAAAGTGTTGTTTCGATAGTGTTGTTTTGAATATAATAATATAACTATTATGAACACGGTGGTCTAGCGGTTTAGTACACCGCTTTACGTCCGATGGTCGCAGGTTCGATTCCTCGCACGGCGCAAATATTTGCATTCATTCATCGTCTGTGCTTAGCTTGAGGCTAGATGGCGCTGTGTGGATTGTATAAGTTTATTGTTTATTATTATTAATATGGAAAGGAGATAATGATGGTTATGATAATAATAATAATAATATTGATTATTCGTATATGGTTGCGTTAAATAAGTTGATATAGCATATTATACATATATATACTTTCATCGACTATATATATATTTTTTTTAATTATATGTATAATGATAGCGATACACATATATCATTATATAATGACATATAAGATAGATACAATTAATGAGTAAATTAAACATGTGTATACAACTTTTGGGTAACGGAAACAACGGAAGGAGATGTTGGGTGACATGCAAATAGGAATAAGTAAAATTATGTTAAAATATACATTCGTATACAATATATATATATATATATACATAATACTATACATATATATAGTTATATATACATGTACACAAATGTTTGTATCGTGTGGAATATGAATGGCAACCATCGGAAGGAATACAGTACCTTAAAATGTAAGACCAACCTAATTGTATAATTCGTAGCCGTATATACATATATATACAACAATACGGGGACACATTAATGTAATTTTTTAAATAACTAAAGATGTGTCTTTTTGTGATTTGAGAAAAACAACACTTCCACACAGTGTTGAGTAAATAGCTTCTGTAACCGTATGTAAGTATCTGGTGGGCCAGTTTGAAACAGATACGGCGGTAAATCCTTTTAGCACTATAAAATTGAGTGCCGCCTGAATTGAGATGTAAAGGGGATCGTAGACCAGAAGTAAGTGCACATGGTGTACAATTTTATTACGTCTCGATCTAATAATGTTCCGTAGTAAGATGTGGCGCTATTACTTTTTTATTTTATTGTAGCAATGAAGACTTAAAGACGTAAGTACTAGACGATACTTTAAATACATTTATAATTTCAAATAAATTATAGAATATACATTTCATCTTTTCTAAAATTTATGTCATTTTGATTGTAAATTTTTCTTGTTTTCTTTTAAGTAATGCATTGCTATTCGTTGCCATTCCGGAGGACTAAGATGTCATGCCACCGAACATTGCATTTTCACTGCCTTATCGTATTCTTCCTCCGAGACCCACTTAACAAAGCGAAATACTTGATAGTTGAAATAGGCGAAGCACGTTGAAATAGACGACTTCTTGAAACTCTACCTCGCTAAATTCGTCGAAATAAATGTGATTAAGACTATAATTTATTTTTTAAATAACAATCGAAAAACTCTATGCCGTCACACATGTACCTGCACATACCTAATCAGGAATTAAGTTTTTATTGAGTGGAGGTCGCATGCATAACCAGCGGAATGACATCTACCTCTACTGTCGCCAAAAAAATCAATAACTTTAAAACATTTATTTATTTCATAATGAATGTCATATACCTACTACTAACACACAATACAGCTACTAATATAATATTATTATTTAATTTTTTAAACCTGTTCAATAAGAAATTAATGTCTAATACGGAAAACTTTAAAAATTTATTTTTTCTATATGTACATTCCAAACTGAAAGTGAACTAGTTCTACATGTAAATTATTGATTGATCTATAAATAAATTACAACACACATTAATAAAAAATATTATAATAATGTTCTTCTGCACGATGCAAGGTGTATAACACTCGCATTTTGAGATTTTTTCATACAAAAATTCTGCCTATTGACCTATTTGGCAACATTCAGAATAAATTTTTGGGGATTGATTACATATTTATGCCGCTTGCTGTAGAATGTCGGCACGTGAAGGACTTAGTTTTAAAATATTACTTAAAAACATCCACAACTGGTTTGCGCCATTGAGGACAAGAGGATCAATCCTAAGAAACAATTTAAGCTTAATGAGCCAACTGGCTCGTTAAGCTTAATATTGCAACTCAGTGTGGTAACGTATCAAGCAACGTATTCTTGGAACACTGCCGCATGAGGCCAGACCTTCGCTGACTACTATTACCTATCTGATTTACAAATTTACGAAACTTGATTATCTGTAATCCTAAATAATATTTTAAATATTGTATATAATGTGTGTATAATGTGATTATTACTTTGATACGTTTTTACGACTTAACCAATTGTTATTTAATTTTGCAATGTCCCTGTGTAGAATTTGGGATGGAGTAGTTATTTATTTTTATTGCAGTCTACCCTACAGTCTACACGAAGTCTATATTATCTATATAATTAATAAGTAATATGTAATATATTTAAGACAAATTATTCTAATACTTGTTCGGCGTTATGCCTTACGTATGTATACTCGTATTTGTGATTTACCATGCAAAAAAGTTATGGCTCGAAAGATGGATGTAGCTTTTTATTTGATATTATAATTCTACTGTTAATTAAGCACTATGTACGGAATGATATACGCCTTATGTTATGTAAATACTGATGTAAAACGAAAATCAAAACTATAAAATTAAGTATTAAAAACAAATAAGTACGTAATTAATATGGTTATTTATAATATGTATTTTATAAAGAATGATTATTTTACATATAAAAAAGACCGTTTATGGCAAATGTCATTGTACCACACAAAAAAATAAACAACAATTGTTAGACATGAGAACACTAAAACAAATCGGTATGGAGGTGGTTCTTACACAACAAATACTGTAGTGAATCATGCTGGCTAAGGTTCTAGTTCAACGCACGTCAAAGGCATTCAAACATACGTGGGCGTGCGGCGAGGTGATCGCGCGGCATAGGCAAGCATGCGCCGCTGGCGCCATTTGATAGTCCATGTAGTTGCCGTAGCCCATGTGGTCGCAGGTGCAAGCGCAGGTTTCTATGTGCCGCCGTAGCTCGAGCTCGAGCTCCCACGGCGGCTCCATTAGCGCGACGAGGCGGGCAGCCGCACGCAGCGGCGAACCCGCGCCTCCGCGCGCTGCGAATGCGGCCCCGGGCCGGACGCGGGCCGCACCTGCGCGACGCCACCTGTCTCCCCACCCCCTGCTCGACGTGTTCCACCATAAAAGTCAACAATTAACGCGATCCGACGCCAACGGCGCAGCCCTCGTGATCACAGCGGGCTCTGGGTACTCCGGCCGCACAGCAGCGGGCCGCGATGAGCGCGGATTGTAGCGTGTTAGAGCACATAGCGTTGCGGCAGGTTGCCGGCAGGGGAATGCCGCGCGCTATGAGCCCAGCCGAGTGCCGAGACCCGGGCGGCCCGGCCGCGCCGGCGCTCCGAGCTGCACGTGACAGGTCCGCCCCCACCTTGCGCCCCCGCCCTACGCTGTCACCCTCCACGCGTCGCACAGCGAGCCCGCGCTGCCTTCTCTATCGCTGGACATCTTTCAGATGCATAACCGTTAGACATAAATTAACTTTTCGCAATAACTACATTAGTAGATAATCTCCGCCTGTTTTGACGCATTTTTAAGATTTTTGCATTAAATTAAATAATAGGGAAACTACAAACCTGCGCTTAATTCCAAAGAAATAATTGAGAATATATCCTCACTACCATAATCTCAAATAGGATATTCAGAGGCATCTATAATACTAACTTTATCGTTATGCGAATGCAACCCGTGACATGCGGTAGACTATTTAAATGCAACGTGTGGCAAGTTTACTACCTTCACTCTTATTAATTTGTTTTGTTATCGATATTACAATCACCAGAAGGTTAGTTAGAAATTGAAATTCACATAGAATCTTGTAATTATACAAGAAATAAATTTTTTTATTACAAGTAGGATTAGATAAAACATACCCGTTGGCAAAAATGCCTTATTGTACACTATTTAGTTATTTATCTTTTTAGACTTAGTACTTGCCTTATATTATTCGATACGATTTAATAATAAAATTATGTCAATATATTATTTATTAATTCAATTCAATTCAAAACTTTAGATATTAGTAGGACAATTTTATACTATTTCGAAAGTACATTTTTAACCATTTTCGGTTGATATAATAAATATATTTGTATTTTTTAAACATTTTTGTTTGTTTGTTGTTAACAATTTATCTAAATTCACATAGAATATTAATTCTATGTGAATTTAGATAAATTTTATTTATTTTACTTATTATATTATATTTATATTTTTATTTATTTTTATTTAATAAAAAGAGTTCAAACTGCTTAATAAAAAACGATCAGCCACATCTATATCATGTACATATTTTATTCAATAGGTACACCCAAAATAAACAAAGCCGCTTCACCTCTTGTACTCTTCTTACCGCTCGGTATGGGTTACAATGTAATGCGAAATAAATAACTTTGATTATTATTTAATTCAATTTAACATTATTTATTTTTGCAATATGAATTTGATCCAACAAAACAATTTTGATCTAACATTATAATAAAATACAGTACATTCGTATTCAGCTTAGTAGGGATACAAATATATAACGAAATGTAATTAAAAGGAATTAGGTACAAATATAAATGTCAAAGTATAGAATTTAATATAGGTATGTTTATTTTAAAATTTGCCGTCAATTTAATCAGTGGCAAAGTAATGATGCGTTCATAATGTAAGTCTATAAATTCTTTAAAAAATATTTGCTGTAATAAGTCGTTATATATAATAGTGGAGTCTATCTTTTTTTTAACAAAACATGAAATTTAGGAAAAAATCTTATCGGTTCCACCTCTTTGCAATAGAGATGAAATTAATTTTAATTATTCTTATAGCTCGGTGAAAATCATTTCTACGAAAATTATTACTAATGTGCTTCGTATTCGTATTATTGTCAAGTAGTAGTTAATAACTAAAATAGTTATTGTGTACCTACGAGTACATTTAATTTATCTCTTCTATTAGTCGATTCTTGGACAAAGAATTAGTCTAGCTGTTCAAAGAGGGAACGCTGCCAGTATCTTCGGAACTTTGCCTAAAGGGATCCCTTTTAATAATATATTTTAGTTATTGTATTATATTTTTTAAGCTTTTTAATTTTAGGTTGTAGTTGTGTAATTAAGTTATGTAAATGATATAATTAGTTTAGTATTGTTGTCTTTAAAATTAAATAGTTATTAATAAATGTAATTATGTATTAAGTAGACCTACTTGATAATAATGAATCTATCTCACTGTCGTAACGCACTAAACGAAAAAGTCACCATCATATTAATTTTGGAATTTAATAAATAAGCTAAATTAGATATTTGTACAAACCATTTAAACATTATAATTATAGGTGAGGTATAGGAATTTCGCAGAAAACTGTTGATGATGGAATTCCAATATGACTGATAAGATGAGTCTGCATCAAATTGTGGGGCTAACACACCATCACTGTACTAGCACTTGTTCACTGACAACAATAAAATAATTAAATACGAATGCATAGAATAATCCTGGATAGGAAATTGTATTGACTGAATGTGTAAAGGTTGAATAGAAAATATTCAAACCACCAAATTTGGTTAGTTAAATATTATCGTAAATCCTATCTTCTACACCATAAAATTAAAACCAAAGAATGAATACTAACCATACAGATAGTAGAATATTAACATTATTCAATGTGAAAATAGACAAAATATATGATAAAAAAAATTCATATCTTCATCTTCGGGCATCTTGTATTACTTATGCACAATGCAAATGTTTAAAAAGAATCTGACGTTTTTTTAAACATTTGCATTGTTCTAATTGACACCTAAAACAGATGCATAAACATTACAATGTACCTATATACTTAAAACAATATTTCATTGGTATCAAATTTATATATAAATTTATTTTAAAAAATAAGTACCTCCGAATATTAAACTATCAAGGTCCAATGATTTTTTAATTTTTTATACTGAATAAATAAATCATAAAAGACCTTGCCTCACAAAAGAATATAGGTATACAGTTACATTACGATTTCCATAATATTTTACTTTTAGTGTACACAGACGAAAATGTTTGTGAGTTCAGCATACTGTACCTATTAAATGAATAGGTAAGTTATAGAACTGTACGTAGCCTTTGTAAATTCTAAGGTAAATATCAGATAGGTGCTTACAACAATTACTGTAAGTACCTATTTAGATTGCCGAAAATAAATATAAAAACAAAAAAAAATATTTCGATGCTATATAGTTATATCAAATAATTCTTATTGAATTGTATTGAAAGTGAAGTTTAAGTCGGATTTTTTATTAAATTATTTTGTATGATACGATTACATTACGATTTGTCAGTAGAATTAGGACGCAGGTGGCCTGGAGCAAGGAGGCTGTGTGCGCACGCAGGAGCTGGAGGGCGCTTGGCGGGAGAGCGCGGCAGTCAGCATGAGACGCGCGCGAAGTGTCACGGGCCCCTTGCGGCGCGCCCACCCCGCCTCCGGGGCCACCTGGAATGTTCAGGTACTTCACAAAAAATGCAACAATAACAATGTTCTAATAGCTAACTGTACTATATCAGAGTAATTACTAATATTTTTATAGACCGATAAAGACTTTAAAGCGTACAGTCTTTATCGGAAAACCTATTTTAGTAGTAGTATGTAGTGTTTATGCAACTTGCGAATGTAACCAATGGAAGATTGCGACTCAACAGTTGGCTGAAGACTTGTTGCGCAGTCACACTTGAAGTGGAATACATTAGAACTATTATTTTATTGGGAATAATAGGACCCCTGACGACTGACAAGAGCCGAGCCGAGTGAATGACAACATAACTTCACAAAAAGTGCTTCCCACTTATGTCTGCTTTCTTGAAGTCTGTATTTTTAAATAAATAGAAGACGTTATTTAATTATATATAAATAAAATGGGAAGCATATATTAGGTTCGTTCTCATTTTATGATAGTACCAACAAAAATAAAATTTCTTCCTTATAGGTTTCGTTCATGTGCTCTCATACTCGTATATTGTACAAATATATTTGATAGGGGCATAGAACATTCAATCCTGATATTACTACTAAGATAATCAATGAATATAATATCCAGTATTCTTAGATAATTTTATGTTAATATTTCTCAGTAAAATAAATCCGTCAGGGAATGGATTTATTATTGAGAAATATTAACATAAAATGATCTAGGAACACTGGATATTATATTAATTGCTCGTGTTCTAAAGAGATTTGAGTCTATTCAAATAAAACAATCATTAAAAGCTCATGTATTCCAGAGACAACAGAGTCTGGTACGTCTTATATATCGTAGGTATCGTCCATAAGTTAAATAGATACATAGACAGAACTTTTTTTTCCAAAAAGGACATACTATAAAGAAAATGAGACAAAATAAATACACAAATACTCATAATGGTCAGTTAACAATATAGAATATATAAACAACGTATGAGTATAATAACTCTCAAATGTCTATATAACAAATATAAAACTATTCCAAAAACAAATATTTTCTAAAGGTTTTGTGTGTTTATTTAACATCGTAATTTTATTTATTTTTTAACGGCGTGATTATTTACCACAATCCTTTTATCATAAATACTCATTTACAAACAAAAAATATTATACAAGCATGAATTTAATATGTTTATAGGTGGTCCGTGGAAAGATGTCATCACAATGCCTGTGGCACGCCTGCCGAGCGCTCTCAGCTGGACTGATGTTGATGTTGTTAGGAGCTGCTATGGCAGTCATAGGTATGTCTGTTATTATCATTGTAATCGTAGACTATATAACCAGTAGTGTCCTTATTATATGAAATATCTCGTATTTACTGTCATGACTATGCTTCAAACATAAAACATGCAATCATCAAACGAAAAGCTACAATTTGGCAAGGACAATATACAAACATCTGTCGGGTCTGCTAGTTTTTTTTGTTATTACATAAAACGGGGTTATTAACTTATCAATAACTCGGACTCTGACAGTCAGTAAGAACAGTAAAATTGAATAATGTCAATAAACGTAAGAAATATCTTTAGCAAATGTAAGATTTCTTATTTAATTTTATGTAGCAAAAAGAGAACTTTGAAATTACATTTATCTGTCACTTAGCTGTGCCTACTTAATTACTGGTGTACCTACTTAATTATGGTGGTAGACAGGTGTTGCAAGTTGATAATTAATTTTATTTAACATTAAATTAGATGCATGTCTCAAAACTTTTATAATAAAAAATTATATGTTGAAAACCGGAAATCAAGCATTTTTATGTTATCTGGGATATATATCATATATCAAGCATTTATATCTTATAACAACACAAAAGTATAGCACGATTTTCAATTATAGATAACTATTATTGTAAATCATGCTATATTTTTGTGGTAATAACATTAACCTTAATAACATTAAAGTCCTCAAACTACTATCTACATATTAATATTTACATTTGTATGTTCTCGACCGATATCCAAACTGGAACCTCATCCAGAATCTCATTAGGGCGCGTAATGTGTTTGCACTACAAAGATTGTTAGCATAGGTGCCTGCCTGTAATATACTATGTAGAACCTACTCGGCACGTTCGATAAAAATAAGTATGTACGTATATTAAATGGCATTTTCACATCGACATGTTGCTCTTTATTACGAATGTGATTTGCTGCGAGGGTGGCGGGGGATGGGTTGTGGTTCCTGTCGAGAGAGCGTGTTCCGGTGTTGACGCATCCGGTCTGAAATCGTATATGTGCAACTACATCACATATATGTATTCATATATGTGATGTAGTTCATATTCTGAGGCTTTTTGTAAAATACCTGTATTAAGCTTACAATGCCCAAAAAACTTATTTTGGTTATTGGTAATATATTTTACTAGTATTTGATGTGTTTGTAACCTATTTAAAAGATAGGTTTTTATTATACGAAATATGAAAACATTATGCCAATGATAAATTACTCGTTAATTAAGCCTAATATTATACGTATTAATACCTTTACACCTATAGAAATATAAAATTTTATGATGTAAAGAAATGACTACGAATAAACTTTTTTACGTAGTGTATAATATTTTCAATATTTATCTTAAATAATGTCCTTAAACACGTACTATGTCACAGGATATTATGCAGATACCTTATCAGTAGCGGAAGAAATCCGAGGCAACGCAACTATCTCAGTAAAAGACGAAACTCGAGGCTTCCATCTCAACAACCTTTCATATGCGGGACCTATAGTAATGGGATTTGGAGGTAAGCAGATTCTTTGTATGTTTACAAAATTAATTAGGAATAACTATATGTTTGTCTAGTTCTAGCTGTATAGCATGGCAATCAATGCTTTCTACTTCGTTTGTAGAATTTTGTACAATCACAGATAACATAATATTACATACAACAGAACTATTATGACATATAAATAGTTGTTATTACAACGATTTTTAATCTAACACAACATGTGACCAGGTGTGGTTTACAAATAATTAGAAAATTTATGAGAGGATAAAAAAAAGTTCAGATAAAATTAGAAAACATTATTTCAGGAACTGGATGGTAATATTTTCAAATTGATTTAATAATTACAATATTATTTTATTAATTATATTACCAGGGGACACTTAGTAATAAATCTGATTACCCACTCACCTTATGAGAATTGAGAACGTGTGAGTGATTCCTCTAATGTAACAGTAGCTAATCTGCTGCAGTGACCGTCACGATTAGTTTTCGTAAACTATTCTGCCATCCTCATTGTATTTAAACTGCTTTTCAGGTTTCATAGTAGTGGCGGCTTGCGTAATGACATTCGAGGCGCGCGACAGTGCCGCTAAAGTGACACCAGCGCGGCCGCAAGCGCTACCCCGGCCGGTGCCTCGGCGTGGGCCACCATGCGCGGCACCAGCTCGCCTCGACCAGCTCGGTGTGTACCGACTGCCGCACGTACTGCCGCTGCCACATGCCTTACCGCTACCACCCATACACAGATATCGAACACCTCATACGATCAGGTACGACAACCAACAAAATCTGTCTCGATTGAAATGAATCGAAATATACTTCTTCATAATTTCTATATAATAATGTAAATAAACACAATAAACTATAATGATGTAAAATTATTATTTAGCTTCGTTTTTATTTTATTATATATGTACTTAAATAAATTATTTATATTTCTATTCGATTTAATTTGAGACTAACTTAGTGATGATTTTTGACCCAGTAGTTATGCTGACCATTTTGCTTATAAAGTACATTCATATATGGCGTTTCGTCTTATCATTAACCCACATCCGTTATTCACTAACGATTTTCATTACTATTAACAGATAAGGATGCGAACCAGTACAATTTATATATGTATGTAGGAATGCATGTATTCCAGTATGTAACAGAAATACGTAATTGTAAAGATCTTTATTTTACCTTACCATCCATATCTGTAAACCAACCAATGCACAGACGTCAAGTGGCCTGTTGTAATCCATCAATCGCAGGCTACTTGAGAAAATAGGGCAGTGAGTGTATATGGCACAGAACGGCTGATGACAAAGTGAAGGGCCGCGCACGATTCGGCTCGGCGCCTGACTTGCGTACGGGCAGCGCGCGAGCCGCGCTGCCGGTTAGCACTCTACGACGGCCGCTACGCCGCTACGCGCTCTCCGTAGACGAGCCACCGCAATCCGCAGTCAGGTAACCGTAGCTCGCATTACCACACCTCCATTCGGCTATTACTGCTTCAAATCAAATTATTGTTATTGATTTTAGTTAATTGACTATAGTAGTTTATTTTTGTAAGTACAAGCATATATTACTTTCACAAAGTGTTTATATAGCGATGTATATTTATTAACAAATTTGAATATTCGATTACGTTGTTGTAAAATGTAATTCATGTTTACGAGGTAACGGAACAGACGGATAAAATTGCTGTATTTATTTAAATAAGAAATTACATTTTTAACATACTTGGTAATCAGAATGTCAACAACAGCAAGTAAAAAATACATATTTGAATCAGCAACTCTTCAGATTTACTTAAGTAAAATATATTACGATTAACGAAATAATAATAATTGGATCAGAGAGTCCAAAATAAGTGCATGATTTTAGCTGGACACATAGTCTTACCAAATGTTTCTGCCACAGCGCTAGCGCGGCAGAGTCAGAGTGCGGTTCTCAATCATCGTTGGCGTTGGACCTGCATGGCAGCGGAGCTCGCGGTGGTGTAACGCTTCGCGTGCGAGACAGCTCACGTCGTCGCCCCTTGGCGCGACAGCAGCGCCTTCGAGATGACACCATTCATCGTTAGTATTCTTGAATGTTGAATAATTAAAAGATTAAGTTTTAATATATATATTTGCTTTTTAATGGCTCGAATATTTTGTGATTTAGACAATAGTTTCAATTAAACCATAAATGACAGAAATATTATTCCCATTTTAACTTATATATCTCTATTTATATGTTTAACATTATTCTTTTGCTTACAGCAACAGCAGGTGATAGTATTACCAATATAAACAACACGACAGAAGAATCGATATCGAGGTATATTATTTGATTTTATTGTATGATCAAGTATTATTATGTAAAAAATAAAACACTATTAAACAATCAAGCTCAGCATTATTTTAAAGAATACTTATATGTATGTATAAAAAAATCATTTAATAATACAATGAGAATAAAGTGTAAAATTCTTTGACCTATTTTTTTTCAGACCAAATGAGGAAGGGGAAGACAATAAAAATTCTGTAGAAATGGTGCATTTGTGTGGTGATCACGGCCGCGCCAGAAGCGCGCCGCCATCGCCGCTGCAGGATCTCACTTCCTCACCGGCATCACCCTCCTCGCACGCCACAGATACTTGCATACTAATAGAGGAATCACCCATCGAGGAATTTGTAGAATGCCCTTCACCAGATAAATGAAAACGAGACGTGTCTCGGGACACCGAGACTTTACAACCCGGCGCGCTCACAAATGATGACCTTTGTTGATATTTTGTATAAAATTATACAATTTTTTGGTTACTCTTTATTATATGTACTTAACAATTTATAGTTAAGTATGTCCACTTGAGGGCTTTTCGATGTGTCTTCGGAAAACGACGACAATTATCTATTTTTTAGATCCACGTTATAATACCTATATATAATAATGTTGTTTAGGAATGTTTATGACGTGTATACATTAGTTGTAAGGCGTTGTATGACGGACTTAGTAGGATATATTATTAAGAAATGGTGTTATCGTAGGTTATACATTGATGGATAGAGAAAATTGGTGGTATTTGCAACAATTTGAGATGTACTTAGAATGCGATATTATTGCGAATAAAACATATAAAACGGCAAATGAAAAAATTTACGTTACTTTTTAATTACTATTACATAATACTTTCAAATAAAAAATAATTTTGTGAACTTCAAAAAATTATGCTACTGGGTTATTAAATTAAATATCAAGAATATTATCATCAAAATATTAAAAATAATTTTCAGAATTAACAACTGAATATATATTTATAAATTACGAGACAATTATATCAAACAATTCTAGCATATTTTCATAGCAGAAGAAAGTTATATATCATATCTGTGTTAGTTTTATCCAGTGCCAGATTATTTATAATATAATTTGAATGATAAATTACGTATTTCTCTATTACTTTTAGAAAATGCTGGATTTATTTATCCTTACATTATTTTTTCTTTTTATCATAATGTATATACTTATAGTTTTATTTTTATTATGTATAATTTTTACGCTGCAATTTGTCATGTACTGTCAATCTTGCATATACAGAATTTAGATTAATGTACTGCGTAGCGCTACGTACGAACGACGTAGCTATTTTGTAACGCTCTTTGTTGCTGGTTTGCGGGTCAGAAAATAACCAATATCTCTATGTTTTCTTTACCCATACTTAGTCAGTGATGATACATTCCAATTGCTTTTAATGTATCTAGTTTCTAAATATATATACATACTAGAATAATAATCAATATAACTGTTATACTCACAGTGTTAATTCTTATGCCTGCTATGAGTACAACCAAAAGTACTTGAATTTTAGAGAAATAGTATAATCTCTTTCTGATTGTTAGTGGGTACTGTAGCGTCTGAGTGGTATCTACTCGTCAGGTGCAAGCTCAGCAGTAAAGAACCAAACTCAAAGAAATTTGACAAGTTTATTCATTGTTAATTCAGGAATACAACGGTACAAACACTGTTTTAGCTTCAGTCGACTGTAGAAAGGATTTCCCATTCTGCTGATAGCTATACATAGTTTAAACGCTTATTTTGTTTGCATACAAATTTGTGTAGTGGCTTTACCAGTTTTGAGTTCTGTATATCGCTTATCAATATATTTTGAATGAAGGCATTAATAATTATGAACATAAAACATTTTTTAAACAGAATACGTAATTCATATCTTAAACGTATATTATTTAAAATTTACATACTCGTATAACTAAATTACAAATAGTACCAAAAATTGATTAATGTGTATAATTCTATTACGTTTCAGAACATTAATTATATAAGACTGATAAAGCGAATTTTGTATAAATCTAAAATCATAAATTAATGTAATAAATTAGAATTATTATTTTTTATAAAGTACAGTTGCTTGTTATTTTACTACTAATATTGTACTTACATTTTACATAGCTAATATGCATCTATATCATCTACAATATCTAATTGAGTTTCTTCATTTTAAAAATCGCCGTGGCTGTAAATATATTACCTAATGTACATTTGCAAACTTTGTATTAGTTGCAAATGAAATACCTTTCTATATTACACTTTAAATAGCAATATATAATTGATTATATTGCTAATTATTGTTATTAAGTAATTTCAATGTAGACATTTCAATTGTGGAGGTATTTATTTAGTTGAAGGATAGTATTTAGTAAAATTAATAAATAAAAAAATGTTAATTGTATATTTTTATTCCAAAAGTCTTTTTAATGGCAGTATAAGGAGGCTCGTTTTCCCAGCAGTGGAGCATTAGTTTGCAATATTAAAAATTTTCTATATACGGGTGTATTATATTGAATAGCTTATTTTGTTTATAGACATATTAAATAGTAGTCAACATGAAACTAAACATAGAAATAATTTTCTCCATAATTGTTTTATTCATTAATAATTTTCTAAGTATTATGTTTTTGTAGTGGTTATGTATGTACCTATATTTTGCAGCAGCTTTATATATAACATAAATTATGTGACAATTTAAATAAGAATGTGATAAACGATTCTAACTTATTGTTAGAGAGGACCGGCGATCGTTGTGTTGCATTCTGTAGTTAGCACATACGAATTCACTCGTTTTAAGTCTAGTTACGTATTGTAGTACTTATACATGAAACTTGTATATTTGTAAAGGTAGATAATATAATTATGTGAATAATTACACAACTTATTTTACGTTTTATCCTGGCAAAACTTCTATACTTGAATGTTTTATATACATGATTTCTGTAACGTTTTTCTTACATAATAAAGATATGATGATAATCAGTGAATGACATAAGTAACAATTACATGTAAAAGTACGTTATATTTCTAAAGTGAAAAAATAACTGTTACTCTCATTTCGCAATTTAATCTCAACCACACTGGATATACATGCCATACACTGGACACTAAATAACTAATAGACGCACTTAAAAGTATTTTTTTAAATACATACACATTAATATAGTAGAAAATACTCAAACTAATTAACACAAACAGATTTAACTAGGGAGATCCTCAAAACATTTATATTATTAAAACTGTAATTAAAATAGTTTCATTCTTATTATTTTATTCATTATACTATATATTAATAAATTACGCAAACATTGTTACATGTACTCGCAACAAGGGCCTAGTTTAAAAAAAGTGACACTTAAAGTCGGACGTTAAATGGAAGAGAGTCGTATTTATTCATTCATCCACATAGCATAGAAGTATTTATTACACTATATTCATGTAGGAACTATTATTAATGTAGATCGGTGGACCCACGAAACAGTTCCCGTAATAACACGGCACTACAGTGTCTCATTATTAAAGTGAGCTATGCCGTTTATCTGTGTCGATTATCTACGAATATCGTAGAGGAGCAATCCCCGCCTTTTTTAGGATTGCATATTTGTAATCAATTAGCTGTATAGATTAACTTAGACGGTTGCGTCCTCATACACATTCTTTCAGTCCGTGTCACAATTTTTTTTCTAATGTGTAAGCATCTTATGTATCACTCTCGTAATAGATCTTAAAATGTATTTATTTGTTCAGGGCCGTTAAAGCGTTCGAACTAGGACACAGAAAACGTACTCGCAATACACTACTGTACTAATTAAATAAAAAAATTGATTCAGTGTTTCTAATTAATGAAGCGATGTAAAGTTTATATTTATGTTACTAAAAAATTAAATTTTATCACTTTAAATAATTACATTTTTGTAAAATTATTTTTATTAGCCAATTACCTGACTGATGAATTAATTCGTATTAATAAACTTTTATACGGACTTGAAATAATTATATATACATTAGTACATAATGCAAGTCTCTTGTAATTATTAAAATGTCATTTCAAATAATGATGATGTGTACTCGATCCAAATGGTTGTTGTGATGTCTATTAAACTTGTTGAATATAAGGATATCTCTTTTATTTTTGACTATTTGTTTCAGACGAAAATATATATATTAGTTCGTTCGATAGACTTAATTAATATAATCATATAGTTTTTCATGTACTCGCTCGACTGGACATATACTAGGGATTATCCATCAGGACGGCTTCTGATTGAATGCATAATCAATGACCGAACCGGGTGTTTAAAAATTTGAAATTCCAAATTTCAAGTGATAGTATTCACTTCTAAAATAAAACACAGTGATATGTAAACAATACTACTGTGTAATGTGATAAACGGACTATGCAATACTTTGATTGGCACCAAATAATTTTCAATGAACTTCTAAGATAACTTTCTGTGGTTAAGTCTGCAATTAAAATACATCCTTTATAACACTATCGTTTTAGTTATTGTATGGTTTCTTACATTAATAAAACTGTATGTCACTGAAAGTTTTCAATGCACAATCTGCGCACTAATACCTGAGGTAATCCTATCAAAGGTGTCAAGGCAGATAATCCACAGAATTTCATTAGCGTGTAATACGAATGTTATAAAACTGAAAAACTTACTCCCGAGACCAGCAGTCAGTCAGTTGGTTAGGCTAGCAGTCGCACTACCAAGGACTGCTCACGCCTTCCCTATCTATAATGGAAAATCAAACATACAACCAATACAACCACGTACATGATCCTCGTTTTGAGTACTATAGGTGAGTATATTTTTAATTATATTTTATATATACTTTCGAATAACATATATATGACCTATATGATTAAAAATGCTAACAAAATCAAATAAAAAAAATGGACACAGGGTTCATTACTGTGTCTATAATTTACGGTTGAAATTTGATCAAAGTATAAAAGACGAATAAATAACATTAGCGCAAAGAAGCTTTCCAACAAATAAGTTATAATATAATATACATAATAACTTATTTTTAGTTTCACTACAATTTATATGCATTTAATAGGAATGCCTAATACAATTTGCATAATTTGTACCTATTTTTAACCAAATAGTTACCTATAATTTTATAATGGTTGGATTTTCACAACGATGCTACTTAAATTTTTTTTTGTTATCCTGTACTGTGTGTTTACGTATATATTTTATTTACTGTAATTACAATATTTCCGCTTTGTCGCTTCAGAAATCGACAGCATTAGTAAGTTCTGATATTGCTCGATGACATAATTATACAATTGACGAACAAAATTTTTAATTTCATTTCCAAACACTATATGTATACATATAAATATCGTTTCAAACTGATAAATATAAGTAACTTCGAAATTTAATATTGGCCCAACCTGAGAATAAACCCTATCGATTGCAAAGCGAATCATTGAAATCCGTTCCATTTTAGCGAAAATATCGGATAACACACATGTTAGGAACACGCTTAACCTTACCGTAAAATTAAAAAAAATAAATGCAGGTTCAGTATAAGAATAGAATTCAAATCTATTTAAAAGATATAAGGAGACCTGTTGTAGACTATCTAATATAATAAAAGTAATGGAATGGATCTCAAAAAGGTAGTATTCTAGAGATATACTACTACTATACTGTAGTATGGAGTGTTAGTATACTGTAGAAGAAGGAAGGAAAAAAGAAAAAAAAAGTGACCATGTTGAAGAGTATTATGGATTTCTCAGTTGGTTATTATGGTGATTGTAATAAAACTAGGCAATTGTGGATAAATGAAATTAATTTGCTTCCGTATATTGTGAAAAGATCAAATGCAATGAAAAAAACAAAAGAAGAACAGTGACAGGAATATTTAAAAGTATATGACTATACAAAAGTATTAACAAGGAGGTTTTAATCTCCAACATGCCCCCGGGCGTTGAAAGCCTTAACTCTCAACCATCTTCAGGCTCAAGAAGTGGACGAGATATATGGGAGAATGACTTGCAGACAATTCCAGTATCTATCTTGATATCATCAACTAGACTAATTGCGTTTAAACGACGATTAAAAGTCTCAACTTCCACTTAAATAACGGAAGATTGTCCTCCTCTTAGGACAATGACCACCTTGAAAATATCGGTGATTGTTCGCCATATAATGCGCTACTACAATTCTGGTACAATGCTCCAACGGGATGTAATAATGTTGACATAGTTGCTTAATCGGCAGGAATCCAACTTCAAATGATGATGAGCATCTTGTATGTAGTTTGGCGCCAGCAATGATGTCAAAAGATCCGTTGAGGGAATATATTAATGGCTTCTTATCATCTGGGTCTGATGCTAACAGAGTGAGCAGTCGAGAATTCAATACGTCCTTGACTTGAACCAAAACAGTGTTGAGCTCTTCATAAGCTAAATGACAATTTCCCAACACTCTTTTCAATTTAAATTTTGATTTTACGCCCGATTCCCAGAGACTACAATTTAATAAAAGCCGGTATTAAATGAAAAATTATATCCTCATTGGCTGCACCACCAATGAAAGAATTGCAGATGTTCTTCAAAAAAGAAGGCTACATTAAGGATCGGCGAAGTCCTCATGACACCCTAGTATTTTAGGCTTCGTGTCGCCGCCGCGCCTCGTCGATACGCTATGGTAAAAGTTTACCATCAGGCAAACAAGCCTACGGCCCGTATGCTTGTTGGCCACCATTTTAGTATAAAAAAGTAAAGAATTATTTGAACAGATGGGTGCGATATTACTAGTATATACCTACGTGTAGATTATAATTAGGTACTAGATATGTTTATTAATCATAACAGTATCAGATATAACTATATAAAAATAGGACTTGATTTAATAAATTACCAACTATATGAATTACTATTTATATCCTCCGTAGTCTAGTGGTTTAGAACTTACTTCCGATGGTCACGGGTTCGATTCCTGGCACGGTACAAGCGTTTGTATCCATGAGTATTATTTTTCGTATCTATCTGAGTGTTTTCTATATATAATAAACATGTATGTATTTACAAAAAGATATACTTATTTGTGAATTTATATCAGTTGTCTAGTACCTATAACTCAAGTTCTAGCTAGTTTAGCGGTACTAAGCGACGCTGTACGAATTGTCGTGAAATATTATTATCTACTAAGTATTTATTATATAATAATTAAACTGTTGTGTTCTTGTATTACAACAAGGTTTTCCCTGAGTGTATCAATTTGCTTTCTACTTCTTTATCTATCAATAGAATTTGACTGTTATAATTGTTTCAGCAGAACTAGTAATGAAGTGGAGATGCTCGGCGCCGGTCTAGTCGGAGAGGACTTAGCCGCAGTACCAGATCACTGGCTCTCGTTTCCCGCACCCCCCGCTAGTGCTCACACTGCCTTGGCCCTGCTATACATCTTCTTCACAGCAGCTGCATTGCTTGGAAACGGCCTTGTGATATTCATATTTTCAACGTTAGATTATTTATCTCCTATTAATATCTTTTCACTGTGCTATATTGAAGTATTATTTTGTTCTATTTGTGTCTTTGAGTATTCTTACATAAGATATCGTCCTACCGCCGTCCGCAGTAACCCAGTGTCATTTCGCGCTCTGGATAAGAGCCTACAATAATTAATTGAACTGTAGAAAAACTAGATTTTCACCAAAAAATGAACAAGCCAAAACAGTATATAATTTGAAAAATTACGAATTACGAAGATATTTATATTTACTTTAAAACGAGTAGAGCAAAACATAAATATTAATGGCGAAATTTAAATTGAAAGTATTGTTATCGCACTTGGTAGAGGGGTGGCGCAAGGTCTCTGAATAGAGATAGAACGAATACTGATGAATACTCGTACCTACATTGTAATTTCATTGCGTGGACACAGTCCTCTTAAGATTCAATAAATGAACACATAAATAACTACTACCATAACGTTTAATTATATTCACATACGTTAAATTAATAAGGTAATAGGTTTATTACGGATTAAATTAATTATTATTAATTTACAGAACAAAGAGTCTTCGAACATCAAGCAATCTTCTGATCCTGCAATTAGCTATACTGGACTTTATTATGATGGCGAAGGCACCTATATTTATCTACAACAGCGCTATGCGAGGCTTCGCTGCCGGCACGCTTGGATGTCAAATATTTGCTGTCATGGGAGCTTATAGTGGTATTGGTGCAGGAATGACCAATGCTTGCATAGCATATGACAGGTCCGTATATACTTATCATCTATATTACGCAAATTCCTTGATTATAAGTTCAAGTAAATTTTAAAGAAAAGAACTGTTGACCTATCTATTCTATATTGCTATAAATTAATACAGACAAGAATTTTGTAGATAGATAAGGCATGTAGAAATATTATAATAATTGAATTCTCCCCTGTCTAATGGTTCGGTTGGAATATTTTTATTATGTACTTATTATTAGATTGTAAAATTGTATAATAAAAAATTTACATTAAAAGCGAATATCACAAGCACACAAGAATTATTTTACAATTAATGTCTCCTACAACGGTTTAATCAGTTTTTGTAGATATTAATAAATATATAAAAGTTCTTAGGTTTTCTATTTTAATATATAGGTACTTTAAAAAAAATACAATATATACAATCAACTTATTTGTCCTAACAAATATTTTCAGGCATTCAACTATCACACGGCCTTTAGATGGGCGATTGTCACGTGGTAAAGCCCTGTTGATGATAGCTATGGTCTGGATTTATGCTACACCTTGGGCATTGTTGCCATTATTTAAGATCTGGGGAAGATATGTGCCCGGTAAAAATGATTGAATTTTTATTAATTTTTGGTCTCACCCACTGTCCTTGCAATAACTGGTCACGTTTTGGCACGTCCTCGCTAGTAGAAATTCACAAATTTTGTAATTTTATTAACATTGTATAAATAAATATAAAATTTACATTATCCTTAATTTTTACATGTTATAATTAGACTTTATATTTTAAAAAATAACGTAATAATAAATTTAGAACCTCTCCCACCCATTATCACACTTTGTCGACCGACCATTTCCTCTGCATCCCCCTAACCAAAGTCAATACCAAACCAAGTCATGGATGGCTTATGTGTTACAACCCCAATAGTATAATTCTTACAATTAAAATTTTTATAAATATATCGTCTAAATTGAATGGAATTTCGCAATTGTATATTTCATTTTATTAAGCTTTAACTTACGATTTGTTCACAGAGGGGTACCTAACGTCTTGTAGTTTCGATTATCTAACGAACACTTTTGACACAAAATTATTCGTGGCATGCATTTTTACTTGCAGTTATGTTTTCCCTATGTCGATGATAATGTATTTCTACAGTGGCATCGTAAAGCAAGTTTTTGCACATGAAGCAGCATTGAGGTAAATAATTATTACATATTTATATTTACAAATTTAAGAGTTTGGATTTCAACTTACTTCTAAAAAATACCAAACCGATTGATTTGTTTTGCATGAAATATCTGTTCATAAATAAAGTCTGTCCTGGCCATATCTATTGCTTAAAATACTTACTATAGATGTCAAAAATATGGGTACCCTAACATTCCTACAAAATATTTGTGAGTTCCTACTATTCATTCTATTCAGTTTTAATGTGAAGATAATTAATTATTATTTACTTGGTGGTAAGTTTTAATTTCCTTCACATTAAGGCATGAATTATATAATATCAGTAGGTAATAAAGTATATACCTATACGAGTAGTAACTCTCCAGAAATCAAATGAAGAATGTCAATTGATGACAAACTTAGAAGAAATTTAAAGAATTCCCGCCTTTTATCCATAGGGAGCAAGCTAAGAAGATGAATGTGGAATCGTTGAGAGCAAACCAGAATAGTGGCGCACAATCAGCAGAAATCCGCATTGCAAAAGCTGCGTTAACAGTATGTTTCCTGTTTGTGGCGTCGTGGACACCGTACGGCGTAATGGCTCTTATAGGTGCATTCGGAAATCAACAGCTCCTTACTCCTGGGGTACCTACTCAGAGATTAATATGCCATATAAAAATCAAAATAAATATCAAGAAATGCAATGAGTTCTTAAATAATAAAAAATAGATACCTTACATTTTTCTGTATTGTACCAAATGTAGACTGATTTTAAGTATGGATAGGTGTTTTTAATTTTTTACATATTTCAGGTTACAATGATACCAGCTGTGGCGTGTAAAGCAGTGGCTTGTATAGATCCATGGGTTTATGCAATAAGTCATCCAAAATATAGGTAACTTTCGTAGCAAATTTGTTAGTTTGTTACGATGAATATGTGTTCTTATTAATTTATTTATTTTAGACAAGAACTTCAACGGCGTATGCCATGGCTTCAAATCCATGAACCCGACGATACTACTTCCACTGCTACGATGAATACGGTGAACAGTGCTCCTCCTGCCACGACCGCTTAGACCTTAATTTTTATAGAATGTTACGGTGTATTATGACGAAATAGAATATATTCTTGTATACTGTTAATGGATATTACTTTTTATTGCTTTACATAATAATTGTACTCTTCTGACTGAATGTAGCCACATTATATTTTAACAACGACAATGGCTTTGCTAATGGATCTTGATTAATGTTTTTTTTTTATTATTTAATTATTAATCGTTGTTAAAAAATACTAGAATGCATGCAATAACGGCATTTTTATTCTTACTACCTATACATACCAAAGGAATGAATCCCGAAAAAGGAAAGAGGACAATTTTTTTTTCAAATATTGAAGAAAGTCTTATGATTATTACTCAAGTTTATTTTTATCCTCTTTTATGGAATACTAGAGAATCGAGAAATAGATAGAATAGTAATCTTAGCAAAATGTGAAAAAAATCGATTTCTCTTAATATCGGTTAAATTCACATAACATAGTTAGGCAATATTTTATTAGTTCAGGTAGAATTCGAATTAGTTATTTCTTTAAGTTTGTTTCTTTTTTATTTTATTTTAATTGATATTAATAGCAGGTACTGTCTATTGTTTTTTTTTTATTTCCACAGACAGCGGTCCGTGCCTTTGTTGACTTTATCTATCTCCATTAAAATTAATTAAAATTTTCATTTATTAACATTTTATGGTTTACCGCCCTATCTATATATATATATAACAATTAGAAATTACATTATATATTATAAGTTACAATTAGAATCCGATCCAAAAACTATCTGTCTTTTGGTTGACATGTTTCATTGGTCAATAAAGCATACGTAGATATATTTTTAACTGGTGCAAAGTGAAAATAAACTACTATTACTATGACAGCTTTGCGTTGTGTAACTTATTCGCTGTAATTGTATTTATATAAGAATAAATAGATTTTATTATTATTGAATTGTATATAAATAGGGAGTTCATTGTAATATAATTCGTAATTCCAATCTAGCTCCAATTAGCTTATCCACAATTGGACTTTATATCTTGGTACTTACCCATCTAGAAATCAAACATGGAAAAGTATAAGATGTAGTTCACTCAATAAATAAATATATATATACCATTGGAGAATTCCAATAAAAAAGTAAATCACAAAGGCTTCATATCATCCACTGAAAATATAAAAACAATATAATATTGTCCAAAAAATATATTTTTATTGTAGTAGACAACACGAGGGCGCGCGCCCGGCGCCCAGCCTGCACTGCGCGCGCGTCCCACAACAACGCTTCGCTATCTACGTCCAGCTCTCTGTTTTAATAATTGGAATAATTTATTTAATAATTACAACGCTTTTTTATCTGTCCGTATTTTAACATTAGGTATAACTAACTTCGTTTTGTATAACTTGGTGTAAGAACAGCCTTCAGGAATTGAAAAAGGGTGGCGCAATATGCGCCTCACAGCACTGTTTCCATTTCTACTCGTGTCCGCTCTCTGAAACAGTAAAACATACTATTGATCCATATAAATTAAACATTGAATATTATAACTATACTACCTTCTACTTTATGTACATATAAGTTGTGTAGATAATAACAATTCACTATAAATTGTACCATAGAACTAAAACCAATAGAAGACGATAAGTTACATAGATATTTTCCTATACAGCCGAACTACGCTTATCTGTCAATGTGATCATGGAACCAATTTAGAAAGAACGCTTGTAAGTATAATGGGAGAACCTGGCGCGTAAATCACCGCAAGACAGCGGACGGTCGAGATCTGGGAGGAGGTCGGCGGTGGCGTGCAGTGTGCGCGGCCTGGTGGCGTCGTGCGGCAGTCCGCCCGCCAGCAGCGCCGCCGCCGACGCCAGCCTCCGCGGCGGCGGCTGCAGCCCGTGCGCCGCCAGTGCAGCCGCCAGCTGACGCGCGCGTGCCATTGCCGCGTCGCGCTCGTGACGCGCCCGCCACACCTTATAACCAACGTTTATTAATTACTAGCTGTTCCCGCGACTTCATCCGCGTGGAATTTAACTTTATTTTTCTAAAATAAAAGTAGCCTAAGTTACTCCTTATTACATCAGCTTCCTGCCAAAAAAAGTCCCGTCATTTTAGAGATTAGCCGGAACAAACAGACAGACAAAAATTGTAAAAAATGTTATTTTGGTATATGTATACCGTATTCATATGCATCTAATAAAAAACGTTTATTTCAATATTACAAACAGACACACCAATTTTATTTATATGTATAGATTAGCAGTGCCCGCAGTTTCACCCGCGTGAAGTTTATAGCCTATATGTTAATCTGATTTCATCAAAATTAGTTTAATTATTAATTAGTAGTTTTTGCATGAAAGAGTAACAAACATCCATACATACTCACAAACTTTTGCGATTATAATATTAAGATTTGACGGCCTAGCTTTCGATTCCTCGCACAGTACAAACATTTGTATTAATGAGTATTGTTGGTATTAATCTGAGTGTTCCCTATGTTATTTACGAAAGAAAAAAATATATCAGTTGTCTAGTACCTATAACATAAGCTCTGCTTAGCTTAAAACTAGATGGCGCTGTGTGCATTGACCTGAGATATTATTGTAAAATAATTGTCTTTAATATCTATTTATATATTATTTTCTTAATAAAAAATAACTGTACTGCATAGGTGGATGCACCATTCCATTATCATTCATTTAAAACAACTCAAAACTTAATAGTTAAGTATATATTTGTTACTTGCTCAGTAAAGAGGAGTTAAAGAGAGAAGCAAGATACTTCACAGGAAAATATCATCATCAGATCTTGACTTTTACTACTTTACTTATGAAAACCTAATGTCAATAACCAGATAAATCCATGCATTTCAGAATTATGTTTAATTTGACGAGTATATTTAATAGTTAAAGTAACTTATTTGTACTTGATTTTCTTCATAATATAATGTATTATATTATATTTGGAATATACTTATAGAAATTATACCTAAACGTAATGTAATTAAAAGCAATAGATACCTGTGCGGCGCAAACAGCAGAGCGACAGTGACCCCGAGATCCCGTACCGAAACCTCGAGCTGCTGCCTCTACCACGGCGCCATGAAATGACAAAGATTGACCTGAAAATAATATTTATGCATAATCAAGCAATTCCTTTGTTATAAATCAAATACATACGTATATACTATGTAATACAAAAAACAAACTAAATTATATAAATAATATTCTTCATGAATGAAAAATATTACAGTCTCTCAATGTTAGCATTAAAATATTAAGTAGCTCTTTGTTAATTAATAAGAAGAATAAAATTATTGACATGTCCCTGCAAGATGTTTGTTTTACACACAATATACATATATGTACCAATGGATTTATTAGTAAAAAAAAAACATTTCAGAGGTGTAAACATATAAACACATACCCATGGACAATGATACTAGGGCACAACAAGAGCCCACACTGGAGGCAGCGAGGTGTGTTCGCATGTACCGGAAGTAAACATGTTCCAGCAACAGCAATAGTGCCGCCAGCAAAATTCCCGCCATTAAAAGTAAAAATGCTGACAGGAACTGCTCCAGTGCCAATGGGTCGGATGACTTATGTTCTTGTTTGTTTGGCTTGCATGTTCCAGTCATCCAGTATCTAAGTACATACAATAACACATATAACTGTATAAAATACATATCATATACATAGGTAGGTATTATTTATTTTATTGACGGCCTCGGTGGTGTACCAGTTTAGCACAATGCTTTATTTCCTATGGTTGTGGGTTCGATTCCACAGACTACACACATTTGTATTTATGAGTATGCAAGTTTGTATTGGTCTGGGCCTTTTTCTATGTGTATATTATGTATGTATTTACAAAAAATATATATCTATCAGTTTTCTAGTAGCAACAACACTAGCTCTACTTAGATTTGAACTGAAATTGAATATTTTTTGTAATTTAAAGTGATCTATCTCTTCTTCTTTTTTTTTATTTATCCTGCAATCGGCTTACCAAGCCTTTCACAGATTGGTTGTGGGACTGTTGACGGGAGAGAACTATACCTCCAGTGAGGAAACTGTCTCATCGGTGAATAAGATCCCATGCATGGAGTCTCTTAAGCCTTCTGCATTGCAATGGGTCTCGTAGTGCTGTTGCAAAGATATTGGTATGCGCCCCTATACGATCTCTGTATACTCTTGTTCTGTACTCTACTTCTTCTCTGATTCTAATTCTAATGAATAGAGGTGCAGCAGTTATGGTTTTGAGTGCTTTAAGTAATTTAAAGTGATAAAGTTATTTTCCTTATATCTCACTAGACCCATGATAGAATAACTGACATATTTGGGTGTCATTCTACCTAATTTTCAATCTAACATACCTGCGTAATCTCTCCAAATCTCCATTAGATCGCAAATCAAGCAATCTTTTATTGAACATACTGAGGTATTTAGAATTGCGTGTAAATGCTAATCCATAGCCAGACATAGCGTACCAAGACCCTACGGTCAGGAGTCTGCAGTCCTCGTCCTAGAACATAATAGTAATAAAAAGAATACAATTACTTGCATGAAATCGGTAATCATATGTCCACTAATGTGTAATGAATGATTATAATATAATGTATTTTATTTCAAATTCCTCCGAACGATCCCTTGTATCATTAGCCAAGCGTTGAGTTCAAGAGTTGAACTCTAGCGATGGTAGACTTAGTCTAGAGTTGCATTCGTCAGTCAACAGGTGACCTTCAGAACACGCCCCTATTTTTGCCCGGTAAATATGTAAAGGCCAGCTGCAGCTAATAATACTGGAACAATTCGAAATAAAGATTACTCAAACTTACTTGTGATACTAAGTAGTCCAGTACAGTACCGTCGTATATAAATGCATCAAGCTCTCCGGTTAGTACACTTGTTACTCCTGCACTCACAGTACTTCTATTGTACCTACAAATATTTCAGTAATAAGTATAAATACTGCCTTTACGCATTTGTAGGATTGATTACATGCTAATGTTAAACGCTTTCATTTTCCAAGCGTAAATGCTACCCTTGGAAACAAATCTATTAATCAAGAACGGAAGATGTTGTTCAAGAACCATGTTATTACAACACATTTGTTTAAGTACTATAAGCAATTCGCATCGGAGTAAAGGGCTTCATATATACTTTAGTACGTATAGACCAGTTATCGAACATGATGCCATTCACACTCAAATTATTTTTAATTTGTAATTAACCCTATAAAAATTTGCACTGCTTGTAACTGAATGACGACTGACTGACGAATGCTTTGATTCATCAAAGCCATATCTTGATATTTTCAAATCACTGTGATGATTTGACGAAATTAACCTATGTTTATTCAATTACAATATAATATGTACATACTGGGCCATGTAGGCATGTGGCTCGGAAAAGTATTTGGCTAATGTAGCATCAGTGTGTGACCAAGGCACAGTTCCAAACTTCAGTGCTGGCCTTTGTGATAATGGCCTAGATATCCTTGGATCATCAATACCGCTTAATTCGTGAAATTCCTCTCGTGTAATCATAAAAGCGGCTAAATTAGCAGTGTAGATAGCAAGAAACACAACCGCAAACATAGCCCACATATTAGTCATGAATCTGGCAGTAAATCCACGGGGGGAATCCACGTGCACTGAGGCCTGTGAATTCAAAAACATTTCTTTAAGATATTGTATTTTTATACAACAAGTTTCAAGTATTTTTTTTATATCTAAATCTTTTACTTGCCTGAAAAAGAACGGCCCACACAATCCAGTAGGTTCGACAAAGTGAAAAACGATTTTGAGGGACTCGCTTCGAATTGTGGCCTGTAGAGCAGTCGAATCCACTTGGTGATAACCACTCGAAAAAGAATATAGAGAAAGTCGCAGCTTGTATTGCAACTGCCCCTACTAGCATCCACGATGCAGTATCAAAAGGCTCCAAGAAAGCCGTAGGTGAAATTATACCCGTACGCTTGGCTACCACAATAGCAACACCAGTCTCCATAAATGGCACACTAAAATCTACCACTGCTTCTCGGTCAGAGTTGATAATCAATGACGTTAATACCTGAAATAAAATATTTACAATATTAGATTAGAATTAAGAAAGACAAGCACTTTTAATAATTCGTACTTATAATATTGTATAAACAAATAACTAAGACACTATATAAAAATGATGACAGAATTAAATTCTTAATTTAGACTAAGTCACATTATAATGAAATTAAATGAAAACGATTAATGTACCAATCGTTCTTAGTGCAATAACTACATAGCAACATTACAACTACTACACCGGTGTACTCACCATGTCTGTTTTTTTATTTACCAGGTCTGCTATAAGACCGTTCCATTTTCCCTGATGTAGTGTACCCCAACGTCCATCTTCTACACGTACCAACTCATATGTGAATCCCAATTGCTCTGCTAACTGTTGTAATAAATCAATGCAAAAACCACTGCAACACTGATATAAAGAGCTGTTGCCATGTGCGGTACCTGCTTCCAATCTATAAAAAGTAAGTAAGTAGTTTGAATGTTTATTTAATTTATAAGTAGACAAATATACATATAACTAAAATTGGAGAGTGTGTTTGTAATATTGAAATAGCCGTTTTTTACCACCTGCATATGAATATACGGTACATACACCGAAATAACAGTTTTTACAATTTTTGTCTATTTGTCTGTTTGTTCCTGCTAATCTCTGAAATGGCCGGATCGATTGTGACGCGACTTTTTTGGTAGGTAGCTGATGTAATAAGGAGAAACTTAGGCTACTTCTATTTTAGAACAATTCTTTTATTTTAGTACAATAAAGTTAAATTATATTTGGACGAAGTCGCGGGGTCAGCTAGTTAATAATAATAACCTACGAACCGAACCTTAAACGGTTTAGCACACCGTAGCCGACACCCACTACTAATAAATTGATCAATTATATACTATTATGAATAAATCATTATTTAGATATACGACTATATTAAATATTGTTGTAGATAATAAATCACACTATACAACTACCGAACTACCGAAGTAAACTGTATGTAACATTTGATTTTAGTCTGATTAATCAATACGTCTTTTTAATAGTAACTATACAGTTACTTAAGTTTATAATATTTGTTAAGACATATATTGACTGATACTGACTGATATATATGCCAATTATTGACTCACCCTACAACATCGATCTCAGGTGCAACGCGACAGATAATGCCCCGATCTAGTGAACAACGACCACTGACGGGGTCTGGTGGGGCTAAATTTATGTATGGTGGCTCCTCAAGAAATGTGATCCGCATGTGAAATTTTTCTGGTACTCCTTGAGGAGGTGTATGTAAACCACCAGGCCAAACTATATCTTTGATGACAAGGCGTTCTTTTGGATACGAATTCCATGTACCAATTTCTTCCCATACCAACTGAAAGAAAAGTTTTTATATTTGGTACAATATAATAGATTTATCACAATTATTAAAGGCATTTTTAGAAAAAAGGATAGAAATAGCAATTTGTAAATCCTACCTGTTCTCCGATAGATGGTCGAAGATTCATAATTTTAAGCTCTGCGGCTCGTAGTTCTCCATCGGGAGTGAATTCTATGCTTGGTCTTCCTACTTCTCCTTCTACGCTAACATTCCGTAAATGACGATAAAACCTTTCACCGGTAGGCCATCGAGCTTCGCCAGCCCCAGCGCCACTACATGATAGACGTGTACCGAGTGGATGCCGGATGTTTTCTACCTCAGATATGTAAGATTCGACACCATAAGCGAATACCTTGACTGCTGTAGCAATCTCAGCTATCAACGAAGAACTTGATGTGTCGAAATGGACACCTTAAATGGAAAATATAATTGATAAACAACATATTAAGTAAATATTAATTAAGAACTGATATTGGATAAATATTAATTCCTATTTGCGTATTATAAAGTATTTTTTACTTTTGGCCTACTTCTAGTCTTTCATATAGGTATAACTTTCTAATATATTACACACTTATACTGGTTTTTAATAAAATAATAGCTTTAATAATTTTTGCCATTTACTTTTTAATACAGCGAAAATATACACATACTTACATTATTGAGAACTTTTTATTTTTAGAATCTATGTCTATTTATCAGTGCGTTCAGAGCTAATCTCAGAAACGGCTTAACTAATTTGGGTGCGATTTTCTCTAATATATTGTAGTTACTTAACTTAAAATTAGTGTTAATTTTATTACAATCAGGTTATTTAACCTATGTGACTACTGTGTATATCTATTGTCTGTAGAAAACGTACCAAGCATGCCAACAGGAAATTTATTAGGCTGCTGCATTGAACCAAGAACACTTTGCGTGACAATCCACACAAAGTTCTCTCCTGTGAGATGTATGTCGCCAGCCGCCGACAGAATCTCAGCAGCCTCTTCCCGTGTAGCATACAACAACATGACCCTTGCTTCGCTTGTTACCAATTCCTTGAGATCTGATGAACGTTTCACCACAATGGCGTTTAATATTGTGAACTTGAATCGATCCTGAAATAAATAATGTGCACAATTTTTTATACTAAATTTGTACGAAAGTTTTAATTACTACTATTACTACTAAATTACTACTAGTATAAGATTCATTAGTATCATGTGCTAACCTGTAATGCAGTGACTCGTTCTCGAACCGCTTGTATAAAATCGTCATGACCCGCAATAGCAGATGTGACGACACTAAATTGATGCCATTTGTATCGTTCTAATATAGAGAGCATGGCAGCGGTTTGATGTTCAATGGACGGGGCCAACTGAAGTCGTAAAGAAGCATGAGGTGCGCGTTTCTCTAGGCCGCTATTATCTGCGTTCCACGCAATAACCTGAATTAATAATAAAACAGTTAATACATAAATTATAATGGGCAAGCAAAGACAAAATTAGATTTGTGATAGAATTTAAAAGAATAATTAAATGTAAAAATTACCGGTATTCCCAGATAGCCGGCAAGTTGTAGAAAATATTGTGCGGAGGCAGTAGAACGACCATATTGTTCATGATTCATGAGATAGAGGATAGCAGATACGTTGACTGCTAGAAAATCTTTACATAAAGAGTCCAGGATAGCTGAAAGCGTTTACAGATATTTAATATTTATGATCGGAAATTAAAGCTAAATAGTAAAGCATTACATTTAAATTATATTTATTTTATATATATAATAATAAATGACTACTTAATACTTACACATTGGACTAGGTGTCAGGCCTTGAGTAGAAAGCGTGACATTTAGGCGCACTTGTGAGAAGAGTTTTAGTTTGCGTGGCAGTTTTGCTAGTGCTGCTTTTTCGGCTTTGGTGTAATCACGTGAACCAAAGGCTTTATGGGGTACAACGAGTGCGGCTGTGATGACAGAGGGTGCACGAGGTGGCGGAGGTGCAGGTGAGGTGCGAGGGCGCCGCAGCCCATCGCCGCCTATGCGCACCCCTGAGCCCCGAGCACCGTCGCGCCCGCTACTGCCCATTGCACCGCCGCCCACCTTGATCCCACCGCCGCGCTCTGGTGTAGCCGCCGAGAGCGCGCCCAGCGCCGCCAGCGCCATCAGCGCCGTGTGCGCCTGCATCTCTGATTTTGATGCTAAAACAATGATGGTCATAGTAAATACGATTAATTACATGTAAGAATACATTTATTTCTTCAGTTTTCAGTGCCTTTTTCATTTAGCTCCATAATAGATCCTGTCAGCCTAATAAATAATATTACCCCATTTACCAAAAAAGAATTTCTAACAAAAACGAAATCAAAATTAAAGCGGTAATCAAATTAAAATTAAAAATATGTCTGCTGCAAAAGTAGTTGCTCACTTATATGTTATAATTTTTGAGGATTTTTAATTTATGTGTTATTTTTATTAGATAAATATGTATTTTAATTACGAGAATTTATTGAACTAAAATGTTTTTACTAATAAAATTGTGTACTTATTCGACATTGCTATATATAAAATTTGTGCAAATACATTTGATTGTACTGAGTTAACTAATAAGCTGTGCTACGTGGTACCAACCAGTGTGCACCGTCGTTCGGTAAGGGTACGCCGTGTATTCTTCACCCCAACCTATCGGACGTACGCCGGTGCACGAGCGCCTCTTCACCATATTGTTGATGTATTTAACACCAAATTTCCTGATTTAGATATATTTGATTTGTCATACTTTAAATTTAAGAAAACCCTATTAGACATATTAAGTAGAAACCAGTAAATAAATAATGTATATAATAATAAGAGTAACATAACATAAGTATTAACCCGTGGATATCTGTATTGGTTTTACTATTATTAATTCATATCTATGTACTTATATACATACTACATTGTGAAACTGTTTGTATCCCAAATAAAATAAAAATAAAATAAAAATTGCTATTTGCATAAAATCTTATCAAAGTTGGTTCGCCGGGCTTCTCTAATAGTATACGCCGGCAGAATACCAATGGAGGATGATGTAGTGTCATGAACACCAACCGTAATAATCTTCTAGAATAGAGGCACATTCCATATATGAATTTTAGAGTGGTCAGTTCGTCCATCTATTCGGCAACCTTGCCATATTGCAGAAATATATGAAACAGTTTATAGGTACTTATATCTATATATTTTCTATTAATTTTAATGTCATTCGTATGTATGTTAGTCTGTGACGTATTCGTAACATGGGCCATTAATAGCCTGAATTAAATAAATAAATAACAAAATTAAAAATCTAAAGAGAATAGTATCCACTTTTGTTTAAGAATATAATCAAGAAGGATAATAATAAACTACAATATATGTAACAGACCATACCAAAAAACCCAACATGTAATCAGACGATAAAATGTCTTAAGGCGATATTTATATAAATTTTATTAGTTAATGTATAATTGATATGGTTTGCCTAATGTCTATAAAAAAGGAGTGCATATTGGATTTGAAATGGAGAAAAAAATGTAATTAGAAAATTAACTACACCAAAGAAGTAAAAGTGAGTATGCGTACCATAGATAATTATCTATTATATTGTTATGATACCTATACATAATTATGATAACTATATTATATGTGGTTAAAAAATGTTATTGTCGTACATTTTTATGAATTTTGAAACTATTTTATTCTACATATTGTAATATTATTAATATAATAGCAATTAGAAAAATGTTTTGCCCAATATCAAAATTATATAATTAACGATTTTCAAATTTTAAATTATTTTCAAATTCTACGTAGCCCACATAGAATGTGAAAATAAGTTGAATCAATAACATGATCTTCTTAGCTATAGATGAGATAAGTAATCGAATCGTTATTTTTTTATACCTCTTGTGGAGGTTTAAGCCCACAGTTCCGTGATAATGATATTAGTTGATATATTGATTGATTGATGATGAGGGGTTTTTGGTAGCTAAATAGGTAAAACCGCCTTGGTTAAATGCTACTCGAACACTGATTTTTATTACTCAAATAGAAATATAATGAGGTGAAATGCATTTAGGTGAAATTGCATGTGTCGGCAATTGCGTATTGCACAGTAAACAGGCATGTGCGGTTGCCCGTACACCTCTATTGATTATGATTTTTAACTAGTTTCTACCTTGGCTAATGTTTTGTTAGTAATAAAAGAAAATAGTACAGTTAGTGAACTCTACATAGAGTCGAGTTTAGACCAGTTAGAAATAACCACATAGCTAATCTATTTCCATTTAGTACTCTCTAATCGGTTTTGATAATTAGATAGATACTAATATTACACTCAATCACACCCCCTAAAAGAGGTAAAGATTTTGGAAGGAAAAGCGAAGACTAAGAACCCTCCAAATTCTCATTTCTATAGTGCTTAGACAAAGTAACAACCAAAGTTTAATTCCGCCTGCTTGAGCCGCCAAACAGGTTGATTTGAATGATGTGTTTTGGTTTAAGGCTGACATAATTCAATAAAATTACACGTCTCGGAAGCATGCCATCGTAGTCCTCCGGAGTGGTAGCTACTAAAGGTGTCACACAATAATGTGATGTTCTGATGCTGTTCATGAAAGATTATAGATAACAAGTACTACATAAGTGCAATCTGGTGAGCCGTCAGCTTATTTTGCCATTCTAGTGAGGTAAAAAACACAGTAGTGTTCTAGTGCAATTTTTGTTTAGCAGATAGGTATATATGTTTTATATAACCGGATGATAAGTTTATATAAATCTGTATCCCTTAAAGTGATGTAAACAAGGTACAAAGTTAGTACAAAGATTATCCTAAAGCTTTTTATTTACATTCAAGCTTCTAGAGTTGTACAAAACTGAACCCATTTTGCGACGAGTTTCTATTTTTTGTATTATTGTTGATAATAGGTATATCTATTTGATCACACCTAAGGGCCGGTGCTTGTTTACAAGCGTTTCTTAAGTGAAATTATTACTATTATTATTACGTAAGTATACATTAATACGTACATTGAAACTATCAAAAATCTAAGGAGCTACATTTCTACCATAAATCTTAAATACGAATAAGATTCAACTCTTAACGATGGATTTTCTTACCACGCCTACAATATTGTTTCACTAATATGAACACACTATGATCTACATGTACTCAAATATACCCGCCCCCTACCTCTACATATTTAATACAATCTACAAAACTATATATACTCGTATGTATGTTTTCCCAAAACTACTATGGACATACAAATTTCTTGTAGCTAGTTTGGATTAGATTGACTCGGAGAACATTGTAGATATCTATCTATATCCTTATTTTTGGATTATCTAAGTAAGTAATGACAAATTACTCAATCCAGTTGCTAGAAATGTGAAATAGGTGAACGTCGTGTCCTACACCTATAAGTAAGTACACAAGGTTAATAATATAACACACATAGGAATTCTTGTAGTTTTTTTTGTCATAATTTGCATATTTGAGTAAAGAAAATGTAAATATAGTACGTAATTCAAGTGCTGAGATTTTATTATAAAAAGCTATTTCAATATTTATTCATAGATTCATATGTACTTATAAAAATGATGTGTACATATATTATATGAATAATATAACTTATGTTCTACCGGTTATATTATTAGGTATGTATGTTTTGGCATTAATATTAGGTAATTGCATACTAATAAAATAGTATATAAATATGGGCACGAAATTTCATTCCATATTTTGATCAAGCAAAAGATATAATTTACATAAATATATTCATGGAATACTGCTTACGAAGTCCTCTGGTATCTACCTTTTTACATGAAAATGATATTTGTTACGTTCGCGGGGCTACATATAAAAAAACACAGTTGCTAGTGATATGTATAAACACACCTATAAGCGCGTTATACGGCGGTGGTGGTAGTGGCAGCGGCGGCGGCGCGGCAGCGTGCGTGCAGCTATCTTCATAAACTCAGGTGGCGGCGCGGGCCGACATGGGGTCGTTCTGGGACGGACAATGGCGCGGCACCGCGCCGCCCGCAGCACCAACTGTGAGCCACGCGTGTTTACGTAAGCGCCACGCCCCGAGCCACGCTCCGGCGGTATGGAGCGCGGCGCAAAGCGCGTAGCACCTCCAGTCGCCGAGCGCCGACTGACGCGCCCGTTCTCATCCCTAAACACCCTGCTGGACCGCGCCTGCGTCAACAGCTTACAACCTCCACGCCTCCTATTACATAATAATACTAAACGTCGACAAAGCCTTACCGATCCCCCTAGGCCCAAAGCAGACGAATAATTGGCAATACCCGAATTTGCGAATAGCAGCACCCGAGCCACAGCCAGGGATCAAGTTTCAACTGTTATCGTTTTTGGTCATAATTTATTTAGTTAATATAGGGTTTAATTCGTTGTCCAATAGCTTTAGGCAATAAGAGAAATCTCCATTAAAAAGTTACGCAAATTTATATATTATCGTAACAAATCTATAAATTCGATTTGATTCTTGATGTTTGATGTAAAAGGTATATATATTATATATGGTTAATCATTATTACATTATGTTATAAAAATGCTAATTTCTTGTCATGTGATACTATCATATATATTTGATAGTATTTAAATATTAAAGAAATTCTACAATATGTATACAGATATGTCTGAATGCTGCTCTCTAAATTCAGATAGTATTCGAGTAAACATAAGGCTATATTATCGTAGAGTTTGGTACGAAGTCTTATTTTCGTAGCAACTTTATGAAAGCAATCAACATCTATCAATCATGTCATATAATGATTGCGTAATTCGATGGACTAGGCAGTCTTAAAACGGATATTTTCATACGATTCGAAAATACGATAAAGTTTATTCGTTATATGGCCTACCTAATCTGTTTAATCGTATTCTTAGTAGTAAGTCCCCATTGCTAATAATCATTGCCGTCACCGTGAAAACTCTCAAACAATTCACTACGATGGGCTAGCAGAACTGATTTCAAACTCATCTTATCATCCTCAACTGGTGTAGCTAACGGTATACCGTTAGCGCAGGTAACAACTAACTTTTTATAAATATGCCCAATTGTATAAAATGCACCACCTTTTTTCTGCCTCTTGAAATACGAGTTGTTGATGAGATATGTTATGAATGACAATACATGTAACTAATATTATAATTTATGTGACTTATTCTCCTAATCATTAAGTTATAATCAACTGCATCTTGATTAAAATACAATTGAATTGTACTAATTTATACATATAAATAAAATTGGAGTGTCTGTTTGTAATATTAAAGTAACCGTTTTTACTACATGCATATGAATATATATATACGGAACAAACACCAAAAAAGCACTTTTTAAAATTTTTGTCGGTCTGTTTGTTCTGGCTAATCTCTGAAATGGCTGGACCGATTTTAACGGGACTTTTTTTGGCAGGTAGCTGATGTAATAGGGAGTAACTTAGGCTACTTTTATTTTAGAAAAATAAAGTTAAATTCCACGCGGACGAAGTCGCGGGTGCAGGTAGTCTTGTTGTTAGTTACCATACTCCTCTGCAATGGCTTGACCGATTTTTATGAAATTTTATATGCATATTCAGTAGGTCTGAGAATCGTCTACTATCTATTTTTCATACCCCTAAGTGATAAGGGTTGTCCACCGTGTTGGAAACTATTTTATATACATTTTTATTGTCTATATTTTTTATAATATTATATTGTTTTTACATGACATAAGTCAATTTAATACAAAAATATTCTACAACTACAACGGTGCCGTTTTACTTTTTGCTCGTCATCTTGATCTCCATCCTTCACACACCGCTAACATTATTTTTTTATTGATATTTTTTTGCTATGTGTCATTAAAAAATACATACAACCCTAAATTTTCACCCTTCTATCACCAACCCCTATTTTTTATTATTAATTTATATAGCAAAACAACGTTTGACAGGACAGCTAGTAATTATATAATACATTAGGCAATATACATTTTTACTTTAATTGTGTTGCATTTACACATCAACGTCACCTAGCTTAATAAATATACCTAGTCTATCGTAACAAAACGGTACTAGCACTTCGTATGTCAGGTACATATGGGTAGGTAAGGTAAATGATGACCGACGCTTATATACACGAATGGCACCACGGATATAACGTGTCATATGACACTCATGCGTTTTCATTCCGGAAGACTAAGATCTCACATCTCTTGACCTGTAATATCACTACCTTATCTCACAAACAAAACTGTTTATTGGGTAAGATTTATGAGACTAAGATACCAACACAGAGAGCTTTACAAAAAATTTACGTCTCTTGTACGTCTATAAATTAATTTAATTATATCCGTTAAATTTATTTAATTATTAGTAAAAGTAGACATACTATAATATATGTACATGTACATATATGTATGAATATATACATGTAGATACATATACGAATAAATAAAATTGAAGGCTATGTAATTCAAAATTAATAGCTTTGCACTAAATGAATATAAAAGTTTATACGGTAATTACATCAAAACAATAATTTTAAAGAATTTTGTATATCTGTTTGTTCTTGCAAATCTCTAAAAAAGCTAGGCAGATTTTGATGTAACTTTCACTGGCAGATAATTATGTTATAACTTACCATAGCCCTCCAGTATATCGAATAATTTTGCCGTCAACCGTCACTTTTAACGAAGATTAAGGTTTGTCCTGTATAAGCATTTTCTGTGATATTGGGAACACCTGTTAAATTTAATTTTTCAGCGTTTAGACATAACAGTTTCCGTCTCCGTCAGTTTACGTAGAAAGTCGAGGTTCATGTATTAAAAAATATTTACGAAATAAAGAGGAAAACAAGAGAAGAGAAAGAAGAAATATATATAGAGGTTAGTTTATTTTGAATGCATAAGATTTCTCGTTCTCGTGGTGAACTAGATCGTTAATAATTCAATAAGTTTCACATCAATTATCAATGAAAACTTATATCGTGATATGTTCTGTTATTTTGTGGTAGATTTATGTCAACACATAATGTTATTAATATTTAAGTTCGCTAACAAAACACTTTCATAAGTAAATAAAAATATTGTTTTTCAAAATTAACAGTTAATTCGACCGTTGCGACACTTTGGTAGTGAAACCCATAATCTTCTCCGGAGAATGTTTTTCCAAAGATATGGGTGGACCATTTTTAATGTATAACAATAAATTAATGGTTGCATCTAAAATAGGTGTTATTAAGCCCCAAAGTTCATAAGTCATATTCAAACTTCGCCCGGGTTGTACAGCATTACATGGAAGTACAAACATTATAAAGAGGAAATATTTGTTTATTTTCAAAAACTACTTGACTGATTGAAGACTATTTTTAAGTATTTGAAAGGAACATTATTCCAGAGTGACATATATTATTTTAATGCTATATTCACAATTATATGTGTATTGTTCTGTAAAATTTTACAGTGATACTTGTATCCATTGCTGAGTTCAGTGATATGAAATAATTTGTACTTACATTTCGCATTCTCGTGAAATTTACGGTATTTTTAATGCTAATAGTTCAGAACGCGAAGATATTGTGGTATTAAATACTCAACATCCAAATAATAGTAAGTGCAGATTGAAGCAATACCTATTACAAATCATATTTAATAATGTGTGAAGCTTGTAAATAATATTGATACCAATCATCACCTTTTTTGATAAATACCTCATGTAAGTACATATCTTATTTTATTTACTAATTAATGGTATTCACAATTATTACATAAATTGGGTACCACCTGAGCTATTATGATTTATGCTAATACCTGCACTAATACATCCCAGTACCATCAATCTCTTCTGGTACTTCTTTAAATTGTAATGCAGAAAGATGGAAAGAATATATAATTTTTTTTAATAAAGATATACCAAAAAAATAACAGTACTTTTCCTTAAAAATCCAGTATTTGAGATTAATTTCTTTGGTTTCATTACAATTTTAATAATCAGTTAAAAATGTATAATTTCATATACAAAATAGACGGAAAAATATCACAGACATTACAACCAATGAAAAGTTTTCTGTATACTTGCCACTTCTAAACAATTTTATCAGTCTTCAGTGTCACACATGATCACAGTACATACATGACAAGAAACTCAATAGGTCGATGTATTTGGTTATAAGCCAATGCAAATTATACTAATTGATACTTAGTAAATGAAGATGATAAAGAGGTCACTATGACATTTCAAGTGTCATCCCCTTACTTATAGACTGAAGTCTGCTTGTTTGTTAATCAATGTCTATGAATTTATATATGGATTAAGGGAGTCAAATCATTGATTATCAAACAATATGATTTATAAGTAGGGGATGTGTAAATCCATAGCATCCTGAAAAGTAACATGCCTTTATAGCGTCACTAAAATGCATACATGGCATTTTATAATATTGTATATTCAAACATATAAATATTGTCCAAACATGGTTCATCACAACACTAAAAGACTTGATTCAATAAAGTTCAAAGTTCAAACACAATTTTTTATTAGCAAATATTAATTGAAATGATACATCGGTGGTCAATATAGTTTTATCGACGATCACGATAAGATCTGTGGGTATCGCGATCTCGACTGCGCCCTCGAGATCTGTCTGAAGTACGCCATAAAAATTCATCAACTGATCTTTCATAAGACCTTTTATCATAAACAAGCACTGAACGAGCATAGTCAGCAATATCATAATAACGTGGTGGAGGTGGTGGTAGAGGAGGAGGATGATTGTCATATGATGACAATGCTCCACTAAAGCCAGGTGGTGGCACATAAGGGAGTGGAGGCAACTGATGATGCATAGACCTCATGTATTCTGCAACATATGCCTCAGCTGCTGACGCTCCACCAGCATTGTATGCATCTCGATTACGGCCAAACCATGCAGGTAAACGGTCACGCATATATGGCGATGGTGACCTTCTCTTATATGTATTGGTCCCCAACCTACTCCTTGGTGACATAAAAGTCTTTCGTCTACTTCTTAAGGATGTATTTAAACGGTTTCTGTAACTTGCACCTCTAGTAGATAAAGGAGCCCTGTATGTTCTATAGCTCCCACCACTTTTTAAATAACCTTTCTTAGAGGCCTCCTTTGATTTTCTCAAAATGGGCGTCATTTCAATGCCATCATCTTCTGGAAACAATCTACATAATTCTTCTGCAACTTTAGGCTCTATCTCTTGTCCATCTCTACCAATCTTTACTGGTTTACCTTCATTCCATGGATTGTATAAGTGGAGAGTACTACTAAAAGGCAACTCTTTACGACATATCCAGTCAACCTTAAACACTCCGTCTAACACTTTAGCAGATAGACCAGGTGGTAACACCCACGATATTGGCGGAACATCACGACGTGACTCACTTCCTAAGCGAGCAAAACCAGCAAACTTGCCACTCTCTTTAACTGAGAATATTAATAAAACATTCCTTGACTCCCTATATGCTTGGTTCAAATTTGCTTCATTCTGTGGTAAAGTAGACCATACACCTTTTGCTTTTGACAGTGTAATGTTTTCGGCATTATTTGACTTAATTAAAAAAAACCGTGTATCTCTGAACAAATAATTCAGTTTCGTCATGTAATCATACGTTTTTATTTTATTATTAGCGCCCGTTTGACATCTTCGTTTATTTTGTACAGGGGAATGGCTTTTAGACTTAGTCCGCTTACGGTTTAGGCGTTTCTCTTTAGATTTTGTGCTCACGGAACTAATACTCGGTGTACTGGAGTCACTAGAAGACGAACTGGAGACTTCGCTTCGGGTGTCAAAATCTTTTCCTTCCTCCAATTGTTTCAATTCTTCGCCAATTTCTGCTTCTACTTCACCAACGCCAAGGTTGACGGCGTCGGTGTTGTTGGAGACCTCCATTATCAGTTGTGTTTTGTGATTTTCATTTAGTGTTTTGTTCTTTATTCAGCCAGAACAACAAATTTAAGTAATCAATAATATTATTATCAATACAATAGCTGTTAGATTGCTATGAGTTGTATCAACATTTCATAAAATTTATGTATATTAAGAATTTCGATAATATACAAGACAGTACTTGAAGAAATGTCAAATGAAATCAAACCACAGACCAAATAGACTTCTTCAAACTACTCAAAGCAAAGACAAGCGACACCTACAGATTAGAGACAGATTAACGGCAGAACCTGTAAATTTGTAGCTTCATATTTTAAAATACAAATTATTTGACTGTAACGGTTGCGATAATTTCATACTCTAAAAAAAAAAGATTTTGTGTACATAATCGAGGATCCTACTTGACAGTTGTATAAAAATAATGTTAACTACAAATATCGAAGTGCAAGATCGCAATTCAGAATATCAACTGCTTTGAAAAAAGATACGCGATTAATATTGTTGCATACATACTGTACTCACTGGTTAATACGTAAGTAAATATCACCTATAATTTAAATCTTGTCAATGAATAGATACTTTTTAACTCTATGGAATTGTTTTGAAATTATCACACACGCCTAAAACGCAAGGAAACGTATGTATATATTGAATGAAAAATGAACAGTATTCTCTAGACGTAAGGCTCATTTTCATTTACAATTGTCGAATAGATACGCCTTTCATTTCGTGGTTTACAAAACTACTTTGTCAGCTGATTTTTGTTTCTGAATGTTGGTAGAAGTAATATGTTATCTAAATAAATGTTCCTCCTTTCCCGTGTTCTGTTTAAAAGTTTTATAAGTTTAAAGTTCAATATTTTTTTTTCTATTGTATGAAGTTTCGATCATTAAACTAGTTGGTGGTATTTATTGGATTTCAGTATACCAAATTAACAAAAATGCATTTTGCTCAGAAATATCTGGAAAAGTTACCCATATATCAAAGAAATGTCCAAACAACTACAGTTAACAAGATGAATGTAGTAATATATTGTAATTATTACAGCTTTTATTCCCAAAAGGTGAGATTTTATTCCTAATTTATTTATAAATAAATTCGTATGCTTACTACATAACAATGATTTTATTTTCGAAAATAGGTTTATATAATAAGCTCCAATAAATGTTTGGAACAGGATCAGCGAAACTGAATCTCTATTTAGGGGAAATTTTGAATATTCGAAACAACTAGAGTCATTGTAATAATATATTGCTATTTCAATTGACTATTACAGGTATTAATGGCACTTTATGAAAAAAATGTAGATTTCGTACCCTTTGTGGTAGATATAACAAAAGGTGAACAATATTCCTCATGGTTTCTTGAAATAAACCCCCGAGGGGAAATACCTGTTCTAAAAGTAAAGGATGAAATTATATCGGATTCTACAAGGATTATGGATTACTTAGAATTATACTTAGATTCAGGTTTGTAGTTTCATATATTCATATATACACAAAATAAAATTGGAATAATCTTTATGAAGTAAATTAATACTTGTATACTTAGTAGTTTATGATTTTATAAGTTTTAAGATTTTGTTTAAATACAGAGTAAGAAATAACATAGTGTCTTAGCATTCATAAGTTTCAAAATATAAGTAGCTCTATAAAGTTCAGAACTGTATGTATAATTTTTATTTTCCAGGGCTTCCACCTCTGATCAATGTATCAACAGATGAAAAGGTTTTAAATAACATTAATAAATATAGAGAACTTATAGAAGCATTGCCGGTAGGAGTAATCACAGTGGGATCATTTTTTCATCCTCATTTATGTGGACGCCCAAAGTTGCCATTTGTTCAGCCTGTAAGGGAAGTTCTAAAAAGTAAGTATACTTCTAGAAATTAAAATTTAGAATGAAAAATAACTAATAAGTGATTCTAATGCTAACTATGTACTGTCAAGTACACCTCCATGTGGTGCCCATAGTGGTTAATTTTTTGTGAATTTGTCATGATGGTCTAACTAATTGGACCTCATGCTATTTTATCATCCTCCACTGGTGCCCCAGGTGGAGTGGGTCAGATAGAGAATCATTCCATTTCATTGATTATTGTACCAATACCCAAGAATCATGGCTAATCATGGGTATGGGTACTACTCGTATTTTTAAGCTTACTCCATCAAGGAAACAGGCATAGACAGTGGTATATCTGTTTCTGTAATAACTGACTGCGTGCTTGAGACCTAAAATGGCAGACTCTGTTGACACCACCTGCCTGAAAACTACTGCTGGTCCCCCTCAATTGAAGCTCTAAATCACTCAATGGGAGTATATTGAACCTTGTTTCCAATTTAAAATATCTTGGACATCAACATTGAAAAATGGTATAAAGTGTGCAAGAAGAGCATTGGCAGTTAGAAGTAATATGTTTGCAGGTTTATAAAACAAGTCAAAATAACTCTTCTCCAAGTATTTTGTAAGGTTTTCTATACGGCGGCTTTTGGGTCAGCTATATACAAAAAGCTACAATGTGTGTTCAATATAACAATGCCTTTATGCCTCTGTTGAGGATATCACGACACTGGGGCGCTTCACTCATGCTTACGCAATTCTTTGCCATACAGCGAAACGAGTAACAGCCCTATTAGAATTATTTAAAAAATAGTTTAAAATATATATGCTTATAAGTTATATATGTTATCATTATAATATTCACATTATTTCAGCTGGAGACTTAGGTAGTTCTAAGAATCTGAGAAAACTTGCTGTGGAAAATCCTAAGGCCCGAGGAATATTATTGTACAAAGCTGAAATCCAAGACAAGAAACATGAAATATTAGCAAATGAAGAAGAGTATTTGAAAGTACTGAATGTTGTTGATGATGTATTTTCTCTTATAGAAAATGAATTGCAAAACCAAAATGAAGGTAATTTAGTCCATATTTTTACTAATGGATTTTTTACACATTGATTCAGAAATAATCTGTAGTCTACTAATTTACATAAAGGATATCAGCAACATTAATATTAGCATCCCAAGTCTTGATTTATCTAAGTCTGAGATATTTTAACTACATCAACGCAATGGTGTTGTTACTTGGAAATAGACTAGGTTGGCATGGAATATGCTCCGAAATGACTGGACCGATTTGAAAATCCTGATGAACATAGGCAATAGTATATTTTCAAAAACGTTAAAGATCTGATTAGAAACTGTTAATAGATATAAAAAAATATCAAAAATATCGTTATCACCTATGCTGCTAAAATAATACTGCGACTAATAGAGTTATATCACAATACTACTTTTTAATATTAAAACATGCAATACTAAGGCCTACAAAGTAGACCCATACTGCTGGGGTAGACCTCTATAAAAATCAACTATTATTGTGTTCTACCTTATAGTGTCCCTTGCTAAGTAAAGTTGTTTTATACTGTTCGGTCTAGCAGTATCTAATACTAAATCCAAAGCATTTGTAGTTTCTTGAATATAGCACTGTGTTAGACGGACATATAGACAAGTTACAGTTACAATAAGAGATTTTTTTACCTTTACTCTAATACCTCATAAATAAAAAACATTTTCAATTTCAGGTAACTGGTTATGTTGTGAAAAATTCAGTATAGCAGATGTTAACTTGGCTATTTTATTGCAAAGGCTTTGGGAACTTGGACTTGAAGATAGATTTTGGACTGGCGGTAAACGTCCACATATAACAAACTACTTTTATCGTGTTAAGCAAAGAGATTCGTTTAAGCAAACTATTCCTAACTTACTATTTCACATAAAGATGATAATTTCATCACAACCTCCAGCTTATTTAGGGGCAGCTGGTGCAGCCTCCATTGGTGTAGTTGCTGCATTTGTTTATATCATTAGAAAAATAACCTCCTAGATTATTTCCATATATGTTAGGTGCATATATTATGATTTTATTTAGATGGGTCTTATAATATGTTACATAGAGATGCAAAAATATTTGTTGATTAATTTAGATTCGTTTATTTTTTTTAGATTTAGGTTAGAATTAGACTATATAATGATATGATCTTCATAGGAATCACTATGTATAAAAACGAACAGTATTAAATATAGATTAGACATATATTTATAGATGACTAGTTAACAATTTAAATAATCTTAGTTACCTATTTAAAGTGTATATAAAGTAAAAAATATTGTGCCTAATACAAAATATTACAAGTTATTTGTTGAAATAATTATTTTGTGATCTGTGTAAATATATAGATAATTTTTATTGAATAGCTAATGCCATTAAACAAGCATATGTAATATTTTGTGAGTATAATAGAATCGAATAAAATAAGGTGTAAATTGATTTACCCAGATAATATTAGGTCTGATTCTTACGCTATTTATCTACCGCATATCGAATCTAGTGTGAATATAAAGTGATAGATAGGTCTGATTCTAAATATAATTATGTAGATGCTTTTTATATTATGTGACACTTGAAATTAGTAGGTATTGTTTATATTACATACCTATCCTTCACACTTTTAGGACACCATCTAATATAACATATACATTTGTTTACAATATCTTTTTTCCCGTTATTACTGACAATCATACATATAACTACTACAGGTCTTGTGAAACAATAATTAACTCAGAACAATAACTATTGTTCTGGGATAATTTCAATGTCTTTTTTTCAAATTGACATGTTATGATAATCTGGTAGGTACTTACATATAGAATTAAAGAATATAATATAAAATGCTTTTAATGTTAGATGGTATATAAAATAAAAATTTAATAGAAATTTTAAATTAAGATAACATTGTATTAATAGAATATTTAGGGTCAAAAGTTGAGTGATGTTTGTTGCTGACACACAGCCTAATGCTAATTGTGAATGACACAAACGAAAAGTTTGTGTCATTCACATAAAGTAATTAACAATAAATTAAACTGCTATCGCTATTCCTAAAATACAATGTATAAGCAAATGTGGTCTTTACACATTATTTAAAAATAATGACATAAAATGACCAAAGTGATAAATACTTTAAATGCAATATTGTTAAAGTAAAACAATAATTTGAAAAAGTAGCTTGTATTTATACAAAATTAACATTTGTTTCTAAAACATTCATTAGTACCAATTCCTTCCCAAACAAAATTAATCACAATATTCATTTATTATATCAAACCAATTTTGGAGACAATCTTGGCATATCTTTTATAAATAATATATGTATAATATTTATTTTATTATGGTATGACTACAAATAAAGATCCTGTTATTATAGTAGTTTGTAAATTATTGTTATTATTGATTTTGTTCTATTAACTTCTTAATAAAATTAAAAGACATACTAAGATTGTTTTTATTATTCTATAAAAATTAATCATGGTAGTAACTCCTAACAACACAGAAAACATGTTCACAATTTGTTCATGAATTTGACCTGTTATCTTGTTTCTTCAGTTGGTGCATCTGTTTCTTGACTTTTATTTAGAGGCATACCCATAAAGTGTTTACCATTTGAGGTACTCACTCGTTTTCTATATGAAGGTGGTGCTGAAGCAGCCTTTTCTTTATTATACTTAAACAAACCCTCTCCTGGTAAATTTGGCAAGATATTTGGTATACTGTACCAAACTCTATATGTAATAAACCAAGTGAGGATTGCTATGACACCACTTATAAATTTCTCCACCATAATGTGGTAGTATAGTATTGTTGAAAATAACATTACATCCCATAATAACTGAAGAAGTGCAATACCAATTAGAAATGCCCTTACATAGGGAGTAAAATTCTCATAAGACACTTTTAAAATATCTAACTCATTAGCTTCTATATTTTTCAGAGGGTTCATGCTAACAGATTTGTCTTCAACACTACGAGAGTATTTTTCATCTCTAATATAATCTTTTATTCTTTCCCAACCATTTATTGCTCTAGCTTCTTCTATCATAACTAGACTAGAATATATTAGAATAAAACAATGCCCTGAAATATCAAATCCGTTCCAAAAATTACCACTTTTCAAACAAGAAATCTTGTCATTAAACTGTTTGGAATTACATCGTCCATAGTTTGTTTCTATGATATTAAAAAGTGTTGTCCATGTATACCAAAAGCAGGTTGCAATAAAGAGTCTTGTCAAGTGAGCGGTGATTATAAGTCTTCTTTTACCACAACAAGTAGTGTAGGATGTCAACAAAACATACGGTACTGTTAAAAATAATGTCCAAAACCATCCGATTTTCACAAAATATTGGTTGAAGATGTTATCACTTCTTGAAAAATATGATTTCGGAAATGTAAGTACATCAGCTATTAATGATAGCAAAAAGAGAGCTCCTAGATAGAGAGCTATTTTTAAATTGGTATCGAAAAATAGTACCTTCTTACAAATGTGCACAATCATAAGCACAAGCACTTCTAAAATTGATGACGCTTCCCTTATCGGTTTACTACCTTTACCCTCAGAATATTCATTTTGTACTTTAAAATTCATACGAGAAGTTTTAAAACTTGCTCTACTTGTCATTTTTTTTATTGTATAACATTTATTTACTAGTAAAGAAAAGGAGTAAAAGTCACATCAGACACACGAATCGCAAATGTCAATACATGCTAATATTGCATAAATTGAGAATGACATTTAGGTCGAGGGTCGCCAACCTTAAATTTTCTTTTTCCCTGAAAAGGGAAAAACCAAAAAAAGTCCTCATTTTCCCCACACAAAAAAAAAACTAAATAGTCTCGTACAGGGGTGGTGAGGTGCAAATTTAGGATGGTGTTGTGTAGTTCATTGATCGAACAGGTCAGCCAGCACTGTGGTGGCAAGTATGATTACTGTGGTACGAGTATTGATCATTAATCATTGATTAAGTAACACTAACACACTAGTAAGTAATTAATCGTTGATTAGGTACACCGTGTGCCGTTACTAATATCACAGATAACATAATATTACATACTAATATTAATATTAATCGTTTCTTTAATCAACCTTCATTTGCACACAGGAACCAAAGGTAAATTAGTATGTGGCACATGATATGCTTGATCGAAGGAAAGACGACTTGGTCTGTATAAACAGTTTATTTAGTGAATATAATATTATGAACGTAACAATATAGTTTTTGACTATATATATTTTTCATACTAGCTGTACTCGCAAGTTCGCGCGTCCTGGAATGTAACTTTATTTTTCAAAAATAAAAGAAGCCTAAGTTACTTCTTATTATACGAGCTACCTGCTAAAAAAAGTCCCGTCAAAATCGATCCAGCCATTTCAGAGATTAGCAGGAACAAACAGACAGACAAAATTTGTAAAAAATGTTATTTTGATGTATGTACTGTAAATACTAATAATATTTAACAAAAAAACGGTTAGGTAGGTTATTTCAATATTACAAACAGACACTCCAATTTTATTTATATATATAGTATAGATAAAAGCGGCGATCGTCATGAGTAGTGATGCGCCAGTGTCACCAACATGTCAGACACATGGGCTTTTAAAGAAAACAAGCGCGAATTGAAGAGTTTAATAAATATATAAAATGTAAAGCAGAGACATAGAAACAATTTTGTAACTGTGGAGTTTAGCACCTTCATATCTGTAATGATAGATATGCTATAAAAATTTTGAGAAAGAAACAATAATGTGAAATATGCTCAATGTGCTAATTTCAATAATATAGGGCGTCCTTCTACAAACTGTGCGACGACAAATTCTTAATACCCATAAATACTGGTACCCACTAACGTCCAATCCAGCGCAGTATTTAAGAATGCATGCGCATATGGGGTATAAGGAGAACACGTCTGGATTTCAGGAAAACGACGACACAGTCTTTTACTGAATATAACGAATACCTATCTTGAAATTGTTTGTATAAAACTAAACAACTAACAATACGGTATAGAACTATTCTATATATTTTATCCGTGTATACCTACACGGTATAAATAATTGTTTAATCCACATTAAACAATAAAGAGGGCACAAAGATGGCGGTCGTATATTCTCTTTTTTATTAAAAATAATGCATTTATTCGATTTTTGGTTACAGGCTGATAATGTATGGGAAAACAGTTTGTGTTTGTGTTTTATTTGATAAAATTGGGTTAAAAAATATTTTTATTCCGAGCCGTAAAACAGAATAAAAAAAATTGTGGCACAGAGAACAAATGTGGTTAGATATAAAAACTGGTTATGGATTTCGATTACCTACCATTACTAGTATATTCACTGCCGAAGCCTTGGCTATTTTGCAAGCTTTGCATTATATTAACGAAGACATATGCGCTAAACCTCATAATCAGTGGCTTATCATTAGTGACAGCATGTCAGTCTTATCAGCGTTGCAAAATCATTCATTTAGTGCTAAAACAAGCTATATTATTTACCCACAAAGGTGTGACAGGTAATGAAGAAGTAGATTACCTTGTCAAAACTGTCAATAGATTGGGTGGTCAGTCTAAAAAAAATTTCTTACCTTGGACTTAAGACTTATAAAAAACTTATAAGAAGATTGCAAACGTACTACCAAAGATAAAGGTACTTGGTATACGGGGATAAACAATGTTTTTTGCCAACAAACGATGTTGGCAAAAAACTCTGGTTTATTCAGGGAAAAATATTTTTAAAGAGTAGATTTTATACTCAAATTTGTCGCCTGCGATTTGGACATTGTAAATTCAATGCACATTTACACCGAATGAAGATCATTAATTCTCCGATTTGTCTTTTATGCTCTAGTAACGAAAATCAAACATTAGAACATATATTTTTTGACCGGCCTTCAATTTAAACAGAATTTTGCTCATTGTTAAGCTTCAAGAACTATATAAGATTATTCCGCCATCACTTCAAGAACTATTCAAATGCACTGCAACTTTTAAACCAATTTATGACTTCATCATAGCAACTATCGGAGAATTATAAACATTTCAATTATGGACACATACATGGACTTAACACAAATTTATAATTAATGAAAAGATTTGGCGATATCGCCTTGAAAAATTTTTGAATATCATGGAAATACTACTGAAGATCAGGCTGTATGGTCTCGTACCTTTGCCTATCCACTTGTGGATAAAATATACCACTACTACTAAATGTGTTTAGTCTGTGGTTGACAAACACAGCTAGCGTCGGCATAACAATATTCCCTCCATACTTTAGCATCTTTATGTATTTGGAATTTTATAATTATTTTATTAAAAATTGTTGACGCATTTGTACAGTTTATTTGTTTAAATTCAACATGCGAAAAATATCCAAAAGTCGCGCAGATGATGATGTAATATCATCTACTAATGGATCAGTGGCTAATGAAGAAAATATAGATACGGACGCACAAAATGTATCAAAAGAGAAAGAGGGTACAGAAACTAATGATAGTGCTGAAGAAAATAGTGACGATCGATCTGACACTCCAAAAAGAAAATCATTGAAAGCAAAATCTAAGAAGAGGAAATCTGATAAGCAGAACAAAATTTATGCACGAAATGAGGAATATGAGGTATTTTAATTCGGAACATTTAATAAGCAAAGATGTGATGAGTGTCGTATCAATGTAGGATTAAAATAATGGTTTAGTACATACATTTTTAGAGTGGTTTTTATGTATATCTTACGCTATTTGGTACTTAATTTAAAAATATGAGTTATACAAATATGTATGCTATAGGTAGTTTTTAATACTACTGGACAATATAGATGTGCAAGTATGTCTACTTTTTTTATAGAGCAGGGAAGGCAATCGATCTTAATGAATCATTTACCTGATGGTAAATGATTGTCACACAACTGGTGTTACATACATATTGCTAAACACAGTAAGATTAATGGACCCTTGTACACAATATGTAAAGGGCAAATGTTCCATGTTATATTATTTAAGGAGTAGGGGGTTTTCTACACTGTCAAATATCCTAATCACAGATCAACTGTAGCAGGCGGTGGAAGTAAACAAATGCTTATACATTCTAGGGTCATAAAGAAATTCCATCTTTTTTTGGATGGCAGCCTGATCTTCTATCCTCATGTCTTCAAGGTGACTATAGAACTTGAATAGACAGTTGAGATGTTGACTACGAAAATCCCAATGATCTTAGAGATTGAGACATAAATATTATTTTCTGGAATTGTGCTATTACATCAAAAGGGGTTTGATCAATTGCTGCTACATCATTTTGTTTTCTTGTTGCAGAAAGATGATACAGAAACCAATGAAAGTATTGAAGAAAGTAGTGATGGTCGATCTGACAACATTTCTAAACGAAAATCACTGAAATCAAAATCAAAGAAGAGGAAATCTGATAAACAGAACAAAGCTGATGCACAAAATGAGGAATATGAGGTCAGTATTTCTTTTAAGAAAATTTTATATGTGAATAATTTCTGCATAGCGACAGAGAATATAAAGTGTCACTATTTAAAGTATGATTATTAATTCCAGTCAGTAAAATGACAAGTGCAACTATCACTGATACAAAAAAGGGTGACCCGCTACAATAGTGATGTCCGGCAATCAATAGACTTAGACATTTAGTCATGCTTTATTTTATTAGGTATCGAAGACTTTTTTTTAATTTTAAATATTTAATACATATCTATTAAACAATACGATTTTAGAAATATGGACCTTACCAGCATATTAAAATTTCTCACTATAACATTATTACAAAAGCTGGGAAAAAATGTAAAAAGAGATTCAGAGGAATTAATACTAGAATTTTTATTTCTATAAAGGCAATTTGATATTGAATAAAAAAAATGTAATCTCGACTAACTTTTAATTGTAAAAACTCGATTCTACCACATCACTATTTATTTGGGACTAAAAACCTGCAACACTGGAAATGTCATTTTACTGACTGGAATTAATAATCTTACCTTAGTAAATAATTTATTTATTTATCTTAATCCTATACTTACATTTATATTTAGAGTGTGTAAATATAAGGAATTATTTTATAGAAGGAATACAGAGATTAATAATTATGATTTTTTGTTTGGTATTTTTGTAATATATTGCCATCTTACTAATATAAAGAGGTCAAATTTGTTTGTTCATAGTAAATTCTAGTACCGCTGTGCCGTTTTTATAAAACTCACCATTGGAAAGGTATATTATAATAAAAAAATATTCATCTTACGTGCTTCCGCTATGCGTGCTGCGTAAACCAGTTACGCAACATATGACACTTCTTTTAAAAGTTCTAAAAAAAAAAGATTGCTTCGATATATGTCTCTCTTTTTGAAACTTAACTCACTATAAACTGTTTTATGGTAATTGCTTCTGAAATAATGCATTATTTGCGAATTTGTTTTTGTAAACATGATAGTAATCCTTATCTATATGAATAGTTATCTATACATATAAATAACATTGAAGTGTCTGTTTGTAATATTGAAATAACCCATTTTTACTACATGCATATGAATATAAATACGGTACATACACCAAAATATATTTTTTTATAATTTTTGTTTGTTTGTTCCGGCTAATCTCTGAAATGGCTGGACCGATTTTGACGGGACCTTTTTTGATAGTTAGCTGATGTAATAAGGAGTAACTTAGGCTACTTTTATTTTAGAAAAATAAAACTAAATTTCACACGGACAAAGTCGCAGGAACAGCTAGTTTATTATAAATTTTTAATTTTGAACAAAATTGTTCTTTACATCATTTGATTTCAAGGAACACATTAGGAGATAGCTTAGTTTTAATAAAAGAAGAACCTTACTGACTGACTGACATACCACCGCAGTCTTACAGAATATTGTACTGTACTTTCACACACATCAACATACCAACCTTACTAAAATGTGGCGAACACATTTTGGTCTGTGAGCCACTAGGGGGTGGGTTGCTAGTATAATATCTTTTTCAACCTTTCAATAATCTTAGCATTGTTCACGGACAGTTATATGGGTAATTTTCTTTACTGTACAAAAATATAATACATACAGCATAAGCTACTTATGCTACGCCATACATAATATGGAGGGTGGAACTTCTTACTCCATTTTCAGAGAAAACTGAAATCATGTAGTATTGATTATAACTAGTTTGATTTCATATAGTTTCTACTTCTGCTTTCTGTTAGCTAAGTGCACATATATTAAAAACTTTAATATATAAGGAATATATACATAATAAGGGAACAAAACGGATTCAGGAAGACAAGTCCACTAGTTAGCTGATTTCACTTTTGTTCAATAAATCATCATGAACATAAATGTAAAGAATGGCAATATCTGCATTTTTTTTTACATCTCCCACGTTCAATTTTGTTAACTTATTATTGTACAAATTAGAAAAATACGATATCAGAGGTATAGTAAAGTTATAGCAATTTCGATTTAACCAATTTAAAAATAATAACAGAATATAAATATACAAGAACAACAAATAGAGGTGTCGGATATAAATATTTTATGACTTATATTAGACAAACCATGGAAATATAAAAAACAAAACACATGAAAAATATTAGCCAAGGACTAAACTACTTAAAAGACTAAGACTAGTATCAAGCTAATATCAGCTCTTACTCCTTACCACGGTTGTATTAGCGCTGTCCTCACCGGAAATTTCAGAGCTGTAATTGAAACTTTTATAACACAATAATGTGTTAGAGCCATTAGTGCAGCAGATCCATTAGAATCATGTAAACCAATTTTCAGAATATTACAATCTTTACCTTATCTTTAAATCTTATTTCAGCCTCAAGGATATAACTTGATCTGAATAGAGTACGATATATTTTGGTCGTGCATTGGTTACCGAACAGTCTACACTAGGCTAGCACAATCTACATCCAAACTCTATTTAATGCCTGATGCTGACTTTTTCAGAGGCAAGACACATATTGCAATATGGGTGTAAACTTAATAATGATTCAAATTTGATCACCATTAGAGAGGGTCTAATAATGGTAGTCAAGTTTCCGCACTAAATATTTGTGATCTCACACCTGCTAATTGTAGCGAAATTAAATAAAATAATATAATTCAATTAACCTTCCGCGTAATAACACCTAATTCGATAAAATATGGTTATAAAATTGACATTGATAAAAATAAGATTTTAGTAAGATATTGCATCAGGAAAGTTAGTACCTACCTATATAAGGAAACATCCATATTGTTGAACTCACAATTGTCTTTTAACATATTTAGAAATAATCTTTATTCAAATAAACTCATTACAAGCGCTTTTGAATAGTCATATTTTGATTCTACCACTCATTCGGAATGCAGATTCATCACAAGAAGAATGAGCAAGAAACTTGTGTGTTGCTCTTTTTAATAGATGTTTTTTTTTTATATAAATAATTACAGTATAACAAGTAAGAGGCATGCGATAATCAACATAGAAGTCGCTACGCACTCATTATTAATGTAATCAGATAATATTGTCAGTGCTATGGATTTAAAGTTTTTCTATAAAAACATTATTATCGTTAACGAATTCTTCAATTTTATAGTAAGCTTTTTTGCAAAGGAACTGTTTTATTTGACATTTAAATCTTTTTTCTGGCAGATTTATAACATACTCTGGTATTTTATTGTAAAACCTTACGCAATTGCCATAAAACGAATTACTAACTTTAGCCAAACGACATTTAGGTAAAATCAGTTTGTTATTGTTACGTAAGCTTTTATTAGTGCAATCACTAACTCTTTTGAAACTGTCTATATTCCTTCTGGCATAGATGATATTTTCATAAATGTATTGAGAAGCAACGGTGAGGATATTTGATTCCTTAAAACACTCTCGCAATGACTCCCTGGAACCCATACCATAAATGGAGCGAATGGCCCTCTTTTGTAAAGTAAATATTGTATTTATATCAGCTGCTTTGCCCCATAACAAAATACCATACGACATAATGCTATGGAAATAGCTAAAATAGACAAGTTTAGCCGTTGCCACGTCTGTTAATTATCTAATTCTTCTTACCGCATAAGCGGCAGAACTAAGTCGACTCGCCAATTTAGTAATATGAGCACCCCATTGCAACTTGGAATCTAATGTGATACCTAGAAATACAGTATCGTCAACAAAATTAATAGATTTATTGTCCAATACGATTTTTGAATCTACCGGTCTTACATTGGGCAGAGTAAATTTGATACATTTAGTTTTATTTGCATTTAGTAGCATATTATTTGCCGTAAACTATTTTAAAACATAAGAGAGAGAACCGTTTACTTCGTCCATATCATCAATATGTCGATTGACTTTGAATACTAATGAAGTATCATCAGCAAACAGAACTATGTCAGCTATCTTTTCTACCATATAAGGAAGATCGTTTATGTAAACTAAAAATAAGAAAGGACCCAGAATAGAGCCCTGAGGAACACCCATTTTAATACTAGTTCCCTCAGACTTTACACCATTTATTTCAACAACTTGCATTCTATTATTTAGATAGGATTTCATCATGCATAGTGCTTCATATCTAATACCGTAATGTTCTAATTTGAGTAAGAGTGTTTCATGATCAACGCAATCTATATATCTAATTTATATATTGTACTTATTGTAACAATTAGTTTACCACGTGAAAAGTAAATATAAATGCTTGTTAAAAATATACTTAAATACATATGTTTGTTTTCTAATTAATATATAAATTCATATAAAAATATTAATTGTAGGTGGAACAAGTGGTGGATTCCAAAAGAATCAAAGGAAAATTACATTACCTGATACGCTGGAAAGGATACTCTGCTGACAGTGATACTTGGGAACCTGAGAACACATTGTCTTGCCCAGATCTTATCAATAAATATCACGATGAGGTAAATATTTTTATTCTATTCATTGTTACCATCACAGGAAGTTATAACTATAACCACAGATAATATAATATTACATACAGATACCCCATCCCATACAAGAAAATGGTTCCTTCCTAACTCGGGCTATTCTTCGGGCTATTTTATTTCGCCGCCGTAGGCGCTAGATGTCGCTATATCTGAAGCAGTTCGGATTACTAGTGGGTGATTAGTAATAAAGCATGAAAATAGATGGCAGAGAATTCGGTCTACATGACATCTGTTTTGCAAAGATACGTACATAATAGATATATAACTGTATCGAACTCCTGATTGGGTACAATCGAAAATTCAATGTAGGTATAATATTGTTCGCTGACAGTCTACAGACACGGCTAATGTACCTATGTATCTATGTACTATGTTACAGTTACTTTTTTACATTAGGCATGTGTGGCTTTTTTTCTCCCGACGAAGATATGTCGTAACGCGTCTGCACTAAAATCGGGCTATCGGTTAAGGAGCAATAGCTCCTTAACGAATAGCCCGATTTTAATACGGTTTTTTTTATTTAAATTGTTATGTGATAGTGATAGATTTTAGCTATAATCAATTGATGTGCATATGGGTACCTCATATAATTTTCAGTGTATAATTATTTCTCAATATATAATTAATTATGGTAAACTGGCAATTTGTAAAACTGAAAATAATATCTGCAAACCATCAATCTGTTATATGTATAGGTTCTTTCAGGGATACTACATCGGTGCTAATTCCATGTAGGTACTTATTTTGATGTTATACCTATTTGTAGAACCTTCGATATCTACAAACTACGCCTTTACTGCTAGTTTTTTTGTATTTATGTAAGTTGCTATTCAGTTGAAATTAAGCTGCGAAATTACAGGATATTTGGACATAACATCTATGTTCTCCGGAATGATAACGTATGCGGGATATAGCGGGCACGACATGATGACGTAATGCTGTTTAATAATATATGTGTATGTATGTACGTCGGATAGCGTCGTGGTTGGATGGATCGTCAGCTTATTTACCATTTCAGTTAATAATAGTAGGTAGTAACTTTTGACAATATGGATGAGGGAGGGTAACGGTGATGATGATGAGATCAATAATGACTGTTGACGATAGTGACGATGGTATTTATTTATGACCACCATAAAATTCATCATGGCAGTATTCTCAACATTATCATCATTGTTCATCATGATGATTGAGATCAAATTAATTAATTGATTAAAAAAGTAGCAAGTATTAGGTAGGTACTAAGTCCTTATATGACTTAAATACAAGGTTCTGGGATGCTGTGATATACTACAGTCTCTAGATTTAGTTTCTTATTAGTATTCCACGACCAAAGTCTATAGACAGAGAAATATAGATTTACACAAAGTTTTTTGATGTAAATGGGAATTATTATACACATTGCATTAAAAAATATATATGATTACCATCTAATACAAAATCATTATGTAGTAAATAATTCCTGACATTTTAAATCGAATGAGGTGAAACTAACATTGCATGAACACAACACTTGAAGATCATAAAATTTTTATTTCAGGTAACAAAACACTTTTAAATAATTTATTAATCACAGAATAAACAAATGTTGTTAATAATTTACAATAATATTTCTTTCACTGCTTGTCTGTTATACCACTAAAACTTCAAACACTTCTGTTATTTTTATATTATATTCCAATCATTTCATAATTAATTCCTGGTACACAAAATATTCCTGGATTTGTTGATGAAGCAATATAATAATAATCATGTGTTTAAATCATAAACTTATTTGCAGTCGGTTACACATAATATAATTACTTGGAATTTCTTCTCATCACTAGTGCATTGCTTTCTTACTTATTTAATTATATCATTAATTGCATTGTGATTAATAATTTACAGATTTTTCTTCTGCTTTTTTCTCTTATTTTTACTTGCATTATTATTTTATACAGTAAAATGTTCATATGTATATACATATATATTTCTTATTCTTTTGAACTCCTGTTCTTCACAGTAAAAATGTTATTTATCTTCATCTGAATGACTAGGAGATTTAGAATATCATCTCTTATTTGTTTAAACTTTGTTCAGTATTAAGTTGTTGATGTCAGGAAAATCTGAAAACAATATCATATACCTATGTTACATTTTCATGAACTTACATGAATGAATTTACATGAAAGTAACTAAACTGTAACCTTATTAGCACAATAAACATATTATTCATACATCATATTCATTCAGTTCTAATAAAATATAAAAATAATACTACTGTTTAGTACTTTATTTTGATTAATAATTTTCAGTATTTTGTCAATCAATCAAAAATTATAAAATCAGTGTTAGTTTTTTGAAGTTACATTCATAACAATAATAAAAACATAATAATACCACATTAAAGCGGTCACCAAGTACATATGTTTATTATATTTTAATATGAAAGATACACACGCTACATATGCAAGTTTTTAACAACTTATAGTTATACCTGGTATAAGATAATCCTCAAAGACACGATAGTTTACTAAATATTTGTAGTATTTCTTAGACACATTTAAATTATTGAGTTTGACAAAAAAATAAGAAGTTCAATGAACTCTGAACAGGAACAATTCAAAAGTTGAATTGTTCAGTACCTACTTAACTTAAATGATGAAAAAAGAGAAAAAATCCAATGCTAGTGAAAATATGTTTTAAGCATTTGACTTAAAGTCGTTTATCCTATTCTTTTATTCCTATATTTTATATTTTTAACCTTTCATTTATGTTGCCAGTCATTTCGATATAATAAAAAAATATGGACCAACCTACGATTTTAAATCGATATTTTTATTTGTGATGAAATCTAATAATATAAATTATGAATAACCTACCCTCGAATGGAGATATTAAAAAACTAATTATCATGAATAGTAGGTATTAGGATAAGTAATATATCATAGTATTATGAATGATTATCGTTTCAAAACCTTGTACAATTTAGTAAGGTTGAAAATATCCTTCTACAAAAGCAAAATTCGAGTATTTGTAAAGTTTCTTATGAGTATTTGTAAAAATTCGAGGATCCTCATATTTAGCTATCAATGTCAGTAATTTAGATACCATATAACACTTGTTTATTGAGGTTTCATAAAGGTATAGCTGACCTTATATACTCAATACCATATTCAATTCTCATTCATTAAATTACAATAAGTAGGTATTTATTTTTTTAATAGAAAAACAATGTCACTAATGTCATTAATTGCTATAATTACCAGGGTGGCCGCGTGGAGGTTGATATAATAGAATACACTTGTATCAGATCAATCTAATTAATATTTCCCTCTTCAAGTTTTGAAGTTATGAGCGAACAGATAAATGTATAGTACTTGCATACCTGTCAAAATCTCTCTATTTTGCCGTCGTCGAGTAAAAATTACGCATTGCAATTCGTTCCAAATAAGAGTATAATACAAAATGATGAAATTTTACTGTTTGCAAAGACTAATTAAAAGCACCATCGAATAATGCGTTGTAATATCCTGTTATCGATTATTCGAAAAAATCGGTAATCTATGCATTTATTTTTGATATGGCAACACTTTCTAAATAAGTATTACTGGCATAATATGGTTTTCTTGTTTAGCTGTTATATTTACTTAAACTTTTTTTATGTTTAATTTATCATAATAATATAGTAAGTACTTATTATTTGAAAATATAAAATAAACATTTAAAATACGGTGATACAAATGAAAACAGCGCCATCTATGAAAGTCTTTTGGAAACAATAAGTCCCAATTAGCAATGATTAAATTGTAAACAAATACAGGGCAACAACAAAATGAGTAAATATATGAAAATTACTTTTTAAAACGCATTATTTCATTTTAACATCTATATATGACTTTTTAAAAATAGATTAAACCTTTTTAAAAACATAGTTTTGGGTTTTAAACGATTACAAAACAATGTTGAATTCCATTCGATACCAATGACGCCATCTAAATCCGTTTTTCGAACTAAAAATGGCTACTATGCCATTGTTCCCCACTGCTATAACCAACATTAATCATATTTGGAATATGAAGTACTTTTTCTTATTTCCAATGAAACCAAAACAAAATCAATCAGGGACATACATGTAAGAAGTTAATTTGTTTTAAAAAAAATGTATAACTAACAATAAAATCGGTCTGAAATAAAAAATGTTTATGAAAGTAGTTTCTGTCTCTGTTTCTGCTAATTTTCTACCAAAACGGAAATGAAACACCATATTTAATGAAATGAGTATTTTTACAAAATATAGCGTTAAAATACTCTATTTTTTAATTTTAGAAAGAAAATTCAAAATCTAAAGAGACTAAATCACCTAAAAAAAATATTAAAAGAAAAGGAAAGAAAGAAACCAAAGTGGTCGCAAAGAAACCAAAAAATGAGTGGAACAGTGAAAATGCTGATGAAAATGCTGAATATGAGGTAAGATTACACTAGAGAGTGGCGTAATTAGATGTCGATTATTAAATAATAATCGATATATATGTACACTCCGTATTTCTCGTAAAATGTACAATAGTCAAATATCTTACTAGTTCAAATGATAGCACTGGCCCGATTCCCGAAACTGCATTCAGTTCAGTTATTTAGGAACCAACAATAGTTTATGCCGTCCCCTAATGAAGGTTCGAATCACGCGGACATTCTTTCTAAACCTCTAGAACTGTTCGCATATGTTCACCGAGGGCAGAATTCAACCTTAACCCTCTCGGACACTTCTCAGCTATTTTAAGTTTCTATTAGTAATTTTCCCTTAATTGAGAGGATTAAGGAGAGCACAATTTTAAACATCGCTGGCTACCAGACCACATGGACCTGGAGGCTGGCGGCGCCCGGGTGCACCACACCGGCACTTCCGGTCGTCTCTTGATTGATTCCTTGTCCCATTCGAAACAGGATCGAAGTTTAAGGCGAGTTTCAAACTCCTATTTAACTAATCTGAAGTTGTGACAATCAGGTAGAAGATAATCTTCAGCCACTCCATAAGTCTATTCCGCGTGTTTGGAGTACCGTTTTCACTCGCCTCCTTGTTCTTGTTCGTCCGGTGAAGATGTATTGGCTAGGTACGGCCAACAGCAATAAAATAGACCTTAATTTTAAATTTCTTTACTTGTCTCATTTGTATATTAAATTGTTTTACAGGTTGATCGAATTTTAGAAGTGCACCATAAGAAAAATGGTAAACGAGAATTTCTTATTCATTGGAAAGGATGGTCAACTAAATTTGACTCTTGGGAGCCTGAAAGCAACTTGAATTGTCCTGAATTAATTAAAAAGTTTATGGATAAGGTATACAATTTTGTCTGACATATTGCTAGTTTTCTTCTTTTATCTAAGCATTAATAAATTTGTAACTGATCACTGTCTGTACATGAAAGATATAGGAGAAAATCTATTCTTGGTGTACTTTATTAATGTAACCAAGACAACGATTATTTGAAATTTTGTCTGTTTATCAGTGTGGATAAGCCTATCTTAAAATGTATTATTCCAGTTCCGAAGAAATAGAAATAATTTTTATTCAAATACAACTCAATACAAACACCTTTGAATAGTCATATTTTTTTTATTCTACCACTCATTCGGAACGCAGACTCATAATAATATAGATATTTATAATTATGATTGAGGTTAGTCAATGATCATATTATATTAGCAAGGCCGCGACCTCTTACGATACGGTCAGGACAGCAATAGTTTTTTACAGTACATACATAGTTTTAACAACGTTTCTGAAACTAAACTAGGTCATAGCGGTTCCGGTGGTGGTGGACAAATCCATTAAGCTCTGATATGTTGTAAAATCCTCCAATCATTGTAATTTTTGTTATATCCTTCATGTAAATAGGTGACAGGTACCACTTATCTTCAGGTAGGCTGTCAACTTTGCCAATTCAATTACATAAAAAAGATCGCAGGGAGGAAAATAATATATTGTGCATTTGTTCTCCGTAATCCGACTCAGTTGGATTCCCACTTTTGGCACCTTTTGATTCCTCTATATATTTATTTTTAATGCCATTGGAAAATAAATAATTGTAATCTTGTATTATTGGATAACTCATGGAGAAGGCACACAATAATGTTTATTATCGATTTAGGTTGGTGTTGCACGTTCAAGTGATTCGCGTAATTTACGAGTGGCGCCCGAAACTACAAATCGTTTCACATTACAAGACCCATCTTCAGGCCGCAGGCTGAGCAAACGTCGTGGCCAACGTCAACGGTAAGTTATTCGAAGAAACTTACCGTTTTGTGTTTACTAGTATTGGTACAATAAATTATGTTATTATTCTTTATATATTCATATATAATATTTATACATTTTTATTTTATTTTTTTCAGAGTTCGTTATGATAACGCTGAATAAAGGATTTCTTGAATTTAGTTCATATACAGACTATTTTATAGGTTTAATTTTACCAAAAATTCATGATTGTGAATTGATTATGGTGTTAGTCGATTGTCACTAAATTTAAGGAATTATTAGAGTTTATTTCCCTGTGTTTGAGTTTTATAATTGCTTTTTATATTTATATAAGAAAGTAGTTGTCTATGTCTATTAGTTTTAAAGTTATAAGTATAATACATAATAATATACAATGAATATCAATGTCCAGTTAGGTCTACCAGTCGTATCTTTCACCAAAAGATTGTATTGTAATTGAATTTTTATTAGAGTTGCAAGCATTTAATGATGTATGTTTATATGTATGCATGATATTGGTTATTTCGTAAGCGTTTTGTACTTCGGAACAACACACTTACGAAATAACCAATTTTAAGGTGTATTGCTTTTGTTTTCTTAGCTTCTGTAACCTGCATACAGAGCTACAGCTACTGGTACTGTAACTGGTCATTGACTGTGTAGATTTTAGATTCTCGTACAAATTCTCTATACTTTATGTGTTGATAATAACCTAGAAATAATGATGTGACAATTATGTTAAAATGTAATAGTTTATAACTTCTAAATTGGTTGTTAATTCAAGTTCTTTTTTCTTATGTTTGTGGTTTAAAAATGGCAATAGGGTGTTTGCCGACAAATTTATACTTTTATTAATATTTAAAAAAAAAAACTATAAACTTTACTGTCAATTTAACACACTAAATATTTGTTGAATCATAGTGCCTTCCTCTTACTGATTCTCAGTTGAATTTTAATATAAACTAATCTTAATTACGTATAAAAAAATATGCAAATTATCAACATGAGGCTTTTTTCCACGTTCATTATATCCGAATTTATGGTCACCTTGTTATTCCAGTGTACTATTTTGAACATAATAAATAAGTTAAAACCCCGTAAAAACGTCGGCAACTAATAAGTCTATTTTATTGTATATTAGGTGTTGAGTTCAAAAATGATAAATTCGCTGGGAGTATAAGAAATATGTACCCTCAGCTGTAGTTTATATTCCTTATGTCATATCTTGTACCTTGGGCATGTTTTGGTCTTTATATAAGTGTACATTTCAATTTGCTTAACTACCTATACATTCTGTCCAAGATATTTCTAAAAAAACTTATAGTGCAATATCAAGATGGGATGTATTTTTATTTTAACGTTTCACTAATGTAAAATATGTGTTTACGAATAAATAAAAAAATATTATAATAGTATAGTAGTTATTATTTGAAAGCGTCGTGGTTGACTAAATTTTAATAACTAGTCAATTATAAATATGTTGATTGACACGTTAACACGTGCACTTATTCACATCGATACTAGAATGAGCGTACATTTTTATCATATACCTAGTGTTGTACATAATAAATTACCGACCAGAATCACTAATTAGTTCGGTTTATGAACTACAAAATTCGTTCCCTTCGAGTCAGAAGTCCAGGTAAGAAATCTGATGAATCTAAGGTAGGCTTCTAATATCAGTATTTTTTTCGCAATATTACTGTTTCCATATCTACAAATTCGTAATAGTTGAGTCATCAATAAGTAATCTCTAGTTCAATTTTACTCTTTGAAATGAACATATTTTAGTCATGAGTTGAAAAATATTAAAGATATTTATTTATTTTATTAGCAATTAGCTACTCCCAACTGGCTTCGCGCGGGTGTACATGTATTATATATATTAACCATCCTCTTGAATCACTATTATAAAAAACCGCTTCAGAATCCGTTGCGTAGTTTAAAGATTTAAGCATACACAGGGACAGACAGAGAGCGACAGCGACTTTGTTTTATACTATGTAATAACTAGTCTGTACTGCTCCTTTTAATGTTGTAAAATTGAGGTTGTACAAATAAAGCATTATTATACATATAAACAATATAAACAAACATTTACGAGACACATATTTACATAAGAGTTCGACCAATAAATAGACTTTATTGGTCGAACTAGGCGCACTCGCTAGGCGTTCAAGAAGCAAGTGCCCAATTCTGTGAAGTTTAAAAAAAAATTCATGTCGAAACACAACGACAAATATAATAGGAGCTTCATAGGTTCAAACTAGTTCGATCCCGATCTAGACAAGCCTATTATCATCCATTTTCGTTAGGGATCTAATCTAATGTGTTCTCTTTGCAGTTTATCGTTTCGATTAATATTTGAGAGAGATGTTTCGTCACTAGTCGTATATTTCTTTTTGGGCATTTTCCGACGTTATAATATATATTGGATATATAGAAGAAGTCATCTTATCATCCTCCACTGGTGCCCCCGCCAGCGTAAACCGTTAGCGCAGAAGGGTGCATCATTCCATTATCATCCATCCATCCAAAATGGTCTCTCTTCTACTTGTAACAATGCAGTTGTAGGTGCAATATTTATACTTAGATTGTTACATGTGTATAGAGGTAGTATATTGTATTAGAAGTTACTAACAGTCATAAAAAGTTATAAAAAATTGGATAACTATTCATTGTCTATGTTAACGGGGAACCCGACAGGTTTTGAAATAAATTAAACAGAAACAACTCAAATATATATATATATATATATATATTAATATGATTCTTAACATTTAATTCGATACATCACAATAAACATTTCTTTTAATTAACTACAAAATGTTCTTTTCGTTAAACTGCATCAAGGTCTGTCGAAGCTGTATAATTGCTCTAATTACAATGCTATATAAATACATTAATTTGTGAACTTTAGAATATCACTATTGTCATCGACATTGCCTCGCTCTTAACCCATTAGCTTAGGTTAGAACTACACTTTTGTAATAACACGCCAACGTTACACAACACCTTCGAGATCGGGACGCGGGGGTGCGACAAGATTTAGATCATGTTCCTGCGGGGACGGCGACCGGCGGCGCGAGCGCGGCGGCAGCGCGACCACCTCCGAGGGCAGGCGTTCGCCGCAGGACGCGCAGGCGGTGTCGTGCGCGCAAGAGCCGTGAGCGGCGCGCGCGCAGTGCGTGGTGCGCACCGGCGGCCGCGACGACAGTCGCCCGCTGCAGCGAATGCAGCGCCCGCGCACCGCCACTCCGCGCCGCGACGCCGCCAGCGCGCGCGCCAACGCCTCGTGCGCCTCGCGGCCCGCCGCACGCGTCGCCGCCGCCCAGCCGCGCCGCCGCCCCGCCGCACACGCCAGCATGGCCAGCGCGGCGCGCGGCTCGTGGCCGGCTCCGGCTAACAGCGCTTCCGCGGGCAGCCAGGCGGCCGCGTCCAGCAGCAACGCGGGAGGCACGTGCGGTGCGCGCCGCAGTAGACGGGCCCACAGTGCGGCCGCCGCCGCCGACGGCGCGCCGCGAGCCGCACGCGCGCATACCGCGCCCGCCTCCCGCACCAGACGAGCGCTCGCCTCTTCGCTCAGGTCGGACCTCATGAGTTCCAGTATCGCGTCCAGCGCCCCCTCGGGGTCGCCGGTCGCCTCGAGGCACACCGACTTGGCGTCCTCCACTTTCGTCTCCCGCACGATCGCCAGGGCCTCCTCCGGTCGCACGAGGCCCGGATTTTTTAATAGAAAAGCTTTCACGGCGTCCGGTCTCAATGTGCACAGCCTTCGCAGATGAGCGGCGGCGACGTCGCCTCGGACGAGACCCACGTCGAGAAGACACGTGACGAACTCGAGGACTCGTTCGTCCCTCGTACTATCTATTACAGCGACGACGACGTCGGCATTATCTTCGTTGATTAGAGTGGCTGCGGCTCGTGGCCGCAGTAACACTAGTGATCGTAGTAGTTCGCAACGTTTTTCGAATTGGTATGATTCAAACAAACTTCCGTTGGCTTCGTTTCTACTCCTTAAATACTCGAAGAATTCGTCAGTGTCTCGGGTAGTGGGGGATTCTATTAAAAAGAAATCCCGTAACACGTCGTCGTGCCGCTCGAGCAGCGTGTCGAGTCGCCACAGTGCTCGTGGCCGACATAGCGCCGCATCCCGTAGGGCGGCCAGTTGTTCCCGCTGCGGTCTCGTTCGCAGCATCAATGCCAGCCACGCTCTGTCTCCCCTCTCTCCGCTGCATACAGTCGCCAATTCCTGCGCACCTTTTATGACTTCTTGATCAGGTGGCAAGGCGCCCGTATTCAGCTGATTCGTAATAAACTCTAATATTTCAGTACATCCCTCTGCATTCTGGAAACAAGATGTCATATAAAGGGTCTGCTCGGTTAAGCATATGAACCTCTCTCTCTGCATCAGAGTCTATTGAAGGGATTTTTAACACTTAACAAAAATATTTTTTTCTCAGTAAGTCCTGAGAATACAGCTCGGTGAAATAATCCTTGACCTATTTTTGAAAATTTTCACTACTAGTTTCATAGTGACATGGGATAATTTATAATAAATGAGTTTAATATGTATAAAAACAAAACCCACAAAGTTATGAGCACCTGGATTTACTCCCTTTTGGTACTTTAGGTAACAACGTGCAATTAGTATAGAACACATGAGGGTGGGATCGAACGTCACCTGCAGGTCGCGGGAGTAGGCGAGTAGTGCACGAGCGACACGTAGCCGATTTTGTTTGGCGAGCGGGCCCGCGAACGGTGGCTCGCGCGCGCTCTGCTCTAGCAGCCGCGCCGCTGCCGCGGCCTCGTGCCGTACCAGCGCCAGCAGCGGGGCAGGCCCTCCCTGCACAAGATACACAACGATTTTTACAGGATTTTCGGTCAGTAACATATAGGCTCAGGTGGCTAAAACAATAAGTTCCCCAAAAATTTAAATAACAGATCGATCAATAGTAAGTTTGAATATAATTAAAGAAAAACCACTGTAAAAATTTATTGAGTTACTATTATTTGCCGTCGTCGGAGGGCTGCGCGTGCTCGGGCAGCGGGCGGCCGTCTGCGTCGGAGGAGAGCTCACCTCGTCGTCGGCGAGCAGCGCGTGCAGGGCGTCGTGCCGCGCGTGCTCGGGCAGCGGGCGGCCGTCTGCGTCGGAGGAGAGCTCACCTCGTCGTCGGCGAGCAGCGCGTGCAGGGCGTCGTGCCGCGCGTGCTCGGGCAGCAGGCGGCCGTCTGCGTCGGCGGAGAGCTCACCTCGTCGTCGGCGAGCAGCGCGTGCAGGGCGTCGTGCCGCGCGTGCTCGGGCAGCAGGCGGCCGTCTGCGTCGGCGGAGAGCTCACCTCGTCGTCGGCGAGCAGCGCGTGCAGGGCGTCGTGCCGCGCGGAGGGCTGCGCGTGCTCGGGCAGCGGGCGGCCGCCGGCGCCGCGCCCGGCCAGCGCGTCCGCAGCCGCCACCACCAGCGCCGCGCCCGCGCACCGGCACTCACCGCTGCCGTCGGCCGAAGGGCACGACGGGTCTACGAACTTTACTAATTCTCGCATCGCGCCACTGCTGCCTCCTGTTTTCAATTAATCTTGCATAAATACTAAGTAAGATAGATTACATAAGTAAAACCAATTTTAGTTGAAGTATGGACGTTAAGAGCCGTATAAACTATATTAAAAAATGTAATTTAGATACAAAAATTAAAGATCTTTACCTAAAGCAGCTGCGATTGCACCTACGCCGCGCCACAAGCCTTTTTCTCTCGTAAAAACACTAGCACGATGCGGGTCGATGGAGGTAAGTGGCAAAGATGCTACAACTCTTTCTACAAGACCTGGTTCAAATTCGGCCAGTAATTCGATTAAAGCCTGCAAAAAATTCCTTATGAATACGATAAAATAAATTATATTTATTTATTTATAATTGCACATGCATATACATCAATTTGCATTACGGGTAATAAATTTTATACAACTAAATACTTGCTAAATCGAACGCATATTTTAACTATGACTCTGTTACAGTAACGCAATGAATTTAAATTCCAAACAGAACTAAACTATTTGTTTGGGATACCACCAACAAAAAACATTATATGTTGGTTAATATATGACATGTGATTTATTTACCCTACTTTTAATTAAAATTCTGAATCACTATTAGTGAATTAACACCACGCTGTTCTCTGGGGAGCGGATTAGTCGACATCGTCAACTAGCGATGTTGTGATAAACGCAACATTTGCCATGTCCAAATTTCGCTCTGTATATTTGAATCCAATATGGTAGGGCGCAAACCTAACCTAACGCTACCTCTCGGATTAGTGAATAGTGTATACAAAATATACCTGTGTGGAATCTGGAGAGGGTGGTGCTTCGGTCAGTTCACCGCGAACAGCCGCGTCACCCAAAGCTTCCACAAATGCATATTCACCAGAACAATTTTCCCATAGATTATACCATAATTCGTCGCTAAAATAATATGTATAAAAACAGGTAAATAAAGTGCAAAGATAAGTTCTAAACACGAAGTAAATTTTAAAGATTTTTTATCTAAGGTAATTTATTTTACCTACATACAGTTCTCTGAAATAAACTCATTTGCTGATAGGTTGATCAAATGGATAGTAGTTACCGCCAATATTTGATTTTATGTATACGTACATGCATTAAAAAAAAATGATAACATATCTCGAAACCAAGACGCTTGCAACAGCGTTAAATTTTGTAAATATGTATCTACATTTTAAGATTTTTTCTATTAAGGATTGATCGAGCGTCCTCAACCTAATCTCGGAACTGTAGCTGACGTTCACTAGGGTTCATAATACAACTTTCTTAACAATTTTAGAAGTTTTCGGCCGGGAAGAAATTGGTCACATTGACCTGTGGCTGGCTTACAGGTCACATACCTAGTCTATTTTGATATTTCGACCTCAGATTTCGCATCCCTTTTTGCAAAGGATTGATAGTATTAGTATTGTCTATATAGTACTAATAGTATTGTCTGTAAAATAAACTGATAAAATAGCCTACCTTAAACCAAACTTTAAACACAATTTTATTGTTTCGTCTGCAACAATTTTATTATTCAGCACATGTGGTTTTTCGGATATATTTTGTATAAATTGAATTGCAAGTTCTTTCGCTGCATTTCCTTGAGTGGAACAGAGTACTCGTAATGCTTGTAAATAATGTCCACAAGATATTAAACCTTGTGCTCTAGTTAAGACGTCTCTTGGTCGTACTCGCACAATTCCTTTGCGGCCGAGGAGCGATAATGCACCTTCAATGACACAAGCGCCGCCAAGAGCACTCACACCAGCTGAACACATCGCACGCGAAACTCGACCATCCGTCCAAAGTCCCTGTAATATTGTATTCAACACACTGTAATTGCTATTTTCCAAAACTAATGCCATACAATCAGCGGATCGACATCATATCCCAAGAATGGACACAGACATTTAAAAAATTCTATCGAGAAAATAGTAATGTAATACCTAGAATCCAGTGACTGGGTTAAAAATATAGTGAATATGTATAGAGCGAGTTTAATATTTTAGTAGCAACAAATGAAGCAAAAACCCTGCTGCGGTTCTGTTAAATTATGATAGTGGTGATTGTAATACTATAGTAATGTCGGGGACTCAACAAAACGAAATCAGTACTTGAGAGATCTGTTACAGTTTCACAATCACTGTTCATACAATGCTTCCGAAAGAGCCATGTCAGCTTTCCATATCAATATATTGTATTAATAAAACAATACCCTTTTGATACATTCCTTTCGTATTACTCGCGGTTTTCGGCTAACAGGCAAGGACTGAAATGATCAGTATGTTACTAAACATCACTCAAAACGCGCTTTCCTTCTTAAAATACAAATAATTGTTTTTTTTAAATTATCCTTAGACCCACTCCGTAACAGATCGCATTATTTTCTTAATGTTGAGTGTAAATACAGCTTCAAATTAAAAAATATACATTCCTTAATTAATTGTTTTATTAAATAGTATATCTCAAAACATTCGACACCATATCTTAGCTTAGACTCTATATAACGTAAATCTATAGTATATCTGGAATTGAAAGAAATATATAGCGGTTGCAATCTCACATAATGATTTTTAATATTTTTTTTTTTCTATGTTACTCTTATTAATATTTTCTTTTTGTTGATCCTTACCACTTACCACTCAGTTAAAATTATATCAAATTATACTCTGAACTGGGTTGAACTGAAGCTGGGTTAAAGCTGAAAATCAGTGTTTTGTTCCCTAAACAATGTTCCACGCTGAGCTTCGACCTTTTTGTATTGCTACAGATCACACATAATAACACAATTTTATAAATCTTATGTTGTATTATGTATTTTATATTCTTATGAACATGTTGTGTGTGATTAGTAACAAACAAATAAACGATATATCTATCTATCAATCTATCTATCTATATATAAATCTTTAGAAAAATATACAGTCTCGAATAGTCCACTACATTCTAAATTCTGATTTAGAATAGGCTAGAATGGCTGGTATTTAATAAGAATAATATAATAACATATGTATCTTAATTCGATATGTATAGGCTAGAAGAATCATTAGTTTATATACATATAGTAACAGCAACATAAAGTAACAAGAATCAGTTTTTACTACAAAGAAAATTAAAATTTACTATCTTGACATATATACCTACCTTAAAAAATGCTGATGCATAAACAGGCTCAATTTGAGATAGATCCAAAACTTTATCGTAATCATCTCCCCACAAACGTAAATTCTCGTCTGAATCGAATATAGCTAAACTTCCACCTAACCAACCGAGCCATAAAGGTGTAGTTTTTAATTGGACGCGTTGAACCAGACGAAGGGTAATGGAGGATCCAGTTACAGCCACAGATAGCCACTGCAAGGTTGTTGACCGGGCGCATACCAGTATTCTGTTGTCAGTTTCACTCCACTCTAAAACAGGAAGTGTGTCTGGTGGTCCGCCTAATCTGATTCCTGCAGCGTGACCGCCAGCTACAATAATAACACGTGACAAAGTCGCTAATGCTAAAATACGAGCATCCCGTGCAGTCATTGCTACAACTTCTCCTCTAGCACCCGAAAAAAGACACGACGTGCGAGCAGAACGTACACCAAGAGGTCTTGAAAATTTCATCAACCAAACTGATCCTCCAGTGTCAAGTGCAAGACCTGAGGTTCCAGCCCAAGTGACTCGCAATATACCCCAAATTTCACCACCTAATGTCAGTTTTCTGAGCAGTATTCCTCGAACACTTTCATATTGACATATTAATCCTCGAGCATATCCAGTGAGTAAACGAGTACTGTCAGTGTTATACGACAAACATGATACAGCACCACGGTCCATATTTGCGTCGCACACCCAACGTAAAGTCTGTTCATAAAATGATATAAGGTGACCATGCGCTGTTCCTACTGTTAACTTTCCATCTTTTCCCACACTCAAAGTTGTTACAGCTCCTGCCGAGGACCGCTCCTGGAAAAAAAGAACTATTTTCTTAAAACAAACATTATATAATAAATCATACTAGCTGTGCATGTGGTTTCACCAATTTAATTGCAATATAAAATATATGCTATGTGTTATTCTGGTGCATAAACTATATTACTATAAAGTATTGCTCTAAGACCTAAGATTGCTCTAAGAATCAGCAGCTTGTGGAAAGGATAGACAGAAACAATCTACAACCTTATTAATGTCTATATAGATATTTTGATGGTATTTCACTTTCCATAATTTAATTAGTACCTGTACTGAAATAGTCTATTTTTTTAGGTTTATATGGAAAACCATAATTATAGAAGTGATTTTGTGTGGGTAGGAGTTAAAGACTCTTAAACTTCTAAACCATTGAGAATAAGGGGCTTAAAGAATTAACAGTCTCAAAGTCTCAAATGTAACTGTAATGACATCATAGAATCAGTCAGGACTTAATAATGTCAACAAAATATTTCGTCTACTGGTATTCCCAACAGTGTAAACCGTTAGTGCATGTGGTTGTACCATTCATGTATGTAGATGACTTTACGGTTTTGCCCAGTAAAATCTTAATAAGTATTACATTAACATACTTGTGCCTGTGCCAACTGTTGTGATACTGCCTGTAAAAAATCTAATTGTAAAGCAGAACAAGTTGATGGTTCTTCAGTGTCTTTAATTGGATTGTTTTCTTTCTCTTCCTCATTAGTTGATAAAATTTCTGCTAGAGTTGGTGCTTCACTTGCTGGTAATGCATATTCCACTTCATCTAACTGCAATAAGTAGAAAAATAAAATAAAGTAATAATACACCCAATGTAATGAAACAATTATTCATATTTAGAGGTAAAAATTAAGTAATTTTAACATTAAAAGAGAAAGATGTGATAAAAGTACTTCATGGTGATTCCTTATCGAAGTAACTGCTTCTTCAAAAAGAATAGTTAATCACTGATTTTGAACAAGATATTGTGTTAAGAGCTTAAAAAAAAGAAAGTTTTGTGTTACTAATCAAATTAATAGATAGGCTAGTCTAGCTTTATGAAAGATTTTAAAGAACTTCATTAGAAATTCATCTACTTTGAAGGTTCCTAATAGTATTTTTACATATCACTATACTACATCAAGTATCTGAATATATATAATAATATATAAGGTGCAATATGTTATTACTATAAATAATAATTTTCACACCAGAAACTATAATAATCGTCATTGTCTATCTCATATTGTATTATTTTGCTGATAAAGGCTATAACAGAATAGCAGAGAGTGTGGACTCATTGCCCTCACTCAGTTATAGACTGTTTTGTCTTCTTCATTAGTTTTAAATTATATTATTGTATTGTATAATAATTGTATTATTATTATACGGTAATATATTTTTTCAATAATATCATTGTTAGAAATTTTCAGGTAGTTTAATAACTATGTATAATATTTTAATAACTTGTCAAAATTTAACAAGTAAGATTATTTAGTGTGGTGAGGTATTTATTATATATAATAGATAACATAAATATTGATAGGGGCGTAAACCAGAAATAAATAACAACGCAGTGTGGTACTGTACAAAAAAAAGAATGTCACCTCTTCAATATCCAGATATTGTAAACTTTCAACTGATTCCAAATCTGAATCCAGTAGCGACTGTACTGATGGTGCTTTTAATAAATCCATTGTTGTAAAAAATATTACAACATAGTTTTAGAAAACTTTATATTGCTCATGTATATTTAAATAAACAAAATACATTTAAGAGTACTGCTGTAACCAGTCTGTTTGCACATCATGTCATAGTAAACCTATCGAAAGGAAATTCATAAAATCTCCGAGATATCATAGAAATTGTTGTTTAGTGGTGCAGAAAACTTTTGGTAATCTAATTTATAATAGCAAGAGCTACATAGGAAAATTAATATTTATGTAATATTATGATGTTATAACTTTTGCTGTAAATGCATAAGAATAAAAACTTAATGTTAAATTAAACTAACGAATCTAAACGGGAATAAAATTAGAATTTGGTGGAATCACAGCACAGAATAAGACGTTAAAAATGATAAGATATACATATAGGTACTGCATTATTGATGATTACATGACACTTAAGAAACCATCAATGTCAAGTGTCTGTCTGAAATACAGAATTAACAAACAATTACAAATAGTTTTGTATGAAACAAAACTATTTCTAATTATTGGCTAATCAAGACAAAATGTAAAGAAGATCGAGACTACCTCAGAAGAACACAAAATATAACAATTTTAGCTGCTAAAGATAAAAATTTATATTGGTAATCATTTTATACCTAACTACCCTGTGGCGTCAATAATATACACTGTGGTATCACCTGTAACCCGTAAATTGTCATAATTGACAATTTCTGTATATGACAATTATTCAGTATTCAGTCAAAATATAGGTAGGTATAGGTAGAATATTATTGAAATATTAATTTTTAATTTATTTAATGTTTTACACATTGTCTCATGTTCGTGTTGATATTCTTACCTATATTCTGCTCGATGTTTATTTCATCTGAAAAATTGATATCTATATAATAATAATACCTGTCTCTAGACTAATTTTATTTTAATTTATTTTTAATCTCGTTGCGAGTGACACCATTTGAATTTGTTCTTGTATACATCCTATATCGAATGTTTCGTAAATCTCATCATCAAATGAGGTGAGTATAATTATATGTTTATAAACCCTATTGTTCAGTTTTGTAATTAGAAAGAAATAAATCATAATCATTTGTAAGTATGTACTACAACCCTGTTGCACGTTATTTTCATAAAATTCCTCTCGCATTGCATGCAGCGTTGCCTAATAAAGGGACCGAAGATGGATCCTAAACAAGGTTGGTTATACCAACAAAACAACCATACTTAGGTGAACATTTACACACCTGATTGAATATAATATTGAATATCTTGACTACTATTTACTATTCAACAAAAAGTACACATTCATTGCAGATACACAGTATATTCATTATTCTTGTATTGAACTTTCTCTCGCTATGTAACAGTAAGAACACAATGTATCCTTTTAGAACACCAGGCTTTCATAAGAGGCATGGAGGGAATTAAAATTTAAATGCTTTCTTGCAAAAGAAGGATAATTCAAAATCAGTAACTATGACTATGATAGATTTTTTTTATGAATCTAGTTGCTACATTTATTATCAAATTTACAGATATATAAGTACATTTATTAGACCTTTACATGTTTATTTAATTTGAGTAGCAAATAAATTACATCAGTAATGCAGTATCAAGGCATTGTTATTAATTTTCACAGATACATTTAATGAAACTGTTTCCTCATTATTGGAGAGAAAAGTTAGGGGGTGGCTTAGTGGAGTCATAGACGACATGAGACGCAGTAGTCCAGTGCAGCAGTGGCTAGACTCACTCCCGCCTGATACTGACACTGATTCTGAGAAAGCTAAAGAAGCTGATAGTAAAGAGATAAAGTCAGATGAAAGCAAGGTTGAGGAATCAGCTAATGATGATACAGTTATAGAAGTAATCCCTAAGTTACATGAAGATCAGAATTTAGATGTACCTAGTCCTAAAGATGTATGGAAAAGAAAGTCATTAGAGAGTGGAGTTCTAATGAGACAAACTGGAAGTATTAAAAGACTGCAAAGAGATCATTCTGTCCAATCTGAAGGTTGCTCACCAAGATTAAAAAATCCATTATTTAGGGATCATTCCCTTCAGGTAATGTAATTATTAGATGTATGAAGCTCATTTCTAAAATATATATTATTACATAATTTATTCACAAAAATAATGTAAATCATATATTTATTATTAGACATAAACATTAAGCATATTATATAAAATGTATGTATACACATTTTTTCACAAATTTCTATTCATTATCACTATAGTTTAAATTCTCTTCAATATTATATAAAGCTGATAGTTGATTGTGGAGTTGACTTTAAAATTCTGATTTTATAGATTCATTGACATGTGAAAATAGGGTATCCCATCAAAAACATAAATGTGAAATGATAGCCGAGTTTTATATTATGATATATGCCTTGATTGTTGACTTCTAAGACAAAAGAGGTGAGATCTAAATCGGTGCCAAGTTCAATGGTCTGTCCTGAAATGTATTTATAACAATATAAAATATCTTTTCTTCTTATAACTTAGGATAATATATTGTAGGCTAAGGTCTAACTTGGCCAGTTCTCATATACCAATTATTACTTTCGATTGCTAGTTACTACTAATAATAAAATAGGAACCGACAAGTAACATGTTTAGAACTTGCGAAGGCTACAGTATATTTCGTATATGAGAACGATGAACGATGATATTTCGTATATGACTAAATATAGATATATGATTTTATGATATAGGAAAAAGTAAGGAAAACTTTGCTTAGAACTATTTAGGATTAAAGATAAATATTAATTAAAAATTACTAATAAGTTTTTTCATTTTTTGTTGTGTACAAGGCACTGACTAAAATGTTATAATTTTACAGTCTGATGCAAGTGGCTCAAGTGGTAGTTCGGTTTTGAATGTACTTGGTGCAAGGAAAGTGGATGCTGAGTCTGTCTTACTGGCTTTAGGTTTTGGACCTAGTGAGAAACAGCAAAAACTACAGAGAATACCTGACCGATTTTTGGCACCATCTAAGGTATTGATAATGATATGAATATGTTATGTAATATAGTACATTATAGTAAGTTTAGTTTTGGTTGTTATAAATTTGCTGAAACCTAATTAGGATAGATTTTAATCAAGTTTCTGTACCAATATATATAACTGGTGTGCAGTTCTCATACTCATGAATATTTTAATATTAATGTACCACATGGATATTAACATGACATGGTACATTCCTTACAATCCTTCCTATTTTGTACAGTATATTAGTAGTAGCAAGAAACTTGTTTTTCATATTCCTGTTGCTGTTATTCAGCACAAATATCGTACTAATAATAGTCATCTAGTCCCAAACTAGTTGGAGTTTGTACATTATAGATTGACACAAGTAATAGAAATCATAATAATATTTTATACATATAAACTATTATTATAAACACACCCAGACCGATACAAATAAATAATCATGAATAAAAACCGGTTTGTTAAGATACATTTGAACACACAATCATCAAACTGACAGTGTGCACTAGACTACTGAGGGTGTCATCATTACAGTGTCATTTTTATTGTAGATATATGTGACTAGCCACAATTTCGACTGCTTTGATTTTAGGTAAAAGATTACTTATGTCATCATCTTACAATCTAATTTTACCTCAAATTTCATTAGGATTACTTTAACCATTTAAATAATAGGAAAAGGTAATAGACAGCAAGTCCATACGGCTTGCACATTTTCAACATAATTGTTGTTTTATGTTTCAGCTCAAAGGAATTAGTACAGAACAATTTATAAAAAATGAACAACACTCAATGAGAATGCATGACTGTGGAATTTTTGGGTACAGAGGTTTAACAGGTATGAATAGTCAAATTTTCATCATGTTGCTGAAACAATCTCATAAACTAAATTACATTGATGCTAATATTAGAGTTATAAAGGCCTAACAATTGTTACTAATTAGTCTACTCACCAATAATGTTCTCCTGTATTTACATTGGCTATTTGGAAGAAGGGCCTCATAAAATGATCGAATAATGCATATTTATTTTGCTTATTACTTTGATTAATTTCTATAATTGGTTAATACTAACTCTATCTACGGGACAAAGGGCCCAGTACCTTAACTAACCAAATCAACTGACTCTCTTAATTATTTACACCTAAATAATAATAATAATATAAATAATATATTGAATGAACATTGCTTGGTCATGATGATGAACGAATGAATGAACACGATTACGCCAAAATTAGGAGCCCACTCTATCTATTAAAAAAAACCGCTTCAAAATCCATTGTGTAGCTTTAAAGATTTAAGCATACATAGGTAGACACAGCGAGAGCGACTTTGTTTTATACTATGAAATGATGATTAGTACTTCTAAGAATACCTTACATTCTTATCTCTAATTGAACTAAGTGGTACAATAAATGTCTCGATCTATAATATAATCTAATTCGAACCTAATACAAACCTTAATAAAAAGTATAGGTGTAATGTAGCAATGTACCACTAGTACATTGCTACATTACATTTATAGTTATTTACAATTTATTTATTTTATACCGGATGTGACCATATGGTATGCACCCCGATGCGAGATAACCTATATACGGCCTTGAGATGATCACGATACATACAATCTAATAATATATAAGCAACAAAATAAACATAGCAATAAATAACATAAATTTATTGCTATGTTTATTTTGTTGCTTATATATTATTAGATTGATCGTGCAACAAAGTCGTACTATTATCTGGCGGTTATAAATCTTTATGATCGGTGGTATAACGGCGGTGGTACACACTACTTTTACATCCGATGATCGAGGGTTCGATTCCTTAAAACATTCGGTATAAGCATTTGTGTTAATAAGTATGATTGTTTGTATCCGTCTGGATGTACCGATACGATATTGAAACTTTCAAGAAAAGAGCTTATTCCTTTTTAAAAGGCCGACGACGTACTTGCAATTCCCCTGGTGTTGCGAGTGCTCATGGGCGGCGGTAATCACTTAGCATCAGGTGAGCCGCATGCTCGTTTGTCCCCTGTTATAAAAAAAAATGTTTTCTAAGTATATAAGTTAATAACAGTCTACATATATATTTACAAAAAAAATTAACTGTATTTGTATCAGTTGTCTAGTATCTTCCAATAACACAATCACTGCTAAACTCGGGACTAAATCGCGCTGTGTGAATTAGCCTGATATATTATTTATTATTATGAAGTTATCATTTACCATAATCGTTCATTAAATTTAGTAAATGATAGTTTTACAAACATCGTAACGGCATACGGATTCTATACTTCTTTATCGGAGCGTTCATGAAAACTATAAACTCTACAAACTAATTTTATCTAATGTTTTACTACTATTATTAATTACGAAAAAATAGTGGTAAGAGAAGGAGAAAATATTTACCATATAGCTAATTAATTTACTCTAGGTTTCTTTTAGCATTTTTTCCAATGTATGATACGATACTGGAAAGATGCACCAGCCTGCACTAATCGCATAAGCCAGCGGGGCACTAGTGGTGGAATTTAGATGAGTATAAGATCAGGTCAGTTAGCCCATCGTAGCAATTTCAACAGGAATTAATCGTGGTTTCTATGCGGAACAGCGTCTTGCTAATAGACTTCTCCACTTTAAACTACTTATGTATAAATTGTTTCTAATGTATTTGTTTCTGTGAGTAGAGCGAGTATGGCTTATAGACATGTAGGCAAAGATATTTTGTTATTAATTGTCAAAAATATTATAGTTTAATTAACAAAAGGTAATTCTAAGTAAAAATAAATTATATTATATGTCGTCAATAAGAAGTAAATGTAAAAAACCATGTAACAAATATTATATTGATTGGGTGTTCGTACAAAATTATCCAACAGCAAAACATATTTTAACACCATATTTTACTAACGAACTAATAATACTTACCTTACTAACAGAGCACTGTACACCTGTATGCCGATTTATGAAACCTATTCCATCTGGTTTTCCCAGATCATATCAAGTTCCACAAATTGCCGTTCAGTAAGTACTTATTACTAACATTAATGTTTATACGTTTATGTCAGTTATACTTTAATAACTACAGATATTATTCAAAAGTAATATGTTTTTAACAAAGACCTTTCTTACATTTCTAACGAAATTGCTGTTGAACCGATATAAATGTATGCATTTTTAAATTAAAACTTATAATTAGGTATATACAATACAGCATGTTGCTTACCAATAATAAATGTAAAGCAATGAAATTTCCTTTTTGGAAGTTGATTAAAAATTAAATAATGGTGGTTAATTTGTATGAAAAACAATTACAGGGAATCCGCATGTACCGCCGTCAACAATTGTAGCTAAAATAATGGAATGTATATTACACGATGACGTAGTACGTGAGGAGGCTATGATGAAAGCACGACACTCCATAGCAGACATGCGTAGTCCGCCTGACGTGTATGCACTTCAAGCGTCTCGCCTGCGACATAACTAAATCGCACTCTATGTGGAAATATGTTATCGTGTGTGGCCAAAGAAAAAATTTTGCTACTGTTTATTTTAAGATGTTTTTTAGCCATAATATGTTTGTTATTTATGTATCAAGATGTTCAGAGTAGAGATGTTATTATAACAGAATGGATCTGATAATGTGTGACGTATGTAATCTTATATTTCGTAGGACATTTCTATTATATCTTCTTTCTTGAGCGTCTTTCATCTTCAATTTTTTTGTATAAATTTTATTATGTACAATACGATTGAGTGATTATAAGAATGGATGAGTGATAATTGCCTCTGTTAGTCGTCTGTGTAGGTAACTTAAAAAGGTGTTTTATGCAATACAGTAGTTGTTTTGTATAATAGTATAACCGGGATAAATAGGCACTGGTAGCAAATATGTGCTGTAAGCGTGTAACCTTCCTAATAATTACTACGTATATCCTAACTTTCATGATCGGTTTAACCGTTAACGAGAATATATGAAAATTAATAACATTCCCCAAGTAACATCGTATAAAATATCGAATAGAACGCTCGTAATTAATTTCATGTTGTTAATACATATATATTAAGATTTCTTATGGTTGAGCGTGGTTTTTTTTATGTAGTGTTTATCTTTTTCATACTTTACAGGGTATAACAACAGAGCACAACGTACGATTCATGAATCAAAACTAAACTCTTAACATATATAATACTTTATTTACTTACTTTTATTTAACCGCTCCGCAAGTTTTATACAAAGACAATTTTAATATTTTAAATTCTTCCCAAAATTCCACTGAACACTGAACACTGTTACTATATTCAATTTGTGAATTTTTTTGAACCTATGAAATAAAAAAATAAAGAGATAGACCATAATGATAACATCTACCTGTTACTGCGATATTCGTAATTTGAAAATGGAATACTTAGTAAATTTTATAAATCGATCATGTTACTCGAGAGACATCTAAACTTTTACTTACAATTAGTATATTAGTGTTTATGTATTTTTAGAGATACTTTCTAGAGCTTATAGCAAAGATTTTACAAGAGAAAGATATATATACATATTTTAATAGAACCTACATTGACTGAATCCAATTTGCCTTGTACTTACAAATCATTGTAATTATTTAAAGTGTAAATAAATCAAAGACACATATTATTAGGTCTTTTAAATTATTATTAAATTATTGGGTATTATAATACTTGCCTCGAGTCTAAAAGTAGAAATGATTTATCTATATTAAAAAAATGTACAAATGAGTTCTTACTGTGTTAGAGCATTGTTTTATTTAGTTGCAATGAATTTTTTAAATATATGTATTTATTGGTGGTTAGAATGTAAATGATAAGTAGTTAAAATAAAAAAAAAGATATTTTCTTAATTGTCATATAAATAATGTATTTTTATTAGTTTTAGGTGAGGAAATTTAGAAATAATACCTATATTTTATTTCTATTTTGTTGGCTGTGTGTTGTTCTAAAGAATTGTCACTTTGTGTGGTCTCATATGTATGTTATTAGTATGTAAGATAGAATGACAGGAGTTTGGCTGAGATTATTACTATCTTTTTATTTTACTCTGAAATCTAATGTAAAAGAATCTATTCTATTATGGTAATTGTTACGTGATACCTTTAGCCAGTATTTAAAATATATGTACTATGACTTATTCCAATTGTTTCTAATATTTGGTATTATTAGCATTTTTGACATTACTTTTTAATTAGTAAATTAGATATACAGGAAATGCAGGGCAGAAAATTGAATATGTTTTGACTTGTGCCTTATTGAAATAGGTACAGAAATTTAATTATGATTTATCAAAATGTTATATCGGCCAATAGCGTGCAAATTAACGTAGAAAATTAGAAAAAATATATACTTAACAATCAAATATAATTATTCATAAAAATTATACTACTATACATATAGTTTGTGACTTGCTTCAGCATTGGCATATTATTTACATTCATACAATTTATTAGGATGTATTGAAATGTACCTTTATTATAATATTTTCATTGTATACTTTACGAATATAAATATTGCAATATTTATCTATTAAATAATAAGTGTCTTCTATATAGGCCCAGCAACCATTGACTAGACAAGATATCAGCCATAACTTTATGTTGTTTGCCACGCCCTTCCGTTGTCAACACTATCCTCGTAGTATTTTTAGCGGTCGAATTAAAGAATATTACTTTAATTATTTAATTAAAATATACTACTCAAACATTTACTGTATCAATATTCATGGAAAACGGTATTTTTAGCGTAGATTGATAGAGCATTGGCATATGGAGGAGCCAAGGTTGCAGTCTTTTATATGAGTGCAATAAGCATCGTATTGAACTATCATACTTTTGAATATGCGTTGATTCAGTAGCCTATATTGTATTATTACTCAGTACACGCGAATCGTCTTTCAGTAATCTTTGAAACGGCCTATACACGTCATACAACTAGGAAGTGAGGACACTCCCCATTGCTCCACTATTGACCCTGTTTTTAATGTCGTGTGTAGACCGTATAACGAAATTAATTTTCAATCTATATCTATACCTACTAATATTTTATAGAGGTATAAACGTCCTGTGTATCTAGGAATATAATTCGAGCACTAATAAAACATTACAGCGTGGGCAATTTGTATAAGTAATTTCGAGGAGTAATGAATTAATTATTTACATTTTTTCTGAATTCTGAAAGTATTAGATAAGTGTATATATATCCTTATAGCTGTTTATCATTATTTTATAGCTTAAATTATTTTCGGTAGGTACTCGTATAGCCATAATATATAATGATTACAATATTTGAGGAGCATGTCAATGGTACGTACATACTTAAGTGATCTCTACCACCTACTTTGGAAAATGGAGTCTAATTTATAAGAATTTATGAAAGTGCAATTGGCATAGGTATGGCATGTAATATGGTATTTTCACTGGGAAGAGTAGATCAAAATTAGTTTTATTAACCAGACTTTTTAGATAATAGGTGTGAATCAATTGTTATTACTTGTTACGTTTAGGTAAATATTTTAATGTGATTACCATATGTCGCAGTGACCTGGTTAATGTGTTTAGTATTTTCAAATCTTGCTCATTTCATATTATACTTAATATTTTAATAATCATGCTGTTCAATTTCTATGTGGATTTCGTGGGATCAAATAATTTGATAATTAAATATAAATCCTTTTTTTCCTTACAAGCATTGTTTTATTTAATAATTTTTACAAAGAAAAAATAAACATTTATTTATTCTCACAATTATTATAAACTTTTTTAGTAATAAGTTAATTTGTTGAACCAACCTCCAAACAGCTCCTTTCTAATACAGTACTTTCTGAATTCGTCAAATATAAACATTAACATTGAAAATGGTAGAGCTAATAACCACCTATAAAAATAAAAATACAATTTTGTATTTATAGAATTAAACATAATCTAATTTGTATTGTTGCACTCACCATCGCCACCGCAAAGGATATGTTCGAAAAAAATTGTTGATCCCTGGTGTATAACATATTAGACAAGACAACGCTAATTCAAACACCAGACCGACATTCAGAACTTTATTTCGTAGTCCTGAAAAATATTGTCACAAAATACAATGAGACAAGCGTCTCCTATACATATATATATAACTATCTACTGTCCAAAGTTGTACATCAATCATCATCATCAAGAATTTTAATGAAATCAGAAATAGGTAATTATACACTTAATAGAATAGAATACTTAGACTTTATTTGTAATATACAGTGAAGAAAATTCAAACAATATATTAAATATCAATCACAAGTAAGGCGGTTAAAATGAAATGAAGAATTATAATAATTTAGTTACTGATAAGTTCAAGTGTAATTGGATGCGAAATATCACCACTACCACCAACTTGGATGTAAGCGGCAACCGTCGCTATATACTTACATGAAGGGGCTATGTAATTGACATGTAATAACATACAAACTCAGCGTAATTATTCCGTAGGAGTAAGATGTTAAGCCTCCGTGTGATTTTACTGGTCTAACTTCCTACCGAAACAGCTAACAAAAAAACTATTTTACGTCTGGTGAAAATGACTAGAGGTACCTTCGGAGACGACTTGTAAAAGGTCAATCTCTAATAAACAAAAGTCTCTCACCAACATGGAATAGCGAATTGTATCTTGTCTTACAAATAATTCCGTTTGTCACTTGCATGACGACAACGGCTACGAAGTACGTGGTTTGGCATGCCCGTTCTAGTTCCTTACGCTCCGCGTAGGTCCAGTCTTGGCCTAATGAATCGCGAACGTCGTTAACTGCTTCATTGTCCCAGCGTCGCCTTATCCCTTTTAGGGAAACACATTCTCATTATTATGCAGCAATGTATCTATCTGCCTATTATTGTTTTATTTTTATACAAATTGTTAAAAGTCGTCTGCGTGGCTATTTCACTCAAGACATACAGCTTGCTTTGTAAGATGTGTTTTGGTTGTACGGTGCTGATTACGCAGTTAGTCCTCTTGTAATGCATGAGTGGTATCACATGTTAACGTGATGTCTGTAGTGCTGTTCATGTATATAAGCGACGGTTACTGTTTACGATAAGGTGGGCCCGTTAATTTATTTATCATTCTAATTACATAAAAAAACAATATCTACCCCGGTACGCTGTTCGCTGTACGCTATGTATTTACCGAATAATTCCGCTGGATAGAATCCATGTTCAGCCATAACTATGAAATATGAAAACAAGCCAGCTGCGAATTCTATTAAGCCCAGATGTCCGTACACTAGTGCTAACATGCGGGAAGACACAAGCGGATCGGAGGAGCGTGGAGCCCGGGTCATCACATCTGACTCGGCAGGTTCATGTGCCAGAGATACAGCTGGCCACATGTCCGTGCCGAGGTCCACACACAGTATAGTCATAACTCCTGTTAATAAAATATACCTGTTTAAGATTAGTAGTATTATAAATATGATTCCTAGATAACAATTATTTAAAAAATCACGTTAGATTGTACTTATATTTATTTTATGAACTGAAATCAATTATCATTTTGTGAAAGAAGGTAAAACGAGTTCCGTGTAATTTGGGTTTCAGAGAAACTATTTTTATTGATTGTTTGTTACCTGTAGGGGTGGAAAGGGTTGTCAGTAATAGTCCACTACCAGTAGATATTAGTACAAGTAGAGCAATTGCTAGCAACATAATATTATAAACGTGAAAGTTTGTAAGTGTAAATTTTAAATGGATTTTAATGAAACTTTACAATAGCTTAGGTATACTCGTACATCAGAATAACACAAAGGTTATAAATTTCGACGGGTGAAATAGCGGGCACAGCTAGTATGCAATAGTAAATTAATATATAGTTACTAACCCAAAGGTAATGGTATAGAAAATAGAATGAATACTAAGACCGGTAAAATCTCTGGCACATTCGATATTAAAATGTAGCAAACAGATTTCTTTAAATTGTCAAATATTTTTCTTCCTTCTTCTATACCCGTAACAAGAGTGGCAAAGTTATCGTCCATTAAAATAATATCTGCCGTTTGTTTAGATACCTGTAAAAATATCAAATTTTAAATTTAACAAAATCTAACAAATTATATAAAGAATCAACCTAAGCCGAGGTTATTATGATAGACAACTAGATGTGTTAATAGACAACTGTTATGTTATACATATGTACGTACAAATACATATATATTAATGTATGTAGAGAACAAGTAACGTATACAAACAATCCGTGTCATGTATACAAATGTCTGTACCGTGCAAGGAATCGAACCTGCGTCCATCGGAAGTAAGGGGGTAAACCGCTAGACCACCGAGGTCGTCATGATGAACAAAAAATGAATGTTTATAAAACTATCATGTTTATATATGTATATATGTACGTATCTTCTAGCGTCACTGTCCCTGTTGTACCTCGCTACCCCCTAACTAATAAGTATAAATTATATAGTCGATTGGCGAAGCCCTTCTTTTATATGTTTAGTTGAAAGTTAATTCTTATTCCACAGTGGTCAACTTGGTCTGCTTACTTGTGAGCCTGTAATTCCCATTGAGATGCCTATGTCGGCTCGACGCAAAGCCGGTGCGTCATTAACCCCATCACCAGTTACCGCTACCACTTCACCGCCCCGCTGACAAGCTTCTACAATCTGAAGTTTTTGTGTCGGAGATGTTCTTGCAAACACTGATTGAATATAATAATAAAAGAGAACATAACGTTATATCATAAAGAAGAGAGATTGTGCCCAAGAAAAATAACTTATTAATATATTATAGCAGAATTAAACAAGACTTCCGCAAGCAAAATTAAAACAAAAACTTATTATTTTGGGGATTATTTCGCGCATTGACGGCAGTTGAAGTCACTCATTTAAAGTTACTGTGGTGAAATAATAATGTTCGTCACTTACCTAATATTATTGTTATTATTCTTTATACATCACTGTGTTAGGCAATTATATAATTATAAGGTGTGTAGATATGGGTGCTTATAAGGTACGAGCTTAAAAGGTATGGAAGAAAAATATTACTAAACAATTGTGAATGTAGTAATTTTTGTATGTAACAAACCTATTTCATAATGCTTGTCTAATGTCCAGTGTAGTAAATCCGGCGTCATATTTCGCAGGTCAGAACCCGTAAGAATATGACATTTTTCAGTAGTGGCAATACCAACATCTAGGGCCACAGCACGAGCGGTAGCGGGATGGTCGCCTGTGACCATCATAACTCGAACACCAGCTTCTCGTACGCGTTCAATAGATCGGCGAACCTAAATTATGGGCCTTATTTTTACCCGATTGTGGGATCGTGGTTTATAGAAATAAATAGCATACCTATGAATATCATATTATACAGGACAATAGAGCGTTTATTATGGTACATATTTATAGTAACTACTTTGTATATATAGCCTACACTTTTACAACCATTTTCCAGCAATTATATAAAAAATACCTGACTTCTATATATAGTTAATATAAACTATGTTATCTATTACCTCTTTTCTGGGCGGATCCATCAATCCTACTATTGCGAGTAATCGTAACTTTTGTAATGGAAAATTCACATTATCAGTATCGAATTTGTAGTTTAAAGGATATTCCGTATAATCTAATAATAAATCTGCGAAAGCCAATATTCTTTCTCCTGCAAAACCACTACATATCAGTATAAACTACGAAGAGTAAATGTAGGTAGGTAGGTATTGTAAGTATTCTATGTTTTTGAGTGGTGTCACAATTCAGCATCAGCTGTGAAGGTCCTTTCTGATTATAGCGCATTAGTTTTCAGGTTATTTTACATTTTCCACATTGTAATTTGTTATGCTATAAAAGCTGAATAAATGGTTATTATTATAAGGTATATACAATGCCTATCTTTGTAAATACAGAACCTATTAGTTTTAAAATTGTTAGGGAAACCGTACTAAATATTATTTCAGGCAGGCAGATACAGATACCAACCTGTTTTAGCTAAATTTTCACATGCCATTTCCGCTGCATTTCTAATTTCAATAGTCATATCTGCATTACTTTTGTCCAAGGCAATTGAAGTACACCGGGCTAAAATACATTCTGGCGCACCTTTCATTACCACTATATAGTTAGACGCCTCACTGTGTTCATGAATGCTAACCTACAAAAGGAGACCTGTCTATTATCTTATTATCTATGGTAAATAACCCAACTTATATGGGTCACGTATCAACTGCAGGTATGCAATCGCTTACCAGGATGCGGCCCATAGGAATATCCTTGTATCAAATAACTTCACACCAAATACCTCGTCTGATCAATTCACGTCCCCATCAAACGGAGATTGAAATTACGACAAACCGGTGCTCTCAGATAAAAGTCGTATCCTTTAGGCCGGAGTTGGCCTTCAGCCACTATGCCGTGGCTGAAGGTCTTCTGCTCTCGCCCGTGTAGCTGTAAGGACCGTTTGTAGCCAACGCATATCAATAAGCTTACCTGGTATTTATTAACAGAGTTAAAAGGTATTTCAGCAATTTTAGGATATTTCTTTCTAATGGACTTGAGATCATCATACTTGCTAAAGAAATTTAAAATGGCTGTTTCGGATGCATCACCATATACCTCCCCCGTAGTTTTAATAGTTGCTAGGCTGCATAATGCGCCGCAATTTATCAATGCTATAAAAGCTGAAAAAGAAACGTAGCTTTGCTAGATTAATGTGTTACGTAGTGTAGACAATTATCCAAGCCCTATAAAGGCTGAAGTGTTACCAGGTTAGCAATACCAAATACAAACGTAATTCGATTTTCAGTAGGTAATTGCGAGCTATTAATTTGAAGTTAAAATTACAAATTTTTTTTTTAACATAAAAAATACACAGGTACCTGCAGAAGTACACAGAAATAATCATAATGTTGTTTTAAGAATTAGTGCACAAATTAATTAAGGTTACGGCAACTATTAGACATCGCAAATAATCTGACTAACAACATAGTAGGTAAGATTATAATTTTTCAAATCACTTTGTAAACGCGAGTTGTGGCATATGTGGTAAACTTACCGGAGTTAAAGCGTAACAAATCTGAAATAATAAGAATTCAAAATTTACTAATGAAAATACAAAAATAAAAGTTTCACAAGGTAGAAATCGTCCCAATTCCTATGATACTGCAGGTAAGTTATTAGTATCACTCTATTTTGAATTTGGGTCACTCGTAAAGAAAGTAAAAAAATCCTTTTTCTATTTTTAGCTAAATCTCTTTAAAATTTAATATAAATTTCAAATTTCATATAAATCATAGCACTCTAGTAGTGCTTGAAATACGATGGATCGATTCAAAACTCGAAAAAAAAAAGTGTTTATAAAAATATAATGACTAGGTATCGACAAGACAGCAAAAGTGATTAAAATTTTTCATCTAAATACAAATTGCCTACTATCGAATTCTGACTCCTTTACGTAATAACTAGTATTAGACATCCATATGTGTTGAACAGACATTTTGTTCTCGGTTAATGTTCCTGTTTTGTCTGAACATATAGTGGTGCATGCTCCGAGAGCTTCAATTGCTTCTAAATTCTTTACAAGACAGTTTCTTTTAATCATATGCTGTGCTGTTAAGGTCAAAGCCGCAGTAATAGTAGGTTGCAGACCTAAAAGATATTGAATTTACAATTAAAATATTTTTTCCATATACAAAAATAACGACAAAATCTTAACTTAAACATGGTTGAAAGTAGTTAATTATTTCCAAATATTTTATATATTCAAATAATTCTATTTACCCTCTGGTACATTGGCAACAATGATCCCAATAACAAAAACCGTAGTTTGCATAAATGGATATCCCATTGCTATAGAGGAACTAGCAATAAATAAACCAAGTCCTAGAGCGAACACAGACACATATTGCATGAAACGCTTGATCTCCCGTGACAGTGGCGATGGTGCCGGCTGCAATCGCGCTGCCAATCCAGCGACACGACCTAGGGCTGTCAAATCTCCACAACATATGACTACACCTAAAATATAATACGTTAAATAATTAGATTGTCATTGGCTGCGTCACTATAATCTTTAGCTTTAATCTTATCACTATATGTAGTTTCTCTATATGTATTTGAACAGTTACCATTCCTTAATAAAAATATAAACTTGGAAAGGATCAAAAATATAAAAATTAAAGTAGTCCTTGTTAATTTTGAATTACGGTGTTATGCTTCCATACCCTGTAATTACGACCATATCTCATATCTTCAATCCGGAATAATATTCAACAACATGCTTAGCGGAAATATATGAGAGTTAGGTAGCCAAGAAGCACCGTATTAGCGTAGTAGTAAGAGTAGGACCAAATGCTACGGACCTGCTCTCTCACTTCTGTCTGAACATAATACAAAGAAGAAATAGAACTAGTTTAAAAATTTACTCCTCATCCACCTCATCCACTTCCTACCAGCGATACTGGGCCCAAACAAAATCTAATTTGTCGCCTGGTTTTTATCTCGATTCTAATTTAGCAGTTTAGATTAGAATGGAAATCTAGGGCTCCTTGAAATTATTTGCTATAGGCCCAGTTTTTTTGTCTTAATCCGGTAATGTAGCCAAGCAAGCAGCATACAACTAGTTGTATATAGGTACCCTAAATATCGAAAGAATAGTTTATAGAATTATATACTTCCGGCCAAGATAACAAAGAAGGATTTTTGTGTGTGGGAGTATTTATGTAAATTTAGTTACATAAAGATTCACACACGCATGATGTTTTGTGTATTATTATTTTCAATCAGTACTTTACCTAACGCCCAACCTTCAACACATTGTGTGGAAAAGAAAGCTACATTAGGAGACTCCAATATATTAGGTGTGCCTTCACTATTACTACGGGGTACAGCGACACTTTCGCCAGTCAGAGACGAGTTATCAACCTGTAGGTTAGATTAGACATAATTGGAGTCTATATCTGGGCAACAAGTTTTAGAAAGGTAATGGTTATGAAACTGGTAACAAGACTATTACAAGAAATAAACCAATTATTATATTATTTATACGAAGTCGTAATAGGAAATCTTGTTCTACCAATAGAGAACTAGCTACATGATATTGATATTAGGGTCCACTTATTCATTTTGATTTTGAAATACATTTTATATTTGAAATTAGACTTTACTTTGAACCCTTTGCTGTCAATAATACGAATGTCGGCAGGTATAACATCTCCTATTTTTACTTTAACTAAGTCACCCTTGACCAGATCGCGAACCAGTGTCTCAGAATTGAGTATTCCATCTCGTATACACGTTGAGTACTGTGGTATCATACTGTTGAATGTTTTCATAATCTAAAAATATAATTTTAAAACCTCAGCTGATGGGATAAGACTAGGTAATGTCCTTTATGACCACAGAATAAAGAAGTAAATACTGAGATTACTACAGTGGGTGCCACAAATCAAATTGAAAATATCTTAATTAATATACGAGTACCTAGGTCTAATTACAGACACTCATGTTAAGTCAAATCTTGCCCATTTTCATCTTTATCCTTTTGGTGACTAAGAGACTACCACCACTACCGCGTGGTAGCCTTTAACCTTTTACCAACCACTAATTTTACAGAAACAACTGCAAAATAAACTTCTTGGTACCAGTAGTACTAAATATCACCACTGCAGTTTGCATTCTGCGATTGAGATCATTATATTTTGTCTATCCTATTAAAATTAGAAAGAGTTAGGAATCACTTTAAATAAGTTGTAGACCTAGTGTGTTGAAAACAAATTAATTATAATCGCGGTCAATCTACCAAAATAATTTATATTGGGCTAGCACATACTTTACATGCCTAGGTAGTACATACCTTAATTTACCTACATATATATATACATACTTGCCTAGCAAATGATTTAACTATAATGTTTTGCATTAAAAGACAAAGAGAAGATACGGTATATTCTTCCATACCTATGATCTATTAACTAATACCTGTAATTAAAACCGATGCACAATATAATTCGTACAACGTCCTTTGCGTTGGCATATTTTTATCTCACCTACATATATTTGCCGGCAAGTAGCGTGCTTTGTAAGTGAGATATAACAGTGAAATTACAGAGTACAAAATTTTGTTATAATATGGATTTGGTAGGACCGAAAGTAGGAAATACGTGTACCTAACGTATATTTCCTTTTTAATATAAATTAAATTAAGCATAAATACCGACTTTAGAACTCTTATATTTCTGGTAGAAGCTGAAAAGTCCGCATATGATGTCGACAGCGATAAGAACACATCCCAAATATAAATTATCATGACTTGCATTTGGTTTTGAGGAGGTTTCAATGAAATATGCAATAAGACACAATGATGCACCCAACCAAATCAGAATTGAAAACCCTGAAAATATTAATGGTAAATTAAAAGCTAGCTAGCTAGCTAGTCGCCAAGTGTCGGGTCAACCCGTCGGTCGTCGTGTTCGTGTGATCAGAACACGTCACAAACTGTACAGCACTTGATAACTCACTGTCCTCGCTTTGACGAGCAAAGACTTAGACTAGAAACGGCCCATTTCCGTTTGAATCAAAGTGAAGGAGAAAAATTACAAAAATTAGGAAGGAAGGAAAGTAGGAAATAGAAAAAGCAGAGAAAAAGTTTTAGAATATTGTAAGAGTGGTTCCGAGGGTTATAAAAGAAAATAGTAAACGAGTCATATTATGATGTATTATAATAATATAGTAAATATAAGAAGCAAAAAATGTAAATAGAACAACTATGTAGTGGTAAGATTGTGGCGTGAAAATACTTGAATTATTTCTATGGAGTGGCAATGTATAAGTTGTATCACGGGTGTCATAAGGTGATGTGATGTCCATAGCGCCGCGCTGTTTATTTAGTATTATATAGACAACAGTTACCATTTATCGTCAAGTGGGCCGTTAGCCTGTTTGCCATTACATATATCTCTCTACGTTACCTTCTTACAGATTTTATATTTCTTTCTCCCGCTATCCCTCATCTATCTTAACTTCTGTCTTTTATACTAGTTTGTATTATAGTATAGTAGATATATAGATAGTCTATTGGCCATAATTTACTCGCTCTTTGCGACAAAGCTACTTTTATTGACATGTTTAGCAATAATTCAGAATACTACATGTACACATAATATGCTAGTAGGTACCTGTACACAATGACCTAAATAGAACCTTTGGCCATCCATACTGCGTAGCTGGTGTTAGCGTATTAGGTCCATAATACTCCAGCAGTTCCGTAGCTCGAGCAAGTGACAACCCTTGTACAGGATCAGTTCCAAGTAATACAAATAGTTCTTCTATAAATAATAAGCTAGTAAGACGATATATTAATATATACTTGACGGACTCAGTATTCTAGCGGTTTAGCACACTGCTTAACTTCCGTCGTACAAACATTTTTATTCGTGAGCATGATGAGCAGGTATGAGTATTGGTCTTGTACGACTTTCCCCATAAGTAATTGTATTCCAATTGTCATTGGATCTAGTTCCATATTGTCATCCATTCACCTTTTTCGAAAGTCATCAAAAGGAACAGAGTTTGGAACTGTAGTGGTCTGCCGAATAAAGCCATTTAAGCCAACTATTTAATGAAATTACATCTATTATGAGATGATTCAGGGTAAATCTTCTGTGAAAGCAGATTCGGGCGGGAAAGAGCTTACGTGTAAAGTCAGCTAATAAGGTTCTGGTTTTAATTACTCACTCACTACTACTCTACTCACTTATTTAGCAAAAAAATATTATTTTTACGAAATAGATATTTACTTTTTATTATAAATGTGCCAGCAGTTTCAAGAACTAGTTCAAATGGATAGCTGATCACTAAATGATTTTAAAATACACCGCGGTTTCTGTTTTATTTTTTGGATCAGAATTCTAAATAAATAATATTACAGAGAGAGAATAAAAGTTAAATATGCATTAGTTACAGATATTATTACATACATACTTAATGGTATGAGATGTATATCAGTCTGTATTTCTTTTTTCAGTACGCTAAGCCGAGTACTACTCAAATCCCTTGACCTGAGCCCCTTAGGGTTATTTGGACGAAATAAATCTGAAATAGAGGATAAACTTGAACTTCTAGAATTCATAATTGCTTGTGGTGACTATTTCCTTTAACGCCTTGTTTAATTGATATATCAATTAATCAAAATCTATTATTTTTTGAAATCGGGTTGGTATGGCGTATGTTGTCAAATATACCTACACAATATATTGATAGGGAGATGAGATGAGGCCTAAGTTTGCGCCCTGAGATACGTCATCGATGAACTTCTGTTATTAATAGGTGTACATAATAATTAGCATCTATTTTAAATTAATTGTAGTATACAAATTGTTCTAATAATAATGAAGTTTACTTTACTTTCCAGGTACCACACTATCATTACCGCACCAGACATGAGGTTGGAATTGTCTCTTCTTACAATCATCGTAGGTAGCTTCACAGTATAATATAAATATTTATATTAATGATTAGGTATGTCTGTTTTATATATATTATTATTATATTACTGGTACAAATTCTATTTAATGATGATGATGATTAAAGTATATTCCTCCCTTGTTGTACTTTTACAGACTTTATACAGTGAAATAGTTAATAAGAATGGGTTTATTTCTGAGAGACCATTGGGATATGTTGTCCTTATTAGTTGGGACTGCTGGGCTCTTCCTGTTATCATCGGTGCATTAAATTTATAGTTTCGTCACATGTTTACATACCACTCAGACTAATGGCAATGGCATTTATAAAACTTGGACTAATTTCTAATGTATCAAGTTGTATTCGTTTACATAAGGCGAAAATAAAAAGAGATTGTTGTAATAAATACTTTTTAATAAAAATATAAATTAAGTATAAAAGCCATAAAAAAATATACCCCAACATTGTAGTCACTCACAACTGTGATCTCACAATTACTGCTAATGACAGTCTTCAGAAAAAAATACTTAAGTAATTAGTCCCATAACTCATTTAGAGGATTTTACATCAAATATATATAGCTACATTACTATGAATATAAAATTTCTCGATAGAACTAAAATATACAGACTAGAAATCTACTCAATATCCCTATAGCACCAAAATAATTCCCCATATTGCAACTTACCACATATAATGTAAGCAGCACCAATTAACATATGTCTGTAGATCATTAATTGTTTCATAACAAACATTGTTTAGTTGTCAATTAACTTAAAACTCTTACAGAAAAGGTCTGTTATAATTTGCTGTTTTCATTTTCAAACTTCATTAATCTATTTGTTTTAATCTGAATAATCTTTTGTAATTCCTTATCATTTATCTTCAGTAACTGCTCCTGTATTTGATGTCTTATCAACTTTTTAGTTGCAAACATTGGTATTGTAGGTAGTTCTGTAATTTCTTTTATTTTATCCCAGGCTTTAATCTGGAACTCATCATGTTTATAAACATAATTTATAAATCCACACTCAAGAGCTTCTTTTGCACTTAGTTTATAATTGAATAGTAGCATTTCCAAGGCCTGTAATAGTGAGTTTTGTTATACTTTTATTGTTAAATTGCAAATATAAAATGACAAAATAACTATGTCAATACAAATATTAAATAACTGTTATAAATAGTAATATGTTACACACCTTTCTATCCCCCATTATTCTTGGAAATGTCAATGTAGAACAACCTTCAGCTACAAAGCCCAACTTTGTAAATGGAGTGGAAAAATATGACTGAAGCAAAAATATATTTTATTTATTATATTTGACATACCTATTATTACAGCATACTTTCTCATTTCTGATTTGGTTCAGCAATATATATTATTATATATTATTATGTAATATATAAAATAGAATAATCTGTGTACAAAAAGTCTTTAGCACAATAGTACATTTTAAAATAAAAATATATGTGAATACCAACTACCAGAGTCACATAAAATTATAAAAACAAATCTGTCACTTTTTTTTAAAGTACTAATTAGATAAAGTTCAAGTTTCAACAGGTATGTGGAAATTTAATATAATTTCTTTACTTACATTGTCTGACGCTAGTACTAGGTCACATAAAGGTAAACTAGTGGCAGCTATTCCAACAGCAGGTCCATTTACTAAAGCAATAAGGATTTTAGGGAACACTATAAATGCTCTAATAAAATTCCTCAATACTTTCATGAACTCAAGGTATTCTTCATCAGTTTTTGGTATATATGACAAGTCATTCCCACTACTGTAAAAATTCCCAGTTCCAGTGATCACGACTGCTGCAATCTCATCATCTGTTGTAGCTTTTTGGAAAATTTCTTTGACTTCTTGATACATGTTAGAATCGAGAGCATTCTTCTTTTTTGGTTTATTAAAACAAATTACCAAAATATTTTCTTTCTTGTATTGAATAATTGTATCTGTGAGGCTCATTATTGTTATTTTTTTAGATCGTGGACAAAGTTGTTCAAGTGTATACCGAGGTCAATGTGTTATCCATTATCAGTAGAAAGATATAAAAACTATATACATAATACAGACTACTTAGAGCGTTTGACACATCTATTAAATTATGTCTAATTTAATTTGTTTTCTTTTCTTCTATTACTCATTTAGAAAATACAAAAATTTAATTGATTTTCTGACATTATAACTCGCATGTAGCGACCGGTAATGTAGTACATAATCGTAAAGAAATCAAATCAATTACTATCGCATAGAACTTGTATTCGATTGATGCATGTTTATAGTGTAAAAAAAGTACTGTAAAGGTTATTATGGATTTGTGGTAGCATTATAAGAAGTATGAATGTAGCGTCAGTATTTAGATATGGGCTTTAAACTTGGTGTATAGGGTTATATATTATTATAAAAGGGCAAAATTATTACTGTTATAATTAAATACTTCAGCTGACTAGTACTGAGATACTAGTATTACTATCCCATCAACTTACAGCTAGCGAACAATTTAATGTATTCTAAATAGCATGTAAACTAACATCTAACAAATTTTAGTGTGACCGAAAATCACAGACGTTTTTACATGGTCGTGCTATCGGCTGATATATAATATATGACGCTACAGTCAGCAGACGATATTTTATTTTCAATATATAGGAAAAACAGAATCACTTTTTAATTTATATTAGAGAGAATAGAGTGACCAGCAACATTGATATTGCATTGTCAAAAGGAAATAATAAAATCCGTGATATCCGTGTAACCCTGTCCCCACAAACAGCACCCGTTCAAGAGTATGACGGATGAGCGAGCCATCATTGATTCTGCAGCCTCAACCATATAACCATATAGATGAGCACATTGATTCGATCCATCTCGCCACCACAAGTTTAAACTTTATACCGAGCATTACAGTTTTAAGTTACTCGACTACGTCATTTATAGGATTTATAGCATAGGCTGTATCAATCACACTATAGTGAATGCTGTGATTGTTACAGCCTATGTCATTGTTATTACAATTCCGCATTGCAATATTTAATTTACATTATTTAAATTACAATATATCATTAATAAATTTATAACCACCACTCCTTGTTATATAAAACAGAATATTGAACATTGATGACTATGTTAATTTCCTATTGACATAGACATGACGAATATATACCTCAACAAAACTTAAAATTGTAATTAAACCCACGCATTATAGTTATTCAATTTCCCGTTTATTTTATAACATGCTTTGTTGTAATTTCTACATGTAGGATCATAAAATTCGCTTCATTTAAATCCAAAACACTATCTGTCAATCTATACATATAAATAAAATTGGAGTGTCTGTTTGTAATATTGAAATAACCGTTTTTTACTAGATGCATATGAATATAAATACGGTACGTACACTAAAATAACATTTTCACAATTTTTGTCTGTCTGTCTATCGGTCTGTTTGTTCCGGCTAATCTCTGAAATGGCTGGTTGCACCGATTTTGACGGGACTTTCTTTTGGCAGGTAGCTGATGTAATGAGGAGTAACTTAGACTATTTTTATTTTAGAAAAATAAAGTTATTTTCTACGAGGATGACGTCGCGGGAACAGCTAGTTTATAATAAAAACATGTACTTACTTTTTTGAGAACTAGGAAAATTTGTTCTCTAAGAGATTCATCATCATCATCATCATCATCGCAGCCCGGAAGACGTCCACTGCTGGACATAGGCCAACATAAGAGATTCACGACAGGGTAAATTGAATATTAAACAAATTGCTCGTTTTTGTAATATAATAATAGATTCTACATCAGCAGTTCTTTCCTATATTTTAACACCATACGACATTCTACTATGGAAGTAACTAAAATGTACTAGCTTTGAGTTAAAGTCAATTGTATATTTTTTCTGAGAGTAAAAGCTCAATCTAACAGATGTCGTTACATTTGCTAAAAAAAACACGTTTGTTGTTTTCATTGAATTAAGCGCTATATTATATGATGTAAACCAGTTTAAGCATATCTGTTGGAACTCGTATTAATTTTTCATAATCGAATAGATTCCAGCTCTATTGTCAATGGCTGTCAATTCGAATGTCAAATGTGTCAAAAGGGCTGATGGCTTTTCCTTCTTTATGAAAAATCATATTTATTTTTCATTTTTTATTTATACAGTACTTGTATTTTTTCAATTAAGAAAGTAATGGTAAAATCGTTGCTTAGAATCTTGAAGAACAATAATTTATACAATAAGACTTGTCTCTTGAATTATGCCTTAAAAACGAAGCAAATACAAAATTTTAATACATCATATAAAATGTTCAAATCTTCAGTTTCTAACCTATACGAAGCATCGAAAGATCAAGTTCAGGAATTTTTAAATTCCTTTGATACTGTTTTGACTGATTGTGATGGTAAGTGGTACTGATAGTACCCTATAAATATAATTCCCTAAAATAGACTATACTACTTTCTACTAATAATTTGAGGGCCTCTGTGGTCTAGCGGTTACTTTTGATACATGAATATGTTCGTTATTGTATTAGTCTGGGTGATTTATATTTTTATATAAAAAAAAACGTATATTTATGCTTAGTTTGGGATTAGAGGAAGCTGTATCCAGGAATATAAAAAATATGTAAATATATATAAGTTTGGATGGATTATTAGGGAGTTGAATGGATGTCTGTTGTTTCATGCAAAAACTATTGAACAGATTCTGATGAAACATTATAGTAATATGGCTTATACATCAGAATGACAGATAACCTATAATTTAAAAATATTTGTTTGAATTGGGTGAAATGTATAATAGTGATAATAAGTCAATAAAAATTTATCTATTCAAAAGTTAACTTGGTGTGCAAAGCATACACTGTTAGAATTAAACTAAAGGCGCTGTGAAGTTGTGATTAATTGGTTGTATAGATAAACTTTGTCTTTTACATTACTACTATTAATAATTTCCTATTAACAATATGGATACCTGTAATCAAGAGGAAATTGCGTCAGGAATAACAGCAGTTGAAACTGACGAGAACAAATGTTAAATAATATCAAATTTGCAAATTATCACACAAACAGCTAGAGATTTAATGAAAGATTGTGTATTATATCCAGGAAAAGTAATACCTAAAAATACTAGAAACGCAATATATATACCTTCAGTTATTACGTCGAATAAATGGCGGGATATTATGAAAGCAACTGAAAAAGACAGAATAGAAAAAAAAGGCATCATAAATAAGAAAGGCCCAAAAATTAATCTAAAAAAAAAAAGAAAGCTAAAGAAATTTCGTCTTCTGAAGAAGATAGTGAGGTAACCTATATTGAAAGCGGTGAAAGTGAATGGGCTGAGCTGAGTGATAATGATGAAAAAAGGATAGGAAAAGGAAGTAAAATGCTAAAAAAAGGACTAGAAAAAAGAAAAAAATCTGATACTGATGACACAAGTTCTAAATCAGAGTTACCTCTGAATCAGGTACCTAAAAAGATAAATAATGAAAAGTGTAATCAGAGCTTAAAAATAGGATCATATGTTATTATTAAATATGAAGGGGAATACTTTCCTGAGAGAATTAAGAATAAAGATAAATTTTTTTACGAAATTAGCACAATGATATTATCTACAAAGAATACTTTCCGATGGCCAGAAAGACCAGACAAAATTTGGTATACAGTTCATGATGTGGTCGAAATTATAAGTTCACCTGTCGAGCATAATAATAGAGGCTTCTTCAGAGTTACTGAAATGGAAAAAATTTTGCCTAACATATACACATGAAACCTTCATATTTAGTTTTTATCCAAGACTGAGTACCTAACAATGACATTAAGTAACACAATTTACTGACCTACTGAATTGGCAATATAAGTACAATTATAACTATTGCAAAGATTAAGATAAATTTAGAAAAGGTATAATTTTTTAGAGGGATAAGCAAAAGTGAATAATTAGCTATTAATGCAAAGATAAAATTAATAAAAATATTATATGTATAAGATGTTAATCAAAAGACTGTAACTACTACTGATGTTCCTATTTTTTCGATTAAGGTATATTTTTTAAGTAATAAGGTAGTTCTTAGTATTACCTACCTCATATCACTTTAATTTGAACTTGACTGATTAGAATTTCTTATATTTGATACTTAACTACTTAAATAAAAAACATCGTAAATATAACATGTAAATATAATGCAATTTACTAATAAAAAACAATATATTTTGAAATTATGTGTTTAATTTTTTTGATGGCCTGGCACAGGACCGTGTGCAGAAATGGGGGAGAAATGGCCAAAAATGACACAAAATCACTTTTTGGTTATTTTTTATTATTAATAAATATTTATTGAATGTTTAATGATAAAATTGTTTTGTTATGCAAGGGTAATATGTTTTCTTTGACTTTTTACAAACAATATGTCCTTGGCAAGATAAACTATAAATTATGATTGCCTCAAAGTGGACAAAAGTCTTAAAATGGCCGGGACCGGGACATCTGCCCTACAATACTAAATTGATTTAAATCATCTAAGTAAATGTATATTTGTTCACTAGACCAAGAGAAACAAGTATGAAATATATATTAGTAGCAATCATCAATTACTGATAAACGGACAGTTTTTGCTTCCTCACAATTTTGTGATTTTATTATAAGCATATGATTTTATATTTTTTATACTATATGTGGTGTTTTCAGGTGTTCTTTGGATTGACACTACAGCTATACCAGGATCAGCAGACACTATAAATTATTTTCGTAAACAGGGGAAACGGATATTTTATGTCACCAATAATTCAACAAAAATTCGTAGTGACTTTGCTGCTAAGGCACAACAGCTGGGGTTTATTGCATCCCAGGTACTTTTTTTTATTGATTAAATGAGCAATGCTCCCCTCCACCCACCATTGCCAGCAAAATACAAATATCAGATCTACATCCATGAGGTCATTGCGGGTAATTCCTGGTGAATTTGACACAATGGACTATCTGACATAACACACTTATATCATATATGCCTACACTAAACGTAAATGTGTGTAATTTAACACACATATTTACATTTAGGGGAAGCCATTCTATAGTTATACATTTGAAAAAATCTGGTTTTAATATACACTTGCTTACTTTAAATATTTTACAATTTATAATATGAACTGTTTCCAGGATGAAATTCTGTCAACTGCATACTTAGTAGCACATTACCTTAAAGGCATTGGGTTTACTAAGAAAGTTTATTTGTTGGGTTCCAATGGCATTGGGGAGGAACTCAAAGCAGTTGGCATACGATATATTGGTGTTGGAGTAAGTTACATTCTATTTTTAAACGAACTCTATTAGTAATCATTTAATTTGGTAGAACTCTATTACTTACTCATGGAAATATTGACTGGCTGACATTTTAACCAGAAGTTATGAGTTGGAGTATTAGTCTACAGATATTGGTTCAAAAAGAAGTTAAGAATTTTTTTCTTTAACTAAATACAAAAGTGTTTACCTATATGATTACTGGTAATATAAGTAGTAGTCAAATTTAATTTTATATTCTTCTAGTTGTTGTTACTAACGGACTATTAAAATGATAAATATTATTAGTGTAATATTCTTTAATACACACAATCATCTTGATTTTAAGTAAAACTTAAACTGCATTGAAAAAAACAAAATTTCATTAAAAAAAATGTGTATATAAAAGCAGATCAGGCAAACATTATTTGCCATATAAATTAATATCGTTATTAAAATAGGAATTTATGGTAGAAGGGTAAAAAATATAAGAATATAAGTTTGTCCAAAAAATAAATTGGGCCACTCTCATCAGTATAAATAATAGATAACTTATTTTCAGACCTACTGAGGGTAGATATAAAATTTCATAAAAATTGGTAAACCGTGTCGGAGAAGTAGTACAATTAACACTAACTTAAGAATTTTATAAATTTCAGTAATATGCTTTATTCCAATCTTGGAATTTCAAACTGGTCTCAGTCGGGGAAAGATAATGCTATGCTACTGTATAAGTCTGTGTGTGGTGTCGCCGTAAGAATAGCACCACCCCCTCTCTTCCTGTGGGTGTCGTAAAAGGCGACTAAGGGATACATCGACCAGTGGACGGGCAGCAGCGTTCTACTGAGTAAATACCATCAGACTGCGATCGCCAACCCGCATGCCAAGCGTGGCGATTATGGCAACATCCCCCCATATGCATTTACACCCAAGGCCCCGGCCCCCAGTTCCCGGCGGCCCCGCTAGTCTTGACCATGGTAGCGGTCATGGAAACTGTGGGGTGCGAAGAATCTCCGGGTTAGACCAGGCTACCAGAAACGACGACCACTGGCCCTGACAACATACAACGTTCAAACACTGCGGACCGACGAAAAGCTAACTGAACTGAAGGAAGAGTTGAGCAGATTGCACTGGCATGTCGTGGCATTATCTGAAGTCCGAAGAAAGGGGGAGGACTCTATAGTCCTGAATCCGGCAATCTGCTTTACTTCCGGGAGGGCGATCAACTGTCCCAAGGCGGTGTGGGGTTCCTCGTCCACGAGTCCCTTGTGAATAATGTTATCAAGGTCGAGAGCGTGTCGACTAGGGTAGCGTACCTGATACTCAGAATTACCAAACGGTATTCGTTGAAGGTCATCCAAGTGTACGCTCCAACTTCGACGCACCCCGACGATAAGGTTGAGGCTATGTATGCGGATATCTCCAGAGCCATACATAGTACAATTTTTTTCATTTTAACGTTATCATGGGGGACTTTAACGCAAAATTGGGCAAACGAAGCGGTGGTGCTGAGAGTGGGGCAATTTGGTATCGGTGATCGGAACTTCCGAGGTCAAATGCTGGCCGACTTCATGGAGAAGGAGAGCCTCTTTATGATGAACTCCTTCTTCAGGAAGCCTGAACACCGGAAATGGACGTGGATTAGTCCCGATGGTGCCAGAAAAAACGAGATAGATTTCATCTTGTCAACGAGAAGACAGATTTTCAATGATGTCTCTGTGATCAATGCCGTCAAAATTGGAAGCGATCACCGGATGGTAAGAGGCACACTGAATCTGAATCTTAAACTCGAACGACTGGTGAAATCTAGGCTCCGGCTTACATCGATCCTAGCGATCTATACAGATCCAAAACCCCGAAAGCTTTCAGCTAGAATTGCAAAACCGTTTCGAATGCCTTGGTGACTGCGTTGACATGGATGATTACAACAACAGGTTCGTGGAAACTGTCCGTGCGGCTGGGTCTAAGCACTTCAAAACCCGTCGCGCAGAAAGAACCGGAAAAATATCTATCTCTACTCTTAAACTGATGGATGAAAGGTGAAGAATGGTCCCGCAGTCTCCGACTGACGCTTCCCAGTATCCAGCTTAACAGGCAGATCTCAAAGTCCTTGACTCGTGACTTACGCCACTTTAACACATTGTGTAAAGAAGGCTATTGAGAAAAACAAGGGCTTAAAAGTCTTTAACAGGGATCTGGCTACCGGACCGAGCCAGCTGACGCGACTTAAGACGGATGATGGCGGGATCGTATCGTCCAAACCCGAACTTTTGAGGGAAATTAAGCAGTTCTATGGATAGTTATACACGACAACACGGGCACCTGTTAACAACACGGCGAAAGACCCTGGAGCCAAATTAACCCGACACTATGCCGAAGATATCCCGGACGTCAGCCTGTACGAGATTGGTATGGCTCTTAAACAACTTAAAAACAACAAGGCGCCGGGCGATGATGTAGTTACTGTTGAGCTTCTGAGGGCTGGATGTAGGCCTGTTTTACGAATCCTCCAGAAGCTATTCAACTCTGTCATCCTCGAAGGCAGAACGCCTCAAGCATGGCAAAGGGGTGTGGTGGTTCTGTCTTCAAGAAGGGAGACAAATCGCTTCTGAAGAATTTCAGACCCGTAACACTGCTGAGCCATGTTTATAAGTTGTTTTCGAGAGTCATCACGAATCGTCTCGCGCGCAGGTTTGACGACTTCCAACCTCCCGAACAAGCCGGGTTCCGAAAAGGCTTCAGTACCATAGACCACATTCATACGCTGCGGCAGGTAATTCAGAAGACCGAAGAATACAACCTGCCACTTTGGTTGGTGTTTGTGGACTATGAAAAAGCCTTTGATTCGATCGAGATGTGGGCTGTGCTACAGTCTCTCCAGCGGTGCCAAATTGACTATCGATATATCGAAGCGTTGAAATGTTTGTATGAAAACGCAACTATGTCAGTTCGCCACCACGACCAGAATTCGAAGCCTATCCAACTGCAGCGAGGTGTCAGGCAAGGCGATGTTATATCGCCAAAGCTGTTTACCGCTGCATTGGAAGATGTCTTCAAGCTTCTGGACTGGAGCGGGCTGGGCATCAACATTAACGGCGAGTATATCAATCACCTTCGATTTGCCGACGATATCGTGGTCATGGCTGAGACCCTGGAAGACCTTAGCAAAATGCTCGAAGACCTCAGTAGAGTCTCACAAGGAGTAGGTCTTAAAATGAACATGGACAAGACGAAAATTATGTCAAACGTCCATGTCGTACCTGCTCCCGTAAAAATCGGAGATTCTACACTCGAAATTGTCGATCACTACGTATACTTAGGGCAAACTATCCAACTAGGTAGATCCAATTTCGAGAAAGAGGTCAATCGTCGAATCCAACTCGGATGGGCAGTGTTCGGGAAGTTCCGATATATCTTTTCGTCCAAATTTCCGCAGTGTCTCAAGACGAAGGTTTACGACCAATGTGTGTTGCCAGTGATGACTTACGGAACAGAGACGTGGTCGCTAACTATGGGCCCCATCAACAAGCTCAGAGTCACTCAGAGGGCAATGGAGAGGGCTATGCTCGGAATTACTCTGCGTGATCGAATCAGAAATGAGGAGATCCGCAGAAGAACCAGAGTGACCGACATAGCCCGAAGAATTGCGACTCTGAAGTGGCAATGGGCAGGGCACATAGCTCGTAGGACAGATGGCCGTTGGGGCAGTAAAGTCCTCGAGTGGCGGCCACGGACCGGAAGACGCAGCGTGGGAAGGCCTCCAGCAAGGTGGACCGACGATCTGGTCAAGATCGCTGGAAGGCATTGGATACGAGCAGCACAGGACCGATCGTCGTGGAGATCTTTGGGGGAGGCCTATGTCCAGTAGTGGACGTCTTCCGGGCTGCGATGATGATGATGATGACTGTATAAGTCATGTAATTATTGGAAATAATTATGTTGCTTTTGTAAATATGTTTGTAGCCTGACCATGTGCAACCAGATTTCAAATCAATGAAGCCATCAGAACTTGATCCTGAAGTAGGAGCAGTAGTTGTGGGCTTTGATGAACATATCAGCTATCCAAAATTAATGAAGGCTGCTTCTTACTTGTCTTCTGAAGAATGTCTCTTCATAGCTACCAATACAGATGAAAGGTTTCCTAAATCAAATTCAATAGTTGTGCCCGGTACGGGCACGTTGGTAAGAGCCGTGGAAACATGTTCCGAAAGGAAGGCACTAGTACTTGGAAAGCCGCATGCTTATGTCAGGAAATTTCTCGAGTCTTCTGGTCTTGATCCAGGAAGAACTTTAATGATCGGTGATAGGTAACTATTTTAGAATTTAAGTTTGTTTTGAATTTAAGTGTCGCCAGCTTTTTCATGCATTTCAATTTACATAATAAAACCACGAAAACCGTAGTAATAACAGTAATAATAATCCTGGTCAATTCACACAGCGCCGTCTAGTTCCAAGCTAAGCCGAGCTTGTCTCATGGGTACTAGAGAACTTATACTTAAATACATTTTTTAAAAATTAATACGTAATGTACATAGAAAACACCCAAATCATTACAAACGTATATTTGCTCCCAGCGCAAAGCAGAGTGCTAAGTAACCTCTAGACCACCGAGATCGTCATTAAATGAGTCTTTCATTAGTACGATGTCAACGCGTAATAAAGTCTGAACTATCTATTGCGGACATTTTTGCTTCATGCAGCTAGTATTGTACAAGTACTAAGTCTACTTGTATTTTATAAGTGATGGTTTATTTTTGCAGGTGCAGTACAGATATTGAGTTTGGGTCACGCTGTGGTTTTCAGACACTTCTAGTTCTATCTGGTGTGACATCTACCAAGGATTTGGAGAGAATTCGCAGCGAAAAAAAGCCACCACTGCCTGATGTTGTCTTGCCGAAATTAGGAGATTTGCTATCTCTAATACCGTCATAGTGCAATTATTTCATTTAATGTTTGTACATGTATATTTGTTATATATTTATTGTATGAAATACGCATTATAGTACAAACATATATCAACAATACAATTGTGATAAGATAAGAGTACAGTGTAGTATATTTCGCTTATTGAATAATATTTATTTAAAACAAATATGTTTTATTTGGATTAGGGATTTGATAATGCGAGAATTGCAATGGTATAATTTGTAAGTAGACAAAATAATAATTAATAAATGTATGTCCGTTGATCCCGATGTTTCTTTTCTTTCTTCTTTTAATGCCAAGAACCTGAAAGCTAACTGTTTGCAACAAGTGTTCCTATACAAAGCAACTTTGAAACAGGTCCGTCTTGTTACAGGATTGCATATATCATATTGTAATGTATTGTAAAAGCTCCAAATGTTGTTAATTTATATTTGAACTAGTTCCTGTAAAAAATATAATCTGTAAAGCCGTTTTTATAAATCTGTTAAACATTTTTAATATAGATGTTATTATTTTAGTGTATGTCTGTGTATATTTTATAGCTTAAGAGGAGTGTGTCTACGTAATAAAATTACGATATTAATAGGTGTTTTTCAGAATTCGTTCTCTATACAGAGACCTTGTGTGTGATGTCAATACTTTCCAATTTTAATCGCAATTTTGCCTGGACTGACTCTATTATTACAGTAGCACGTTTAATATGTCGTTTAGTGTCGGACAGACATAAAATCTTAGAAAAAAATACATTACTCCATTTATTTATATCTGTGGTATATGGTTTTATTTGTAATTACTATGTATGTGAGGACTTTTTAGTACACTATATATGTACCTAGTTTTTTTAAAGGATTATAATGAAATACCCTGTGCTAAGGGTTTGCCCTCAAGTCAAGGACATCAAGTTATCATACGCATCCAGCATGAGGTCATGTCAGTTAGCCCATCAAATTCACCAGGAATGTTACATTACATTTGCCTGGAACCTTGATGAACCTTTCGAAATAACAACAACCGCAAGATATATTCTAAAACTAACACAATTTTAAAACAACATGAAGAAAGCAGATGTATTATTGTAAATAACAACACTACCTCCGTGCAATGTTGCAAATGTAGGCCAATGTGATAGATCGAGATTTTTAAAAGCAGCTGTTACGAGTGCTGTAGCAACCATAAAAATAAACTGTATTTACTACGTCATAACTAATATTATGAATGCGAAAGTGAGTTTGTTTGAACCGCGATTATTCTTATCGGTTTATTTTTGGTATAAGGAAGGCAACTTTGAATATAACGTGAACGTAAATAGTGATTGAACTGGCTGAGACACTGTGGGTATCTTTAAATAATAAAGTTCTGCTGTTAAGCAGATTTGTTGAAAGTATAATACTGGCGATCAAGTAGACGTACGAGTTTTAGTTACATTATTGGAATATGTCACATTTGTGTTCTATTTATCATATTGAGTATCTTTTGTAAATAGGGGTAGATATATGTACCCCGTAACTGTATAATTTTAGTAAGTACCTAATTATATTATAAGATGCCATAATATAATAACATATCAGATATATAATAATATATTTACATATCTACTAAAATGGTAAAATCATAGTTAATATTTATTTAGAACAAATAATAAATAAATTTTATGATCTATTGTTACAAATATCCGGTAACATGGTCGCTTACTATCAAGCAAATAATATTCTCGATTGCCTATAATGGATATTTGGACGTAAAAATAGTTTCATGTCACAATGTTTATCGATAATGAAAAAATTACGATTTTTTCGGTCGAGGTACATAATTCGTCATGTAAGTAGAGAAATGACAATACCATTTGTTTAATACACGGAATAATTTAAGAATGGTGAGTATAGCACCCAAAATATTCCTGACAACAGCCAACAAATGCCAGTTAAGTTTAGGTCTGTCACATCAACACTCAATAAAATCTATTTGCTAACAATAATGGCGAGAACACTCCAGAGACCTACCCTTCCATTATAGGTCTTGTGGCCTATATTTTGGAAAGCACTTTCCGCGCATGCGTCGTTCTTTTGCGTTGTGTGATACGAGCCGTACATTGGCTGATCTTGCTCATAATACAGGGTCGCTTCGCCCGCCGGGCCTTGCTTGTATACAACATACGCGGCGGGACTGGAGTTTCGCGCGCGCCAGTATCTGTAGAGCTACGAAAGACGAGCGCCGTCGCCGCCGTAGTACTAGTGTATTTACCATAGAACTTGGTTTATGTGATCTCATAGGAACTTTTATCTTCTCTTTCTGCTTAATTGATGTAAGTCAATATTTATTTTTGTTTATGTAATGTATAATAAAATATAGACCATTTTAGAACAGTATTGCAGAATTCGTCCAAACTGTTTTACAAAATATACTGTTGATTATCTTCACTGGTTTATTTCAATTTATTTTCAAATAAAATACAACATCAATAACGTCTCTAACCTCTTAAATGTCGACTGCCAAAAACAAAGAAATCGCAGGGGTGTAAACGCTGCCTCGCACATCCCCCATGGCGCACCCCAATTTTAGGAGTAGATAGCTAAAACTGCCCTCGATCTATTTAAGAAACGTAGACTAGAGTCGCTGTATAATAGTAGTAACAGTGTACTAGAGTCTGAGTAAGTTCTAATTACCTAGATAAAATAGAAATTACTAACTAACGTTGCTAATAATCAGTATGATGTCGATAATAACAGAATCGGAAAGATTGTGGGTTTTGTTAAGCCGGGATCTTTCGAAATACTTAACGTTAACAACGTTCAGTGTTTTTTTATTAATTACAATAGATACGTGTAAAAAGTGATTACCGATATCATTTGTTTCCTCTTTGATAAATGTTTATCTCGAGTGTTGTTCTACGCAATGTTGCAGTTATTACTATGAAACCTGTAACTGAAGGTTGCATCAATGATAAATATTTTATATCAGTACAATACCTTATACCTACTTCGAGTTCATTAAACATAAATAGTATAATATAATTAGTACATTTTACCTGTGTTTCTTTGTAAGCCTGCATTAATTATATGTATATAGTTATCTACAAATACCTAATAATAGAATAAAGAAAAAATTGTAAGCCCCGAATTAAAATCTAATAAATAGTAGATCAGAAAAGAATCATCTCGATCATGTTAGCTTTTAAAGATTAAATCCGATTATAATCCGTCTATTAGTTTAGTAGCTACAAAGCCTCAGGCAGACATACCCACGATATGCGGACGTCCCAACTCACTCACACTCCTCGTTTTGTGTCTGGAGTTAAAAAATAATTCTATAACGAAAATAATATTAAAAATATAACTAAGACATATTTGTAGGGATATTTATGTATATACATATATATATTTCTATTTTTGTATGTTTCATAAAAATATGATTTTGTTCGTTTTTATTGTATTATATGTAGGTATAATGGTACCCGTTTTTAATGATTCATTTAATATATATTACTTTTATATTATTTCCTTACATTTTGTCTTCTGTGTCGTATTCGGTTTAAAAGATTACTATCTATTTTTTAACATACTTACCTATATACTTTTTTTAACACCGTCTTAATTTCAAATGTTGCGTCAGATCTATATATTGCAAGCTTCTAATTACAATCCGGTCTACGTCTACATCATGATCATCTTCCTTATCCCTTTTATATGGGGTTGGCATAATATGTTAATAATATTGATAATACGTCTACATATGTATAAATATTAATTGATTTATCAAAAACGTAGTATTTGAGTCATTTTTAGTAACCAATCCTACTAAATTTAAATGTACTTCATATTTAAGAAATGGTTGGACTAATCCAAATGAAAGTTGGGTGACTACACATGTACCTACATCATACTATATCAAATTTATTTATTTAAAATGAACACTTATACCATAATGCACGTAGTGATAGCCTCGATGTATACCTAGCTAATCATCTATACACCGTAACACTAGTATTATAAAAAAAAGACTGCGAACTTTTGTGTGTAAAGGCTACGAATCGAATGCTAATTTACATTACATAAGTAAAAATATTATTTCAGTATTATGTGGATATGCCTATTATATGTACAGAAATAAATAAAGAAACATTATTGCAAGACAGAAAGATTTTTTCCATTTAAAAATATCTTTATACTATAGAATTAGCAATGATATCATGTAAACAATACCTGTTTAAACACGGTCAAATAAAAAATATCTTTCCTTGTCAGTCGATTGAAAATGGCCGATAAGTTTGTATAAAGGCGTATAAATTGTTATTTAATCAAAGTTACATAAAAAAGGTTATGCCATGGTAACATCACAGTTTAAAGCGGGCGTAACAAACAGGGAAAGTTTATGTAGAGCTAGCTGTTAGCTATCAACTCCAATATAGAAACTTGCAAGGCCGTTCACACCCTGTCTGGGTTTTTGCACGCTATTTCACTTTCCAGATTTCCCTTTGTCACTATCTTTGGAATACGGCAATATCGTATCTGTTAATTTTGATCTGGCCTATCCATATAATATAACTATGTTCAAAATAAATGTAAAAGCAAATTGCTCTCTAGTATTATGGGATATTCGTCTTGCCAGCTCTATGCGTATGAATCACGAAAAATTTTAAACCGACTATCAAAATGATGAGATTCTTTAATAGGCGGTATTTTTATGTTTTTGTTTTGTATACACCAGACTTCAGACAAAGTTCAGTCCAATGTTGTTTTGTTGGCTCTACATTCTGCCGAGATTGTCAGTATTTTATGCATGATACATTTAAAAAGACGCACATTGTTTGCAGAGTGTGAATTACGTTGTTTGGAAACGTTGCATAATGTTTGGTGTAGGTATGTTGCGTCTCAATAACTGCCTAGGGAATACCTATCATACCTTAAACGTGCATAATATACATGTGTAGCACAAATGTTATTAATTTAAGATCACTTGTATACGCCATATTTCAAATAAAGAATTCTTATTCTTATATGCATACTATACCTACCTTAATAATATACCACTGCATGCTGATCATAAACTAATTCGTAGAAGAGAGTCTACAGTCAAATTTTAATAGGGTTATCTTTCAAGATGTAAAATTTACTTTGCTGCATACCTAATTATATCTTTCTTTAATAATAGATCTGTTAAATCTTGCGTATCTTCTTAACTATTATTTTTTAATCTGAAATTTATCGATATATTGCGCCGTATTTTCCCGAATTATTAAGAAAAGAAAAATATGAATATTCAAAATAATATAGGATCTTTTCGGGTACTTAAGCACCTCTTAACTTTTTATTGCCATCTCTGTCATCCAGTACTATATTGATTAAAATTAGGAGCGGCAATGTATGATTTTGCTACAGACAACTAAAGTCATTGCATTTCTTTTGAAGTTAACTTTTTTACCTAGTTATTCTACGTACAAGTAAGTAATTTAAATGTTACATACATATATGTATTAATTAACAAAGTATTCAATTGTATTCGTAATATAGGTACATAGATAACAAGTTTAGTTAAGTTTCTGTCTTGTCGCTTGCCAATTACTAATCAACCAAATTGTGGTTTTAAATTCTTCAATATTTTATTGCGCTTGGTAGGTAAACGATATTTTAGTAACACATTTTGATGTATTTTTTGTTGCCTGAGCTTTGGTTAAAATCATAGCATTATCATTTTTGTCATGATTAAATTGTTTAGAGGAGCAAATACTTTAATTAATTATATACCTATAGTAATTATAAAATTTGAGTAAATAACTATATTATATCTGGCCTGTACATTAATATTATCTTGAATTACAGTACATATATACAGTTTACTTTACGGTACGAGTAGGTAAATAATTAAAATGTTGGTACGCAGTCCTAGAACCAAACCAAATTAGAAAATTTTATATCAGGGTCTGTACATGTCTACTTATACGTGACTCGATTTGTTTAATCACTGTGCTAAGTTACTGCTATGCCACTGGAGGTCATCAATTGTTCCTATTATGTTTTCATGTCATGTATTATAGTTTACATAAGTAACCAGTGAGTACCTATTGGATCTGTACCTAGATATAATGAGAATGTGTAACAAGAAGAATATAACAATGCCACAAAGACAAATACATAAAATTGTTCCAAGTTATTGTATATTATGCAGGTCATCCTTAATTTCTTCCAGATGACTACTGGTTATGTAGCTATTTCCAATCTCGAACGTGCTGGCGTTCCAGCTTTACCCATATTTCCCCTATTTTTCAACCGTCTATATTTAATGTTGATATTATATTACAAATTTAGGTTGATATTCATTGCTAATGTTTTCTTTAGGTTCTCTTGACAGTATACATTTTCTAGGTAAAATAGCAGTTATACGAATGGAGTACGGGTCTCTTTTCAGAAGTATTAATGTATAATGTTAGATTTTATTTGGTATATAGGACTCTACTAAATCAATCTAACATTAGACTTCAATTTCTATCAATCAAATTAGCAGCTTTAAGCTCCAAGTGGTAGAGTTTAGTACATAATTGCTTTTAAAGTCAAAAAGACCTATCTATATATATATTACCGTACATATAATATATACGATACTAGGAACATCTAAGTACCTATCATGTTGCAGTGACGTATATCTGTTATAAAATTTACAGAGTTATTTAAATCTGAAATTATACGGCAATACTGTAGTTCAACAATATCTGGTCAAGTAGTACCTAAAAATTGCGGATAGTAGATATATTATTTTAGCAGAAATGACTCACGTTGAATGATTAAATACGCGATGTTGTCGCAGATGACGTCATCTCTATCGACTAGAGGACGTAATATCCCGACGGGAATATAACGCGGTATAAAATGGTACGTAGGTACCTACCTACTATTTAATTTGGGAAAATAGATAATACATGTAAACGTAACGTATATAAATTATAATTTCTGATTAGGTATAGTAAATTTACACCCATAATTGTTTAGCATGTTATATTATATCCCGGTACCTATATAGGTACTCGTACTTCTTTAGGATGTTTGATATTACGCTAGTCTTTATTGTGAAAGTATCTATCTATTCTATATAATCTCACTGAACTTTTTTGGGTCTATTAGAATAGAAAAATATAACTCGATACGTCATTTCACACACACTTGCAGAGACACAGGTACCTATTACCTAATTAGGAATTGATGTGATTGTGGGTTATAACTATTACTAATAATTATCGCTTATTCCATTCAGGGTTATGTAACTTTTAATATTTTTCTTCAACATATACATAATTGTATCAAGTCTTGTCACAGCTGGTGAGATAAGATTAGATTGGTAGAATGCACACATATCTAATGATAGGTGTAATACATAAAGTCAGGTAGGTACAATGCAGTCTTAGTTGGTGGCGCCAGTAGTCGATGTGAGAATGAGAGCTCTAGGTATACAGTAAATATAGTAACATAAATGAACAAATAAACGTCTGGACTCGCATAATACGCTGTTAACTAAAAGTAGGTCGGAGCGGTGGCATGCAAACCTAGTGGCACGAGCACGAGTCGACGTCCGCACCCCCATCACGTACCTAAGGAATAATATTAAAAGTACAAGTACGTACACAATAAATAATACTTATTCATCTAAAATTACTTTACTATTAGATACTAGCAGTGTATAAACTACATTATTGTAAAGTTTAAGTATAAACTACATTATATAACACATACACATACACACTACATTGTATAAACTACATTATTGTAAAGTTTCATTAAAATCCATTCAGTAGCATTTGCGTGAAAAAGTGACAATATTACTTACATTACATACATTTAGACCCTAAGGTACTAGGTATGAATTTTATTATTTTTTCAGTCTAAATTATAAAAATATCTTAATGACGCATCCTATCAACTTGAAATTTTGGTTAAGTATAATATATAACATATAACTACGTAGGTATATATTCGTTATTGTAAAATTTACAGCTATGTAGGAACGGCTAACTATAATGCATGCTGATATGGCACCAATAACGAACTATTCTGATAATTAATGTAGGCGACCACAGCTTATGGGATTATAGAGTAGGTTACACTAAGAAATTATCGTTTGGTGCATTTATTAATAATAGTAATGATGATTGTGGTTTGTGTGCTACATGGGTAATGTTATAATACTACAGTCAATATTCTGAAATATGAAAAATTTAGATATAGCTCAAGGCTCAATCTAAACATTACTTGAGACCCCTTCTTCTCTGATGTCCGTTTTTTAAAATGAGTGGTGAGCGCATTTACCGTTTTGATCCTTTGGAATATATCAGTGTTTTATGTTTTTATAAAAAAATGTTTATTTACTTACGTCAAATGTACGAATACTGCATATAATTTTCAGTTATTTGTTTTAGATAGTTCAAGGTATTTTACACCTACTCATCTTTTCGCCTTCCATACATATTAAGTTTTGACTTGGTGTATCTGACTGGGTATGTCTACCAAGGACATAAGTGATTGAAACTCTTTGATTTAGTCTACAAGTTGAAAGGATATCCTTGGAAAACACATTTCTTAACCTTTGTGGCGGAAGGTGATGTTACAATTGGATTCCGCAGTGCGACTTTTTAGGTATTGAATACACAGAACAATAGATAGATACTATAATATTTTATAAATACTAGACAGTAACTAAGCGTTGCCGCCATATTTATGGATTACCTACTTTGATAATATTTGGTACCTACTTACTATTTTCAAAACCGTGTTCTCATTAGTGGCAAAAATTTCCATGAAAATTATCCAGTTGAAACGTTAAAACTGGTATAATAAAGCATCAATTCTGTTTTGACGGAGAGATTGTATATTTATATATTATTTTAAGGAGCGTCTTCTTTTTAGAGGTCGCATAAATATAAATAGGTAGGTACTTATCTAATTTCATTCGTTCAAAACAAATTACGGTAGCCATGTGATACGTATACCAAAAAGAATGCGTTAGAAGATAATCTGTAGTATTTTAGATATAACATGAATTGACCTTGTCAGTGATAATTTATAAACGATCATATTTATAAACTATTGTGAATAATCGTATGCCTAGCAGTTTAGTACATCTTTAATTCCTTTTGTAGGTCATATCATTTAGTCTAGATCACACAGCAGTGCACCCACCCATATATTTATGTGCGGAGGTGTACCTAATAGCTCATTGTTGCTGCTCCCACACCTATTTATGTCAGGTTTTATTGAAGTGGGCACTTCTGGTTTCAGATTGTTTTCAGAATTTATTCCAAGGTTGGCTTACAAACGTAATTAAAGATTTATTTAGAATTAGATAGAGTAATCAGCTATATATTTTTCTAATTCTTTTATGAATAAATCTGTTACTTATATAAAATCCTTTCACCTCGTAGAGAAAAATATTTATTAAAATATATATATTAACTATCTACGAGCCTCTCCACTCTTAGTTCTTTAAATATGGTGTAGTCAAAGTGAATGGAGCTCTATATTAGTAGTGTGAAAGGTATAGAAGTATATTAGTAGAATCAGGAACTTCGTTCTCATTGCCTAGTCTGTACGTTTTACAGGCTTGGCAGATAGAAAGGAGTTCCAGATAGATACTGATGGATATCATTAAATAACATAATGTTAGAGGCCCTGTTATGATGTCTATTTAGTACCCCTAAGTCAATTATATTACACAGAAAAGCACCATGGAAATAGCATACCTACAGATTTGAATACTAATATTAGTTCTGTGATAATCAAACCCGCAACCCGCAACCAATTAAGATAGACTTACACTTACACTTACACTTATATTAGTGTACCTACCTACCAACTCACCTGTGAACCTGTATGTATTATTTATTCATTGATAGCCGTTTACATTTTAGTGCGCGTTAAGTTTGAATCTCAGCTGATGTTTACAAGTTTACGGCAATCGCTACGTTGCAAGGTCGGTGATGTAATTGCCACTTTTAGCGTCCAAACGCAAGCCGCCGTGAATCTAGCGTGTGTGATAATGCGATAGGTAGGTAGGAATTGTATGTTTGAATATTTGGTATGACATCACTCCTGTCCCAGTCGTTAGTAATGTTGCCTTGACGTTGGAATAGCTATATTTATATATATGTAGATAGGTCACGAATAATTTTTCCGGGTCATTCGTGGCGCGGGTGCGTAATATAATAATGAACGATTTCAATTTATGAATCTTTATTAATTTGGTAGATGGGTAATAACCTATAATGTAATTAAATTAGACCATGTTACTATGATTTTACTACAGACTAAGTTACCTATTCAAAAATAAGAAATGTGGTCCAAGCATTCAGTCCTATAATTGACTAAATTCAATATCAGAGAAAATGCAAAAAACGCAATATAATATATATTGTATTTATTAATTATCGACGACAATTAAGTCTGCGTGGTTACTTCTGTCTCATCAATTTCAGTCGCTGCCTGGTGTGCTTTGCGAGCTCTAATTCGGTTGAGGAAACTGAAATTACAGAATACGGAAGTAATAACACAAGTTAATATAGTAATTACATCTGTAGGTATATAGTATACAACTATATATATGAATGTTTACTATGCTATGATAATTAATTATATTTTCCATTAATGGATGAAAATGGTATAGTGTATCCGCCTGTACAAACGGCATACTGGCGGGGCACCAGTGGATATGATGATAGGATATAAATGAAATCTGGTTAGTCAAAAATGGCAAAATTACAAGGAATTAACCAAAATTCGAGGGAGAATCCCGTGGTGGTTAACTTACTAGGGTTAAACGTATCCAACATTACTAGCAATACGGCGAGCAGTCCCAATTTAAGATTTAATAACAGAAATCCTATTGTATTTCAGAATATAAAGTAAAGAAAAATGTCTTCACAAGACGCCGTAGAGCAGGTTACACAGGAGGTGAAGGACGTCAAGCTGGAAAACGGGACTGCCGCTGGAGCAGCCAATGGAACCGCTACTAAGGATGACAACGCTATACCGTTTAAGGTAAATCTATACTCACCTATTATATAATACTTCACGTTGTTTGTATATTATGTCTACAAAACACAAAACATTTACCATGTAGTTTGGCTACATGGTAAATATACATATCGACCACGAATGTATTGGTTTTAACATTTTGTATGCATATAGAGCTATTACTAATAATAAGATATGATATTTCTACATTTAGAAATTTAGAATAGGTATAGATTTTTCCAATATTAATATTGATCATACATAACGTTATCATATAACAACTCTAAGACTACAGCCTCTAAGACTGCAGAATTTGTTGCAAAAAAACAATATATAGACCTATGAGACGGCCAAAGGATTAAATCTATCTATCCTATTTAAATTATATTAATTTCAACAACGTATCATATATTTACTTCAATAGAAACTTACATAAAAGTTATACTACAAAAGATTTACAAAAGTAGTTTATATGTTTTAGTTTCGAGCGCAACGGAAAGTATTTCAGTTTCGATGATAAAATTTAGTTTCGGTTAGACACTGGATATTGTGGATATACGTATTAATATTCTTAAAATTGATGTTTCAGGATGCTTTCAAAGCATTTTCTAAATTTGGCGACCCAAAATCAGATGGTAAACAAATTACACTATCACAAAGCGACAAGTGGATGAAACAAGCGAAAGTTATAGATGGGAAAAAGATCACAACTACAGACACAGCAATACACTTCAAGAAACTCAAGACTTTGAAAGTTGGCGTTGAAGACTATTCAAAATTCCTTGATGACCTGGCTAAGAGCAAAAAGATTGAACTTGACGAAATAAAAAGGAAGCTGACTACCTGCGGACAGCCTGGAGTGTCATCGCACGTGAGTGGTTGAATTTGATTATCATTTTTATAATACACCTAATAGACTGTTCCTATAACAACTTCAAGTTATAGGTACATAATTATAAAATTGTAATAAACCCCCGAATCATAAAATCTCTAATAAATGTAGTTAATAACCGCTCCATCAAGTCAGCATTCAAACAAAAAAACCGCATTATAATGAGTCCATTCGTTTAGGAGATACGATGCCACAGATATACAGACACATCAAAGTAACACCCCTATTTTTGCGTCGGGGGTTAAAAATTACTTATTATTTTAATTTACATAGTATAAAATAAAGTCGCTGTCGCAGTCTGTCTGTCCCTATGTATGCTTATATCTTTAAAACTACGGAATTTGATGCGTTTTTTTATATATTATATAATACATGTACACCCGTGCCAGGCCGGGGTGAGTACCTAGTTACGTATAAATAGGTGATTATAGTATGTTAGATTGCACTAGAGATTTTGATTTTACCTTACATATACCTACTAAAAAACAGCATTTGCGTAGGTAAATATAATTGTGGTGTGAGAATATTATACATCTTTGCTATTGTAGGTGACTAAGTCGCCGGCAGCTGCTGCGGCAGTTGACAGGCTGACAGACACTACCAAGTACACTGGTTCTCACAAACAACGCTTCGATGAGACCGGTAAAGGAAAGGGCATCGCCGGCAGGAAGGACGTCGTGGACGGATCAGGTTACGTAAGCGGCTACCAACACAAGGATACCTACGATAAATCTCATTAGTTGCGAATGGGAAGAGTAATTGTCCAAGTAATGATTATGAAATTGTGTCTGTTATGAGGACAAAAAACGCCCACTTCAATATGCTGCGGTACAACTATTTTTTTAAATGTATTATAAAAGAATAAAACGTAAGAATCTAGAAGTTTATATAATGTTACAATAAATCACCCATATTGCTCGATTCCAGTTTTTTTTGTACTGTGAACATAAGCGGTGCAAACACTATGTAGTAATGTATAGATGTATCTTTTCAAAATTTTTGTCGTTCAGAAATCGAACATGCTTCCTCTCTTTTACAAAGAAAATATAGAGCACTACGGGACAGAGATTGATAGACAAAGTTCAAAGGGTGTGTATTAATTATTAAAAATTAAACAACCTTCAGAATTCCTGTACCTATTATATATAACTGTTTCGTATATTATAGTTTTTAGAACTTGGAATTTAGCTTTGTATGTTGTGCAGCAAATGACATTCCTTCTATGTAGATTTCAAATATACTACTACCTATTGACATTCTTTAAATTATTATATGTGTAATATTAGGGAATAAGGTCCTGATATTTTTGAATCACTGTTTTTATTAACTTTCTGTATTAACTGAAGTCAAAATTACAATAAAATTATCTAGTCGTGAATGAAGTAGGTACCTAAGTACAGAGGAATTTTTATTATAATGTCGTCTTAATCAATTTATTTTCTTTTTGTGTATGTTCCATATGTACTATTTTTTTCCAATCAAGCAGCTATAATTATTCACGAACTGGTACGTTTGTGTAGTAGGCACATAAGTAAAAAAAATAGGTATATAATATCTGAATAATTTTACTTATATACATAATACGAAAAATATCAGCATTGTTACATAATTTGTTTGAAACGGGATATGAATTATATTTTATTATATATATTAAATATTTTTATAATAATAATAGGTACCTAATTAGTTATAAGATAGTAGGTAATTACGCTGTAGCTACTTGCTAAGCATTATATTACAACGCACAGTTCCGTATAGTATGCGTTGGTTCAAGAAAATACCAATATTTTATCTCAAAAATAACATGTACCTCATTATTTTGTTCTATATCTAATAATAATAATAATAAATAAAAACACATAAATAAATAGTTTTCATTCCTATCTATTAAGTTACAGAAGTAACAGTTTTACAGTCGTGCATACAGTCGCACGACTGACAAGAAGACTAAATGCCAAATCTGGACCCGTAGACACAATTAGTTCATAAGTGAATACATTTACACAGGGTTACCTACCTATCATGGGTTTTATTGCGAATACTTTTAAACAGAAGCAAGAGTGTGTCACAGCCTTGTGGTTTACTACACATATAACGCTACAACAAACAACGCTAGTTCAAATCCGGCTGACCCCAAACAAGACTGTGTCAATTTGTATTTCGGACTCTATGGTTATGGAAACACCGGTAACAAACTGAACTAATGAGATACGGCGTGGCAGTGTGCACAATCAACTAGTCAGTAAATGTGAACTCACTGCGATGTCACATTGCGCATTGTCATGTAGATTCATTATGACGCAGCCACAGAACCTATTTTACATTTAGCATTATTTATATAAACTATGGCAAAACCAGGTAGGTAAATGAAGACGATTCCATTCATATTTTTTTTTGGTAAACTTGAGTTCTGATATATAATAAACTAACAAAAAAATTTAAAGTTTTTTTATTGTTAAAGTTCTTCATTTAAAAAACACTTAAATTTTTTTGTAATTATTTTACGTGAAATGTTATTTTATATTATAACATTTTTTTTTAATATTAACCAAAAAATGATATACTCATCCGTATGAAGGTTTAACTATAGTTTGATTAAGTATAGTTAGTAATTTTACGTTATATAAAATAATTAACGTATTAGTGCCAATTTATGCCGATAAAGGTGATGAAGTCATTGCCGCTCAAAGATACACATACGTATGTATATATTCCACATGTACATATTTCAACACTCCAGAATCATCTGTAAAATAGGACCTATTTTACAGACTAAAGATTGTTTGTAGTACTAGCATTTATAAAAACTTATTTGAAATTGTGCCATAATGGTAGTATGACAATAGCGAAGGATTATACTTACAAGAGAATAGGAAACGTATATTAAATTGAAACACTACTTTATAAAATAAGAATTTAATTTTAAATAATGAGTTATATACATTTTTATATAGGGTACATAATAAACAAACAGGCAACGGGCAGGACCCATTTAGCATGACATTACTATATCTATAACATAAATGTTTACTCTATAATGAACAATAAACAAATCAAATAGTCTAATCGACCTTTCTATTAACTTTATTAGGTTGATAACAAAAATATATTTAGTAATCAATAACTGTAGACACAGACAGAAAAACCGATTCAAATAATCTTTTATACGAACATTATCATCTATTCTCCTTCTTTATTGTTACATTTTTAATTCTAAACTCGGCTAAGTATAGGAAAAGTTAAAATTTGTGTAAAGCGGTTACATAAAATTAAACCAACTATTTATCGTAACATTTGCCTTATATTTATGTATTCTATGTAAATAATAGTGAGTTATAAAAAAGACATTACATTCAAAATTTCATGCCTCCAACATACAGTTCAATCCAAATCGAAATTGGTAACCTATAAGAGCGCTAACCTCTATGCCCGTTTTAAAATAAATTTATTACTTAGTGGCGTTGATGGTATTTGATCTATGAAGTAATGGTACTTCCTATAAATGAAAAAATGATGTTGGCTTGAGCTATGTGTGTGTTTGTGTGTTATTCTTAAATGAAGATTTACAAATGTAAGGTAATAAAAATAATTAAATATTATCAACCATGCAGCCTTAGATGAGTTGTGTAATAAATTTTTATTTGTTTGGTTTTGAAATAAGGAATTGTCAGTCATATAAGGGTATAAAAAAATGTGTGACTTTAAAAAATAATTAGTATTTACATATAGGTGCTCTTGACTGTACAATGTTATTATTATTATTTTGTTGTGGAGGTAAGAAATTTACAAAAATTTGTCCTTAATTACAGGAATTAACATATTTGAAAAAAATATATATACAATGTAAAGAAGGGCCCTAACATAAATGTTAGGGCCCAAAGTAAAAAAAATAAATTTCATGGCGATATATCAATACAATGTGCAGCATTCATGGTATATACAATTGAGTACATTAATTTAATCTGAAATATAACAGGGTCTCACGGTAAAGTTAAATGAACTTACATGTTCAATAAAATCTAGCGGTAAAGTTGTATGAATTCTTACACGTCCAATAAAATCTACCAATTTATTATCCGCATGAGGATTTCCTGTCTCATCCAAACCTTGTCTCTTATTACCATTTAACGTTTTGATGTGAATTGGCATAGTGCAATGTTACTGGACATGTCGCTGGATTTTCAATCGACTCAATCTATGTTAATTAAATGCGTTTTAGAACTATTGCACCTATTAACTAAGGAAAATTCATCTTTAGGTGATTAGAAGAGGGCATGGAATGGACCCTCTACGAATATATGGAACATTACCTCAAATAGTAATATTAAAGATCTTTTGAACTCAGACTCAAACAATTGTTTAGGCACTCATTTGCGCTGAGTGTATTGAACAATTAGGACATTATATCATATATTAAGATGAAGTTTAGAGCACGTTAAGAATAACATAATACATTAATTTAACATCGATACCAAGGTGCACCATATTCTAGATTAAACTTAACATAAACACTGCATTTTATTTTAATTCACACGGCCTAAACCGAGACTTACAGTTACTTTACCATTTAAACACTAGCATTTCCATAGGTCAATGTATAGTTACATATTTTGTATTAATAGGTATATATTACAATACATATTTACGTTATTAATAAAGTACAATTTATTTTTTAAGTCATTATATGTAAAAGCTTGGGCACACGAAGGCAACAGTTTTACTAGATTAACTGAACTGTATTTTAACGAAATATTAGATTCGTTTCAAATACAATACAAATACACAATTACTACTTAAACAATATGGGTAGCGATATATTGTCTTAGTTTATAAATAAATATAATATGCTATTTTTTATTAAAAAACATAAAAAAAAATGAAAAGGGTTAGTCATAATGACACAAGCCAATATTATTACATAGTATAAAATAAGTCGCTGTCGCTGTCAGACCGTCCCTATGTATGCTTCACTCTTTATAACTACGCAACGGATTTTGAAGCGGTTTTTTAAATAGATAAAGTGATTCTAGAGGAAGGTTTATATATATAATAATACATGTACACCTGTGCGAAGTCGGGGCGAGTAGATAGTCTTATATATTTCTGAAACTTATTAAGTTTCCTCAAAAATTTGAAGCATATGTATAAATTATAAAATAAAAAAGGTTCAAATCGACGTTCAAGTCACGACTAATCGTGTACATATAAAATGACACAATTAAGTTACACCCTGTCAAAGAGAATAAAGTCAGGATTAATGTTTATAAGAATTAAATTCCTTACAAAAATTCACAAAACTAATCTCAGCTCCTAATTCACAAATATCTGTGATGCATACAATAATAGTGAAACTGTAAATACGTATAAATACAACGTGGTAGACCATAAATTGTCTCTATTAAGGTCTGCGTAGACAAAGTGTAATGTGAAGCCGGGCTATCCGTAACTACATATAATTAATTATAAAATGAGTTATGTAGTAGATTTTTAGAGGGAGTTTCACTGACTTTTTATAGGTTCACACACACGACCCAGGATGTTTCAGAATTCATATTTGTGTTAGCCACGTATTTGCAGGCTATTTGCACAGTAGCATACACTTCTATTGGAAACTGGTAATTTTCACCTATATGGGTTTATTCAAAAATGGGTGACTGTTTCAAACAGACGACTCTTCACAAAGTTTCATCACAATATTTTTTTTATGACAGTAATACTTATAACAGGCGTGTAATATATATTTATGTACATATAATAGTTATATAGAGGCATTTATTTACTGTCGTTGATATACCAAATATGTCCAGGGTAATAAAGACTATGTAATCAGCATGATAATATTGTACAGAGAATTACTATAGAATACACTATGTACCTCAATTTGGACGTTAACCGTCTGTTGTTTGATTTAATAAATTATCACTATAATCGAACCACTATGAAGAATTCTTACTACCAACAAATAACTATGATTCTGAGTCACGATCCTAATATATTTCACTAATTTTGAGATAAATATATGATTTGCTCACATAAGTGTTATTATTTTACAAGTGTCTGTCATAAAACTGCAAAGATTATGTTAGAATAGAATATATTTATTGCTAGCTGTGCGGATACAGTAATCTTATGGTTTAATTGCGACTGTTAAGCAACATTTACTAGGTTCTTTCATTTAGATATTGTATAATTGCTAACATTTAGGACATTCTTAATAAAAATCTATTTGTTAATAATAAAATGACTACAAAAGTTTTAAAAAATAAGTCCTATTTGTAATGACTTGTCTCTAAGTCCTCATGATCAGATGGATATTAATATATGTCAGCTAATAAATTATCGAGATAATAATAATAAGTCGAATGAATTAAAACAAATTTAGGTATATTATTATTATATATAAATTTAGGTCATAAATATGGGTTATATTTATGACCTAAATTTGTTTTAAGCAAATTTATAGAAATCAATTAAACCTGCAGATCTATTCTGGACTACAATTTCAATTGATTTCAATTCCATTTCTATACTACTTACGAAACGTAATCAAAATTAAACCGAATAAATTAATAACAAAATCAGTTAGTTCTTTCATTGATGGCGAATATGCAATGAATACGTTCCATTAGTGTCAGAATAAAGAATACGAAACCACTCAATCCAATATTATTGGATAGGTTTTGGTTCCCAGAATAGACTAGCCAGTTGATCATAAAATTGTATTGTCACCGAATTTACTAAAGAGTGCCAAATTTTTGATAAAAGTGACGCCAAAAAACAGCTTATAGTCCTCGAGCCAGAGCCAGGCTTGTTTCGTCAATTATTTCGTACCGGATTGAAACTTCTAAGATCTTATAAGATTTTTTGTCTACAGATGATGTGGATAAAGATTCTTATTCTTCAAAACTAAAAAACAATTGCATTTATTGTGTAACATCATTTAGAATTGTAGATATTGATTAAATAAAAAACAGATAGCTTATCACTTCTGCGGAATATAATTTCAAACCCAAAAAATGTTCATAAGCTTATAAAGATTGTAACTCGGTAACCAAATTTATTCAGTACTTACGTCTTTAAAATTTTATTAGTATATTTTCCTCTATATAACATGTTCTTTCTTGGTATGAGAACTTTAATCACAAATATATTTTTAAAATTCAAAAAGATATCCAATTTACTATCTCAGAATAGCATGATTCATACACTTGTTACAAGTAATGATTATACATAATACAATGTATCAAATTGGCATAAAACCAAGTAAATATAATATTAGTTATATGGAATTGAGAAATTATTACTAGTCATACATACAAATGTTATCACAATACCAATGTCAGTGGCACATTTAGACTGGGCCCTCGATTGTACTCACTTTCATAGCAAAATAGTAGACCGCTCGACTACCCGACAGAAATGCTATTAAGAATAATGCAACATAAGCAAAGTAAATACCATGGTGATCTTTGGCCTTGGTGAACGTTCCTACCGTAACTCCGATCGCAATCGACAAGAATATAAGTGCGAGTAATGCAAATGTCGTTCCCCTGACTCGCGGCATACGTGGTCCCACCGATGACACCTTGCGACAATGAGGGCAGCGTACGGCAGCATTTTTTAACAGCTGATACTGAAAGTAACAAATTGTTATGGTAAAATACGTGACCACGAAAAAAGCGCGGAACATGCCATTGATAATATATTGCTTAAATACATAACATTTGATAATTAAATGTTGATCGTTTAAGAATCGAAAATCAATCTAATGAAATATATATTTCTATCGAAATTGCCCTCGTACGGAATACCAGAGGGATTAAGTAAATGGGTCGCTAGTTTATTGTATAGCAGATGCATCAAAACTGTGGTCGACGGTTGGTGCTCTGACAGCATTGACATTTACGCTGGCGTCCCGCAAGGCTCCGTTTTCTCCCCGACACAGTTTTTGCTGCATATCAACGATCATTAACCACAGTTAACATTCATTGTTATGTGGACAGTACTGGGGACGCATATTACACGGGCCGTGCTATAATATTCCTCTTTCCGTTGCGGAGGCAAATCGCGAACATTGAACAATAAAAGCATTGGGATTTTCGGTGTCGACATCTCTAGCACAGTTGAGTTCCGCAGTCACCTAGAAGAAAAGGTAAAGATGGCGTCCAAAACCCTCGGTGTGCTCAATAGAGCGAATCGGTACTTCACTGAGGACCAACTCCTCTTATATAAGTCTCAGGTTCGGTTCTACTGCTCTCATCTTTGGGCAAGAGCACCTGGATACCAGCTCTGTCCTTTTCACTCGGTTCAGAGACGTGTTATGAGAATTGTCGATAATCTCGATCTATCTGGCGGTATCGAACCACTTAGCTTTGTGTGTTCTACCGAATATACAACAGACTGTGTTCTGAGGAATTGTTCGACATGATGCCGCTACCTTTTACCATTATGCAGCTACCTTTTACCATCACACCGCTCGGCATCGACAGGGAATTCATCCCCACACGCTAAGTAGTCTCGGTGCTGTTTCAGAGGAGCATCCTCCCGCGTATACTTAGATTGTGGAATAAACTACTTGCCGAGGTTTTCTCACGAGACTACAGCATATGGTTTTTTAAAAAGGGTATTTTAAGGTTTTATATGGATCGGCAACGCGCAGGTAACACTCCTGGTGTTTCAGACGTCTATAGACTAAGGTAACCATTTACCAACAGATGGGCCGTATGCCTGTTTACCACCATAGTTGTATAAAAAAACTTATATAATGCAGCTTTATTAGTAAACTACGTAATATTAATAAATTGGACTAACACCTAAGAAAAAAGCCAACATCGAAAAAAATTATCAATATAAATAAAATTAGAGTGTCTGTTTGTAATATTGAAATAACCGTTTTTTACTACAGGCATATGAATATAAATACGGTACGTACACCAAAATATTTTTTTTTTCAATTTTTGTCTGTCTGTCTGTTTGTCCTGCCTAATCTCTGAAAAAACGTGACCAATTTTGACGGGACTTTTTGTGGCAGATAACTGATGTAATAAGAAGTAACTTAGGCTGCTTTTATTTTAGAAAAATAAAGTTAAATTCCACATGGATGAAGGACGAAGTCGCAAATACCGTTAGTTTTTTACTAAAATTGTATATCCAATAATCCATAATTATTTTATAGTAGAACTATGGTATCAAATAATTATGGATTAAAATAAAATAATAAAATGAGCAGTAGTTAGTTAATGATCTAATAAATGATAAAACTGACTCACTATTTCTGTCACAAGTAAATAATAATATATATTAAATATTGAGAAAATTTTGTATGGGTCATGCCCAGAGCTCAAGAGAATAATTGCATCTAGTAGAGTTTTTAAATATTGACCCATTGTTTATTTCAATATTGTACATAATTAATATATACAACACTAATGTTCACATGATATGACAAATTTCAATTGAGAATAGAGTTAGAAGCAAATTTGTTGGCTGAAATAAAAAAATATTATAGGAATTTCTCTTATTATTTTCTTAGTTTTATGACAAAAAAAATTAATTAGTAAGCAATAGTTATCATCTGTTGTAGAATAGCCACCTACCCTTTTCTTATCATTATTTTGTCTACCCAAAGGTAGTCTGGAAGAGTTTGCTTAGTGATAAGACCACTTCTTGTATCAGTTTATTTAACTTATACATTTATGAATTATGTATTTATGTAAATTATAGGACTAGATACAGAAAATAATTAAGATATATTTAGTTATTTTCTGTATTTGGTGCAATATAAAAAAATAAAAAATAGTTTTACTCACCAGAAATGTGTCTTGGCAGTGTGCACAAATAACCCTGCACATGCCAGGTAAGATGGGTACTGGTGGAGTGACAGGTGATGGTGCTAAGTTGATGATTCTCTTACAATCAGCTCTAGGACATGCAATGCGCTGCGATGAAGTCTTGCAGATCAACAAGCAATTGCAAGGGCAGCGCACATATTTTTTTCCTGGAGGGGCATTTCTTATAGGCTGTAAAATTTAAAAGAAAATTTATTGGAGTGATACATAGATTGCTATAACATGATTGTGTTAAGAAAATAGAAATCAACAAGACATGTAAATGTGGCGCAGGATTAGTATAGGAAACAGACAATTGTGTATAAATATAAATTTTAAGTCTATGGATGATAATTTACCATTTGATTTCATAATTATGTTAGAATTTATTATTATATATATTATAAACATGGAATCATAATAAAAGAGACTATGAATTATTACAGCGCAAATATCCACAAATAATATTCACAGAGCATGTATTTATATAACTATCTGTGCAACATAGTTAATTTCATTAGATGGGAAGATAGTAGCACTACTGAGTGATATTTATCTCCACACTAAGCAGTGGTATGGTGAAATCCATGGTATATCCATGATGTTACATATAGTACCTAGTAACTGGGCTATCCCAAACAAAAAAAAGTTTGCTAGTACCAAAGATTACCCCAAAAATTAATTCGCAATCTTTACCTCTTTATAATATACTGGTATAGATAGATAGATAATAAGTGTAGTGTCCAGTCAATCAGGCAAATGAAAATATTTATAAACACTTACTGTAGCCTCATTGCACTCAGAACATTTTACAACATGCTGCTCTCTTTTTCCTGTAATATCTATCATGGCTTGACACACCCGGCATGTAACCATAGGCAGTCCAGCTTGTTGATAAGACGGCGGGACCTCATCAGGACCGACTGGCGATATGGTGCTGACACTAAGTTCTACCGAAGGAAACAATTATTGATAAGTCGTCTTCACGTAACACTCAATTTATTAGATCACGTAACCAGCGGGTAGCTTCTCATTTAGTTGCACAACTGATTATTTAATATTGTTTAAAGAAAAGTATTGATGTTTTGTAACAATAAAATAATGACCATGTAAATGTAAATGCTATACTTAGTTGTATTATAATCTGTCAAAACAATGAACTCCGTAAACTCACCGTCTCGCAATAGGAGTTGATTCTCGCTTTGTCCGTCACCCATTGTGCACAGTAGATCAGATATAGTTGCAAATAAGTAAATTATTAATTAAATAGTCTCTTAATACGTCATCGAAGAGAATGATAAATTTGTTATTTCGACATAAAAGTGTAAGTACGATGAAAATAAATAAATTCACTACACAGATCGACCAAATTGATCAGTTCAGTATTGCCAACAAAGTTTGACAGCATTAGTCATGGAAACTACAGTAAGTGTATTAAGTAAGTAGGAACTACATTATTTGGAATTATTAGACAGTCAGATTTAATGGAGCTGTATCATAAGAAAATCATCACATTTCTTGGACATATTAATATGAAAATACTTTTAGTCACGTTAGAATTTCACATGGAAAACAAAATTATGATTAAATATTATTGGAAACGAGTGACAAAATGTAATTTTATCAAAATATTTATTCTATTTACGTTATGTTACGTTTTAATATTAAATAGTACGTTCTCGTAACTGTTCATATTTTTTTATCGCAACTTGTTTATTGAAGTAAAATCGGTATTCTATTGACATTTCTATAATAGATTCATCACTAGAACATATGGTAATCTATACTGTCAGTGTCATTCATTGTCATGCTTTAATATTTACAATTTTAGTGCTTTACCAGGATTGTAATGTTGAATATATTTTCAAATGTGGTTTACTTTAATGTAATTTAATATTACGTAAATATCGAAATGTGTAGTAAAGTACATAGAGTTTGTTTTTATAACCCAAAGCCACAATTAATTAATTGTGTGTCTTTAAACAAAAATGACAAACGTCTCGCTGTTGCAAGGTGAGGTTAGAAATACCATATATAATAGCAATGAAGTTATTGTATCATTACTGAAAAATATTTATTCTTACAGAGCAAATGCTTCAATTGAGATATGGGACTTAAGTTTTGCTCCTTATTTAATAAACTTTATTCCTGGAGTGGAAAATGGATCTGTCGAGGCTTTGTGTTGGGTAAAAGATAGACTGCTTTCGACCGGTCTTGGTGGTGCGTTAGTTGAGTGGGATCTCAATAAACTATGTGTCAAGAGCACAACGCTTCTAACTGGATATGCAGCATGGTGCCTGGATGTGAACTCTGCAAACACTGTTGTAGCAGTTGGCACAGAACAAGGTTATGTTAATTTATACAGTGTGGAGAATAATGAAATCAATTACTTAAAATTGTTTGATAAACAGGAAGGGAGAATTATGTGTTGTAAATTTAATAAAGGAGGAGATATTTTAGTCACAGGTAATATACATATATTATATCTTAATGTAAAAGTAGTATATTAATGTAAATCTTAACTATATCATGCATGCAAAGTTAATGGGTAGTAGCCAACTGCTTGACAAGTATGTGTGAGTTGTGTATATATGCTGTGTTGTATGAGCATCATGTTTTCCAATGGTATCTCATTTAATGTTGTGTGTCAATTAGATAGATTGAAATTGAAAAATACAAACAATTATATTCATGAATATAAAGGTTTGTACCTTGTGGGGAAGTGAATGCGCTACCATTTGATGTAAGGAGTGCGGACTTGTTAAAACATTGAGGCAGTTAAATATATCACTAAGGATTTGGATATTATTATTTTATAGTGTATTATTGTAACAATTATTATATTTGACAAAATACTTTATTATTCAGATTAATATATAATATAAAATATTTTAGGTTCAATAGATACTATAAGAGTGTGGAATGTCCAGACTGGGCATGCTAAGAGCCGTATGTCTGTCAGTAGACGTGGTAAGAAGACCATTGTCTGGTGCTTGGCTGTGCTCTCCGACAATGTTGTTGTTTCTGGTGACAGTGGAGGCAGGCTTACATTTTGGGATGGAGATATGGGAGACCAGGTGATGTATATAATACGTAAATTATAATCTTCGTTGCTCAGCACTGGACGTTTTACATGACATTTATTTTGTAAATACATACATAATATATGTATATAGAAAACACCCAGACTGATATAAATAATCATGATAAATATTTACACCATGCAAGTAATCGAACCTGCAACCAGCTGAAGTAAAGCGGTCTGGAATATATATTATGTTACTGATGTCTATATTATTATTATGTAAGATACAGCAGTGAAATTATAGGATACAGAGGTACGACAATACAGGAGCAGTACCACCACATCACATTATGATGTAGAATAGAATAGAATAGAATAGAAAATCATTTATTCAAATAAACTTAATTTAAGCACTTTTAAATAGTCAACATTTTTTTCAAATTTACCGCTTATTCGGAAAGCTGTCTCATCACAAGAAGAATAAGCAAGAAACTTGTGTGTTGCTCTTTTAAACAATCCTACAAGGATTGTTCACAGTTCACATTTTACAAGTCGAAACGTGTGGATACAAACTACCAACCAGTACTAATTTATTTAGGCTCAAATATAAAAACACAATAAGATTAAATCAGTCGTAGTGATAAGAGCAGACCAGTCCCTACAAGCAGCACTCGTTCACGAGTATGACGGATGAGCCAGCCATCACTGCGCTCGACCATATTTTAGGGAGCCCAATGACCCGGCCCACCACGCTGCCACATGTAGTGAGCATGACTACTCATTCCACTCGACCACGTCACAGATACAAAAATTACTAACATGGTAGTTACAGTATTCACACTTTACATGAGGATGCATGCGGCAATCAATACAAAAGCCGGTATGCTATCATATATCAAGAAAGCAATATGAAAAATAAATTATAACGTCCGCAAATAAACTTATACATGCTATATATTGCTATCATCTATAAATTCATCTATCCTATAATAAGCTTTTTTACATAACATTTGTTTAATATAAAATTTTAATTCTCTCTGTCAGATTTAGCGTAGATTCTGGCAGTTTATTATAGTATCTTACGCAATTACCATAAAATGAATTACTAACTTTATGTAGTCGGCATTTAGGTAAAATTAACTTATTTTTATTGCGTAAGTTTCTACTTGTACAGTCTTTAAGTTTCTTGAAACTATCTAAGTTTTTCCTTGTATACAATATATTTTCATAAATGTACTGTGAGGCAACAGTGAGGATATTTGATTCTTTAAAGCATTGACGTCATGACTCTCTAGAACCCATACCATAAATAGAACGTAGGGCTCTCTTTTGTAAAATAAATATAGTATTTAGATCGGCAGCTTTACCCCATAGCAGTATGTCATATGACATAATGCTATGGAAATAACTAAAATATACAAGTTTTGCCGTCGCCACGTCTGTTAATTGCCTTATCCTTCTAATTGCATAAGCAGCAGAACTAAGTCTACTGGCTAATTTTGAAATATGGGGCCCCCATTGTAACTTCGAGTCCACTGTTATTCCTAAAAAAACTGTATCATTAACAAAATTTACTATTTCATCATTAAGCAATAGCTGCGTATTTACTTGTTTTACATTAGGAAGCGTGAATTTAATACACTTAGTTTTGTTAGAGTTTAATAATAGATTATTACATGTTACCAATTTAATATAGCAGAAATAGCATAATTTACATCGTCTAATTGATTACATTGGCGACCAATTTTAAACACTAACGAAGTATCATCCGCTAATAACACTATATCTGCAACTTTCTCTACCATGTAGGGAAGGTCATTTATATAAATTAAAAAGAGAAATGGCCTTAGGGCCAATCAATCTTAGGATCAATCAATCAATCAATCAATCAAGGATCAATCTTAGGATTGAACCTTGAGGACCGCCCATTTTTATATTAGTTCCCTTAGACTTTACACCATCAATATCTACAGTTTGCACCCTATCCTCTAGATAAGTTTTCATTAGACTTAAGGTCATTATCTCTAATACCATAATGTTCGAGCTTATACAAAAGTGTTTTATGATCTACGCAATCAAACGCCTTCGATAAGTCAGAAAAAACGCCGAGAGCATCCTGTGAGTTCTCCCATGATTTGAATATATGTGTAATAAGCGCTACACCTGCATCAGTAGTAGACTTACCGGCGGTGAAACCATATTGGTGACCGTGACGCAGTCCGTTATCCCTGAAGTATTTTAACATTTGGTTAAACATAATCTTTTCAAATACTTAACTTAGAACTGGCAAAATAGAAATTGGTCTACAGTTGCCTAGCTCAAATCTATCTCCTGATTTAAACAGTGGAATTAATTTGCTAAATTTCATTAATTGAGGAAACACGCCATTATCAACACATTTATTGAACATAGTAGCTAGATAAGGAGCAACAATATCTATGAATGAACTAACTACTTTAACTGACATGCCCCAGGGATCTTCCGTATTTTTTAAATCTAACTGATTGAATATTTTTATTATATGAGAAGGGCTGACATGTGAAAATTTAAATGTTAAAGAGCAAGGGCTGACATTAGCCTCCAGTAATGTCTTTGCTCGAATTGGAGATGAGTCTAGAGAAGATGTAATATCAATCGGAATATTAGCAAAAAAATCTCGGAAAATATGACCTATATCTTTTGTTGCTGTTATTAACTTATTGTCATAATTTAATGAGAATTGATTGCAGGCTTTTTCAGACCTTCTTGTTTCTTTGTTTATAATTCCCCAGATGGTCTTAATTTAGTCAGAAGACTGATTAATTTGTTTATTTATATAATTAGATTTAGCTGCAATACAAACTTGTTTGAATATTTTTGAATAATTTCTCACATAAGTCGTAAATTTGTCATCCCACTGTTGCCCATTCTGTAAATTTAGATTTAACACAATATTCTTTTTTCTTGAAAATATTCTGGTATTACTTTGACAAAAGACTAATTAACTTGGTGTAAAGAATATCAGGTGTGTTGCTCATGCTACTATATACTACTATGAACATGTATATAGGCAATGGTTGCCACTTACTAATAGGTAGACAATCAGCTCTTACGCTACTTCAGTAACTAGAAAATAAAAACATATTTGCTGTAGAAGTCAAAACATGTAATTGTAATGAAGCACTTTGGGTATTTATTTATTTTGCTTCTGTAAATTATTGTACACATCTTATTTAAGCAGATGTTTGCTATTTCAGAAAGTAATATAAATATTCCAATATAAATTAGAATGTTGTTTGTGATATTTATACTTCAATATTTCAGATTGAATCATATGTAACTCACAAGGCAGACATTTTGTCTATTGCTGTATCGGATGATGAAACAAATATGTACTTCAGTGGTGTGGATCCTGTGATTATGCAGTTCATCAAAGTTAAAAATAACAAACAGACTGGGGGACAGTGGGTGAAACATGTACAACGAGATGTCCACGAGCATGATGTCAGGTGATCCCATTTATATTTGAATATTTGAATGCTATTATTACAGTTAAATGAATATGTTGTTACATTATATTTTTCATAAATCTATTATCCATGGCCTTTAATTATTAATAATTGCCATTATTGCTGTAGATACATTTTCTATGGGCTTTGATTATGAGAATTGCTGGCATTTATTAATTAGATAAGACGGCAGACACCCATACTTTACCCGCGACCCACCAGTCCTTCGTCGCGACGACCAGAGGTTAAGAATTGATACTATATTGATATATATTTGATACTATAACAAATTACTTTCCCCAATTTTGAATTTAATACTAATTTGATTATCAAGACAAATTTACTGTCCAATGCAAAATCTTAAACCAATATTTAGGTATTGTAGTTTTATTTTATATGTATATTTAGGTAAAAGGATTACTATAAAAAAAGACTTGGAATACAGAGACATATATTAAGAAACTATAGATATGACAGAATCAAATCTTATAAAATAATGTACTATAAAAGAACTATTAATTCAAATACCAATTTAGAACAAAAAACACAATTGCGATTAGCCAGATACAACATTAGGAAATAATATATCAATATTAGGAAGAATGTGCTCTCCACTGTCCTTTACTTTAGAGTATTTCTAGGGCTTTGGCATTGTATTTTATTTATTAATTCCAGATCTTTAGTGGTAGATTGTGACAGATTGGTGTCGGTGGGAGCTGATGGTTACTTGACATTAACTAAATATCCTCCCAAGTGGGTGATGAGAATACCACCAATGATTCCAGCACCAAGATCATCAGTGTCACCTGCGAAGAAACTTCTACTTTTGAGGTGATATTCATAACTTTATTATAACTATTTATACAATATCTTGTTTAGTTAGTAGCTTTTTGTAGATTGCTATAACTGTTACACTTTGTGCAATATTGTCTAATGTAATGTTTCATGTAAGCTTCGAAAATATTTCGATGATGTGCATATGTGGTAATGAATAAACAATTAATATGAATCAATGTGAACCTATGATGACTATAGAAATCGACAATTATATTCAATATTCATATACACATACTCATGTGTGTGTGTTTAATGTAGTAATGTCATACCACTATATAAATAATTTGCTTATAAATTGTTAGCACTATAAATATAGCAGTATTATATAAGGGCTTGTCTATTATATAAATATACAACATCAATATATAATAAGACCTTATCTACAAGTATGTAAGTGCGTTAAAAAATGTCTGCAGCCCATGCATGATGAGCAGTTATTTTTGCTCGCGAACCCGCGATTACGTATCCGTATAAGTTGGTTGTTTATAAAATAATTGGAATAAAACGATGCCCGATCACAAAGCATTGATGAAAACTGAACACAATTCGCTTAAACTATTTCTAAGAGTAGAACGCAAAAACAGACGATATCTCTAAAAATAATTGTTAATAAAGTCATCTAGTGACAGCCATCGCTAACATTTTTATTATATGTACAGATGTATAAAAAGTTTATTAATACTGAATTAGTGTTGATTACGATTTTGTTTGTTTGACATCAGGTATAGCACTTACTTAGAAGTCTGGAAATTAGGGTCTTATGGCACAAACCAAAACGGAAGTATTGTTTATGATACTGTTAATATAGACACGAATAAAAATAAGAAAGGCAAAAACAAGGGTTTGGAAGAGGACTCAACAATGGATATTATCGACAAAGCGAAGGCTGCTAGAACCCAAATTAAAACTTTAAAATTAACTGAGAAACCATTAAAATTAGTGTCAGTACAGGCCAAGGGACATAAGCAAATACGCTGTTGCCAGCTATCGCCGTCCGGAGAATTCATTATTTACTCAACAGACAGTCACATACGAATATTAAAATTAGAAACGGTTAGTAAATCTCTTCTGTTATAGTTTATGTACTATAATAAATTATAATTTTTGACTGATTGATTTTATTAACAAGTCTGTGCTATTTATTTGTATATGATTAACTAAAGCATAAAGCAATTTGTGAAGAATTAGTTACCTGCATAAATATGTATTTTATAACTAATGAAATCTAAGATATTGTTACGTTTATCATAATTACGTAGATGGAGTTAACATATATACACTCTGGAGGTTTATACACTGAAGCATTATATCGTCATAGTCGTAGAATACTGACGGATCTGACTATTAATTTTTTTTTGTATTCTACGACTATGACGATATTTATAATAGAACCTTATATATAAATAGTATAATATCAATTTTGTCTTATATAGATAGGGAAATACTCATTGATTGAAGAATATACTATATAAAATATTGCAAAACTGATACGGAGTTGCTTCGATTTTGTGTCACACATAGTAAAAGATATGAGCTTATTATATTTCTGTTGACTCACTATTTCTCAGACTGACTAGTCTATAACTCTTACAGCTTGTACTGGTCATATTAGTTTTTATTTGACTGTAACGGTTATTTATATGTTTACTATTCTACAGGACGAAGAAGATCAAGGGAATTTGTCTTTGTCTAAAATGACAGTCAGTGGTTTACCGTCGAGTTGTGATCGAATTGTGTTCACACAAGATTCCCGCACAATGATGGTTCATAGCACTGGCGTGGTCTATGTGCTACAGGTGGACCCTTTAGCAGGCGCGACTGTTGTGCAAAGTATCACAGTCGATAAACGTAAGTAAAGTTCAGTAGTGGCGTTCTCAAATAGGTATATTTTATATTAACGAGCTCAGACCGGGTTACACTTGTAGGTGTCTCTAATTTTATGCAATTATTTATCTTTATTTAATTCTAATAGATATGTATGACTTACCTATCAGAATTAACCCATCGTAATGTTCTACCATTCTGAACTTTTAATTCAGAATTTTTTAATTGCAATTGGTCCATAGTTTGGTATAAATTCCCACTTTTACAATACAATAATGTTTCCTTTGTTTTATTAAAGAATTCACTATTTTCAATAATTAGTATTTATTTTATCAATCATAGTAATTATTTTTTATTTTGCGTATTCGAATAAATATCTGTGTAAGTTATTTAAATTTATTTTATATTTTTACAGATTTAAAAACTTCATCAATCCTGCACCTTTATGTATCCAAGGAAACCGCCTCCGGCGCAACATATTTAGTAGTGGCTGATACGCAAGGTTCCATAGCTGTGTGGACTAAGGGCGAGAAGAAATACGTACACTACGTAACACTGCCGAGATACAAATGTATTCCTTCCGCTTTAACTGTCGACTGCAAACGGGACAACCTTATAATTACTTACGTAGACCAACAGGTAAGGTAGTACATAGGTTATTTTTTGTGTTTATAAGTTGAAAATTAATTGAGGACACGCTGAATTTAATATTTTAATGTAATAAACATTTTACCATTAATTACTGTTTCGCTCTTTGAAAGAGATACGAAAACAGAATATTTAGTTCCGAATCTGATTCTGAGAAATTCTGAGATAGTTAAGAAAGTTGCTTGTTTGGAGTTTAGTGAAAGTCAGCTGTGGTTCCGAGGGTGGGTTGAGTAAAGCACTCTTGCAAACATGTAAAAAAAAGTTATTAATTTCTTTCCGGTTCAAATTGCTGTCTAATCGAAGATTTAATTTTTCAAAGACACATTTAAGATTTATAAATTATATATATCAATATCTCCATAGTTATCTATTTGCTCTATATTCAGATGTTTTCCATTTTGCAATGATAAATAATTAATTATTATAAAAAGGCGGTAAAGCATTCACGATTGAAGAACGGGAGAATGCGCGAGCGGGCAGCGCGCGCTGTTTTCTCGTTCTCTTTGTCTATATTTACATAGACATTCTTTTCTGTATGAAAACCGATTTCCGCGGGATACATAAAGTACAAAATACAAATAATTGTACCCTGTTAGGCATTGATCCTGCGACCATCGGAAAAGCGGTGTTTTAAACCGCTAGACTACCGAGCATGATTGTATCGGTCTGGGTGTTTTCTATGTATATATCGACGCTGTGCATGGTAGATGGTTGAGTACGAGCTCGAGGAGCGTCGGTTCGCGGCAGAGTGGGTGGGGTGGAGGGCCACGGCGGCGGGGAGCCGGGTCGCATCCGCACTCGAGCTGCACCCGCGCCGGGACGCGCTGCTACTGCACGACGACACCGCGCTTTGGGTGGCAGACAGGGAACCGGTAACCTTCCCATTCTTACTTCTTACTAATACTAATAAATGCATAAATTGCCGCATGCTGTTAAGTCCGCCAAATGTAGTGTACTGAATTGTGTATTGTATGCATTGAAGTTAGTTAAATAAAGTTGGCCCCAGTGGGTAAATGTATGGATGTCTGTTACTCTTTCAAGCAAAATGGATGTATAAGTTTAATTAAACTTTACAATAAAGCTTAGCTAATACATCAGAATTACACATAGGTTGTAAATTTCATGTAGGTGAAACCGCGGGCACATCTAATATACACTATTGTAGATGTCCATAAGTTCATCTTTGGTTATGCATGATGTGCTGTTTGTCACATCCATACTAATATTATAAATATTAAATTGCGTCTTGTTAATTGTAAATAAAGCCTACTCGTTGTTTCATGACTATACAGTCAATTAAATTAGACTTTAAAACAGATCACAAACGCCATAAAACTTGCTCGCGTTTTCATTTGACACCATACAAAGTTCTGCAAATAAATTTTACTTTCATGTATTAAAGTTGTTTATTATACTGGGTTGTATTTTGAAATCAAAACGCAATAGTTTTATACAATATCATACATACTTTCGAAACTGACAGATATTTCATACAAATAACACTAAAATTATTTAACTATAAACTCAATTTTTATACCACTTAAAAAAAAATATTTATATATTAATTGATACATATTTTCAGGATGAAGATACGGAACCTGCTGCAAAAAGATCAGGAAATGGATCAAAACCATCAAATACTAAAGTTATTCCCTTTAAGGTATATAATTTTTGTAATTTAAGCCAGTTTATATACATAAAAATTACTTTATTTCAACAATCTGGAATACTGTATCCACACCACCGAGAATTTTATATTTATTATAAATTTTGCCTGCAATTTCCTTTTGTCTTTTCCCTTCTAAATACTATCCTACATGTTTGCCAATTTTCATGACATATTATATGTTTAATTGCTTTGGTTTAGTATTTTACTTTGAATTATATGTACTTTAAATTATTACGCTCCACTTGATTTAAAATAACGCCTTGCAATACAATAACGCCTGTAAGATATTGGTTAGTGATAAAGCCGCCTTTTGTACTTATTTATTTATTTATTTATGTCATACTAAGTGAGCTTTACAGTCTCCCAATATGCCCACTTAGGAAGATAATATACAAATACACACTATTATAAACACTAATTACATATATATACACTAATTACACAAAGAAACAAAAGAGAAAAAAATAAAATAATAATAATAATACCTAATCTTAATTTAACATACCACCTAAATAATCTACTGCCATCCTACGAAACTCCAGCAAATTACAAATAAATATTTCTAGATCTGGAAAATGACTAACTACACCGTTGAGTAGACTCAATGCCAGAGAAATTGGAGCCTGTTTGGCCAGCTCTGTTCTTCTCCATGGAACATCAAACAAGTTTCGTCTTCTTGCTTGTACGTAATTATTGGGCGCTCTTATGGACACTGATGTTAATACCGCTTGGTTACATTTTTCACCTTTCATGACTTTGACTACATATTCCATTAATGCAATCTTCCGTCTTACTTCGAGTGTGTCATATCCCACCATCCCCAACAAAAAAACCTTTGATATACAAATCGTATAAACTTTTTTTGGAGTATATCCTCCATGAGTATATATTTTGATTCATGTGGGATAATTGCGTTACTTTCTAATTTACTGTGTACGAAGACATTATATAGTATTTTAATACTAAGTATGTTTTTTTTAAAGGATGATAATGGAATGGTGCACCCTCCTGCGCTAACGGTTTACGCTGGCGGGGCACCAGTGGAGGATGATAGGATGAACATAAAGTCAGATCAGTTAGCCCAACGTGACAAATTCACCGGGAATGTATCACGATGGTTTCCAGTGGAGGTCGATCTGACATGGCACATTGCTAGTAATGGGATAATTAGTCCACATTACTAACAATCCCCTTCCCCCCAATACTAAGTATGTTGTCTAACTGGTGCTGTCGCAATACAAATCCAAGGGTCCTGAACGCCTGAGTGCATAGTAATATGACTTCGGAAAGGGGGGAAGGGGATTGTTAGTAATGTGGACCCTTGACCCTATTGCTATCAATGTGCTATGTTAGGTTGACCACCACGCGGTTCCCCCTGGAAATCATCGTGATAAATTACAGGTGAATTTGTCACGATGGGCTAACTGACCTGACCTCATGCTCATATTATCATCCTCCACTGGTGCCCCGCTAGCGTAAACCGTTAGCGCAGGCGGGTGCTCCATTTCATTATCACATACAAAAAAAATATGACTTCGGAAAGTAAGATCATCACTCATCAAAACCCCAGGTCTTTTATGGACCTTACCCTATTTAGCAGTGTATTACCTAATTGATAATTATGCCTATAGGTGTCCACATTCCGACTAAATGTTACAAGTGAACATTTGGTGTCATTGAACATCAAGCGATTTTTTTCACACCACTCAAAGATATTGTTTATATCTTTCTGAAGGAGCTCACAATCAGAGAAATTGGTAATTTTAAAAAATAATTTGAAGTCGTCTGCAAAATGACTTGTGTATATATATTTATATATAAATTTTTTGTGTCTGGTGCAATAAGGTGTATTAATAAAATAAAAAAATAAATACTCTTTTATCTACCTTGAGAAGGTCAAATCTATTAACATCCTTTGTGCAAAGAGAGTTAAAGCGGTATTTAATTCTTCTACAGTATTTGGCTGACTTCCATTGGCTCGGCGACGACGAAGCGGTAACGTTGGAAATTTTACCTGAAAACATTGTGTTACAGTTGCCGCCGGTTATGATTAGTAAGTAATGTACAGTTGTTTAGTTATAATAAAATAATGTAAAAATAATGTGTATTTATTTTTGAAGTGTAACATAATTCCTCTCGCTGTCCTGAAATCATAGGAATTCCAATGATTTACCAAAGAGCGCAAGCTGTTATGGTATGGTATGTGATGTTCACAATCTCATGTTACGCATCAGCTATAGCATATAAGTATACAATACTAGTAATTACAGTACATACATTGAAATCATAATTAAGGGAAACCGAATAAAAACCAGTTTTCACAACATTTGTTATTATTTATTACACCGACCTTAAACACATTACAAAAAAAAGCCTCAAATGCATTATTGTATATACGTTTTTATTTTAGATATCAATACTAATAAAAAGTAATAGAAATTTTTATACAGTCTTAGTCTCCAGATTAGAGATAAGCTTTCTCTAATGCATCCTGGCTGAATGGCATCATGTGCAGTTGGTGTGGATGAGACCACATTTCGTCATGGACTTCACATCTCGCCGGTGGCAACTTGTATGATATGGGATCACCATCGACACTCCTGTAATCATAGCTTTATATCAATAAAACTATAAAGATCCCAGTCTTTCATCAGCATTCGACATATTAATGTATTTGTGTATATTTTGTTTTTTACTCAATCTTTATTGTATTTATTTAATTTCAATAGAAAAGTAGTAGGTACAGTATATTTGGAAGTTTTAACACCATGCGTCATTTTTCTCTTGTCATATGTATATGCAATATAAAATGTACCGACTTACATATTCCAGGATGATCAAAATTATGGAATAATAACTTTGATCATCCTGGACCAGATTTATATAATACAGTTTTTCAGTGTCGGTCAAATTTCATCTATTTTTTGGTATATGATAAGTAAGACTAAACCTACTACAGTTTTAGACAACAAGGTTATCAACCGGTAAGTACGAACCCTAAAAAAACCAAGGTTTGCTTGTATGGATCATAAATTTGTCCAGCAGGTAGTGGTGGTCTGGTTGGGTAGTCTCGACTTGTCTTCACCAATCTTCCATATCTCTCTAATGGACAAAGTGCTCGTCGCCCGACCATACCTAAAATGTATCTTTTTAAAGTCATCAAGTAAACAATTTATTTACAACATTTTTCTTCAATTATGTAATAATTATGTAATTGTTAACTGGAAATAACCTCAACTTGAATATATATTAAAACCAGTCTCAATTCTATATATTTTTTATATGTTACTTTTTCTTATATAAAAGAAATATGAGTAGATATAAACATTTGCATTCACCAATAATAATAACCCAAACCAATTCATGCAGCACCATCTAGTCCCCAACTAAAGTGGTTACTAAATAACTTATAGAAATTGGTATTTAAATGGATATTTTTACCATAATGTACATAGAGAACAGTCAACGTAATAATAAAAGACCAGTAAATAATTACATATAGATACTGTTGATATGCTTATACAGTAAATATAATCTACTAAGTATATGTAAACTAATTAATTGTTGTCTAAATTAAATGGTCAAAAGCTTTCTTACCGAAGGATGTACGAGGCAGAGGCGTTGGCGTTGGATCCACTACAACTGGGTGTGTTTTGGGTTCTGGTTTACAACTCACGGAGCGAATAGCAGCTTTATATTGATCCAAGGACATACCTTATATAAAAGTATACAATAATGATGTTTCTATTTAAATTTCTGGTAAGGCAATTACTAACAATTCTAATTTAAAATATACAATTTTCAAATTGTGTACAGATCAGTCAGTCCACAGTTGCCATACGAACCGTACAACGTTACGTTTATAGAAAATCGTAAGCCAACGATTTTGATATGATGCAAATCTGAATTGTTAGTAACAGCTTTATTTAATTATTAAAAATTAAGGCTCTGGTTACCTAATTGAAAATAGGTAGAAATATATTACTAAACAAGATGGACTTATTCCTGTTTAGACTAGAAACTAATTTGCAACGATTTTATATAGATATTAAATTATTGTATGACCGCACGGCTATTGCTTAATTTTGTCATGAATAGTTATAGAATATTATGGAATTGATCTAAACAACAAGCGAGCACAATAGATCACCGTAAAACGCAAATCTAAACGCAGAGGTCTAAACAACTAAGACATCGCAAATCTAAAAACGAAAAAATACACAAACACATTCACCAATACAGAGATTACAAAGAGGCGCATGAACACCAACATATATTTAATCCCTGTTAATTAAAAATAATCATCACAATGTGTTCAGAATTGACCTTTGCTTATTTTTTATTATTAGGCGATATCTTTATAACTCCTAACTTCCATTCGAAAGAAATGACACTATACTAACTTAGTCGTACTAAATCAAAGTTAACGTTTTGATTTTAATTGAAGATTAGGTATTTTAAATATTGTTTGTTTTATATCATAAAATTGGCATAGATATACCCAATTGTTGTGCTTCCTCCTCCTGTATCTCACGTAGTTTTGTGTAGAAACCCCATTTTTGGTGCCATAGCCTTGCTGCATCTCGTTCTTTTTTATTAACTGTTCTCCTAGAAGTAAAATCGCGAATGACGTCACTAGTTGTACTATTATATCGATGATTATGTTTATCATAAAGTTAATACGCTCTAAGGGTATTTGTAATAGCTCAGCTATATTTATATAGGAGTATAGATTATAGCGAAATATAATAAAAATAAAGTAAAGAAATGATTACAGAATTCCTTGAGCTTTAACAGGATCAATAGAGGGCTCGCGACGGACGCCCACAGTTGCGGGAGCAGGGGCTGCGTTCTCCATTTAGCACACAAAGTATTATTAAATTAATTATATTCGTCGTAGTTGTGGTAATGTACATACATACAAAGGATACTGGATGTTTTATTTACTAATTCACGGGGTTGCTAAGTAAAGTTTAATCGATCGGCTGCAGGTGCTTCAATATATTTTGAGTTGTTCTATTATATAATATTTAATTCAAATCTATCAAATCAATCATTTCAAACTTTTAATATCTTTACAAACTTAACATTTGTAAGATTTGCATATAAAATGACTTACGCTGTTAGATTCCTTACTGGTCTAGGTATTATATATTACGTGCTATTACTAAGTTAATAATGCCTATAACCGATTCTGCTATGAATTACCCTGAATTAAGCTGAGAAATACGTTTGGATTCGTTCAACATAGTATCGCGACATGTCAAGTCATTCTTTGTTATAAGCGAATTTATCTTAGGGATGTACTCGTAGATGTGTTCGTTGTCAACGGACCGGTGCGGTGGTGACTTTGTATATGTTCTGTATACCTAACTGTTACAAATGTATTTGAAAGCTTAGTGACGTCAGGTCATATTACCCTCAAGTCGACTTTCTTCTTAATTTATAGGAAGAAAGCAGTTTTATTTCTTAAAATGTATATACATATAACGTAATTATGAAATTCTATAGTTTGTTTTAATTTTTTGTGTAGCATAAATATATATTAAATATAGGTACATCGGAGAATACTGGAATACCTTACAATGTCATATTATTAAATATATAAATTTGTAACTGCTGAAATATTTGAATATATTATTTGCTTGAGAAGATATATAGGACGTTTTGTCTAGAGTTTAGTCTAGACGATTACGCTACGTCACGCATTCACCGCTAAGTGCCCTCTCGGCTGAAGTAACTTTTTGTTATCATTAAAAGCACCAACTTAAGTTTGAATTTATAATTGTGGGCTAAATATCCCCTCGTAATAAAGTCTAGTACATTTATTTGGTAACTAAACTAGTTGCTTTCAAATAGTTTAGACGGAATCCAGATTTGTCTGTAGGTACCTACAGCTGTCTGCTCAGTTGGATATATTGGATTTTTCAAGAACTAGAGAATAGAGTTAGAGCTTTAGAGGTCAGGTCATACCTAATTGAAATGTAGAAACATTAACCCTATTTAATAATACATCTAAATTTTATGATAGATTCTATAAATAATAAGTAGATATCAATATCGATTGTTAATAGTAGGTAGGTATATTAAAAATAGTATATTTTTTCAATTTCAAGACTTTCGGTGTAATGACATAAAATTATTTACTTGCGAAATATTGGTACAATAGATAAGTTGTTACTTAAATAAAAAAATATTTACGATAACAGTCACGCAAAATACTTCTTATTGTAACGATATCGTAAGTTGAATATGTATATAACATGTTTATTGGTCTATTCATTGGGAGGAATAGGGAAGTATTAGTAATGGAAATCATTCCCTTCTTTTAATGTACTTTGTCAGGTGCACTTCAATGTCCACCCTGGGACTTACCAGAGGTAATATTTGTGCAAAGTCGACAATATAGGTAGGCTTCAGCCTATATGATCCTAAGAAACAAACTTAGTTACAAGTTTGTAAAAAAAATCCATTGTGGTAGCGTGCTGATAAATTTTAAATAAAGAATAATTCTTCACAGGAGACCAGACTGGTAAACCAGGAGGGTTCAGTTCCAGCATCATTTACGAAAAAAAATTACGACTGTAATCCATCTATGACGTGTTATAATTATAGAATAGAATAGAAAATCATTTATTCAAATAAACTTAACACTTTTGAATAGTCATAACAATTTGTTTTTTATCTACCACTCGTTCGGAAAGCTGTCTCATCACAAGAAGAACGAGCAAGAAACTTGTGTGTTGCTCTTTTAAATAATCCTTGTAAGTTTACATTTACAAACTACCAACAAGCACTAATTTTTTGGGTCAAAAATATGCTATAAGTTTAAATCAGTCGTAGTGATAAGAGCAGACCAGCCCTACAAACAGCACTCGTTTCACGAGTATGACGGATGAGCCAGCCATCACTGCGCTCGACCATATTTTAGGGAGCCCAATGACCCGGCCCACCACGCCGCCACATGTCTGCACATTTTAGTGAGCATGACTACTCATTCCACACGACCACGTCACAGCTACAAAAATTACTATATGGTAGTTACAGTATTCGCACTTTACCTACTTAGAACTGGCAAAATAGAAATTGGTCTATAGTTGCCTAGCTCAAATCTATCTCCAGATTTAAACAGTGGAATTAATTTGCTAAATTTCATTAATTGAGGAAACACGCCATTATCAACACATTTATTGAAAATAGTAGCTAGATAAGGAGCAACAATATCTATGAATGAACTAACTACTTTAACTGACATGCCCCAGGGATCTTCCGTATTTTTTAAATCTAATTGATTGAATATTTTTATTATATGAGAAGGGCTGACATGTGAAAATTTAAATGTTAAAGAGCAAGGGCTGACATTAGCCTCCAGTAATGTTTTTGCTCGAATTGAATTGAATACCTTATTGTTAATTTTTTTATGATAATGGCTACTTGTATAAGGAAGAGCGCACAATACAATCTTATATACATTCAATTGTAACCAATACTGAATACCTTTAATTATATCCTGTCTATTTAATTTAATACTATTACCGAAAAATAACACAACTGTGGTCATTTTATTAATTTTAGTAGATTTAATTTTGTTAATAATTTGTGCAAATGATGCCTCTGGTATACAGTAATTTAATGCATCACCCTTAAGATGATACTTCAATACAGACCTAAAATTAATTAGAGTATAATAAAAAATAATTATAATTAAAGTAGCACCAGTAGACAGTTTTATGTATTCTGTCAGCATTCGATATACCCGTATTTTGCTACGAAATTGTAACCTAGTCTTTTTATAAGTCAGTTCAATAATATTAATTATGGTCTTTCACGAAGAAAATTGTGAAAATAAAACGATATTTTATGAAAAACGACTGGGATTTCTATTTAACATTCCAGAGAGCAATTAGTATTCCATTGTGTGACCCAATTTCTGTACCTACGTTGTCGGCATTTATTAAAGCCGTCTACGATCGTAAAAGCGTCGATCCTGAATTCAGTATTTATATAACATTCTCACTTACTTAGACTCCATAAATCCGCCCTCGCGTCTAGACGTTTGCATACGAACAAACTTATATTATCTATGGACATACGTGTAAGAGTTATATCTATTACATATAGTTCTTTCATGAAAAATAAAATAAGAAATGAGATATAGGACTAATACGAGAACATCCCTCTAGAAATTATTTTTTATAAGCAATATAGTTCCAGTGACCTTGAGTTTCACGTTCATTACAATTTCAAATATTAACGAATGAGCTGTCACTGCTATTCATTAATTTGGTAGCATATTTTTAATGGTGATCTAATAATAGTGTTGAGACACGAGTACTATTGTCCAGAAAGATGATGTGTCAGTTTTACTTGGTGTTTTAGAGTCATTAAATATATTAAGAACTTAAGTTAATTGTGTAATAATTAATAACAAATTATATTACACAAGTACTGATTTTCTTAGTAAAATTGAAATAACTAATTAATAAATTAGTATAGTAGTAATATTGTGTTACTAATATAAATTGAGCAAATAAATTACTATTATTATTATTATTTTATATATCATACACGCGGGCCTTAGCCAAGCATGGATGAGTTATGTGATGAAGAAAGAAATTTTCGTACTATTCGGCATGTGTTTAGTATAACGGCTTTTTGTAATAGGTCTATTGTAGAGGATATGCAACGTGTCTAGGTGTTTGTTCAGACTTTTTGGTATAATTCCTGTGGATGACAAAACTATATGTATGGTGTGTGCTTTCCATTGTTTTTTAAATTATATTGCTAGATCTGTGTACTTTGTTAGTTTTTCATTGACTGTGCTTTGTATATTGTGTGTGTTTGGGATGGCTATATCTACAAAATATACTTTTTTATTGATTTTGTCGTGTAATATTATGTCGGGTCTATTGTTCTATCCCAGTACAGTTAACAGTGATCATTTTGTAATACATTAATAGGGCTGTATTTGTGATATGGAACTTTGCTTTCTATGAATTTATGTTTATGTGCTATATATTGATGTATAATTGTAGCAATATTATTATAAATTATTATTATTATTATATAGTTTTAATATATAGGTACTAGTGTGTCTTTATTGTCAGGACTTTGAGCCTAGTGCTCACTTATTTGGCAAATGTAACTTTAGTATATCTTTACTGGTGTAGAACTTCATTTATACCTCCGTCGAAACGATAAAAAAAACGTATATATGTTTTTCCCTACAAAATAGAAGCCAACGAAAGAATATAATCCGTTTCTGTCCTAATATAAAATAAACTGAAATAGAAAAATAAGCATTTTTCTATTTCAGATAAAAGCCCTTAGAATAACATTTTTATAGCAATTAAAATAAAACGTAAGCTAATACAAAGCGAGCTTTGCGTAGCAGAGGTAACTACGTAGACGTGTGGGGGCGTAGGTCGTCGAGAGAGTCTAGACATTCGACCGACATCGAGCTGGGCCTAGCACGTGTATGTGTGCGCCGTCAGGACTGTCGACTATAGGTGTACTGAATTATCTGTCCAATTTCAGTGTATTGCATAACAATATTACGTAGATGCGTATACGATACGTAATTATATCGTATAATAGATTAGTATGTGCAATATGCCAAATAGAATATTTACAACATTAGAAGACAAAATGATGATACAGAGAATTGAGATATATATAAGAGCGAATATATAAGATTATTTTAAGATTTTTTTTACTTATTTTGATTTATCTTGCAATCAGTTGAAGATTATGAGCAGATGTAGTAAAGGTTTCGTCGCAGTTAGAGTGTAAATCATCGACATTTAAATTGGTATTGATTAGTCCCGTTTTTCCCTTCGGATATTTTATTTATATTGAGAACATCATGAAACTCAAATATATTGGCAAATAAAGGCGCATTTAGAAGCTGTTTTAGTACATTATATTGAGCTCTTTGAATTATGGTTATGTTGGTGTCTACAACTAAACTCCATCATTCCGTAGGTTTAAATAGGTTCCAATACGGAATTGTAGAGAAGAAGCGTCTACGGAAGAGATCTATCGAATAAGAATGAGTGAAAAAGCCTTTACGGATCATTTTAATTAATAATTTAGGTGACATGTGTACATATTAAATATTAATATTTAATATTTTCTTATTCGATAGATATCTTCCGTAGACGAACACAAAAGAAAAAAAATATATAAAATAACAACACTTACAAAAAAAAATACAGCGAAACAGTTCTTATATGTTTTATGAAGATTCTTAGTTAACAGTACAACAATAAACACATAAATCAAACAAATAAGACAATTATTCCTTCCAAGGCAAATAATGTAGATCTAATGTAGCTTTCCCTATTGACATTCGACCTGTTACTTTTTTTTTTATCCTTTCCCCGCAACATGTAATAATAATAAACTTCCATTACATATATGTACTTCTTAATCCGAATCAAGTTATTTTCTTTAGATCTTTGTTATATTACAAAAGAAAACTTATTTGTGTGGTTTACTATAAACAAATCTACTACCTACTTAAGCACGCTTAGGTAAATGGAGGGATTTGAGTTATACAAGTTTATTAACCAGATCTCATGGTTCTCTTTGATCTACATAGGCAGAGATATCTACATGTATGTATTTATAACTGATCTAATGAACATAGTATACTTTTTATTCTAATCTAAATCTGTGGTATGAATAAAGATATTACAAAAAGCCAATATTTTTTGTCATAAATATATTAAAATAATAATAAGAAATTTTTAATGACAACTGATAAGACTTTATTATGCAGATCCTTAACATTTGTAATCAATTTTTTTAATCTCTTGCTGGCATGTGTTCAGTTCAGTTATCAGGTAGGTACCATCAGGTTGTTGCCGGAAACGGAAGGTGTATCTTAGCTTCTCATGATAGCTATGCGTCGTGTTTGGACTCATTCGATTGACAATATACAATAGTGAACTAAAAAGGACATCTTACAGATTGAGCTCATTATAATATATAATATACATATATACTATAATATGCATTTTTATCTTCCATTTACCTAAGAGTTGACTGGATCAATGTATAAAGGTATATTCCATTTGATATCAGGTTTTTTCAATGGTCACGGATCTGTCTTCAACTTTCTGATGAAAAATTCATAATATTATACTTAATTTTAATTACATAAAACTATTTAATATCACTTCAGTCTCAGTTTATCACGTTATGTCACGGTCAATGTTCAGTACAACAAATAGACATACCTAAATGCTTTTTAAGTAAGCGAGGAAAAAAATACTATGCAAGAGAATCCGGAGCGGGGCTCACGTGATATTAAAAAAAAATTAACATACAATCTGATTTAATAATCAAATTTAGTCTAAACTAACGATACCATACAGTGTCCACTGCTCCTTTACATTTTAGTTTAATGTGCCATTTGCAGATTGTCATATTGAACAGACATAAATGTAAAATTATAGCTTAACTCACAACAAAGAGTTTCTAAAAATCTAATACAAATGAGTACAAGTACTAGAGTACCTAGAATACGAAACCGGATATATACCATAATAAACAGTTTTATACAGAGCTCGCGAAAGAGACAGGTGCTAATTTAATCAATTACCCTCGAAAGATAATTAAATTAGATTTGTAGGTGGTGTGAGGCCAATTGCTCTGCGTTTTAATTTGTACCTAGGTAGATACTTAACTACGTGACTATGTGTAATGTTTATCTAGTCTAGACGGCGGAGTGAGCAATGAATAATACTAGGACAAATGAACCGTTCCGAGCGTCTGAAGGTGAAGCGAAGGCCTAACATTGACGTTTACATCTAGTTTTAAATGCACCTACGTTAAATAAATTATAAACACCTACACTCTACATTTATCTGGACCTAATGTGGCAAAATATAATTATGTTCAAAGAAGTAACTTACCATTCAATAGTTGTTTAGATACAATTCATATAATTCTTGAATTATTACAATTATTTCAAGCTATGATGGCCACGGCCATATATTCTTGTGTTTTCTATGTGTTCCCGCCTACTCTGTAATTTTACTGCCATAGCTCATTACTCAATTTGAAAAACAGCATGTAAATCGTGTTACGAACAGCAAAATAATAAAATGTATAAATTCCAGACGTCGTCCTCTGTACGTTGCTGACCAAAAGTCGTATTTAAATTAAATAAGAATAAAAAAAATGTATAGTATCCAAGTAACTGAATTGTGAACGTGTCTTACTCATGATGATATTTATAGTTTATTGCCAGAGATTTCATCACTTCCATCGTTAAACAATAGGTACGGGAACGTTTTATCTAATCGTACCTAATTGGTATAGTAGACACAACACGATTTAAATTTGTAATAGCGTTCAGACAATCGTAACGATAACAATGTAGCTAGTTTACGCAATTTATGACGTGCTAACGGCATCCGACGACATACTCAGGGGTTCGCGCTTGCTGTTTAGTGCATTCATAACACCTTTTTATTCTATATCTGTCAGGGCCAAGGTCTATTACATCAATAATGTTTATATGTACTTTTTGTGATTCAGTGGGTAACATATTGTTTAAGTTTTGTTTGTACATCGAAATCGATACGTCATAGATAATATACTGAATTATAATGACTATTCATCTGATGGAGTGCTGATAATATATAATGCATAATTTTTACTTGCTGTCGGTTCTGTCACTGACGAGACACAATGGTTTTATTTAAAGTAGCACTTTGTACAGATAAACTAATGGGAAGACTCTGCTAGATGCGACGTGGATGTGAGATATTTCCTTGTGGCACTATATGGATACGGCATTATAAATCGAGGTACCGAAGAGGATAGAGCCCGCCCTTCTCTTGTATCACTTTTATTTCTGACTGACTATTCGCTGAATTAAACACCGAAAACAAACCAATAAAAATAATCAGAGAGACAGAATAATCACTACGCCAGAAATATAGTTTGTTATTATATAATAGTTAGTAATGTTATAAGCATTACAGTATATGCCATTATATGTTCATAGGTAAGATCTTATTAATATTATATTCTATTACCATACTCACAAACTTTCCTATTTATAATATTATTAAAATTAATATAGATGGATGGATGGATATTTGTTACTCTTTCTCGCATAAACTACTGTATGGATTTTGATGAAACTTTACAGTAATATAGCTTATACATCTGAAAAAACATAGGCTTTAATTTTCATAGGGGTGAAATCGCGGGCACTAGTTCTCCGTAATTGCCTATATTTAAATTTAATTACAAATAGTATTGTTTTCGTTAGTGTTAATTCTATTTTTAAATTTCCAAGTTGGTTAGTCAATATAACCTTAACATGTGTCTAATGTGCTTACATATTGCATTATTGCGTCTCGCCTCAGTCTCACTCACCTCTAGACGTCGCGCGTCGGCGTCGGCGTCTCCGTTGGCACGGACTCGCGACACGCGCTCGCGAGCGCACTTTGTCTAGTCTAGACGAATTGCATTATGGAAATTTGTATACCTAGACGGCTATTTACACAAACCGAAAATCCACAAAAGGGTTTTACTGTCTAATTTATTTATAAGAATCGATGCAAAGACTGATGTTAAGACTTGTAGATATAATAAAGAAAATCATTCATCGTTTAATAAGTAGATATTTATTCTATTGCTTTGTAACGTTTTAACAATTATGTATTAAATTTAAATAATTTTATTTACAGAAATTATTTAAACTTAATACATAATTGTTAAAACGTTACAAAGCAATAGAATAAATATTTACTTATCAAACAGCAGATTCTTGTTTTCGTTATATATATATGATGAAATAAAATGAGAACAGACTCTGACATTTTTCATTCATTAAATCTCGTTTCATATTTTTATTATTTATTTTAAATAATTTTGAACTACGTACATACAGGCCGCCTATTTTCACCAAAAGCACATGAAATTAGGTTCGCGTATTAAAATTGTACTATCTAAGTTTGTAGGTATATTTCAACTTCAGAATAAAGGAGTTTTATCAATCAATAGGTTTTACAACTGTCCGAGAATAACGTTGTAACGTCAATCTTCAGTCTGTCTTTTATTGAAAAAAATGTATAGACATCTAAAATTACTTCATATGGTTCAAAAGGTTATATGAATAGTAGGCACATAGGTAGAATTATAATTTGGTATTCATTATCATTAATAATGATTTTCTTAGTCATGAAACAAAAATACCTATTATAAATAATTAAATACTTTTATACTTACTTATATCTTAATTGTACAACAAGTCAGAGGTCAAGCGGTGCAATCTCTTTTTTTATCAAAGCCAGACGGATTTTATTTCAAATTGACTTTGAAATAAACGCTGCTCATAGGTATGTGCGACGCAGGACAATATGAGTTTCAAGTTTAAATTTATTTTTCTTAATATATCTGTAAATGATACCATATCATTTTTAAGTAATGATATGGTATCATTTAAAATTTTATGGTAGCAAATAAATATAAGTAAGTAGTACAAATGTTATTATTAACTAATAAAAGTTCATTTTTGAAACACAAAAACAATACCTTATAAATAGTTGGGTACATGAATATTATAATTTTAAATCACTTAAAAGGAAAGTTCTCAATTCAACCATATTGCTTTGTATCTGATATTAGAATATTCATTGATTGACATTCCTGATATTTAATCCCAATTAAAGTTTTTCAGAAGAACCATATTTTAAATTGTTGTGTAGTCTATCTAATAACGATTTCGATTGGCACGTGTATGGTGAATTTACAACTGTTTTGTCATTCGGCCATCCGCCGCTATCGAATACTATATGGGTAGTATTAAATTTATTTTATTGTTTCCGTATGCCATACATTACGATCCAAAATAACGTTATAATAAATACTTCACATATTGTAGATATTTTTTCCACATTTCCTTTTATTTTTATTGACTGGAATAACAAAAAGCAGATGTGAGGTAACCGTCGCATGATAAATGACATACCATTCCGGGGGACTAAGGAGTCATGCCTTAGTATCATTCAATTATGCCACCATAATTAACCTTAAATCGAAACAAAGTTTACAAACCAAGCTGCAGAGTTAATTGAAATAGTGGTACTCATATCCAGATTGCCTTAGTACAAAGACTATTTCAGACGGTTGGTCATTATTTACACTTAGTTGTCTATTCATGAAGACCTGGATCGTAGCATTTTGTGACAGGCCTTGTTAGCACTAGTACTTACTCAATTTAGTTAGCAGGTACATCACGCCATAACCGGAACGTAGGGGCCGAACAGCTAGGGAGAGCGAGGGACCTGTTGGCAATACAAACATTATTCCGTTTGAATAACCTACATGTTTTATATCTTCATATTTTCCTATATAAATATGACTCTGTAACTAAAGTATTTTTTATCTTCGAGTATTTTGAATTGCTTGATTTGCAAAACTGTGTCCATACCGGCTTGTCTCTATTACTTAAAATAAAAAAATAGTACTTGTATGCAATATTATCTCTTATTATATTTTTAATATGTAACTATGGTCATGAGGTTAGTAATCTAGACATCTTTATTGCATCAATATCCATATAAAATGGCGTCTTGACAAAAATTTAATTTAACTTATTTTTTTATGATTTGATCGTATGTGTCTATTTTCATTAATTGGTTATTTATACATCGTTATTTTATTGTAGGTAATTCCAATCATTAGATATTAAATAATATTCTTATATTTATAAATTTTATCTAAATATTAATTTGCATCGAAATGTGTAATCTTAATAACAGTGTAATCTATATTCAAAGTAATAAACAAGTTACTAAATAAAGGAAGTAATTCTATTAGGTCTCTAGTACACATAACACTAGCTTTGTTTAGCTTGGGACTAGATGGCTCTTTATGAATTGTCCGAAATAATGAAAAATATTAAAAAAATATATATTTAAAAAGATATAAGAACGTATCTACACAGGTGGACAAAGTGGCTTGTAACAGCTAGTTATTATATAAAAATGGCAATTTTAATTTGTTGAATGAATATTTAGAACGAGTACTAAATACGTTTCTCAACAAAGCGTCATAATCGCACAGACGTCGCCGTCACCGCCAACTGTTAGTTACGGCCGCTCCATCCACTTAATCCTCATCCATTTTAATTTAACAAAAGTGCCGGCCGATAACTCGGAGGATGGGCTCATATCCGTTTGTTGTGTTGTGAGTTCGCTACTGTCTGACTATTGACTCACCAGTCACGTGCCATTTAATTCGATTTTGATTTCGGATGAGACTGCATTTATTTTTCTTATCACTGAAAATCGACGTCCTATTATGAATGTGACAGAGCGTCTTTATATTTTTTTCTTTTTTCCTTTCCATGACTAAACAGCTCTATATTTTATTGCACACAACAGATACAGCGGCGGCCAACAGCTAATATTCCATAGTCGATGTGTCTTTGGTCATGATCATACATTTAGTTGCAGATTACAGATCACATTCATTAAAAAAAGTAATGCGAGACTTTTTATATTTAACAGTGTTTCATAAAGGAAGACACTATTGTTGTTGTCTGTCAATATTCTTTATTAGACTGTATCATTCGGTACACAAAAATATACAAAAAATTAAATAAGAAATCCTTTAGAACGATAGTTTGACGAGGGAATTAAAGTACATGAATATTCAGTGAAAGTATCAATGATACAATATGTTTAAGCTGAATTTGTCACCAAACAATTCTCACAAGAACACTAATGTTAGCATAATAAATTAATAACAGTCAATAATAATAATAATAATATAATAATATCAATTATAAATTTAATAAAGATTTATGTTACACCACAAAAAAGAACTTTTTTGATATGTATTGTCATTTACCCCGTTTGTTCTATGAAAATAAATACATATTACCTAAATGGAAACATTGTATTTTGTAAGATATAATGTGTAATATATTAGGTACAAATAAACAAAACTTACATTATTTTTTCACAGGTTATCATTCAGTAGAATATACAGTTTGGTATTATTATTAATATAGTATTTACATTAATAGCACAGATAAGATAATGCTACATATTAATAGTTAAGTTAGACATAAAAATATTTTAAAATAGTTATTTAATATATTTTGAAGCACAGCCACTAACTTTTATCATCTTTTATTTTTATGAATATGTGTCTAGACTTGAATGTTAGGGCTCTGAACTAAATAGGTACAACAAAACCTTTATGGCGAGTTTACCAGAGTAATAAAAATTATTTTTTTAATTACTTCTATAAATTCTCACTTAGACTTATACAGATCACACCTCATAGACTACCATTTGGTAGTGAATGTGGTAGTCTTATTTTCATAAAAAACAATTAGTATTAAACAAGTTAATTAAAATAATTAGTTCACTACTTGAACTTAGATCGTAAATTCTTTAAGTCCAAAAAAATGTAATTGTGTTATTATTTCGCTCAATTTCTCAAGAACTATTACTGGTTTTAATATCATACAAATTAAGCAAAGAGGTCATGTTATAATAGAAACGTTTTACACTTACAGAAATTTCGGGTAATTAAACATAAGTTCTTCAGTTCAAGACTTGGTTGTTTGTAATATTAATAGGTAAATTGTTTATATTTCTGAGTAACTTATTCTCATGTTTTGACGATGACCATTTAATAAAACAATTTTATTTGTTACACTGCAAAATTTATGAATTAAGAGATGTTATTTCGGGCTGCCTTTATAGACAGCGTGGGCAAGTAATAAGTGCGTTCTATATTTTATATTAGTATCATTAGATACATATTAGAATCATTTAATTTTATATTGTGCTACAAATAATGAGTATTACATTTAATTTTATAATAGTATGTATTGGCCATAATATTATCAAAATAACTGTTTATTCAATATCGAACTGCAGAACTGCAGATTCAATATCGATTTCAGTTCAATCGATTTTCAAGTACACTTTTCTTTGGAAACGTAATCAAGACCAAACAGACTTAATCCATAACAATGTTAGTTCTATCATTTAACAAAGTAGAATTAATATCAAGTTGCCAGTGAATTATTCAAAAATATAAAAAGATACGAAACTGCGCAAACCATTGTCAATTGATCGAAATTAGTTTCCAGAGAGGACCGGCTAGACGGAATCGACATGAATGAATAAAAAAGAGTTATAAAAATGAACGTAGCAAGAGAAGTCTGCAAGGGCAAACGCTTTTGTCAACGTTTGAATTTAAATTTTAAACGAATACGAAAGAAAATAGTTTGTTAACATAAGTAGATAATTAATTAATTTTGATATATAGAAAGATTAAGTCATAAATATGTTAAATTAATACTTAGGTATACCAACAGGTGTGGACATTCATTAGGTATCCGCGGCGATACGGAGCTTCTATTGTATATGTTATGTAATACATATTTTTATAGTAAGAATGTTGTAACATGCAACGGGAACAAAGCATAAATATATCGGTCAAATAAGCTTCATCAGTAACGCAATTGTAGGCTAAATTATTCTATGAGGGGAAATTCATGCCCAGTAATGGTAAGAAAATTAATTCCTTCGATGTTTAGTAGTAGTTTTATACAATGTAAGATTTCGTGGTCTTTAAATATTTGATAACGACAAAAAAACATTTTTAAGCTCTTTATTAAATGAGAATTCAATTTAACTTTCTGTAGGCATCTTTTTTCTGTTATCTCGATTTTTGTGTAGAGTTTTTAAATTATGGCAGAGCGACAAATTTCTTAGCATTCGGTAGATTTGCTTTCCTGTCGAATCCTTATTGTTTTATCCACCATTGAAGTTTATATTTTTATGGAAATAAATTTTTAAAGTCTGCTATCTTACGAGATACGAAACTACACGTATATTAATTTACAATCTATACTAGTATTAACTTGTAGAGTTCTAAATTTAAATTTCATATTATGTAATTTAAATTACCTACTTTATTTATTTCAATATAATGTTTATACTAACAATAGCGATTCAAAAGCAACAGAAAATATTTGATAATGTACATAGTGTATACGTATTCGTACATCTAGTGGATGCGTGCGTCTGCAGGGGGTGAGTTAGGCTGGCCTTAACCTTGAACGCCGCCGACCGCCCCCCTCGCCGCTTCGTACCCCCGGCAACCCTCGCTATCCCCCCTATCCTTTGCTACCCCCTTTCCTGTCTCAGCCCAGACTTGATAAATGAGGCTTACGGGTATGTTAGATACAAGTAATCTATGTCTACAAATCTATTCAACTTTACAATTTAGATATAATAAGCTTGCAGCAGTTGGATATTGACATTATTAATTATATAACATTCAAAATGCTATGAGGTATTCGTTAGTAAAA